GCGACCACTCATTAAAATGTCGTCAAAATCTATTTGTTGCTTTAAAATTGTGACTATTGTCTTCATTTTTGTAGTGAGGGGGACTCGTTTAAAAAAAGACCCGCTAACAATTTACCAGCCATTTTTCATGGCTATTTTTTTAATTACGAATGGTTTTCATGGCAAAGGGCATTTGTGAAATGCCTCAATATTATATGGGTGTTGTTGCGCTATATATATTTATATGGGAAAGGTGTTTCTCTTTAAAAAAAGACCCGTCAACAGTTGTTTCCAGCCAATGGCATCTTAATAATTTAATCATATCTATCACATGTATCACTCAACAAATTAGTGATTCTATATCCTATATTATATAGGATCTTGTTAGTTTATGAGAGAAGAGGCTTAGAAAATGGTTGATAGTATTTAGAACAATAACGTAACTTAGAAAGGAAAACTTTTGAAAGAGTAGCTAAGCCGACTTTCAACTTGGCAAATATCTAGTCAACTCGGTTATTGTATAGTAACCGACTTCCAAAGTGTTTTCCAGCCACTAGTTATAATATAAATCTAGAATTGTCTAGTTACAATACATTATATAATTAATACAATGTTTCTAGTGTAGAATTTGTCATTTTTCTCAATTTTTCTAGATTTTTTTATATTATTTTTTTTTAATGGCTTGTCCAATATAGATCCCTACATTTTCTATTTCTTAGACATATACCCATCACTCTATAATCTATGTGTAAAACCCAATTTCAAATTTAAATGACTAGTAGGATATAAGAGGTCGTAGTATTTTTATGTTTTTACATCATTGCCACTAAACTTCATATTTTATTTATAATTTATTTCAAGCATTTCATTAACTGCCATAATTGTAATTAATATACTTCATATTAATAGCATATCAATCACCCCATTTCTTTTAGTTGTCATTCCCTCTCACATCTCGCCCCCTAAAATTACAAACAAACAAACAAATCTGTAAATTACATATCCAATAATGTACCTATGAAAAATATAATATAAATATATACAAATAAAATATAGGTATATTATTTACCAAAAAAAAACAAAGTCAGTTACTTTGTAATTGGGTATATTTTTCATAATTAAAAATAGGTACACAATAATTTATATAAAATATAGGTACATTATTTACCCACAAGTAAATTATTTTACAATATACCTGTAAATGTGTATAGGTACATTATTTGGAATAGATAATTATGTACACTTTTCATACTAGGTAAATTATGTTTTTCATAAAACAAACAATTAATAGGTACATTATTTTTTCAACATAATTAGTATGTACAGTTTTATTCATAAACAATTATAAAGTGGATTATTAGTCATGTATAATTCATAAAAAGAAAATAACATAAACATTTTATTAAACAAACCGATTACCTAAATTTGAATTTATTGTTAAATTTTTTTAAAAATGTTTCAAAATTAATTCATACATCCATTACAACCATTTGGAGATCTTTCCAAATTCAACATCTGTCATTATATAAAATCCAATTAAAAATTGTTTCCATATTGATTCCTACATTAATATACAAAATGCAATAATGGCTTAGTTTGGGGTATTTTTGGAATCTGAAAAGTACAATAAATCAGATTTTATGCTTAATTAGGTAATTTGCTGAGTTTGATCCTAGTCATGGGTTTTTACTTATACAAATTGGGTATTATTTATAGGAACAAAAAGTGAAGGGTTTTAGGTACGGCAAATTGAATTTGAAGGGTGTAAGCCAAATTTACTATTTTTTTAACAGATCTAGATTCTTGCCTTACATTCTGTTTAATACAAAGCACCATACATACTACGAGGCAGCTGTGTATATAAATATGAAAGGGCCCTTCAACTAATTGCATACCAACAATATTCAACTTTCTGACTCCCAAAAAAACACAACAATTCAAGTGAAGATGGCACAAGCACTTGCCGATTACACCGAAGCTGAAAAAGAATTGTACGAGTTTGATGACCTCAAGATCGGTGTCAAAGGCCTCGTGGACGCTGGGGTGACCCACATTCCCAGGTTCTTCATCCACCCACCGGAGTGTCGTGGAAACAACTCATCAGCTCCGCAGAACAATGGCGCTGATGGAGTTGAAATCCCGGTCATCGATCTCGAAGGGTTTAATGACAACGACGACCGGCGAGTAAAGATGGTCAATGCCATTAGATATGCATGCGCAACGTGGGGTTTCTTTCAGATAGTTAACCACGGAGTTCCAGTTGCTGTAATGGGGGAGATGGTGGAAAGTATAAGAAGATTCCATGAGCAGCCCCAGCAGGCCAAGATGGAGTGGTACTCACGTGACTTTAGTCGCAAGGTGAATTATTTTAGCAGTGGAGATATCAAGGGGCGTGCAAAACCAGTACCAGCTGAATGGAGGGACTCGTTGATCTGCAGAACTGCAGATGATCAGTGGGATTTTGATGCACTTCCTGAACTGTGCAGGTGTGTTTAATAATTTCTAGATCAGCTAGTAGATCATCTAACCAACCATATTCATTTGATCTAATTTTAGTAATTATTACTATATATAGTATACGGAAAATGTTCTCTAACTAGTTTGTTCACTTTATGTGTGTTTTTGTAGGCGCGAAACGAATGAGTATATGAAAAACATGATTGACCTACAGGAAAAGCTATCCGAATTAATGCCAGAAGCGTTGGGGCTCAATAAAGATCACCTATCGAGCACCGGCTACTTGAAGTCTATAGTGTTTTCGGGTCACTATTACCCAGCTTGCCCTGAGCCCGATTTGACTCTAGGCACAATCAAACACTCGGACCCCTCCCTTCTCACCTTGGTCCTGCAAGACAAGAGCAATGGCCTCCAAGTTCTCCATAATGATCAATGGGTTGATGTGCCCGCAGTGGACGGAGCTTTTGTGGTGAACATCGGTGACTTTATGCAGGTAGGCTCGATCTCCGTACCATATTACTAATTATTTTTTTAATCAACTGCCATTACTCTATTAGTATTTATGCAAGTCTAAACTACGCATTTATTTGCAGTTGCTTAGTAATGACAAGTTCATGAGTGTGGAGCACAGAGTACTGGCTACCCCGCTTGGCAGGCCAAGAATATCAGCTGTATCTTTTTTCTTTCCTTCTGCCAAGGACATACTTCAGCCATGTGGACCAATCAAGGAGCTTTTGTCTGATAACAGTCCCCCCATATACAGGATTACCTCTTTTGAAGAGTTTATGAAGCATTACAGAGTTGTTGGGCAAATTGGCGGCCGTGCCCTGCCTCACTTTAAACTGTAGCTGGTGAGCCTAGATATGCATGTGGCTTGGGTGCCATATACCCTAGCTAACTCATAAGCACGATCCGGTTAAACTAATTCATATATTCAGTTTAAGTACATGAGAATACCATACTCGTTGGGTTATTGAGTTGTATTTCTAGCCCATCGAGTGGTTTGACACCACTTTAAGAGTTAGATAACTCAATGAAGATGGTAGTTTTATGTGTTCGTACTGAGTACATGAATATGAATGTACCCTAAAATAATCATAGCTCTTCACGTTTATGTTCAAAAGTACTGTTTTTGTAATTGTAATAATAATAATGCAGGGCATCTGTATTAAATATATTTGAATTGTGTAGTGTACACAAGTTTTTGCAGTTGGCATATGACTGCACTGCTTGTATCGTTTTATGTTTCAATAATAAAAAATTAATACTTGTGTTTATGTATGTTGAGATCTCCCGAGCAGAGATCGTCATTAGATCGCATTTGCATGGTATTCAAGAAGTAGCTAAACAAAAATATTGGCATATGAGAGACTCCGAGTATTGGGTATATAGATTGGCAGGCCTCTCGTGAAGGTGTTTGATGAAATGCCTCAAAGAGATTCTTAGTAATGACAAGTTCAAGGGTATTTCTGCGAGTCTGAATTACACATGTATTTGCAGTTGCTCAGTAATGACAAGTTTAAGAGTGTGGAGCACAGAGTATTGGCTACCCAATTTGGCAAGCCAAGAATATCAGTTGTATCTTTTTTCCTTCTTGGGCTAAGGACAGACTTAAGCCATGTGGGCCAATCAAGGAGCTTCTGTCTGATCATAACAATCCCCCATATACTAGGATCACCTCTTATGAAAAGTTTATGAACCATTACAGTGTTGTTGAGCAATTGGCGGCCATGCCTTGCCTCACTTTAAACTGTAGTTAGTGAGCCTATTTCAGCATGTGGCTTGGTTGCCATATGCCCAAGCGAACTCCTAAGCATGGCTCCGGTTGCAATAGATTCATACTTATCCGGTCATCATGGCGTATTGAGTGGTATGTTGAGCTCAGTGAGTGGTGTAGCACCACTTTAAGGGTCAAATGTACTACCGTGATGATCTAACGAGTGTGATATTTTCATGTGTTCAAACTGAGTATCTTCACATTTATGTTTAATAAGTACTCCTATTTTGTAATTGTAATAATAATAATGCAGTTCATCTGTATTAGAGATATTTGAATTCTGTAGTGTAGACAAGTTTATTGTTTTCAGTTCCCAAATGACTACGATGGTATCATCTCACGCTCTCGATTGGGGGATATGAGTTCTGCAAGGATATTATTTGATGAAATGGCAGAAAAGAATATAGCTACTTGATATACTATGATTGATGGCCACGCAAGACTTAATAATGTGGAGTCCGCAGAGTTGTTGTTGAGAATTCACAGTATCCCACACAATCTGGGATTAGTTAAGAAACAATTTTATTGTTGTAATTTGTAATTGATTCTATATTCTTACTTACCAAAGTTGTACAACTAGATTGTAGAACTAGATTGCTTAATTGTAGGACGACCTCTGTATAAATCCAATTGCTTGGTTAATGAGAAATTCATTCTGGCAATTATATTCTTATACCAATTTTACATGGTATCAGAGCAGGGAAAACTCTAGCTCTTTATTCTTTGTCGTCAACCCTTGCTCTGACACAGCAAGCTTTTTTTCCTTCCTGTTTCATTGCCTTTTTCAATGGGTAAGGATCAAGAAACCAAGGATGGAGACAAGTCCAACTCTTCCAGTCCTTTTTTCATTCACCATTCTGACCATCCAGGCATGGTCATCACTTCCAAACCTCTCAATGGGAACAACTATGCAACTTGGTGCCGCTCCATTAGTATCTCTCTTAGTGCCAAGAACAAGTTCGGTTTTGTCGATGGTACCGTTAAGATGCCATCGGCAAAGACTCATCATGATGACTTTTCTCTTTGGAAACGTTGCAACGACATGGTTCTTTCATGGCTTCTCAACACTCTAGAACCCGACATCACCGATAGTGTGATTTATTCAACAACAGCCCATGAAATTTGGGAAGATCTCAGGGAAAGATTTTCCCAAAGCAACGCCCCCAGAATTTTTCAGATTCAACGGGACCTCTCTTCGCTCACTCAAGACTAGCTGTCTATTGCGGCAAATTGAAAGCACTATGGGACGAGTTAGCATCTTACAGCGACCTTCCATCTTGCACTTACGGCGCCATGAAGAAACATGTCGAACGAGAGGAGCAGAATGCGCTGATGCAATTCCTTATGGGATTGAAAGAATCTGTTAGCGCCGTGCGTGGTCAAATCCTGCTTATGCAGCCCCTGCCTTCCATGCTCAAAGCTTATTCCTTGATCTGTCAAGAGGAGAAACAACGAGAGTTGGGTTCTTCTTCTTTACCTATCGAGCATGCAGCCATGACGGTACGCCAAGATCAGAAAACTTCTAATCCAGGGAGGAAGCCGTTGCACTGTACATACTGTGATGTAGATCATCACACTAAGGAGATTGAGACCGCCATGCCTAATCTGTCTGCAAGACAGTCCCAACAAGTTTATGCCATGCTGAACACCAATCATGCTGAGCAGCACAATCCTCAAGTCCATGACACTAATTCCACCTCAGGTTTGTTTACACCTTCTACATCCCTGGATCGTTGGATCATTGATAGTGGGGCCACTGATCACATCACGTCGTGCCCACATTCTTTGACAAGCAACACAAACAATTCCACCATGTCGCCGGTGGTTCTACCTAGTGGAGAAAAGGCTTCCATCAGTGCGACTGGCACTATTTCTTTAAACTCCTATAAATTTTTCACTTTTGGAAAAAGCCAAAGCTTTTTCAAAAAAGACAGAAAAACCTTTCAACTTTCAAATCAAAGACATACAAATGTAAAGGATTCCTTAGGAAATTCAAAAATAAATAAGGGCAATTTTGTCCATTTTGGCTTCTTTTACAAAATTTCTCTCTCCTTTGTGTTTTTCCAAAGTCTCCCATCTTTATTTGAGAGATGTTTTGTGTGTACCTACTTTTCATGTCAATCCCATGTCTGTTAGCAAATTGACGAAGGGATTAAATTGTTCAGTGACTTTTTTTCCCTCTTAGTGCATTTTACAAGACCTGGTTACGAGGACGACGATTGGTCTGGGTAAGCAGCGAGGAGGACTCTATTACCTTGTGGCGTTGGCTTCCGATAAATCTCCCCCTTGTATACACTCGAGATTCTCAAGGATGGAGGTGTTCTTGGTTCTCGACCCATGAATTTTCCCATGGAGCAAAACCTCAAACTTTCAGATACAGGAGAATTGCTTCATGATCCATCCAAGTACAGAAGGTTAGTCGGTCGTCTAATTTACCTGACCATCATGAGGCCTGACATCACATATGTCGTACACATGCTAAGCAGGTTCATGCACGAACCCGTAAGCCTCATATGGAGACTGCACTTCGAGTCCTGAAATACCTCAATAATACTACCGGGCAAGGACTGTTTTTTTCAGCTCAAAGTGACTTAAAGTTGAGTGCTTATTGTGACTCAGATTGGGCAGGTTGCCCAACCACTCGTAGGTCCACAACTAGGTATTGTGTGTTTTTTGGTAGCTCATTGATTTCTTGGAGAACGAGGAGACAGAAAACCGTATCTCTTTCTTCCGCAGAAGCCGAATACAGAGCCATGGCCGGAGCATGCTGCGAGCTCTCTTGGCTACGAAGTCTCTTGCGAGATTTGCAGCTACCACATCCTGAACCAGCCCTGCTGCATTGCGACAATCGTGTTGCATTACATATAGCAGCCAATCTGGTCTTCCATGAGAGAACAAGACACATTGAAATGGACTGCCACTTCATTAGAGACAAGATAAAAGACGGATTGATCATTACAAGGCATGTCACATCTTCACAACAGATTGCTGACGTGTTTACCAAACCCTTGGGTAAAGATGCGTTCTCAATCATGTTGCACAAGTTGGGAGTTCTTGACATCCACTCTCCAACTTGATGGGGAGTGCTGAGAATTCACAGTATCCCACACAATCTGGGATTAGTTAAGAAACTATTTTATTGTTGTAATTTGTAATTGATTCTATATTCTTACTTACCAAAGTTGTACAACTAGATTGTAGGACTAGATTGCTTAATTGTAGGACGACCTCTGTATAAATCCAATTGCTTGGTTAATGAGAAATTCATTCTGACAATTATATTCTTATACCAATTTTACAGTTTGATCAGATGCCAACTAATATCTCGTGGATAACTATGATTGATTGTTATTCTCTGAACAAGAAAGGAGTCATTTTACTTATAGGCAAACAACAATCTGACACATGTAAAAGAAAAGTTTTTGCACATTAAAATTACAACAACAAAAATAAAATTCAAATTTGATACCACTGATGTAGCATGTGACATGAAACTCCTGTGGTTTGCGATATCAATCTTTTGAATAGTTTACCTATAGTTACCAAAGGAAAAAAAAATCTAAGAAATCGATCCATTGTGACCTGACCCATCCATTGAACAACTTTGGCTGCCACCATATATGGTCCACTGTCACACGGAGATTGCTGCCGCCACCATAACGTGCCATCACGACCATCGTGACACCATGAATGTAAATTTGTTTCAATCATTCATGGGTCCAAATAAGATATGAGTTTAGGTCATCTTTCATGGAGGAGAAAGAGAGGAAAAAAAAATGGAAACCAAATTTCATTTCATCAATTTGTTATTTGCATAGACTAACCTACAATATAGATCTTGCTATTAGTTTTAGTTGGAGATTTGATGGTACCGTCCCTCCTCAAATCCCCATAAGCAACAGAAGAAGTTATGCAAATGGCATTCACTAATCATTGATTAAACATCATTTTCATTATTATTCGACCATACGTCAGATCTTGCTGTTTTCTCTTGGTGTTTTTTCATTTCTTGGGATTATTATAAATTTCCAAGTTTGAATTCAACCTCTACTTCCCTTTGATAGAAGAAACATATAATATATTCAACTACTATAGTCTGAAAAGGTAGTCTATATAAGCATAAAAATATTTGATTACATCTCCACATGTGTACTTGTTTTAAATTAAATTTAAACATGCATGTTTTTCATGGCTATTTTTTTAATTACGAATGGTTTTTCATGGCAATGGGCATTTGTGAACTCTCAGAACTTAATTAGGAGAAGCTGACCCCACTCATCTAATTATGTAACAATTATTCTGCCGCCCTACCCAGTAATTCATGGGAAAGTGCTTGTCGAAATGCCTCAATGAGGCTGAGTGTCGTGCATTCTTTATTATATGGGTGTTGTTGCGCTATATATTTTCCACATATCTGTATGGGAAAGTTGTTTCTCTTAAAAAAAGACCTATCAACAGTTGTTTACCAGCTAATGGCCTCTTAATAATTTAATCATATCTATCACATGTATCACTCAACAAATTAGTGATTCTATATCCCATATTGTAAAGGCGCAATCAGCTTACTTGAAGGCCTTAGTGTAGGATCTAGATTCTTGCCTCAGCTGTACAAATTTGAAACAAATTTCATCATGTGGAAAGCAAGACTTTACTTTCTTTGTTTAATACAAAGCACGACGCAGCTGTGTATATAAATATGAAAGGGCCCTTCAACTAATTGCATACCAACAATTCAAGTGTCTGACTCGAAAAAAAAACACAACAACTCAAGTGAAGATGGCACCAACACTTGTCGATTACACCGCCGCTGAAAAAGAATTGTACGAATTTGATGACCTCAAAATCGGTGTCAAAGGCCTCGTGGACGCTGGGGTGACTCACATTCCCAGGTTCTTCATCCACCCACCGGAGTGTCGTGGAAACAACTCATCAGCTCCGCAGAACAATGGCGCTGATGGAGTTGAAATCCCGGTCATCGATCTCGAAGGATTTAATGACAACGACGACCGGCGAGTAAAGATGGTCAATGCCATTAGATATGCATGCGCAACGTGGGGTTTCTTTCAGATAGTTAACCATGGAGTTCCAGTTGCTGTAATGGAGGAGATGGTGGAAAGTATAAGAAGGTTCCATGAGCAGCCCCAGGAGGCCAAGATGGAGTGGTACTCACGTGACTTTAGTCGCAAGGTGAATTATTATAGCAGTGGAGATATCAAAGGGCGTGCACAACCAGTACCAGCTGAATGGAGGGACACTTTGTCCTGCAGAGCTGCAGATGATCAGTGGGATTTTGATGCACTTCCTGAATTGTGCAGGTGTGCTTAATAATTTCTAGATCAGCTAGGGGATCATCTAACCAACTATATTAATTTGATCTAATTTTATTACCATATATAGTATACGGAAAATGTTCTCTAACTAGATTGTTCACTTTGCGTGTGTTTTTTCAGGCATGAAATGAAGGAGTATATGAAAAACATGATCGCTCTGCAGGAAAAGCTATCTGAATTAATGTCAGAAGCGTTGGGACTCAGTAAAGATCACCTGTCCAGCACCGGGTACTTGAAGTCTATCAAGTTATCGGGTCACTATTACCCAGCTTGCCCTGAGCCCGATTTGACTCTAGGCACAATCAAACACTCGGACCCCTCCCTTCTCACCTTGGTCCTACAAGACAAGAGCAATGGCCTCCAAGTTCTCCATAATGATCAATGGGTTGATGTGCCCGCGGTGGACGGAGCTTTTGTGGCGAACATCGGTGACTTTATGCAGGTAGGCTCGATCTCCTTACCATATTACTAATTAATTTTTTAATCAACTAGCCATTAGTCTTGTAATATTCATGCAAGTCTAAACTACGCATTTATTTGCAGTTGCTTAGTAATGACAAGTTCATGAGTGTGGAGCACAGAGTACTGGCTACCCCGCTTGGCAGGCCAAGAATATCAGCTGTATCTTTTTTCCTTCCCTGTGCTAAGGACATACTTAAGCCATGTGGACCAATCAAGGAGCTTTTGTCTGATAACAGTCCCCCCATATACAGGATCACCTCTTATGCTGAGTTTATGAGCCATTACAGGGTTGTTGGGCAAATTGGCGGTCGTGCTTTGCCTCACTTTAAACTGTAGCTGGTGAGCCTAGCTACATCCTAAGCATGGGTCCGATTATGATACGTTCATGTATACAGTATTATTACATAAAAATATCATACTTTTTGGGTCATTTTGGCCCATTAAGTGGTATATTTAGCTCATTGAGTGGTGTAATACCACTTAAAAGGGTCAAATATACTACGAAATAGGCCATGATAACCTAACGAGTATTAAATTTTTTATGTGTTTGTACTGAATACGCAAGTGTGAATGTACCAAAAAGACTCGTAGCTCTTCAAGTTTATGTTCAAAAGTACTATTTTTGTAATTGTAATAACAATGCAGTGCATGTGTATTAAAGATATTTGAATCGTGTATACACATGTTTATTGTCTGCAGTTCCCAAGTGACTGCAATGATTGTATGTTTTTATGATTCAATAATAATAAAATTAATACTTGTTTATTGCGGTTGGAGAAGCTGTTTATGGTCGCATTTGGAAACATGTGTTTGGGTCACTTGTGTTTGTTCAGACTTGTTTGATTGATTTTTATTCGAAGCTGCGACGAATCAGTGAATCGAGAAAGGTGTTTGATGAAATGCCTGAAAGATACGCTTTTACATGGACTACTATGGTTTCATCTCACACTCGAGTGGGGGATATGAGTTCCGCGAGGATATTATTTGATGAGAAAAAGGAAAGGAACATAGCTACTTGGAATACTATGATCGACGGCTACGCTAGACTTGGCAATGTGGAGTCTGCAGAGGAGTTGCTTAATCACCCGCCAACTAAGGACATAATCTCATGGACAACAATGATTGATTGTTATTCTCTGAACAAGAAATCTGGGAAAGCAATAGCAGTTTTTAATGACATGAGGATGAATGGGGAACTTGTTCTGTTGGAATTCAGCAATTGAAGGACTTGCAGTTCATCATGGATTTGCCAAAGAAGCACTGGCAATGTTTAGCAAGATGGAGAGAGAAGATCAAGCCAAATGGGATTACTTTGCTCATATGTAATTATCTCAGCAATTAATTGTATTCTCCACATAAGGGTTTTTTTTTATTTTTTAAAGATTAATACTAAGATGCTACAGAGAGTTTTCTGCTCACAGTCACGGCACATGAAACAGCCAAGATGTAAATGTATATTCATTTCTACTACCTTCACTCAATAATTTTCATACGAAAACTGAATATGGCTTTTGTGCACCTATGGTTAGGTTTGGTAGGTAGGAAAATAGACTTGGGAATCGGAAATCATTTACTTTATTAGTCAAACAACCAACCGGCCACAGACGTGGCTTTCTAATTGCCATGCAATCCAAAATATCTACTAGTACGATGCAGCTGTGTATATAAATATGAAAGTGCCCTTCAACTAATAATTGCATCCAACAATTCAAGTGTCTGACCAGAAAAAGAAAAAAAACCAGCAATTCAAGTGAAGATGGCACCAGCACTTGTGGATTACACCACCGCGGAAAAAGAATTGTACGAGTTTGATGACCTCAAAATCGGTGTCAAAAGCCTCGTAGACGCTGGGGTGACTCACATTCCCAGGTTCTTCATCCAACCACCGGAGTGTCGTGCAAACAACTCATCAACTCCGCAGAACAGAGTATTGGCCTCGTAGTATTTCCACTGATGTGGAGCTACGTATAAATTTGCAGTTACTTAGTAATGACAGGTTCAAGAGTGTGAAGCACAGAGTACTGGCTACTCCGCTTGGCAAGCCAAGAATATCAGCTGTATCTTTTTTCCTTCCTTGTTCTAAGGTCAGACTTAAGCCATGTGGACCAATCAAGGAGCTTCTGTCTGATATCAGTCCCCCCATATACAGGATTACCTCTTATGAAGAGGTTATGAACCATTACAGAGTTGTGGGGCAAATTGGCGGCGGTGCCCTGCCTCACTTTAAACTGTAGCTGGTGAGCCTATATATGCATGTGGCTTGGCTGCCATATGCCCTAGCTAACGCCTAAGCACGGATCCAATTACGATACTTTCATGCTGTACTATTCCATGAAAATATTATATACAAATTTATAAATAAACCCAAGTGGTACGTTTAGCCTATAAAGTGGTGTAACACCATTTTTAAGGGTCAAATGTAATACTAAATAGGTCATTATAACCTAACAAGTGTGATATTTTCATGTGTCCATACTGTGTATGTGAATGCGAATGTACTGTAGAAGAATCATAGCTCTTCAAATTTCTGTTCGAAAGTACCCCTATTTTCATAATCGTAATACTAGTGCAGCATATCTGTATTAATGATATTTGAATTGTGTGGTTTACACAAGTTTATTGCTTGCAGTTCCCGAATGACTACAGTGCTTGTATGTTTTTATGATTCAATAATTTTATTTTTAAAAAAAGCTTAATTATTGTTTTATTCCCTGGAGCGGATACTCGATTTCACTTTACACTATTGAAACTGATATTTTCCCACCTAACCCTCACAATCTCTAAAAATTACTGAAATTTTCTTATTTTATCACTTCCATATATTTCTGTCCACAAAACCATTAAATGTACTGACATGGAAGTGGAATTTTAGTAATCTTAGCTATTAAAAAAAATTAAATCCAAATTAAATACAAAAAAACATATTTTATTTTTTTTCTGGTTAAAATTTTTTTTAATCTGAAAACATTTTTCGTGCATTCAATATTAATCAAACCCATCACCTAGTCAGACCACCACCACCAAACCTCACTGTCACTTCCACTTAGTTAAATCCCATCCACACCACCACCCACACTAAAGTCAAGAACACCACCATCCACACCAACAACCCTACCCATACCAAATCAGACCGCCACCATCCAATCGAACCCACGAGAAACCTCACCCATACCAAATCTAGCCGCCACCGTCAAACCCAACCAACTAATCTGCCTATCGAACCATCACTGTCCATTGACCAGTGAAATCGGAGGTAGAGCGGCGAATCTGTGAGGGAATCAAAGAACGAGAGAGAGAGAGAGAGAGAGAGAGAGAGAGAAGAGCCCGAAAGTTTGAGAAGACGGGGTAATTGTTTTTAATTTTTTGTATAATAAATAGTATAGCCGTTTATATATTTCTTTTTTAAATTAATAGTATAGCCGCGCGGCTATACTAATATGCTATAGCATGCCTGAAAGGGATTCTCGTCCATTTTTTGGTTCGCGACGCATCTGATATCTGAGTTGTGCAGGATTATTTTACTGCGGCCGGCCAAAAACTCGAAATGGTAGTTATCATCTGTATATTTTTACTTGGGCAATGATTTTCAAGCGGATGAAATGCACAGCCAACTTTAACTGTTTTTCAAAACAAAAACCTCTTCTTCGACGGCCCAAACCCCTGCCTCAGGACCCATCATCCATAGTAGAGAAGATAAAGAAATGTTCAACTTTAACAGAGCTAGAACGAGTAAGTGCCTCAATGATCAAGACCAATGCTACCCAAGACTCTTTCTTCATGAACCAACTCATTACCGCCTGTTCGACGCTTTCCCGCATAGATTATGCAGTTTTAGCCTTTACCCAGATTGAAAGTCCCAATGTTTTTGTCTACAATGCGATGATCAAAGGCTTTGTTTGTTGCGGTCACCCATGTCAGGCTTTAGGTTGTTATATCAATATGCTCAGGGGCATGGTTTTGCCTACCAGTTATACTTTTTCATCGTTAATCAAGGCCTGCACTTCACTATCTGCGTTGGGGGTTGGAGAAGCTGTTCAAGGCCACATTTGGAAACATGGGTTTGGGTCACATTTGTTTGTTCAGACTTCTTTGATTGATTTTTATTCGAAGTTGCGACGAATCAGTGAATCCAGAAAGGTGTTTGATGAAATGCCTGAAAGAGACGCTTTTGCGTGGACTACTATGGTTTCATCTCATGCTCGAGTGGGGGATATGAGTTCCGCGAGGATATTATTTGATGAGATGGAGGAAAGGAACATAACTACTTGGAATACTATGATCGACGGCTATGCTAGACTTGGCAATGTGGAGTCTGCGGAGTTGTTGTTTAATCACATGCCAACTAGGGATATTATCTCATGGACTACTATGATTGATTGTTATTCTCAGAATAAGAAATTTGGGGAAGCATTAGCAGTTTTTAATGACATGAGGATGAAAGGGATCAGTCCTGATGAAGTGACTATGGCAACTGTTATTTCAGCTTGTGCCCATCTTGGAGCCCTTGACTTGGGAAAGGAGATACATCTTTACATATTGCAAAATGGGTTTGATATCGATGTTTATATTGGATCTGCATTGATTGATATGTATGCTAAGTGTGGCGCATTGGATAGGTCTCTTTTGGTTTTCTTTAAATTGCAGGACAAGAACCTGTTCTGTTGGAATTCAGCAATTGAAGGACTTGCAGTTCACGGATTTGCCAAAGAAGCACTAGCAATGTTTAGCAAGATGGAGAGAGAGAAGATCAATCCAAATGGGGTTACTTTTGTAAGTGTTTTAAGTTCCTGCACTCATGCAGGGCTTGTTGAAGAAGGCCGTAGGAGATTTTCAAGCATGACCCAAGATTATTCCATTCTTCCCGAAGTTGAACACTATGGATGCATGGTGGATCTATTGAGCAAAGCTGGATTGCTTGAAGATGCACTAGAGTTGATAAGAAGCATGAAATTTGAACCTAATGCTGTTATCTGGGGTGCCTTGTTGGGTGGATGTAAGCTTCATAGGAACTTGGAGATTGCTAAAGTTTCTGTCAATGAATTGATGGTATTGGAGCCAAATAATAGTGGTTATTACACCCTTTTGGTTAACATGTATGCTGAAGCCAAACGATGGCGACAAGTTGCAGATACACGAGCAACTATGAAGGAACTTGGGGTAGAAAAGGGATGTCCTGGGTCCAGTTGGATTGAAATGGAAAGGATAGTCCATCAGTTTGCAGCATCTGATAAATCTCATCCAGCTTCAAGTGAAATTTACTTGTTGCTGGCAGAATTATACGGGCAGCTGAAGTTTGATGCTTATGTTCCTGAACTTGGCTTTGAGTTATAGCAGTCCACTCTTCAAAATGAGAAATTGACATCCAGAGGGTAATTGGTGATTCTGGGATTGGATGGCATGGTTCTCATATTGATCAGTACCTAAACTGCAACGGTTGCAGTTTACATATCACAAGGAGAAAAGGGAATGCAAAATATACAGAGACATGCAAGAGAGGAAGATCCATTCCTCTTAGAATAATCTGTAGCCGATATGTGCTTGCATTCTTGATGTGATTTTTGGTCAGATGAAATTATCTCAGCAAATGTACTTCCATCAAAGCAGACGCTTTAAGTGAAACAGGATTTCCTGCGAGAGAGATTAATATATTTTCTTTCAAGATCGTTACAAACAAAACAAAACGAAACGAAACAAAACAGTGCTATCCCCGATGATATAAAAGTTTTCAAATTAAACGAAAGCAATAACAACATACAAAATAAAAATAAAAATTTCAAATTAAATTGAATTGCTTCTTAGCTTTTGTAATTTCGTTTCAAATTAAAATTAAAATCTTAGACTAAGGATTGGACAGGGGCCGGTGTTTTCAAATTAAACAAAAGCAATCACAACATACAAAATTAAAATTAAAATTAAAATTAAATTGAATTGCTTCTTAGCTTTTGTAATTTCGTTTCAAATTAAAATTAAAAGCTTAGACTAAGGATTGGACAGGGGCCGCGCGAACGCAGGCCCCCACTAACACAAATTATGACGTTGGCTCTCCCACTTGGGGAGACCATAGGGTAGCACCCCTCCGAAGTGCAATGGAGGTCACTAACCTAGGCCATGGGCCTTCTTGATCACCCAAAAACCCCGTCCAGGTAAGTATGTTACAACGAGTTTGGTCGACTTATTTTATACAGGCCTCATCCTCCAACTCTCCCATGCTCTGTCGATGTGGGATAAAACTAAAATAGACTAAAATAAAATCCACCAAAACAAGAACACTCTCTTTGAGTCTTTGAACAATTATGAAATATTATATGGGTTGTGTTGCAGTTTGACCCAGCTATACTTGTTCTTATCTACCAGGCCAGAAGGGTATTCAATTGGGTTCATTTCTATGTTGTGCTGCTATCTATTGAAAAATTGTTACTGTTATTTGGCCACCACCAAAGTTATCAACTTCATAGCAGTAGCTTGAGCAAATCTACAACTTCAGAAACCTTGAAACCTTGAATTTATCATTGGAACAAAGATCAAATTTGCATATTTGCGTATGAATTCAAGAGCATTTCAAACCAAATTCAAGTCCCTCCTCAGTAATATAAGCGTTCGGTTTCTTGGCTTGTTCTTACTGAAGCTTTAAAACCAAATTCAAGGGTATTTCAGTAAACTACCAAAACTAGTCCCTTTTACGCGCCCATGTCTTTGAAAAAAGAGCGTTCCAGCGCGGCAGTGTCCCGAAAGACATCTTGTTTTGGACCATAATACCCTCAGTATCCGCCCTTTTCTCTCTCTTCCGTCTTAGAGAAGCGAGAGAGAGTGTGGGTGTGTGTGTTTCAGAGCGGACCCTAAATTTCTTCTTTCAGTGTTTCGGTCTCTGTAAGAGTTAAAGACAATGGCTTTCACTTCGTTTCTTGGCAGAGTTATCTTCGCCTCTGTTTTCATACTCTCTGCTTACCAAGAGTTACTATAATTTACTACATATCTTCATTCTGTTCTTTAAATTTCCATACTTTTTGTTGATTGTATAGCATGTAATTTGTTCTTTGCAGCCAGAAAATTTCTGGGTTCCTGTTTAAACATGCTTTTAATTTGTTTGGTATGCTTTTCTGCTTGGATCTGGTTCATTTTTGTTTCCATTTTCTTGTTTTATCTTCTTAGACTGAAGCATGTATACAGATTTTCATTTTCATTTCGTTTAATTCCAGTAGAACTTTCATTGTTCAAGGGCCTGAAGTAACTTTCATCGCTACAGAGTTAGTTTCTAACAGCTATTAGTGAGAGTAGGCATCGAAAAGTGTATGCTTTTAAAAGGATATTGGCATATACTTGGTTATCATTTTGTTGCTTACTGCAATTGGGATCTTTATGGACGATTAGTTTATTTGCTTAATTATTGGGAAAATGGGTGCTATTCTAGTTAGTAATTTTTTAGTTCACAATATTAGGAAACTTAATGATCCTTTGTAGCCTGCTCATTCAATTTATTATGCTGCTGAGACATTGTGGAAAGTTTATACTTACTGCTTAAGCTTGTTCCTCAATGACATGATATAGACTCTTAATTTTGCTATCGTATCAACGTTTGCAAGTTTTATGGCTAAATATGCATCATAAGCTGATGAAAACATGTTCTTCATGTTTGTTGTATCAAAAATCTGGGGAAAGGTCTTCTTTTTACTAGTTTTCCTCCACTCCTTGTTTAGATGGGTCTAAAAAAACGCTCTGTCGTGTCAACCCATTAAAAAATTTTGTAGATGTTAAGTTTGATATATTAAAACTAAGTTTATGCACACATTTGTTCGCAGTATAGATGGCAGTTAATCAATGTAGGTGTAATATTTCTTTGTCACCAGATTACAATTTATTTCATTGAATTTTGCTTTCTTTATCTGGAACACTTCTAAATTCCTTGTGTGAGAAACTGAAGTTTGCCTTCATTAGAGAAGGATCATGGTGTATCTGGTTGTTATGAAGCACCAGTTTCACTTTAATTGTCGTTGATCAGCCTTATAGCACATGTCTCTTATGTAGTATTGTGATGTCTTCCTCTTGATAGGTTCAACGAATATGAGTCTGATGGGGGACCAGCAGCAAAGGCTTTCAGACCAAAGTTTGATGTCTTTACAAAGCATGTGCAATCTCACATTGGCAAACAAGTGCCAGAAATCAAAGTGAGGATCTCTCACTATCTCAGACATGAACACACATCTTAGTTAGCAAATTGTTGAATCAATGAAAGGAGCATGTTTTGAAACTGCTAACTTAGATGTAGAAAGGCCTCATAGTATTTTCTTGTACTATTCAAAGGGGTACCCATCCAGTAAATATAAAATCAAACAATATCTTGCACATACAAAGTCTTGAAGAAAAAGTATTAGTTGCAAAGGTCATGTCTGGTTTATTATTAGCTTGATTTTGACTTTTGTTGTGCACAGATTGCACACTTAGTTGCCGCCACTATAGCACTCAAGGGCATTGGAGGCATCCTCTTCATCTTTGGCACTTCTCTTGGAGCCTATCTCCTGGTTTGTTTTCATGCTCTGCTAATTCACGTTTCCATGTGCCATATTGGAAATTGGAACAGTTTTGATATATATATCTTTTTACTTGGTGCAGCTTCTGCATCAGATGATTGCCACTCCTATTTTATATGATTTCTACAATTATGACAACGAGGAGAAAGAATTTACACAACTCTTCATCAAATTTACACAGGTTATATATATAGTCTTTTGAATACTAGCATGGAACTATCACCAACTGCATTGTAAATTATGCCCTACTTTTCCTCTCTGCAGAATATGGCTCTTTTTGGGGCATTGCTGTTTTTCATTGGGATGAAGAACTCAATTTCTCGGAGACAACCGAAGAAGAAGGTTCAGAAAACAAAAACTTTTTAGGAAGGAATTAGCCTTAGAAATTGGGTTCATTTTGCGGTTTAGTAACTTTACCTTAAACTGATGGTTTTAGCCAGCATGTATGATTTAGGCCACAATCTTCTTTTGAACTCTTTTGTGTACTTTACTTTCATGGTAATTGGATTTGATTCTCTTAAGTCGAGCTGGTTTCAAATGATAACCTGCTTTAAAAATTATAGTAAACCTATTTATGAGTAATCACCAAATTGCACCATGAGGATTAAGATACCAGATCAAGTTAGGCATCATGCAGAACAAAGAGGGTGTCAACTTTGTGAGTTGCATGATTGAACCCAAACAATAATAATTAGAGTCTTGGTCTTCAGGCCCCCAAATAAAAAATAATAAAAAAAGGAATGTGATAGGCTGATTGCTTGTAGTTACGTAACGTATTTTGAGCCATCGATAATGTGAACTCTGCAATTAATTTCTCATTTATCAACGACTCATAATTCGTCAAGTCTCCACACACAATTGATGCTAGCAGTCTTCGAAAATAAAAACTATGAGCTTTGGTCTTTTAGTGGACAGGACCACCCCTAGCCGCCCAAAACAGCGAGTGGTTTCAAAGTATACGTTAACATATAGAAAGATGTCAAATCTCATTGATTCATAGATACTACATGCTCTCATGGACTCAGACGCGTCCTCCTCTTGAGGCTGGGATCCCATGTGAGCTTATTTATGTCACCCAACCTAATCCCGAATTAGCCATTAGGTGATCTGTCACATTGTTCACTTTTAATGAAAGATCATGTTTCTAAAATACGAACAGATGACACAATCACTAGACTTTAAAAACTTAAACGAGCCGTTAATAATCCATCGACTCGATTATTAACTTATCACTGACTTGACGTGGAGTGGTCCGAAGAAATAATGACCTAATTACAATAGTAATCCTTTCTGACTTTGTTATATTTTCAACAACTCGCATATGATGCCAAGTTAAAAGAGAAAGAGACTTCCAATTATACTCCATTATAGCAAAAAGAAAAAAGAATCAAATTGCTTTGCGTGCATTTAAAACTTTTAATCCAGAATAAATGCCAGATAGTGGTCTAGTTTGCCTTTTCCAGAGCCACGTTATCCAATCCTGAAATGTAGACAGTGCAGAATCATTTGCTTGTTTTGGAAGTGGCGATCCGGAAAAAAATGAACTTTATAGCAAGACTTTCCTTTTCTGTTGAACGGTGAGATACAGTGACCAAAACAATCTAAGGAAAAAGACATTTTTCTCTTCCAACCTTTATATTATTTGCCTTGTTAACATCTCAAGATTGTGATCTCAAGGAAAAGCCAGAACTTTAGTATCTCACTTTCTTGACCTTTTGTTTAGCTTTTTAAACTTCCTCACACAATTTTTAAATTGGTAGAAGGCATCTGGTCTTTCAGGGAATGTGAGAGCCTCTTGTGCCCCTTCTTTTTGCTTTGAAATGGCCTCCTCCTCCTCCTCCATTTCTTTTCATCTAAGATAAGAAAAAGCAGACCTTTTTTAGTTTTCAAAACTTGATCACCACACCTACCCTGCTGCTAAGATGGAAGATGGGTCACAGCCAAAATATGACAGAGTCAAGGAAGTGAAGGAGTTTGATGAAACAAGAGCTGGAGTTAAAGGCCTTGTAGACTCAGGGGTAACAAAAGTCCCAAGGTTCCTCATCCATCCACCACAGAGCCTTTTAAGTTCAACCACAGCCAATATACAATTCCAAGTTCCAGTCATAGATTTTGATGGCTTTGATCATGATTTTCGGCGTGTGCAGATTGTCAAGGAAATTCAAGAAGCATCCGAAACATGGGGTTTCTTTCAAATGATCAATCATGGAGTTCCAGACAGGGTTATAGGCAATATGATAGAAGCAATTCGACAGTTTCATGAGCAGCCAGAGGAGGTGAAGATGGAGTTGTATTCCCGAGACTCTAAGCAAAGAGTTAGATTTTACTGCAATGGAGATCTGTTGGTATCAAAAGCAGCAAACTGGAGAGATTCAATAGGCTTTGATTTCCAGGACGGACCATTGGACCCCGAGTCATTTCCCTCTGTTTGCAGGTACTTCACCTAAACAAACTTCGTTTATTTACAAGTATTGACAGTCTGACAGTATAACATATTAAATAACCTGACAGGAGATTGGTTTGATTCGCAGAGAGCCCGTGCAAGAGTACATGAAACACTTGATCAACCTAAGAGAGGTGATATCAGGTTTGTTGTCAGAGGCCTTGGGGCTTAGTTCGGATCACCTGGAACGCATAGAGTGCATGAAGACTGAAAATCTGGTATGCCATTATTACCCAAGCTGTCCAGAACCAGAGCTGACCCTTGGGGCAACCAAGCATTCAGATCCATCCTCTTTGACTGTGCTCTTACAAGACAATCTTGGTGGCCTACAAGTCCTCCATCAAGGTCACTGGGTTGATGTTCCTCCAGCTCATGGAGCTCTGGTGGCCAATATTGGTGATCTAATGCAGGTATAGGTTTCATAAAGTCAAATGTCAAAAACTTCAGTGACACGGTTTCATTCACCTCCTCTGTGTCTCGTGATAACTAGTCATGTGATGAGAAAGACAAAAGGTGTATCAAACCGTTTTAAGAAAGTTTTCCTCCTAAACTAGACTTTGAAACAGCTCTAAAAAAACATGAGAGGTGACTTAATCTTCACATTACGTGCAGCTTATTACTAATGACAGGTTCAAAAGTGTGGAGCACAGGGTACTGGCTGGAAGAGTGGGGCCGAGGATATCAGCTGCATGTTTTTTCTATCCAAGTGCTACACATAGATTTAAACCCTATGGGCCAATTAAGGAGTTTGTGTCTAACAACCTACCTATATACAGGGAAACTCATGTTGGAGAATATCTTGCCTATTACAAGTCAAAGGGATTAGATGGTAACTCTGCCCTTACTCATTTTAAATTAGCCTAATTTAATCCCTACTTTCTTTGATCCTATAGTTCAGATTATAATCCCAATTATTTTAGTTGACTTCAATTTTCTTTCTTTCATTTTTTCAACAAATCAAAGTAACAAAATGCATGCACCCTTTAGATTGAAGTTTTATCACCCAATATATTAGAAACTGAAATTTTATCTTGAAACTTGTTTCATGATAATGTAGAGAAGAAAAAAAAATCAAACTGGAAAAAGACACATGCACTAGATACTGCTAGAAAGACTATTATCCAAGTATCATCCTCCCAAACAAATGACAGGCAAATTACAACAGAACAAAAGGATAACAATAAATCGCACCTTTCTACCTCCTATGGGCTTTTCTCTCCTTTTCTTTTCAATTATGGAGGGTTCAAACCCAGACCAAAAAAAAGGGAGGGGGTTCAAATTAAAACGAAAACCGTAAATGGCAATCACAAATGACTCACAATAATTTACAAAGTAACCTACAGAGCCACTCCTGGAGCGAGACAAGCTATAGCTGTTGCATGGGGTTCTTGGGCTGCAATATTTGAACAAGGGACCACAAGATATCCATTCTGTGTATGCTTCTGTTGTTCTGCCCCTGCAGTAATTCAGAATTCAATTTTAGTTCATGAATGTAAACACCAGGTACAAACTTACTAGATAGCAATCCAGTGTGGTGGAAACATGCAAGCTTTTAGATTGTCACACGGGGACAGATATAAGCAAGTTTGGCTGTTTTTATAGGTACGTCGAAAAGCAAGTCCATTTTATAAATATCAACATTCTAAGTGTATTCATACGGTCATGACATCTTGAGGCCTAGCAGCTCATTTGGCATGAATTTTTTCAGTAGCATGTCATGCCACTGATCTTACCTCAACCACAAAACATATCCATGTCTTGTCACTACGGGCTTCTGTTACACCTTTTAAGATTGTCAGACCCAAGCTTCTGATAGCTTCTGCTATCTCAAGAAAATGACTGCATTCTTCGCACATCATCTGCATAGATCAGTCAGAATGTTTGTAAAAATGAGAATCAATTAAAGGCAAAGAAAACGTAGCAGAAAAGAAAAAAAAATTGCAAAAAGAACATATGATAAACTTCATAACTGGAGGACCGAATTAGACACAATCAAGCATAACATCTCCAGAAGTTTGTGTATAATTAAAGAAAAGACACGCTAGTATTCACAAGTATTGCATACCTCTACAACCATCTGCCCATTCTTGTTGAGGTTTTCTACCATTATTGAACAAACTTTCAGATTGCCTCCCACCTCCACTGCCCAGCTTGATCCCCGTTCATAATTAGAGGATCCCAACATGCTTGCTTCCTTGTGACACAACTGTGAATTTAGCATTATGATTAAGTAGACTAACATGTTAATTCAATAAACATTGCATATTCTTGCCAATAATTAGTTTGCAATTGCAAGTCTTACTACTGAACTCCTACTTGAAATCTGAAAAGCTCTTCCATTACATAGTAGAGGCACAAAAAAGAGAGTTATTACTCACTGTCTGCTATGAAACAGTAACGTTTATATATATATATATATATATATAAATACAATTAGTCTCTGCAGATGCTTTTACAAGGTGGAAGCTTCGGAAGAGCATACTCATAATCCAAACAGAAATGCTAACCAAACAAAGGTAACCAAATAGAGCCCACTTTGTAAACTAAAAATGAAGGTTGAAAGTTGTCAACTAATCCCAGGCCATAAAATACTTGACCAAAAACATTTACCTTTGCATCAGCACACTTATTAAGTTTGTCTGCATGCTTAGTGATGCTTTGTAGAAAGAGCATGTGCTTGATTGTACGCTCCAGCAGTGAATCAATACTACACTGTAAAATTACCATGAAACGTTTAGCATATATAGCATGAATCTACAAATTTTTCAAGTCCAGAACCCAGACAATAGTTTGGAAAGTCACCTTTGCTCCATTAGGTATTAGCTCCCGCAGCTCCTTGATACGATCTTGGATCAATTGCCTGTCCCTTGGCCTAGGCCTAGAATTCTCACCAGGTCTAGCCCTCTTCTTGTTGTTTTTAGATGGTCCAGAAGACCTCTCCAGCTGCTCACTACAAGCACTAGGACAAGGCGAGGAAAACCATTTGGGGGATATCACCCCACATACCCCTGATGAGCTCAAGCATTGTTGTGTTTCCTCTGCTATAAGAGAGGGCTGATCAATGGAATAATTTTCTGAATCAATTGTATGTGTAGTATGACTAGAAGGCTCTGGATACTTTTCAGTTGTCAACAGAGACTGCATTGATTTACAGAATGATTTTTCACTTTTAACATCATTGCCACTGTGGCAAACATTGGCCACCACTGCTTCAAGAAGATGCTCTTGGCAAGAATCAGATGTCAACTGGCCAGTTTTCATCCCCTCAGGCATCTCAATGGTAATTCCATCTCCATTCTTCTCTGCTTCCCAATCAAAATAGTTACCCTTATTCAGAAAAGCTGGCCCAAGTGCTTCATGCAGCTCACAGCCAGCAGGGAATGCCATAGATGTACTAGATGTGTCCAAGTGACCTGATTCAGTTTGAAAGTCCAAGTTTTCCAGGTCCTTCTGAAACTTAACATCTGAGGGTTCACTTACTTGCAACACCTCATTTTGGTAAAAATCTACCCTGTCTACATTAACCCTGCCATGTGCAGCAGAGTTGAGAAATGTTGCAGATAAGTCTGCAGAATCACATAAATTAACATTTTCTTGAACAGAACCATGTGATAATGGATTGGCATAGATCATTGAAGTCATCCTAGTATCTTTGCAGCCACTACTCTCCCCTTTAGACTTCGTCCTATCAAGTAATTCCACACCTACTAGTTTGCTATGCTCTGAATTTAAGATACTTGATTTTGACTGATGTAGTTTGGCACTCTCAAGACACCCTAAGTTAGATGACTCAAGTCCTCCATGCTTATTGACCAGTTCAACTGCCTTTTTCAGACAATTTTCAGGCAGTGGAAAAACGTAAGAACTATCACTGTCTTTCCCAATATGTGGGAAAACGGACGACCAAACATCTGGGCATTCTTCTCTGTTTGCGGCTTTATCTAAATTATGTAGGCAATCAGTAATAACCCCTGAAGCCAAACCTTTAGGAGATATACTTGTCTGAGGAAGAGAGAGAGAGAGAGAGAGGGAAAAAAAAAAGAGGATACCCAGGGGTCAGTGTCCTAATTTTTGTGTCACAAGAAGGAAAATCATAAACTTGCTTCATATATGCACATGCACAAACTAATCAACGCATGCACAGACAGACATAGTGAGAGAGAGAGAGAGAGAGAGTTACCAAGCATGCTGAACTGTTTATGCCAGATTGCAATGGATTACGGATTTGCTCTACTGGGGAATCTTGAAGTGTACTAAAAACATCTCTTATTTCAGATACCAGCTTCACATTTTCAATGACCTGCACCTCTCAAATGGAAAACAGAAAAGAAAAATAAATCTACATTTGAAAAATGTATAGATTGCAAGCATAAATAACTTATTTGTGACAATGAACATACAAACCATATTTATGACACATACAGTTTTAAAAATTTCAACCGCTTGTGGTCACAATGGAATAATAACAAAATTGCATGGACTTGGACAGTAAAGTACACAAATCATTTTCATAGCTATAACACCGCAACAAAATTAGGAATTAACCACATGCTATATCATACAGAATTACAGATGTTTATTTTGTAATCCCATATGATAAGAAAACACACAAACACCAACTCAAGCATTACTTAAAGTATTCATTATTCACTCAAAAGAAAGAACTTACTTTATTTAAAGAACCAAGCTGTACAACTCCATGTGGAACAGCCACAACGACAATGGTCTACAGGAAATGGCAAATAATTCGATTTAGCATGACATGCAGAACATCTAGTAGAAATCATAATCATAACAAACAAATGCTTATATAAGAAAACATATATGTTAGTGAAAGCGTTCAAAAACCCGAACAAATTTGCATTCAGCATCTAACCAGCCATCAACCTACCACCCTATACAAAAAGACGAATCCTAATCCATATCTTGCCTTGCAAAGAAAGAACTTCGAGAAATGAAATTTTATGGCTAATTTTCATTCAGCTCAATGAACAGAGCAAAAGGATTCTACGAGTGAAGCAGATGCCTAAACCAAACTAATAGACAAATAAGACAATATCGCAGGCTATCCCATGATTATTCATGTTTTCTCATATATGACTATGCCCAGAAGAAACAATAGTAATTAAAAAGTGCATCACAAAAGCAATACCCTCATCAATTCTTAATTTATTTCCAATTTATCTGTCCGGGCAGGGTAGTATCTCATCAAAAAAAAAAATTAAAAGGACAGAGAGAACGAGAGAGAGCAAGGCATACCCTTATGCCAGCTGAAAATTGACTTTGCCACCCATCACAGTACTGAAAAACACCCAAAGCATCAAAGCTTAATAAGAATGAGTGGCAAACCAATTAAATATTAGTACTGCAGAGCAGCAACCGTTTATCAATATCACACACTTTCAAAGTAAAATACGCTAATTATTATATTTCTGTATAATAACAAAACATTTACCTGGAATGGTGAACAGTTATTCTTAAATAGATTATCAGCAAAAATCCACTGATGCTTCCTGGTAACCGCCACTTGTCCAACAATCCTGAAAAGGAAAGTAATAATGCAAATTTATGAGCTCTTGTTCTTTTCCTGTTTCTTTCCGTGCTATCCAGCTACCGTAATCAGAATGATGGTAACAGCAAATATTGAGAAAGAGCAAAGCTTAGTACATAAATACTGGAAATGGTTTTTCAATTTACAGTTTTTCAATCCAAATTTTAAGAATGGCCATTATGGTAAACTTGAAAGCGACAAGAGTAATTACCCTTCTCCCAGAGTATATACATGATACGACATTTTTGCCACAGCAAGCCCAAGGGGGTCGTGTGAGTAATGGCTGTCGTGCAATCTATCTAGTGTCTTATTGAAGCACCTATTCTCAGAAGAATCATGTTGCTCACAGTTGTCATAGTAAGCATCCTCCCAAGTCAATACCCTGCATAATGCAGCATACCACATATCAAAATATTATGTGGGACATGAAATTGTGTACAACTCAGTAAAAGGAGCCAGAAATCTACATGCAAATGGAAATTTTCTCGAAAACTACACCTAATTTGATTATTTACGGACTGAAATGAATAGCAGGATTCACACTCTAAATTTATACTGAAGACCACAGATATTTGGGAAACTAACATGACTTAGGTACCAATCCTAGTGCAGCTCTGCTTTCTGTACCATTCTAACCTGCTTGAATTAAATTTGCTGATTCTCGACCAAAAAGAAAAAAAGAATACTTCAAAATCCATAATAGTAAGCAAGCAAATTAAAACTCACATTCGAGCTCGATACTTGAGTTTCCAAAAAATGGCGTAGTTCCACTCCGTATTGAAACAGAGGCTTCTTAGTACATGGTGCAAGTCAGAAGTACCCATCTCCTCCGAAGTCCAAAGCTTTTTCCTAAACAGCCTCTAAACAACACCACCAAACAAATAAAACCCCACAGCCTCCCCAAAATTTTAATTTTGGCGCGAATTTCGTGCCCTAACTTCCCCTGTAGGAGCCTCTACCCGCCTGCTTCCTCCGTAACCCTGCTCGCCGCTTTATTGGCGGTCCTACCGCCGCTAATAGCAGACGATCCGTCCCCATCCCCTCACACTGTTAAGGCGATCACAGTACTACGCCACCAATACCTCACTTCCTCAACGACCTTCACAAACTCACAATCCCAAACCCTAGAAATAGAGAGTAAGAGGCCACGGTACAGTGGGGTATGTTACAGTCCCTGCATTCAGCCATGAACTCGTACGGGAACTTCAAAAAATCTATAAAATAAAATGGAAGAAGAATTAGAAAACAAAGAAAACGCTCCAATAGCTTCCAGATGAAACTAAACACAGAACGCGATCGATTTGAACCCTAGCGTATGTCCGACGACATGGATCTCTCAGAAAAAAAAATTTTTGAACTTTTTTCTGCGAATTATTTGGATGAACTGTACGGATTTCTTCACAGAGAAAGGTTTAGATTGAACAGAACAGAACGGTTTAGTGTGGCGATCTAAGAGTTCAGCAGAGCTTGTCAGATTGCTGAGAGGGAGCTTTAGCTGAGAAGATGTATATCAAGTGCAGCAAAATTCAAAGCTCTGAGCTGCATTCGCTGCCATTTTTAACGACAATGCAGCTTTTTCGCTTTTTCTAGAGAGGGAAAAAGCAGAGAGAGAGAAGCTTCAATGGCTTTTTTCTTTCAGAGAGAGAGAGTATGTGTGTGTGAGAAAAAGCAGAGAGAAAGAAGGCGCTTTTGGTGCGAACTGCGAATGAGAGAGAAGTCACCGAGAGAGAGGGGGAGTGATTTGTTTATAATATAAGGAGAGTTTACCTTCGCACGCTGTTCATTTTAGCTTTTCTTTACGAAACGTGCACAATCGTTGATATAATGCGCCGGATGATGCTACACTGCGCATCCTTGGTGACCGCTGACCACTCAGCACTAACCCCCCTTATGTGTAATTACCCTACGCATCCTGCGCAGTTTAGCAACCCCCACCTTTGTGTCTTGAGTGTGAAAGATGGGAAAGGGTGAAAAAAAATGGTGGCCAAGGAGAAAAGAAGAGTGATGAGGAATTTGGCCATTGGGTGGGGGGTTGTATTATTGAGTTTATATATAATTTTGGAAAAGGAAATCCATTGATCCCAATTTTGGGCTATGAGTACACTTTCTAGGTAGTGTCCTTGATGGCCAACAACATGATGCCCATGTGAGGAAATTGATCCTTATCTTGCCCTCAATTTTCAAGGATACAATCCCCACCTCTTTTCTTAACCAACAACAAAATAAAATGAACTCATCCCTCTCCCTCTATTCCCTTTTGTTTTTACAATGATTTTATTGCCCCAAAGTTGTGACATCTTACACCCCCTCATTTTTCAATGTTCCCTTTCATACATTAACATTTTTCCGTCCAAACTATACGGTATATGTTACCACTTCTTTTTTAGTTTGGTGGTAGTTGTATCCGATTAGTTAACGAATGTTTCAAGTTCGGCTCATATAAACATGAGAATGATACATATTATTGAGTATCCTATCATCAAGCGTTATTTGAATAGTAACAATGATACTTGAGAGCATTTCCCAAGTATTAAAGGCATAGTCGACAAAATCTATTATGTTGATAACTATAAGTAAAATGTTGTCAAATTATCCATCTTGGTGACTAAACACATTAGGTATGTTGAAGGATTTGGTATTATTAAAACACAGAAGGAAAACCAAGTTTGCCATCGGATGCTCATCGAGTGCCATTCAAGCATGATGATAATGCTTTCCATAAATCCAGAGAGCTCAAATTGGGTTCAATTTATGGAGGTGTGGCCAAATGTTTGGCTCTTCCTTGGTTTTCATGACATATTTATGAAGCAGCCTTTCCTGCACTGCACCAACTGGACATCATTTTTCGAATCCCATGATTTGTGTTTTAACAGTGCGATATTCGGTGATTATTGTCATTGATTTATAATCATTTTCTCTTTCTTTCTTTTCTTTTCTTTTTTTCTTTTTTCTTTTTGCTTTGTTTTATATTTAATTTGTATTTGCTAGTCATGAAGAGAAACAAACAAACAAATGAAAAAGAATAAAGGAACAAAATGATCGCATTGTCTGTTTTTTTTTCCCCAATCAATCATTAACAATTGAAATCCTTTATTTATCATCTCTAATCAAATCAAATGATCTTTTTTTATGGCTTTAATCCAACAAATTTAATTTGTCGGAAGTTATCCGAAGGGTTTTTCACCTAATTTCACTAGCAATACTAATGGCCATTAATCATAGGTTTTTTTATATTTTATTTAATATATTTTATTTTTTTTACTTTCTGAAAGTTATTTTTCTGTTGTCACATTTGACCCTTGTCAATGTTCTTTAACTTTGTAGATTTGAAATGCTTTGGACGGTTAATAATTTTGATTAATTTTCTCAAAGAATTAGTGTCTATGAAGGCTTAGAGGCTATGAAGTCGAGTAGGTTATGCATGAATAAGCGCTGTTAGTGATGCAAATGACATATCATTTTCCAATGTATAAAGAATAGTGAAAGGAATGAGTAGGACTGCCTATGATTACAAAGAGACAAAAGGAGAATGATAGCTTCCTCCCATATCAAACATGATATATTTGATTTGAGTATTTGTCCCATGCTAGGGAAATGGAAGTTTTGAATTAGCGTTTAAAATTCTCAAACATCTTTATCCGATTTATTGTTAATTAATTTTGAGTTGTATATTCTAATTGTATGTAGATTCAACTCCGTATGATAAGCTGTCGATTGAAATCATCAAAAGAAAAAAGAAAAAAATCCACATAGTGTAGTGATAAAGTGATAAACACAAAGCAAGTTGTAAATTCAAACATTCTAAATTTCATTATTCATTCTTCAAGGACTAAAGGCACTCAAGCTTATTTGATACATAAGTTTTTTTTTTTTGTACAAATGATTACTGGTGACGAAAGTCTTTGTATTGTATCCATCAAGGGCTTATAACTCTTGCATTTGAGAGCATTACTTCAACACCTAAAGTTAAAAGTTTGAATCCTCTCTTCCCGTTGGCTGCTCTTATAATCGAAAAAGTAATCGATAAGAGAATGGTGATTGAAATTTTTCTTGTCAAAAAAATTAAAAATGATAGAGAAAGATAGTGTGAAAGTTTTGAAATTGCATATATAGATTCCAAAAGGGACCTTTTCATTGCTTTCTCTTTTCTTTCTTTGACAGAGTTGGGAACCAAGATCATCCCAAGTAGATCTAGTAGCTTAGCTTTTTACTAACATGTAATCTATCAAGGTGATTCCTTAGTCTCCCTTATCATGAGTATTATTTTGATCTGCTCTCTCTCTCTCTCTCTCTCTCTCTCCACAAGTCAATATCGACGGGCGTCAATGTGGAAGCTCCATTTGAATCCAATGCTACATTATGGAGAAAGATATGTCACACTAGTGGCCATTACAATTTACATTAATAAATTGTCCTAATTTATTCTTTAATTTAGCCAAAAATATAAAGCAGGAGCAGCCAGATAAATAAATAAAAGTGCATATCTTTCTTTCTCTCTTTTTATCTTGGAGGCTTGTCAACTTGCCAAACTCTATGAGGACCCATTTGTGGCCCTAACGAATCAAGTGAAAGAGAATCCTATGATGATTACGATTTAAATTTTTGATTTTTTAGATTAACTAACTTTTCATATTGTTTAATGCGAGATTCATAATTACATAGATTAATTTTAACTTTACAAGCCGACGGATTAAGGAAAAAAAGAAAGAAAAGCAGAATGCTTGTTTAATCAAAATATATTACTATGAAATGAATTTTCCTTTTTTTTTTTTAATATATGAATATAAATTTACATTTTTTTTTGTTACAAGCGATATTGGAAAGAGGGGGATTCAAACAAGGGACATCCGGTACAGGAATAACTCCTCTTAACTACTTAAATTACAAATCTCTTACAATATCTCTTTTGGTCGAAATATCTCTTACAATATCAGCTCACAAAGTTGGTGCAACATAAAATGTTCAATCAGTCGAGTAGTCAACTAAATAATGATATTTCCATCCCCAATAGAAACAAAATAATGTTATATTTTCTTTGAAAGTTTTGTTTCTTCAATAATGATCACTAACCATTAAAAACAAGCAATTAAATAAATAAATAACTATTAGTAAGACTGATAAGAGTCCAAACCCCAAGATACATAATCTTTGGAAAAGTTACTTTCGGAGAATAATAATGATACATATTTTATTTCAAAAAAAAAAAAAAAAAAAAAAAAAAAAAAAAAAAAACGAGAGCGGATTGAGTCTATTGACCAATGTATGTATGGGAAAGTCAAACACGATGTGTCTAATAAAATAAGTTACGTGCCAAAAAAGTAACACCCCACTCACCAAGGAAGGTACAAAATGATTTCAGGCCACAAGTATATTTTGGTAAGATTAGGACCTAAGAGATACATCCAACTTTCCAGCTTTCCTACTTGTGCACTTGAAGCTTGAAAGATAAGGTGGATTTAGTGGCATTTTTCATTCATTAAGCTACTAAAAATTTGTTGATTATAGCACAACAAACTTCCGTCCACGAGATTTATATTCAGAATATCCGAATCTCCTTCAGTATAGTAAATGTTGAGATGCAACTAAACGAAATGGTGATTGGCTACTTTAAATTTGGAACTTATATCGCTCAAGTGGCGATACTCTCTCTTGAGTATCTGTTATATAGGTACTAACAAAATCTTTGTATATAAAAGCTTTGTAGAGTGGATTGAAGTCCATAACTAGGGCTTTTGCAGGCTCAATATGGCAGGTGCTAGAAGGATGGATGAAGCTGGTGACTGTGGTCCTTGAAACCTTGTTGTTTGTCACAACTCTGTGGTCTGCACTGCTCAGTTTCCCATTGCTGATAATCTGCAACACAAATTCATGACAGAACTTTTTTTTTAATTGCATAGGGACTAAAAATGGAAAAAATTACTAAAAGGAGTTAGATATGTATGTGTGGGTGCAGAACCTGTAACATGTGACCTATATTAACCACAAATGCATTGGGGACAGGCTCAACAGCAAGCCATTGCTCATCTTTCAAGACTTGAAGCCCACGAACTTGTTCTTGGAGAAGAAGAGTTATGAGGTTCACATCACTGTGTTTGGGCAATCCCAAGGTTAAGCTTGGGTCTGGACATGGTGGGTAAAAATTTGTAGCCATATCGACTGAACTTGGCTGAGCTTACCCTCAAAAAATCTAGATTTGAGGCCTAACCCTTCACAGATAAGATCCAGAAGACACAAACTCAACTTCCTCACCTCCACAGAGTAACTTCCAAACACCTCTCTCCGAAATTGCAGAAGAAAAAAAAAACAGAAAATGCACATCTTAAGTCTTTGATGTTGTTAATTAATGGTGATTTAAAAATTAATGCATGTTTTGAACGGGGGATTAGCATTAAACATACTGATAACTAGCCGGTTTTTGAGGTCAGAAATCAATATGTTCCTCTAGAGGATGACAAGGGTGTCTCAAAGTGTCTCTCCAGTAATGTACCTGCTCCCTCACATAGTCAATGCTGGTCTACAATCTGCAACTTTGCCTAGCATCTTCAGAATACAAGCTTGCTTTGTCTTCAGAAGGCAGCTCAAAGAACTCCTTGCCCCCATTCATTACATTTGCAGCAAATTGTCTGGAACCCCATGATTAATCAGCTGCATTTGCCATCACAAAACTAACTAAGAAATAGTTATTCAAACAAACCCACAAAATAAAAAGATACAAAAAGAATGCCAAACCTGGAAAAGTCCAAATTCTTTAGCAGCCTCTGTAATTTGCTTGATCAGCTGGGCTTGTCAGTACCAAGATGATGAAAATCAATGACTGGGATGTTCTCAAATATAGAAATTTGCACATTTCCGGTTTTAGTTCCAGGTGGCAATATGTAAGATTCAGGTACAGATTGCAAGTCACTTCTGTTTGATGTGAGCTTCTCCATTTTTCCAAAGCAAGTTCAAATGAAAATGTCCTTAAATTTTCAGCTAGTTTTTTTTTCCCTATCAGTACCAAAATATATATATTATTTATGGGAGAACAATTTTCACATAGTAAATCTTGAACCCAAATAAGAACAAAGCTGAGCTCAGTGGAATCAGAAACCTTAGATTCGTCACCCACAACAGTACAAAATAACCATTAATTTGTTTCTTTCTTACATGGCCTAACCAGCCATGGCCAACAACCATGTTTTAATTTGTGTGCAGCCTTATCTTGGAGGGTCATGGATTCTAGCTGCAACCCTCGCCTGGCTATTGTGACAGAGGTGACAAGTGTCAGCATGACAATAATTTAGTGAAAATAAATAGGCTGGATCTGCAAGCAATTTTGTTTAAGAATATTTTGATAGTAAAATATGCTTCTAACCTTGCAGCATCTTCATTGTTTTTTTGTTTTTTATTTTTAGGTTTATATATATATATATATATATATATATATATTAGGTACATATGAGGACCCAGAGGCCCAAAAACAGAAAAACTCACATCAGTATATCCCTGGCCCGATTAACACCTCAAAGATCATCAGCTAGTAAGCCCAAGATAGAGAGGCTTCCATTTTAATGAACTGTGAGTTCATCTATTACCAATTTGGCAAGCATTTTTACAGCTATGTAGTTCATTTCCTTAGCTAAATTTGCTCTATCTTCTGTTTTTCTGGTGAACTTGGTTTTTAATGGACAATTGAATTAGAACTTAATCATAGCCAAAATAAAAAAGATGATCCAAATTCTTTAGGATTTGAGGGTCGTGAAACCAAGTAGCCCCCAACTAACTTGGAAAGAAAAAGAGAAAAACTTTAGGGACTTTTAGGTATCTAAGTCCAAAATGAACCTATATATATGCACAAAATATAGAATGAATTCAAACAAAATACATCAACTTGTACTGGTACAAAAATCTCTCAACAAAAAATTTATGTAGTCTTCAATCCATGGACAAGCATGCTTGTTTTGTTCCTTCACTTCTTCTGATGTACAACTTGATAAGCATGCTTTGGTTTCCACTCTCATCCAATTTTCTCTTAAAACCTTTGCCATGGCCCATGCATGCATGATATGTAAACATCACCAACCTTGAGGCCACCTTTTTTGAGGATCCAATCTTGGGAACCATGACTTCTTTGAATTTGAACCCAGTGTAGTAGTAGTAGTAGCAGCAGCAGTCTTCCTCTTTGGTGTGAACAAAAGCTTCAAGATAAATTGTTTTCTGCTCCCGCTCGGCGTTGGAGGACATTGTTGTTTAGATGCAGGAGACTTAGGCAGGTTGTTGAACTCATCATCAGCTGGGAAGATCTCGTCGCGTGTTCGAATTGTGTTGAGCCTCAGATACTTCTGTTCAAGTGACTCTTTTGGTATGTTTCTTGCTAACAAGGGAGAAGCACCACCCCAGTTGTTTGCGGCCAACCCCAATGATGATGGGTGTTGGGGTGTTCTAAATTCCAGCAAGTCTCTCTGCCTCATATCTGCCTCCCTCTAATTCCCAGCCTTCCAATGTGATGCTCTTTGTGCTGGCATCTTGGGGATCTTTTTATTGTAGCTGTAAGAAATTAAATCCCCAAAGCTCCATTGGTTTCTTCACATCCAATTATATTAGTGATTAATTAGTAGTTACTTTACTAAGCCGGCCTCTCACACACTCAATCACAATCTGTCTTACAAGTTTGCTGGGTCCTGCAACTGCAATATAGTTACATGTGGAACTTCATTATGTGATGTATGCATATACGAATTATACGATATATATAAGATCCATCCATATATACACATACAAATTATACTATATATATATATATATATATATACGGTCCATATGTAAAGAAAAATTCAGTCACACTACTACATATGGCCTTAAATTTTGATGGTTTTTGTCTTTGATTGAGGAGGGTCCAAATGGTAACTTGTGATTCAGAAGGGTTGAGAATTGTTGGAGACAAAAGGGGACGATTACTTCAAGAACTTGGTGATGTAAACGTCCATTTGAGCAGACAAAAATGGTGCAGATGCCAACAAAAAAGGAAACTACAAAGTTATTTCCTAGTTGGTTGGTCCTCACTAAATTTTGTTGTTCTTTCTTTTTTCTTTCCTTTTGAATTCTTGGGATTTTTGTTCCTGCAACCTATAAAGGATTGTTTTGCACTGCAGAAGAAGTATACATCAGAAAGATAGAAGAAATCAGGTTTAGTTTTCTATGCAAACAAAAAGATTTGAGGGAAAAGAGAGAACCACCAATTTCCAACAGGAAGAACAATTCTGATTCTCCACAGCACACCACGTGCTATAATGAAAGCTAAATCACTAAAAGAAAGATTGCACAAAAGAATCGTTATGTGTCAAGGGATTAAGCATCTGGAAACAAAGTAATTCGCTGCATCAATAAACTGAAGGGCTAATATAGTAGTATACATGTAATATACTAGAAAACCACATTATAAGCCACTAATATACCTGTGGAGTATATTCCTGTTCGCCACAGACAACCCGCGGCCAAAGGTGTTGGCCACTGTTGGCATGTCACGGCTAGGGAAACTATGGCTTATGGCCCTTTTTCTAGCAGTGACAATACATCAGTTTGCTTTGAACTATTTTAACTGTTTCTGATTTCTTTTCAAATATTTCACCATAACTGTTTTAAGCTTAAATCCTACATCCTACATCCATTATTAATTCCTTTATAATTTCTAAATTACTTTCAATACATACATATATTAAACATTCAAATATCCACAAGTGTTTGTGCTTTCCACTATGTTCGTCCACACATGAATCAAGCACTCGAAGAATCTTGTAAGAAAAATTCAATACTAATTTAATGACATTCACCCTTTTTCAATTTAATATATCAAATAACACATTCATTTAATCTGACAGAAACCATTTAATATAACATATAATACACTAGAATATATAGGACTTTTCTCGCTTGTTTAGTTCTGACAGACCATTTAAATTTTTTTTATTCAGGCCAAAGAAAAATAAATAAATCTTATTGAAAAAAATAAAGAGGCTAGGCATTTCGTCAAAACAGCTTGGCTCCTAAGAGGAACAGAAGGGGGGCACTTGCGGCAAGGCTTGAAAAGCCAGGGGAAAACTTCAGTGAATGCAACCGCTTCCGCGCTCTATGTGACTCCGCTGCCGGTTTATTTATGCATCTGCTAAAGAGACAGTTGAAAAAATATTGGCCATTGCACTGATTTCAGGAATATAATAAGTGCAGCCCATCTAGCACATTGAAAAGAATAAAACCATACTTCTGCTCTGTCATTTTCACAGCAAAAATATCATGGTCAAGTAGGAATTTAACCAAGAACATGATACTCTCAACATGCAGGCATAACCAAAACAGAATTCCTTTCAATGCTTTGATTATAAACAGGCAAAGAGTAGCAAAAAAATATGTTGCAGAAGATCAAGCTATGGCACCAGTAGTATGTCCATACATGGTCTACATGAGATTCAAGCCACATCTTCTCATGGTTTTGACACAGATCGGCTATACGTTTCTCTACTTTATAACCGCTGCATCCTTCGATCACGGGATGAGCCCTCATGTCTTTGTAACCTATAGACATATAGTAGGTGGCTTAGTGATGTTTCCATTTGCCTATTTTCTTGAAAGGTAAATGACTGAGGCCCTCATGCCTTTATACATGCAACAAATAAGTCTCATCATTCTGAGGGTTTACCATTTCAATTTCTTTATTTGTTTTCCTGCAGAAAAGTAAGGCCAAAGTTGACACTAGCATTGTTTCTGGAGATATTTGTACTTTCTCTGCTAGGGTAGGGCACATATTTTTCTTCCAATTAACATGAAATGAGATATTGATCCTTGAAATTATCTGATGCAGGAAAAAACTAACCTTTTTCTCTTGATGAAAAACAGGGTTAGCTTAACCCTTAATATATATTTTGCAAGCTTGAAGTACACTTCTCCGACCTTTGTCACATCAATTGCTAACACCGTTCCATCCCTGACTTTTCTAATTGCTGTCATACTCAGGTGGGGGCACTAAGTGTTCATGTATACCTGGGAGATAAGTATACATCCTTCTCTTGCTTTTGACGAACTTTTTAATACAAATTTCATGTAGGCTGGAGGCTGTAGACGTTATGAGTCCCCATGGAATAGCTAAAGTCTTCGGAACCTTACTATCTTTGGCTGGGGTCATGACCATGACCTTGTACAGAGGACCTGCTGTGCAAAGCTTCCCAGGCGCTTCAGTACACATCAGAAGTGATTCTGTTCACAAAAACTGGACGAAAGGATCGATCCTAATTGTTGCGAGTTGTGTATCGTGGTCCATATGGTTCATAATGCAGGTATTCACCATGATAATCTCATTGGATGTACTGGTTTTTCTATCAACATATCTTTATTAACCTTGTCCAAGACCATGCATGCATTATCGACACTGGAAACATTCTGATAAAAAAAAAGACCATAAATGATAAACTAAGAAAGAGTAGAATGATACAAGGGAGTTCATTTACAGTAAATATTGTGCTACTCGTAGGGAATCACATTGAAGAAATATCCTGCACAATTGTCTCTAACAACATGGATAAATTGTATTGGGGCAGCACAATCGGCTGTTTTCACAGTAATTATAGAACACAAACGGGCAGCTTGGAGCATTTCGTACAACAATGAGTTCTGGTCTATCCTATATGCTGTAAGTAAAATTATGATATGAGTAGAAATTCTAATTTATTAGGTAGCTATTAATATTTAATTGTGTATCTTCTGATGGTGAACAAAAACAACAGGGAATTGTATGCTCAGGTATCACAATCTTCGTACAACTGTGGTGCATAAAACAAAAAGGACCTGTTTTTGTGACCATGTTCAGTCCCCTTGCAACATCATTGGTGGCAGTTATGGCGTACTTCATTCTTGGCGAAACACTGCACGTTGGCAGGTAGAATCACAGTTTATGCCACAAACGCGCGCACACGCACACATGCACACACAGACACACCCTCACTCTACTTAAGCCGATGTCTAAGTTGATATTTGGCTTACCTCAGAATACTTGGAGCAGTCATTATCATCATTGGACTATACTTGGTTTTATGGGGCAAAGATATAGATGAAAATCATAGCAGGCCCCAAGATCAAGCTATATTGACTAGTGATGAGCTGAAGAAACCCAAGATACAAATGGAACCTTCATCAGAATCAAAGAACGGACCTTGAGAAGAAAGGTGCAATTGTTGGTTGAAGATTATGCATCCTATGATTCAGAATAATGTAATGGAAAGTAAAACACTTCGTATTGAGCGCTGGCATGTTAAGGTCGATCAGTAAGATCCAAGATGTATTATATTCTGCTTTGAAGTTCATGGGAAGAGGCATGAAATATTCAATTGTGGTTAAAAAAAGGCCTCTTAGAAATGGCAATTGAAAACTTGCACATCTCAATCAGTTCAACCAAGCCTTTTTTTTAAAAAAAATTTGGTGCTGCTTAGGAATTTTTTGCATTGATTTACAAAAAAGAAAAGAACACCAAAAAATGCAAAAAGGAAATGGATATTTCTATAATATTGTTGCTAAATAACAATCTTCACAAAAGCCTTCATACTAACTACATGATTAGGCTACACGACTAAGCCACCCAGATTTACTTTAAATGAACAACTAATTAACCAAAACATATATGAATGGGGAAATTGCACATCACCCCTAAATTTTATTCTTCCAGTAACCTTAAAAACACCTAGCATTCTCCAGCTACTTTGCGTCTTCAAGCCGTGCACGTATGGATTCAGGGTTTGAAATCTTATTAATCCTGCAAGAAGAGGGACACAATGACATCAAACACTTAGATCAAGTTTCTACTTTTTTTAATGGAATATAATATATATTTACACTAGAAACATACTATATTTCTGATTAAAAAGAAACTTACTTGACCAAAAGATATCTTCCAGGTGCTAAATTTTCAGAAATCCATTCCGGAACCAGTTCAAGCAACAACTTAAGTTGCTCTTCAACTTCCCCTGTGAAAGAAAAAACCATTAAAAGGAATTCAGCCTCAATTCATGCTTCCATCCAGTGGGAAATTATCTGTTTTTGTATATAGATTACCTTCATCAACAATATCAGAATGGCTAAAAATGATCTTGTCAACAAGATCCTCTTTTTTCATAAAAGAATAGTTCGTTGATTGAAATAAGAAATGAATCATATTGAAGAGTTCAGGAAGGCTGGAAATCATCTGTCGCCGCCTCTTTGCTAGCGAGATGGCCTTCCTCTCCTTATCCCTAAGCTGCAAAGAGATATATGGATACTTCTCAAAATTACAGTTCATTATGTTCATATCCAAGTAGACATAAAAAGGGAGAATTCATGATAGACATACTGATTGCAAAAGATCCTCTGGAAGAACATCGAAAACATCACTATCACTTGATGCGTCATCCAGAACAACTGCTTCTTCCTCGAACATGTTATTCTTCACAGGTGTATTAAATGTCAGTGACCTTGAGCATGGAGGATGCCTAACCAACTTGTTTGGCGAGCTTGTAGAAATATCATCTGGGCTTGACATTTTATTCTTCATAGGAGTATTAAATTTCAATGACCTGGAGCATGGAAGATGCTTAACCAACTTGTTCGGCGAGCTTGTAGAATCATCATCAGGGCTCATATAACATCGCTTTGGTGGTTGCAATGCAGGTGTGAGGGTCATCAACCTGGCTGGAGTTGAAGCAAGCTTTTCTGGAGTCAACGTAATACTAGCACTTGTTCTGGGCAAAACATCATCATCTTTTATGGGCCATATCTTTTTGGTTGGAGTTGCAGGCGCTTGACCATACGATGAAGAAGCAGTTTTAGTTTCGTCAATGAAGCAAACTGCATCGAGGTTTGTATTTGGAAGTGAAATATTTGGAGCTTGGACGTCAGTTCTTGTAACTTCCTGTGAAGACTGCATTTGAAAAGACTGAGACAGATAAGCTGCTATTGCTGGTTGCTGATTTTTAGGCAATTCAACTGATGTCTTAATCACCAGTGACCGTTTGGGAGTGTGGTTTATGTTAGAATTCAAATCTTCCTTTGACTGATTAGATGGCATTGGATGCGTCTCATCTGGAATTTCATCACCCCGAAGGCAGATTGTTGATACTGCTGGTTGCTCAACCTCACCAGGACATGAAGATGAGGGAAACTTGACCCTATCTGAATGCATAGACTGCTTCGCAACATTGAATGGATGGGGCAGAGTTTCTTCAGGAATTTCATAATCCTGAACAGGTATTACGAATTCTTAGATCACATAGCATTCACAGTGCAGTTCAACAAAAATATAGACAATATGATAAAATTAAAAGCTTGAAGTCCCCAGTAGTGAAGCTTGGTTCCCACTTAGGAAAACTAAGCAAGTTAGATATTTGAACATCTAATGTAGGAAAGGGTTTCGATTACCCTTAAACCCTGCTGTGTTATATTGGAAATGAGTATATGCAGGGTATATACCTCAGGATGAGATTTTGAAATATCCGCAAGCCGTTTCCAGAAGGCCTTCCTCAAATGCATAATTGCACCACCACCTTGAGATTTCAACATGCCATTATTCTCCACTGCAACAATATTCATGCTAACATGAAGATCCGGCTTCCTACGACAGGTTCGCTCATCCCACACAAGCAATTTCTTTATCTCAATCACCTCAGGTAAAACAAACTTCAGCTGAGCCAAGTGACCATATGTAAACCTCCTAAAATGAGACAAACAAAAGTCCATCACTTTCTATTGACTTGTTTCATTTCTTCAGAAACCAATCAACACGTTAAAGAGATGTCTTTTTCTTTTTGCTTAAAGAAAAAATACCTCTCCGTTAAATACTCAATTGCCGGGCAAATATTGGTAAAAATAGACTTCAAACCCTTCTTCCGCAACCTCCGAATCGAAATATCCAAGCAATTGAAAAACTCACCCAATATCTCATACCTGCAAAAACACCCACAAAATGAAATAATCAAAACCCACCTGAAAATGTCAGGAACAAATCTGTCAAATCATATCCATCTAAAACTCAAAGAACCTTACTTTTCCGGTAGCTTCACGGGTCGGCGAATACGGGTTTTCTTTTGGGTCTCCTCGGGCCAAGAATCGATCTGGTCCGTCCGTTGCTTCTGGTTTGACTTGAAGAGACTTTTGGAGGCAGATCTTTTAACTTGTTCAATGGAGAGCGCGATGTTGCAGTTGCGAGCTCGGCGACGGAGCTGTTGGGGCTTCTCAGGGGTTTTAGAGCTCAGTATCTCATTTTCTCGGACTTGGGGCTTAGGGCTTAGGGCTACGCTTATGGGTGTCTTGGATTTTAAGGTCTCTGAGGAACTCATTGCAGAGTCCAGGAGAAATTTATGATTTTGAATCGATCAAAAGGCGAGATCTTGAGGACCACAGGCTCACAGAGAAGGTGAAGCGATAGCCATTTGAGGGTTTTCGGTATTTACAGGAGCTCTCTGTGGCGGGAAAGATGAATCGGTGCTCGCGTGGCCCGTGGCTTCGCGCCAAATAGATCCGTTGGCTCTTCGGTTTTTCTTCGGGTCGGGGTAAGCCCAATGTCAATATTATTTGGGCCTTCTTTAGGCCCAACCCAAAGGTGCCATTGTAAACCTAATAGAAAAATGATTTTGTTTTTCATTCCAACGCAATGAAGTCTTTTGAAGCATCAAAGACTCAAGAAGAGGCTCCATTTTAGTATTTACCCAACTTCACGTCTCCTTCCTAATTTTCTTATATTGAGACAATTTAACAAGCAAACTCAGAGAGAGAGAGAAAAAAATAAAAACTAAAAGACCCAAAAAGCTCCCTTCTCTCTTCGGTTTCTCCTCTGCTTTAAATTTGTATTACAGGAACAGGACCATTGCTTCAGCTTCCCCATTTTAACCTCAACACCTCTCTTGCCCCTTCACCTTTTTCTCTCACCGTCTGAGTCCTTTTTGATTGGGGTGTCTTTTTCGAAGCGTATCTTTTCTGGGTTCCAATAAATTTGATTGATTTCAACTCTTGTTTGGATGTTGCCTCGTGGGTCGGAGGTAAAGTCTCGTTCTTTAACTGCTTTATTATTGCTCGTTCTGGGTTTTGTTTGTTTAGCCCAAAAGAGAAGGTGAAGGTGTTGAAGGTTTTTTTTCAATCCTTAATTATGTTAAAAATCATAATTTTATTTTTATTGTTATTTGTTAATCTGGTTTTCTGTGTCTTTTATAATTTATTTGTTAAAATTTCATATGTGCTTTGATGAATTGACTTCTGGTCAAGGATAATAACTCCCCTCCGAGATAGTTGGGCTTAACAGTGCTAAATGATTAGATTGTAGCAGTCATTCCGGCTTTCGGATATGACTATACTTTTTTTGCAGAAACGTCATAGCACTTTCTCAGAAAGTAACCAGCTGAAGTATATTGCTTTATGTAGGAGAAACAACAAAGTGGGTGCTAGGTTCTTAGGAATTTACTCAACTGGAGTGATACAAGAACCCTCTTTTCTAAGTTTGGATTGTTTCATATTTATTTAGTAATTTATTTATTTTCTTCCCAAACGATCTAGGGTTCAGCTGATTAGTTTAATATGCTTTAGAAAATGAGTAGTTGCTTTCAATGATATTTATACTTATTAAACTGTAAATGTGGTGATAATCTGAGTGTGGTGGAAGTGATTATTATCTTGTTACATTATGCTCTTTCTTTTCCTCCTTGCATATACCAAGCTTTGTTTACATGCCCGTAGAAGGAACTTATCTTATGCCTTTCATACTTACAGAACCCTGCTTAACTGGTATAGTGGTTTGTGGAATGGACTGGCTGTATCTGAACACTGTCAGCCTTTGTGAATGATGTTCCGTTGGTTGAAGGGTGTGAAGTCTTTTGGCATTTTTAAGTTGAATGGCGAATCATCTTTGACAGCAGCGTTGCTCAGGGATGTGCCTCCTGAGGTTGAATTATCTGAATATGGAAGGGCACCAAGTCCTGGCAGTGAGAGCCCTTCAGGGCTTCTTAATGGTGAGAGTGTAAATGTGGAACCAATTGCTGATTTGGACCTGTTCTTTGAAAGGCTCTACAGCTACTATTGTGAGAAAGGGCTTTGGTGTATTATTATAAAGTGGATAGTTGAGCTCCTGAGCTTGGGATTCACTATATGTTTCTCAGGATTCTTCTTATTATATGTTGATTGGAATGGTCTTCGTAATGCAAAGTGTGGGATGGATGCATTTGAATCTGGAATTAAGCCCTGTGACCTTGCTAAGGAAGCCCTTCATCAGCACCCACTAACCCCTCTGACGCTTTCTAAAGCTATCATTGTGGGATATTTGGGTATATTCTCCATTTATTGGGTCTTCTGTTTTTTGAGGTTTTTTGCTCAATTAAGGGATACTTTGGGAGTCCGTCATTTCTATCACAACAGGTATGTCTGAATACTTCGATCTTCAAAATTTTAATTTGAGCGATGATTATGGTTTGTACAAAACCTATGCCTTCATAACATTGGCTTAGTAATGAATGGTGATTTTGGTTGTCTTCTTGCAGCCTCCATGTCACAGACAATGAAATTCAGACTATGCCATGGGCATCAATTCTTGAAAAGGTTGTTCAGCTCCAAAGATCACAGCAGCTCTGTGTGGTCAGGGATCTTTCTGCTCATGATGTGGTTATGCGACTGATGCGGAAGGAGAACTACTTGATTGGAATGCTTAACAAGGGGGTGCTTGCTTTCCCAATCTCACAGTGGGTCCCAGGTGCTGGTCCAACTGTCAAATTTGGCTCCGATGGAAAGCAAGAACGTCTAATACTGACAAAAACACTTGAGTGGACCTTAAATTGGTGCATACTGCAAAGCATGTTTGATCGGTAGGGTGAATCTTAGTACAAATATCTTGCAATGCATTTTTAATTCTTGATTTTACTTGATGTCTTGATCTTATATCCAGCTGACACATGGCCAATACCTACAAGCATCTAGAATATGTGAAAGACAGCATGTCATTATGATGTCTTTTTCTTGTTTTGATAGTTAGAAGTTTTGTTTGAGCCATAGTGAATATTTACCCTAGATGCACAGAACACTCTTTAAAGTTTTGTTAGAGTATGGTTTGGTTCAGTTGTTTATTCATGTACCAATAATTTGTAATGTGGATTTACTTTTGTATGAAGTGAGTAATATTTCTTTCAAACAGGATGCACTCTGTAGTTTGTCCTGTGTGCTTTCCGAGTTTTGATGATGTGTACTCTTGCTGCAGAAATTTTTGTGTTAGAAGGGACTTTATCTCAAATCCAAGAACATTAAAGAAAAGGCTGATGGTAGTTGGGCTTGTAATGCTTCTCCTCTCGCCATTTCTTGTCATATTCATGCTGGTATATCTCTTCCTGAGGCATGCAGAACAATTTTATAATCATCCAAGCACGGCATCATCTCGAAGATGGTCAAATTTATCAAGGTGGATGTTTAGGGAATTTAATGAGGTAATATTTTTCTTCTTTCTGTTAAGTTAAACATGATCCTTTCCCCATGTCTGGTACTTATGCTAATACTGAAACATGCATTCTCGATGAAATATTTGTCATCAGATTCTTACATTAAGAAACAGTTCACACGAGGACACTTGGAACTTGGTTCCCCAATTCATATGAAAGTGAAACCATATGAAAAATTGTGGCTTTTCTGAATTGGCACGTTAGCATGTTGGGTTTACTTTATTTAATGAAATTGTGCATTTATGCATATTTCTAAAAACTAATGTTGCCCTCTCTTCCTGACTGGTTTTTTGTTTGCAATGTCTATAATTTTATGGTATTTTGTATTTCTCTTTTTGGATTAATTTTACAACTGGTATGGTGATGTGGCAGGTGGACCATTTGTTTAAGCACCGAATCAATAGCAGCATAGTGCATGCTTCTGATTACTTGAAGCAATTTCCTTCTCCTATTATATCTATAATAGCAAAGTTCATCTCTTTTGTTTCTGGTGGCTTTGCTGCTATTCTAATCATCATCGCATTTCTGGAGGAATCTCTGCTTGAGGGCCATGTAAGATATTCATATTTGTACTTAATGATGCCATGTTAGGCTGTCTGTATAGATATCGATGCTAACTCTAACTTATTTTGTTTCTAAAATATTTTTGAATCATGCAGATATTTGGTCGTAACTTGTTCTGGTATGCTGCTGTTTTTGGAACTATAACCGCTATTAGCAGGGCTGCCATTACCGATGAGCTTTTGGTCCTTGATCCAGAGGGGGCCATGTCTATGGTGGTGCAATATACACATTATATGCCGAAGACATGGCGTGGTAAAGAGAATACTGAGAGGGTTCGGATAGAGTTTGAAACCCTGTTTCAGGTAATCCAGGGACATTTAATTTCCTATTGTTTATCTTAAACTGGAATTGATTTGAGGACATAAGTTATGGGCATGCCAATTTGGTGGTTTAGAGTAGCTTCTGTCGATAAGGTCCGGAAAGATGGGGCATATCTTTTGCCAGTTGGAGAACCACAGATACTTACTAGGGCCCGTTTCTGCATTACATACATAGTTGATACTACATAGTCTTAAATTACTTCCCAGTAAATATTTGATTTTCATGATTCTATACTGTTTTGAAAATAATTTTGTTTTTGGTTTTTAACTATATAACCTATGTGTGAAGATTGATCTACCCTTTTCAGCATTTAATTTAATTATAGCCATCAACGGAAACAAAATAACAGTTATGACATATTATGACTAAAACACAAATTAAGTTTCTGCTCATGCTATTTCGTTTTCCCCCCCTTTTTCTGTTTCTTCAAATGCAGTATACTGGAATGATGTTACTTGAGGAGATGGCCTCAATCTTCCTTACTCCATATTTACTTTTATTTGTCGTCCCAAAGGTCAGTTTTATCATAATTGTTAATCTGCTTTTATTTTTATGCCGTGTATAAACTATTTGCAGTTTCTTGTTCTAATATGCTTTTTGTTATTTTGCAGCGGGTGGATGACATTTTAGAGTTTATTGCAGAGTTCACAGCAGATGTTGAAGGTGTTGGTCATGTGTGTAGGTTGGTATTCATCATCGTCATTGTTGTCACCATCTTTAGATTCAGAAGTTTGACTGTCCTCTTGATTTCTTGGCAGTTTTAGTGCCTTCGACTTTCAAAGACATGGTAATAGCAATTATGGGTCACTTTACAATGTACCTCGCTCTCAGAGGAGTTCTCAGGGAAAAATGGAGAAATCGTTCTTGAGGTATGATCACAAAAGCATTACTCATACAATGTGCTCACAATTCTTTAAGCTGCAATAAAGTAGTTATCAGAAACATGTAATGTCCCTGCGCTATTTCAGTATTCTCCCTGTTTTCCACTTAGAGCATAAGTATTTCTTGAGATGCTAATTAGGCGCCACCCAATTGATTTCCTTTCCAAATCTCAATTCTAATGAGCTTTCCAATTTTTGTGGCAGCTTCCAGAGTAACTATCCATCATGGGACCCAAATACTCAAGGAAATCAGTTTCTTAAAAAGCTGAGAACTTTCAGGGAGCAAAAGTTGCAGGGACATGGAACTAGACATGGATATTCTCCTCCAAGAGGCTTTGGTGACAGGAACAACTTATTATTAAGGGAAAGGCCGCATCATACCCTTGGAACTGGCTGTCAGTTGGGGTCTCTGTGGTTAATTGATGCAGATCAAAAAAATCATCCATATCTCCTTGATTGGTATTACACCTCTCGGCCGCACCATACGACAAGTTATACGGGGGACATTCCAGAAGAACCAATTGAAGTTACTGAGCAACATTCTGCTGATTGGATGCCACCTAGCTTTACAGATAATCAAGTGAGATTTGAAGAACTCTGGGGGCATCATTATGAGGACCGTACACAGTCTAATCTGGGAGCTTCCACATCAGCCCCGTTCCACCGAGGGAGTGTACTTCAGCATCATGACGGTGGTAATTCTGCGCATCCAACAGGGAGTCATTGGTGGGCTAGAACTGGCCAACATCATGGTACACAGCCCCAGTCAAGTTTCCTTGAGCCCCCAGAGTTCGGCCAACATATCACACAGCCCCAGTCAAGTTTTATTGAGCCTCCAGATTTCATCCGCCAGCCTTCAGATAATTATTATGGAAATTTCTCAGATAGAAGCTTAGAGGAACAAGAACAAGAACAACACTTTGATTGGAAGAACTATCACAAGTTATCCCGAACTACTTACGTGGATGACTTAGACTTAGAGGCAGGAGACTTCAATCTTCATTTTGATGATGTATATAGTAGACCTCCTGAAACTCCCAAGATATAGCCATAGCCCCCAAACTTTTAGTGATCCATTCGTTCCCTCTAGTTTTTTCAAGAGGTTCTTGCTTAATTATTTGGGTGGTTTTTAGCTACTGGAATGTGATTTCTGTCTATAATACACTCATTTAAGGAATCTGTGTATTCTTTTCTGTATATATATTCAATCGATTCTTGATCGGCCAATGCCTGACTTGTGCGAGGGTGACTGAGGCCAGAGAGCAACCAGAAGCCCTCCAAAACCGTGCAATTACATGCCACGAATTTATTTGATATGTAATTTTTAAAATTTGTTTAAATTGTTTAATATCTGCCAAGAAGTTACTAAAGTAAAGAAAATATGGAAATTTTGATCTCAAACGACGCCGTTTGGTAACATTTTAGTTTTCCTTGTTCTTTTTGTCCTTCGTCTTCACTTCACAGGCTTCCATCCAACACACCAGCGCGAGGGTTTTTGCATAGGGTTTTAGCAAAATCCCAAACGAACACTCACAAAATTACAAAACTTTACAGTTCCGGCCATGAGAAAATCTCCAATCTCACTGTTCTCTCATCTCACTCGTCAAAGACTTAAATCCTCTGCTCCTCTTCTTTCCAGAAATTACATTTCTGACCGCGCCTCCTCCTCATCTTCTTCGCCGCTGGTCTCACCGACCCGTTTCAGGCCCTGCACCGAAACCCATGGCTTATTCTTCAAAAGCAGCCAATTCCAAGCAAACCCATCTCGAAATATGAACACCCTTGTTGAAAGATCACCTCAAGTGTCCTCAAGGCAGAGAAAGTCCATGGAAAAATCTGAGCTTGAAGAGGCTTTCGAGTCTGCAAAGACTTCTGAAGAAATGCTTAAGGCTTTCAAGAACATGGAGTCAGCTTTTGATGAGAGAGAGCTTGGTTTGGCTTCTTTAAAAGTTGGCCTCAAACTTGACCAAGAAGGTGAGGACCCTGAAAAGACTCTGTCTTTTGCTACCAGAGCCTTGAAAGCTTTGGATAGAGATGATAAGCCTTCTTTGCCTGTTGCCATGGCTTTACAATTATTGGGTTCTGCCAATTATAGCTTAAAAAGGTTTAGTGGTAGTTTGGGGTACCTTAATATGGCTAATAGAGCATTGGGTAGATTAGAGGAGGAGGGTTTTGATGTTCGGGATATTAGGCCTGTGCTTCATGCTGTACAGCTCGAGCTGGCAAATGTAAAGACGGCAATGGGGAGGAGAGAGGAGGCTCTTGGGAATCTTAGGAAGTGTTTGGAAATTAAGGAGTTGATGTTGGAGAAAGATAGTACAGAACTTGGCAAGGCGAACCGGGATTTGGCGGAGGCATATGTCGCTCTTTTGAACTTTAAGGATGCATTAGGCTTCTGTATGAAGGCATTGGACATTCACAGACAGCAGTTGGGGCAGAATTCGGTGGAGGTTGCACATGACAGGAGGCTTCTTGCTGTTATTTATACTGGGTTGGAGGAGCATGAGAAGGCCTTGGAGCAAAATGAGTTGTCACAAAGGGTTTTGAAGAATTGGGGCCTTAGTTCTGATTTGCTTCGTGCAGAGATTGATGCTGCTAATATGCAGATTGCTTTGGGAAAGTTTGATGAGGCTATTGATACTTTGAAGCGTGTTGTTCAGCAAACAGACAAGGAGAGTGAGACTAGGGCATTGGTATTTATCTCGATGGGAAAAGCCTTATGTAATCAGGAAAAATTTGCCGATGCAAAGAGATGTTTGGAGATTTCTTGTGGAATTCTTGACAAGAAAGAGACAGTCTCCCCGGTAGATGTTGCTGAGGCATACTCAGAAATATCAATGCAATACGAATCTATGAATGAGTTTGAGACTGCAATTTCACTGTTAAAGAGAACATTGGCTTTGCTTGAGAAGCTCCCACAAGAACAGCACTCCGAGGGGAGTGTTTCGGCTAGAATAGGGTGGTTACTTCTGTTGACTGGAAAGGTCTCACAGGCTGTTCCTTACTTGGAGAGTGCAGCTGAGAGGTTGAAAGAGAGCTTTGGTCCCAAGCATTTTGGTGTGGGCTATATATACAATAACTTGGGGGCAGCATATTTGGAACTAGACAGACCTCAGTCAGCTGCTCAGATGTTTGCTGTTGCGAAGGACATCATGGATTTTTCGCTTGGCCCCCATCATGCAGATTCAATTGAGTCATGCCAGAACCTCTCAAAAGCATATGATGCCATGAAAAGGTATGAATGCTCTTTCTGGTTTTTGGCTACATTTCCAGCATATGCTCATATTGTTGGAATTTATTAATTCATTCGATATTGAAATTACATTGCACTTGTGAATCTGCTAAGATGGTTACTCCTTTGATTTGTAATTCATGCAGTGCAGAATTTGATATATAATTCACCGAGTTACTAGTTCTCTGTGCTATTTTTTGTAGTTCCTGTTCGGAGAGAGTAAACTTAATACGTATTGCAACTTAATTGTAGTCACATGCATAATCCTTTCATGTCTCTATTTATCAAGCAGAAATTAAGCGAGATGATTGATGCATTTAGTAAAGATGTTTTGTCGTATGTTGACTGTTGAGGATAAATATATGTATATCTCATAATTTATCTCATGGATTTTTCAGCTATGCCCTTGCAATCCAATTCCAGCAGCAAGTAGTTGATGCTTGGGAAAGCCATGGACCAAGTGCTCAAGACGAACTCAAAGAAGCACACCGAGTTCTCGAACAATTGAAGAAAAAAGCCCGTGGCACATTTGCAAATGATGAGCATGCTACAAAGGCCTTGCCCTTACCCCAAACTCATCCATCTGCCAGGAGTTCGTAAGCCGATCTCCTGTGAATTAGGAGTGATTGGACATAATTTAGAAGTGCTCAAATTAATTGATCCATTGCATAAGAACATTGCAAGGATTGGGTTGCTTCATCGAGTGGTGGGGGTCTGTGGTTGTAAACAGCACAATTTTCGGGGATTCCTAGTTCTTTTGTTTTTGGGAATTGGGGATGTGAATGTCTTCATATAGATAAGTATTGTGTACTAAAATAAATTTCGTTGTTATGGATCTTCAATTTTATTTTGAATGAAATGTTTGGCATCTTTGGCAGTGATACGGAAATAATAATCCTTTTTCTTTTGCTGAAAGTTGATGATTTTAGCCAGCATTTTGGAATTTAGCCTGTTTAAGAATGCTCTTGGTCCTTAATTGCTCAGCTAAGAAAGGATCCTACAAGCCTTTTTGCTACACTTATATCCTTACAAGCACATGTATACAGTATGTTGTTCCTTCTGAATGAAACAGTGAGAGCGTAATGCCATAATTAAACTCGACACAATAATGAATACCTTAAGCACTCACCAACATTCATGTAATGGCTTCAAGACAAAAGAAGTGAGAGATCATTTCCAGGGAAATCTTTGTCCTGCTTTTCTCTAGCATCTGGGTCCCTGTACTCTCTCTCTCTCTCTCTCTCTGAAACTCGTATATGTATAAAAGAAAAGGAAGAGGTTAACGTAATCATTTTCATTCATGAAGAAGAAGAAGAAGATAACACAGCAATGATTCTCAAAACCCATGCCAGCGTTTCAGGATTAAGCAATAATCCCAATTGTCCAAAGCTTCTCATTGTGTCTAACATCAACCCAAGTAACTCTACATTCGTCTATTTCATGCTATGCAACTATCAATTGCAAGTTAATAATTCCACCATCTCACCTAAATACCAAACACCAACTAACAAAATTTATCAACAAAAGAAAAAGAGAAAGGAATTACAGGCACACTCATCAGGAAAAACTGCATTTCTAGACACTCTGCCGTGTCGAAATCGAAAACAAACCTTTTGATTCTGCTATCACATTCTTGTTTCTGAGCTTCTCCATTTTTCTTGGTGATTGACTTCTTCTAGGCTGTTCTATGACTTTCTATAATCATTTCTTTGTTGCTGCCTTGGTGGAAAATGACACCATCTTCTCCCCCCAACTCAATTACTACAAAGTCTTCTTCACTACCCATGAAGCTATGAGAAAACAACTCAGAGTCTTGAGGTGAAGTGCTTGGTGCTATGACATGATCAGTCGGATACCGGATAGTACCTGAAATGCTTGTTCTGCAAAGAGGGCAGTTTGCATTGCTTTGAAGCCATATATCAATGCAGTCTAAGTGAAACTCATGGCTGCAGTTGGGAAGAACTTTTAGTGTATCTTGCTCCTGAAACTCTTTCAAACAAACTGCACATCCACAAACACTTCTATCTTCAACTTCTCCTCCTTTGAATTGAACAGTTGGGATTCCGCGAATGACTGATTCATCAAGCCCCCGGTTCCAAATTGATGGAGAGAAGGCTGTAAGAAGATCCTCCGTTTCTCGAGCTCGAAAGATAGGAAACCTTGACAGCAGATCAATTTGGTACCAGTTTGAGCAAAATTTGACAACAATGACATAGTAGCTCACTAGCAAGAAAGCTGTAGCCATGATGCTTAGTACAACAATAGCTAATATAGGAAAAGAAGAGTCTGGGCTAGGCAGGGGTGGCTGATAGTTTGAGTTTACCTGGTTTTTGATGGGTGGGAGAGCTTGATCAAATTTGTACAAGTGTTTCTGCTGTGGAGCCATAAACAAATGGTCCGTATGTGGCTGAAACATGGGAGTAATGGTGCCACAGATGCTGATATATAGATTATGATCAATGGGTTCAGTGAGATCTTAAATTGAAAGATCATACAGGTTTTGGAAGATTGGTCTCTTGTCTTGGACTGGTTTTGTGGTCACACACTTGTGGGAAACAATATAGGTCCCATACCTATCTTTTTATGACATGACTTAAAGACTAGAGATTAGAGACTGCAAGAGAAAAGAGTGATTAAGGTGTTATTAAACTTAACTAGTTCTTAATGGTACTTCTTATTCTCCTGATGTTGAAAGAGGTTCCAAGTTTAAATCCTCCCTCCATTGATCGGAAAGAATGTGTTATTGGGCAAGACTTATAAAGGTTATTTGCGGAGTTGGCCTACTACTATTTTGTTGGACCCTGTCTCTTCATGGCAAATAAAAATCATCATCTTGGAATTTGTCCTCTCCCTGAAACATCATCTGGTACAAGCCCATTTCATCAAATTCTTTTCAAGGCAATTTGGGCATTTTGAATTCCGAGACATGCACATGTCCTGGTGAATCTATTATATTATAGATCATATTTGCATGTGATAACTCTTAAGTCAACTATAGCTTTCTTCTTTCCCTAAACTACACACAACTTGTGCAACACTGCACCTCCCAAGTCAAAAACCTAGATATATTATATGCCAAGCAATACCAATAAAGCTCATGATTTGAATGTCTCAACCTCCACATAATTATTTTTCATATATATATACACGGAGAGGATGCTGATAAGTATTGGAGTTAAGCAGAGATTGTTGGGTCTTGTAGGCTTATATAATTCAAGTAGACAAAGCAGCAGATGCTGATTATGAGTATTAATTGGAATTAAGTAGGAGATGATTGGCTCTTGCAGGCATATATAATTCATCTTTTTAATATAATCTTTCTTCTTTTGGTTGGTTGATTATGCCCATGTCCTTATCTGCACCCGTTTTATTTTATAAGGGTTTGCTTGTTTTAGCTTATGTGTCTAAACCAGCTTACATTTTTTTATGCATTTTTCAATAATTAATATTGGTTTTTGTACAAGAACTCGTGCACCAGTACAAATGCAATCGCATCCTTCATTTACAGAACATAATTTAAAGTGAAATATCATACCAACTATGCAAGTAGTTTTTTTTATTTTTTTATTTGGGTATTACAACCTAGTCATAAAACCATTTCGTACAGAAATAGAATTTGTATGGCGATTTGTCTTGGCAGATCACCACACTAGCTACTTGAGAGGCTTATAACCTTCAACACAGCTTCAGCATTGGCAGCCTTGGATTTAAAGTTTCTGAGGAACTCTTTAAACTTCATGGACCTGTACAATGGTGGATTGCATAAAGCTTCTGCAGGTGCTATAAGGCTCTCGTTCGATGGATGAATGAAGTACGCGATTGTTGTCCGTGCAACTCCTGAATTTGTTACCACTCTATGCTCGGCGCCTTTAAACTTCGAGTTGCTGATCATCTGCATTAGTCCACAACATCAAGTTAATTAGTAAATTAACTCGAATAATGCTAGAGAGACCATATTTTCATATCACATTTTAAAAACGTACCTGCAAGACATAGCCTATGTTAACCACAAAAGCACTAGGAACAGGCTCAACACCAATCCAGTTCCCATCCTTGAAAACTTGAAGGCCATCTGTATCTTGAAGTAAAATGGTTATAAGGGTAGGGTCACAATGTTTGGTTAATCCCAATGTTAAACTAGGGTCTGGGCATGGTGGATAATGATTGGACAACAGCACTGGACTTTCAGTAAGTCCACCACAGAAGTACTCAGTGCCAATTCCCAAGCCTTCAGCAAGCAGCTCCAAAATCACATAGCTCAAGTTCCTTACCTCCTCCAGATAAGCCTTAACAACCTCTCTGCTTAGATATAACAAGATTAAGCAATTATAAGCTTGAAAGATCATTTTTTTTTTACATGATTGCATACAAGGCCACATACCGGTATCGAGTTGGTTTTTCAGGCCAAAACTGCATGTAGTGTTCAAAGGGATGACCAGGGTGGGTCAAGACATCTCTCCAGTAGTGAACCTCTTCATTTGCATAGTTTTCACTGCTTGTGTAGAGCTTGCAGCTTCTACTTGGGTCCTTGGAGCCTTCAATTGCCTTGTCTTTTTGGGGCAGTGCATGAAACTCCTTGAAAACACTCATTGTGTCATCAACTAACTTAATGGGAACACCATGATTGATGACCTGAGAGAAAGTAGTACTATTTTATGATCACAATGGAACTCTAAACTTAAAATTTATGTAAATAACAAGATAAAACAAGTGCAAAGCTGTAGAAGGTGATTGATCCTGAACCTGGAAAAATCCGAACTCTTCGCTAGCTTTGGAAATTCGATGAATGGTGTCACGGCGATCATGGCTTCCAAGATCAACTACTGGGATGTTGTTGCATAGAGGAACGTTGAGCTTCCCAGGTCGTTTTTCGGGTGGGTGGACATAAGTTTGGGGCACAGATTGAACATCAAACCAGCTTGAAACAAGCTTCTGATCTAGTAGTGTCTCCATGTCAATCTTTGAAACAGAAGAATGGTTGTTTCAATGTACTCACTCCAAAGCAAACATGCTGGAAAAAAAACTGGTTGCAACTTGCCTTTTATAGGAAGTTTTCTGTCATATTCCACATGCTTCAACAAGTTGTGGAGATGGAGAAAAATATATGTTAACATTAACAAAGAACAAGTTGCAATTCTTTTGGGAAAAAAACATTGACAGAAGATTTTGAAATAGAAATTGTTGTGGGGAGGGAGTGCCTTAAGGAACTTTCCATGACAAGTGGCAAATCAGAAATCCTTGACACAAAAGTCCCGTCGTCCAGTTACGGGTTGCCACGTCATCAAACAAAAGTAAACTAGAACATTTGCAAAGTCAATTCCCTCTATAAATTTTGAAGCTTCCCATAACGCATTAGTATGCAATGTTATACTACTATATTTCTTTTGTGGAAGTTGGAACCATATTCAATAATTTAGATTAAAAATGAGGGGGGGTTAATTAAGAAAGTCAAAGCATATTAGAATCTACTATTACTATATATATATATTGTGGCTAGCATTTTCAACACAAGGAGCATATACTAGCAATTTATTCGTATTCAATTAACTTGGTCCTTAACCTATATATATACACATCGATAGGGGAAGTGCGTTTGCATATTTATGCATGTACAATTTTCAACTTTCCCACACCGTCGGATATTGTATAGTTGCAGCTCTATTTCAACAACAGATTCTTATGACGATGAGTAACTGCATAAACCTAATTGTTTGTGTTCGATCCTTTTAGGAAGAATATCAATGATGTTCTTTGCTTTTGAGTTTCGAAAAGTGGGAGATCAAAGCATAATTAGTTTGAGGAGCACGTTTAATGTTTTTTCTCTGAATTACAAGCGATATTAGGAGAGTAGAAATCGAACGCGATATTGATGTCGTTTGATTGGCAAGTCCAGGACTAGCTTTTGACATGTCTCTCCAGATCTAGTTTTGATCCGTCAAATAAACATATTTGGGCAGCTATTTTACTAAATATGAATCAAGTTCTTCTCTTCATTGAACTTGCAAAATGCCAGTCAATTTCAACCCTTGCCTTGTCATAGTCATACTAATTAACCAATGTGATTTTTATTTTTGGTTCTTTTCGTTGAATTTGGGGGGGGGCGGCGGCAAATGCCTCAAAAGTATCAATGTGTAGATGAAGCTGTAATTACAAGCCTGGTGCCCATTGGAAAAATTCAACATGGCAAAACCAGGAAATAACATACATTATCATCTTAGAATATAATAACAATAATTATAATTTCATAATAATTTTCTAGTAATACATTATTATCCTATTATCTTATGTTATCATCTTATGATACAACTATTACTTATTTATTAATTAATATTGCCTGAACTTTACATTAATTTCTTCATAAACAAAAGCCACCTTCAATTTCCTTTCTTTTCTTATCACCCGGTTGATGCATGTGAGTGATTTATAAAAAACCAAAATCCCCACCTGCCATTTTTCTTTTTCGAATATTGTGGTCAATCATATTCTGTTCTCCCAAGTCAACTACATTATTTTCTTTCCAAGTTTCAATTCAACTGCTTGTAGAAAACTATAATAAAATATTGGGATTAACTTTAGATCTATGATGCAAGATTAATTTGGTCCTGAACAATGTTCATCTTCTGAAGGGAGGGAGGGGAGAAAAGCTGAAAAACAAAAACATGTGATGCAAGATTAACTTGGTTCTGAACAGAGTTATGCAAATCTTACCAGATACCCATAACTTCTCCATTTCCGTTCTTATAATTTCGAATCGATATCATATTTATCCTTGTAGTTCTAATTTCAACAAGCTTACCTTGACACTTGACTTAGGTAAAGGTTCAAAAGATATAAATAAAAGATTCTATCAACATTTAAATTTAATGGTCAACCTCATAAGTTTGGAAAGCTAATATAGAAATCTTACATTAGAAAAAGACCACATTTCCAATAGGAGCTTAGGAACTTCTTACTCCTTTGACAACTTCAATACAAACAATTGGACCACCGCTGCAACGGGAGCTTAGGACTTCGACGGAGGCAATTTTATCTTCACTGCTTATCCCCAACTCCGGGACATTTCCAATAACAAATAATTAAGTCGGTCCACATGCTCTGGAAACTGTACAAGTATTATGCACACAAAGTTCGTGAAAAAATGGCTACTGGTTATAAGTGCAGCAAACTTAAAGTTCCACCCTATCAATTTCAACGTCCTCCTCATTGACTTTTTCCGAGTCCTTTGGAGATATTATATTCATGAAGATCCTGGTGGCTTGGCCAACAGCACGAGTAGTCTTCTTTGCTGCTCCAACAACAGCTGGTTGCAAAGAGATGATGGGCAGGCTCGCCCTCTCTTGTATCATTGCTGTATCATAAAAAAATTATAATAACAGTTGAGAAGTTAAGTGAAGATCAATAGAAAGGCCATATTAAGGAAAACTGCAGCAAACGAATTCTATCCAGAGGTCAGATAAACATACACATAGTCTGCTGCTGTGCGAGTGTACCAATCTGCCGAATCCCAGCTCCTGCTGCTTGAACAGTTTGAGTAGATTTGCTGACCCCCTCAGCGATCTCTTGGCTGAATGCAGAATGGAATAAAAGCATGACATAAATATTCAAAATGTGAAAAGGAAAAAAAAAAACTTATGTGAAGTGAACCATATATAGAAAACCAGAAATTGAATTCAAATGTATTGACAGACACGAGTGGTAACCAAATTGCCTTGTGAAGTAATCCTCATATCAAACCTGGTTTAGTGTATTTCTGGAAGTAAACACCAGATTATAACAAATATTTTAGGGGCAAAAAGAAAACCAGACAAGATTGAATTTGTCCCCCCTTGGAAACCCCATTGCTTTTGCAGGTGGGCACATATGCATGGAACAATACAGTTGACAATTGAATGGATTCGTTTTGGGGTTATAAACTAGAAAATGATGGATGGCACATAGTAAAGAGGGGAGTTTAACTATGAAGAGAAGCTATAAAGCAACCATGTAAAACATAACATGGGTCAGAGACTAAGGTAATAAAGATTTAATTATCACCTTAGATCATTCAGTTCCAGTGTAAGATCACTTATTTCCATGCCTGAAAGCCTAATGGCAGCCATAGTACTGGGGAGTTCTTCACGAGCTGTATCCGCCAGCTTCGAAAGAGATATTGCAGCTCTCCTCATTGCCTACAGAACATACCAGAAACAGCCACATTGGAACAAGAATTTGGACAAGACCTCAAACATCTGCTTTTAACCAAAGAAAAGGGCACCTAAAGCTACCTCAAAAGAAGACATTTATCAAGACTTATAATTCTAATTTGCTTTTGGGTTCATGCCCAACTCAAGACAAGGACTCAAAAGACCAAGATCATTCAAGCCATGAGTCCATGCCAGGAGTTTTTAAACATTCCATTCCATGCAAAGCACTGCACAATAAATCTTCTGACAATCCAAATAGCACTCAAACTCATCCAAATAACAAAACAAAAATATCAAGACCCAATAATAAGCAGTACAAAGATAGACAAAAAAAGAATAGAATCTGATTCAGGGTTTGGGGTTTCGGCAAAAAAGGAAAAGCCATGGAAAAGTCAGAACTCCCTAAAACTCAACTGATTTCCTAAGCATTTCAGTGATTGCTTTTTCCTTTGGATTGAAATATTAAAGAAAACTTACAAATAGTGTCGGGACAGCTGCAATTACAAGGCTCGTAAATGCCACAGAAGTCTGCACAATGAAATCAACAGCAGTGTACGCACATAATTAACTAACTCTTATCATTTCTCATTTATGTAAAAAAGTTTCCAAATTGATCTCAATTTCCACAACAAATTACATATTAAACCAAAGAAAAAAAGAACTGACGCTTATATACCGTGCAGGCGACGAAGGCCAAGAGGAAGAAAGCCTGGTCGCTCAAGCTCAATTTGGCCACCGACGGAGACGGAACGCTAGGTTTTCCGACTTCCACATTCCACGGACTTTGCGAAGCGTCGTTTTGAACCTGAAAAGAAGCCTCCTTTATGCCCTCCGCTGCCGCCGATTCGAACTGGGACGACAACGACGACGTCGCTTTGGTGGAATTGGGAGCGCAAAGCGTGATTGAGCGGGAGGGCCCAGAAGTGGAGGTGAGAGAAACAGAGCTGAATTTACAGCGCTGGAGAAGAGTGATTGAAGAAGAAGAAAAAGATGATGATGAATTATGATTATTAGGGTTGAAGGCACGAATTGGAGGTGAGAGCTGTGAGAAATGAACAGATTTCATTTCTGCCACCGAAATTAGGAGCTCAGGAGCTTACTCCTAAGCCACTCCTAAGCTCCACAGTCAACTTGCCGCAATTTCAGGATAAATCAAGAAGAAGAAGAAAGAAGAAGAAAAAAAAAAAAAAAAAAAAAAAAAAAAAAAAAAAAAAAAAAAAAAAAAACCACAAGTGGAAAAAGCAGAGGAAATGAGACATGAAGATCCAAAACTACCCTCCCTCGCTTTCTGTAGTGTAGACTAAAAGCTACAGCCTTATCTATTTCCCGTTATTCATGGTTTGATCCCAAGGTCGTTTGTTTTGTTGTGTGTGTTTGCCCTATTTTGGTATATTCACCAGTTGGCCTCAATAGTCTGCTGTCTTATTCTCATTGGTCCTTCAGTTGCAAAATTGCAAAATAGCCACACTGAAGGAACACGGGAAGAACTGTCGGTAAACGTGTGCAAATTCCAACTTCGAAGGGGGGCCCGAAGGAGCCAAATTGTCTTTCAACTCTCTCGCTCTCACACTGGGACTGGTCTACTCTACTTCCCTACCCTGCTGCTACTTTGATCCCACTCTGCATTTGGTTAACTGGTAACTCTCTCTCTCTCTCTCTCTCTCTCTCTCTCTCTCTCTCTGATTTTCCAAGCCTGTGTTTGGTCTCCGAGAAATCGAAGAGGAAAAATAAATCAACTTTCGTCTAAAAGATGGGACCTTCCTTCCTGGCAACCAGAAAAGTTTGTATCTTGGGTCCAAAGGAGGGAGGCTATTAGGTTTCTGTCATTTCCAATTTATCTCAAATTCATAACTTTACTTTCTTTTTTAATGTTTGCGGCTTCTAATCAGTAGTTACAGCTCTAAGCATATTAAACGCGGTCGTTTATTCTGATTGGTTATAGCATTTTGGTCATAGAAGCCTATACGCCAAATTGCCTATATGCATGAGATAGAATACACAAGTAACACAACAAGATGTTCAATGTATTGTTCTACTTGTACAAATTTAGGTAATTGACAATGTCTTTTCAATGTTCACAGTACCAAGTTTATTGAAATTGGTAAAAATGGGACCGTGTAGTAAATGGTGCAGCATCCTATGTCCTTGTAGATCTAACTAGAGGATTGGCTTTTAGAGGAAGCCATGTTGCATGAAATGGTGGTTGAAAAATTGAAGATAATGTCACGTTGAACCAACTGCCTATTAATGGGTAGAATGTGATTCATTTGATGAGTGCATGTAATAGTTGAAACATGGGTGTTTGAGAGAAAAAGAACTCTTGGGAAATACTGTGAGTGGATGCACAGGTTATTGTTTGGGTTATGTTGATTTAACTCAAGTGGTCTTGTACTGTTATTGTTCTCATAGTAAAGGATAACTCTATCCGGGATGTAGTCACGTAGGCAGGATTTTGCCAAACCTCATAAATCTCTTGTGCACTATCTTTATTCCTTGGTTTATTTTGTTCTGCTCAAGTGTTGTTTGCATTGTGGTGTGATTATTTCTGAATCTTGATTTACCACAGTTAAAAAGCACCAAAGTATTGTGATTTTCTAATATTCAAGCATTGGTTTCTTAACTATTTGCCTCCTTTTTTTGTTGTAATTTTCAAACTGCTGTGTGTGCACTGTATGCATTTTGTTTATGACTAATATCTGCCAGACAAGTGATTATTCAATTTTGAGGGATTTGGTTTTAGATGTTAATGCGTGATACCATAAGAAATTTAGTCTTGATCCTTTGCATAGTTGTTCCTATTGCATTGGATCAAAATTTTACAATGCTAAGTTGGGTTTCGACGGAAGGAAATGTAACTCTATCAATGGAGATCATTCTAAAAGTAGAAAAGCCACACCTGCTGTTAAGCATACTATGCTGGAACTCAATCTTTATATGACTGTGGTTATAGGTTAATAGGCTGAACTACATTTTAAGGCATGATGTTTCAGTGGTTCCATGTTTTAACTTCAGGAGTTTGAACTAAAGTTTGTTTATTAATTAACAGGTCAAATAGGTTTTAGCAGAACTCGGCAGTTGTACATGGTTCTAGGATGGAGAAAAGCAATGGCAATAAAGCAACCCAGATTTTTTGGAGCATAGTTAGTTTCTTGAGGAGATGTCTTTTTCTAGTAATTTCTGTTCGCCCTATACCTCATCACATTGCTTTCATTATGGATGGAAATCGAAGATATGCTAAAAAGCGGAAGTTGAAGGAAGGGGATGGACATAGGGTTGGGTTTTTGGCTCTGATGTCCATGCTCAAGTATTGTTATGAGTTGGGAGTTAGATATGCGACTATATATGCCTTTAGTATTGATAATTTCAAAAGGGACCCTGAAGAAGTTCAATCCTTGATGGACCTGATGCGGGAGAAAATTGAAGGGTTAATCAAGGAAGAAAGTATAGTTAACCGATATGGAATTAAGGTACACTTTATAGGGAACCTAAAACTCTTGAGTGAACCTGTTAGGTTGGCAGCTGAGAGGGCTATGGAGGCCACTGCCAACAACTCCAGAGGAGTTCTGTCAATATGTATTGCCTACACTTCCACTGATGAGATTGTGCATGCTGTTCAAGAATCGTGCGAAGAAAAATCAGATGAAATTAGTGTAATGAATGCAAGTGGAGCTGGGTATGGTCTACTTCAACTTGGAGGGAATGAAAAGGAAGAAAGGGATAACATTGTAAAATTGACAGATATTGAAAAGCATATGTACATGGCTGTTGCACCTGACCCTGATATTCTAATCCGTACTTCTGGCGAGACCCGGTTGAGCAATTTTCTTTTGTGGCAGAGTGCACACTGTTATTTGTACTCTCCATCTGTGCTCTGGCCAGAGATTGGTTTCCGGCATTTCGCTTGGGCGATCTTGAGCTTTCAGCGTAGCTACTTTTATCTGGACAGAAAAAGGAAACAGTCATAATTTTGTTTATTGATGTATTTTCACGTTTGGTCTACTTGTTTCTGAATTCTATCCTCTGTAACAAATACATATTAGATGCAGGCTTGAAGCGTTTTTCAGTGCCCCGGCCTGTAGTTCTTACTTTGTAAACATTAGTCTGCTGTATTGTAAGAATAATTTGCGTCCTGTGTGGTTGCTTTGCTGAGTACTTGCATTATGATCATCTGGTCATGGTTTAGTGATGTTTTTCATGTATGCAATGATGTCATATCTACTGGAATATATACATATGTATTTATATATGTTAAACCTTCCCTTGCTCATGAAGTGATCTCATCAATTGTTTCCTTTGCTGCTTTGCACACATCATCATTAGCGGCATTATGCGAAACAAGGTCCTTGATTACGATTAAGTGTAATTTTTAAGAGCAGGACAACCTTTTTTTAACAAGATCAATGGTTTTGGCTTAATTAAACTAATCCATTTGTTAATAGAATACTATTAAACACTCTAGAATATAGAATTGAGAACTATTTGATGACTCCCCATGGCTTTGGACTTTGCTTTAATTACTTCCCCCCTTCCTTTTCTTGACATCAAATCAATTAAAAAGATGACCACATGGAACAAGCGGAATGGTGATTAAAATAACCTAGAAAGGCTTTTGTTTGCACCTGCTGCTATGACCACACCATCACCAAAACATAGCTAAAACTGTCACCAAAAATCTACAACTGCATTTTGGAGCACAAAGCGTAGAAAGCAAATGGACATGAAGTATAGAATTTTCTCCTAAACATAACTTAAAGTAGTTTAGAAGAAAACAAATAGAACCCCAAGGCAGTTTTAAGCATGAATAGGGCAAAAAAATGCTCTTAAATACCACAACGATCATAGCAAAGTTTTCGAATAGCACTAGTATCGTACCAAATCGATATTATCGACAAAATATTGATTATTTTATTTATGTCACGTTGGGACTTAGATTGCTTAGGACTTTTGCTACTGACAGCAACATAAGCTTGCAGATCAAAAACTCAAACGTGAGCAAGATGATCTCACCTCTCAGCTCAATTAACTTAGGAAATCCAGAATTACAAGACGTCATCCTATGATCTGTAAGAGCAACGCAAGCCAAATGACCTCACTTTTGAACCAAATCTAATAGAATCTTATGTTGTATATAGCCAATTAAAAAAAAAGAATAATTATGATGGCCAATTAGGCAGACGTAATTTGATGACCTCAATACCATGTTACCAACTCTTATGGTCCCCAAAACAGAGGAATCATTCATTTCCCTGCCGTTTGGTTGCCGGGAAAACATAGGAAAATGGCACAAGAGAGAAGGGAAAGAGAAAGAGAAGAAAAGATGTGTCTGTTTTGTTGATGAATTCTCTAGTAGGATTTTCATCCTTTATACAAGCAATATTGAAACAGATGACGAATCAAACACAAGATCTCGAGTGGATAAATTTGCATTCGTATGCCGTAGTTAGATTGTACAATACATGATTCATATGATGATCTCATCAAATGTTTCCTCTTGATGCTTTGCACACATCATCATTACCAACATTATGTAAAACCACGTCCTTAATAGAATACTATTAAGCACACTTAAAAGTTAGAATTGAAAAACTATTTGATGGCCCCCATGGCTTTGGACTTTGCTTTAGTTACTTCCCCCTTCCTTTTCTTGAACCTATGGAGAATTAAAATTGCTTGACCTATGGAACACGTTCTCTCTTATTTAAATCTGGCATGACCAAGAAACAGTGTGGTGATTAAAATAACCCAGAAAGGGTTTTGTTTGTTCCTGCTGCTATCACCACACACCATCACCAAAACATAGCCAAAACCATCAAGGCAATCTCTTAAATTGTCACTTAAAAAACCTGCATTTTAGTGCACAAATTGTGGAAAGCCAATTGACACAAACTGTATAACTTTCTCCTAATCATTGACACAAATTTGTATAACCAAAAGAATCACAAGGCAGATTTTTGCATAAATTGAAAACATGGGAAAGAAAGATTCATCAAATGGAAGCATATTGTGCCTAATTTGGATGCCCACTTTCTAAGCAAATGGTTTGTTGTGAACTGACAGCAGCATATATTCTTGTTGGGCAAAAACTCAAGGGTAAGCAAGCTGACCTCACCCACACCCTCACCCCCAATGAACCTAGGAACTTCCCCAAATTACAAGACATCATCCCATGACCTCTATGAGCAACGCAAGAAAAATGACCTCACTTTTGAACAAATCTGACACATGTTCTTATAGAATCTTTCTCACCAGTCCCAATTCAACCTCCTTCTAGGACATATATTTATATTGATCTATTTCTTAATCCTATGTTTTATAGCTGATTAGCAAAACAAGATTGATGATGAATTACGCAGACGTAATTCGTGACCTCAATGCCAACTTATGGTCCCCAAAACAGAGGAATCATTCATGCAATGGCACACAAAAACTGTGATCTGCTGCAGCATCTGCCAGGTTATATTTTAATTTTTATTTCCTTTTAATAATGCAACTTAATTAACCAAACCCACCTGGTTTTGAAATTGGAAAGAATAACAGGAAAAAGTCATGTCAGATATATACAAAATTGACCCTCTCCTTGAAAGCCATCACCTTGATCTCCTCCAATACAGTCATAATACTTTGTATCCAATAAATAAACAATCTTTATCAAATGGGCATCTGAGTCTGATTTGTCAACTTCTGTTTCTACCCAATTAGGCACATTTCCAACCCAATATAAATTCCCAGAGTGAGGCTTCAATAGTTTAACTCAGTAGGCCATATGGAAGGAGGTCGAAGCAGAGGCAAAGCCAGAGAAGAGGGACAGAGGGATGTGAAGTACAGAGGCGTGAGAATAAGGCCGTGGGGGAAGTTTGCAGCTGAAATACGCGATTCGACACGGCAGGGAGCTCGGCTGTGGCTTGGCACTTTCAACACTGCACAAGAGGCTGCAAGGGCTTATGACAGAGCTGCTTTTTCCATGAGGGGTCCTCTTGCAATTCTCAATTTTCCAAGTGAATATGGTTTGCCTGAAGCTGATCATTCTACTTCTGCTGCTTCTTCTTCTTCTTCTTCTTCTTCTTCTTCTTCTTCATCTTCTTCGTCTTCGTCTTCATCTAATTTTTCATCTTCTTCTACATTGCATAATAATGTGACCACCAGGACAGAAACAGGAAGAGAAATCTTTGAGTTTGAGTATTTAGATGATAGTGTGTTAGAGGACCTTCTTGATTTCGACAACAAAAGCAAGAGTGAGTGAAGAACTTGGTGTAATACAAATCACACAACTCAAATCTATGCTTAACTAGTGAAAAACCGAACATCGACTTTAGAATTCTGTTTCTGCAAATCGAAGCTTCAAATTTTTTTTATGTTCTCTCTGTTTCGGCGGTGTAGGATTCGAATCAAATTTTTGGTTAAATATTAAAGTTCTGATCCCATGTGAAAATACCATGAAAGTTGTCATGCTCATGTGTTGTCAATCTAGTGACCTTTCTGTTTTAGTATTAACCCAAGTATTATAATCTTGTTTTGTTATGAACCCAATTATTATATTCTTAATCACTGTCATTATATCATATTTGAAGACTAATAGAAAATTAAATATATGACTTGAGCAACTGTAATTGTAAGAAACTGTGTTTCCTTGGATCCATAGATGCCTTGTTGAGCAAGTTGACTGCGTTATCTTCTGCAAAAAAAATTGGTCATAGCAGCTCAATGATTGGCATTATGTTGCTTGAAATCATAACCAAAAGTCAAGAACAGCCAGCATCTTCATTATTCATTTTTTTTGGGTCGCACCAATGTACGGATTTGTTTCCACATTATAATATCAGGTAAATTTCCCTGCTCCTTTTACCTTCACAAGTTTTGTTTTTACTGAGATAAAAAAGACTGGTAGAGATAAATAAGTCAGAGTAACAACTGGCTACAATGAATTTCACAAAGAAAGAAACAAACAGAGCTAAACCAACTTCAATTTTGCCTTAAGTTCAAGCAAAACCAGTCAATTTCTCTAATGGGTTGGTTTCCCCTGTCTATGATGATCCTCTTTTGTGTCAAGAAGCTCCTCCAAAACCATGTTGTCCAAGTACTCAAACTCTATAACTTCATCTTCTTCTTGGCCTCTGCCAAAATTAGTACTCTTTCCAATATCAGCAGCAGAAAATGGAGATGGTGATGAAGAAGAAGATGAAGAGGATGAAGTGCTGATCAAAGAGCTTGATGGGTTATGATACTGGTAGTCATTAGGGAAGTTGAGGATGGCCAAATGACCCCGGAAGCCGAAAGCAGCTCGATCATAAGCCCTAGCTGCCTCTTCAGCTGTCTCAAATGTGCCTAGCCATAGGCGTGCCCCATTTCTTGAAGGGTCACGTATTTCAGCAGCAAACTTGCCCCACGGTCGCCTCCGAATCCCTCGATACCGGGTTTGATCTCTTACCTTAGTCTGCTCCTTCTGCTGGTTCTCCACTCTCTTCCCTTCCATGTTAAGCAAAAACAGGAAGTCTTGATTCAAATTTGGTGGCAAAAATATGGGTTGTGACATGCAAGATATATAGCGCATGGTGTGGTCTCTGGTGGGGACTAATAAATTAAGCTGGTCCAATCTGATGGTTGATGGGTTGGAACATGTTTTTTTGGGCAAGAAGAAAAGGCAAACCTCCCTTTGGCCATTAAGAAGGCCTTTGAGCATTATATATATTACTGTATATGCATAGATGTCTGCTTATTATTATTATTTGACCGTGGCAAATTGATTTTTGATTGTTATACAAGTGGGTATTGGGAGAGACGATACAGACACATAACTTTAAGAGCATGAATAACTGCTATTAATCACTTACTCTACAAACCCCTTACGACCACGACAATTTGGTGAAGGAAAATTATGGAGGTGCATGCATATTTGATATGTGGGAGGAATTATTGTGGAAGGGTTTTGAACTTTTGACGGCTGGCTGGCTGGCTGGCTGGCTGGCCAGACAGAGAGAGAGTGAGTAATAGTCTGGTATTGGTGATTGATTGGTGCGTTCCATTCCATCTTTGGCGTATTTCAGACATTGGCCGCCTTCGATGTCCCCTTCTTGGTCTGGTCTCTAAACTCGCCTTTTTAGAACAAGCAAAGAAAACGACATGTCGTGCTTTTCATTGATAAGCGACAAAACGCATCAATGCGACGACGTATTGCTGTTTTTGTTTTGGTCGGACAACGTATTGCTTTGTCATGCGGATGCAGATGGGTTTCCAATAGGAATAAATGAGATGTCCAATTGCATCCAAGAAAGCCCACAAGTAATTGCAACATTGGCAAGCCCAATTGAATAGGCACTACTAGCCCAACTGTCAACAACGTTGTTAGAAGTTCATGATTTTTTTTCTTCTTAAATCCAAGTTATTATTTTCTTTTTCGGATTTTGATTCATTCCTGCATATATTTATCGGATAATACTCTCTAAGATGCCTTGTTCTCTTAGCTTCAAAAAATAAGGTTTTGTTCATTTAAACTAAACACGATACAAAGTATTTCAATTAATTTACGATCACTTATATGATTGTCAAGCAAGTTGCAGCGGACCCCAAATTAGAAATTTTCATCTTAAGAAACTGTCTAAAGTCCACTCTTATCACCCAACCTCCTCACTTAAGAGGGTCATCCCACCTCTATCTAAGTGGTTGGGTACAAATTGATGTGACTTAAGTATGCATAACCAAAAGCACGGCCTTTAAAGGCCAGCCCCAAGCAGAGTCATGAATCATTTCATTTTGGTTACTTTTCTCCTTCTTGAATTGATTGATTTTTTGAATGGGGTCGTAGTGTTCCATTAGAAAGTGAAATCACATATTTTTTATGTGTTTCCTTAGTGTTTGTGTAGACTTATAGCAAAAAGACTCTTTTTGCTTCCCGTTTGTAATTCATAGTTGTGTATAAGATGAGCCAAAATTCCAAGTTCCAATTCAACGCAATTAGGTGATAAAACCAGTAGTTAGTGCAAACCATGTCCGGCAATCCAGTATTGACACGGATTCAAGTTTTTCAGGCTCAGAAACACAAAGAGAAACATTAGGTCAACACATGCATTATAATTTATATCTTTTACATAGCATGAAGGAATACCAACTAACCCCATAATGCTGCAAATAATAATTGAATATATATATATATATAAGTGATTCAAATCAATGTCACCCATCTAGAGAATTCCTCTTTGGCTAGTCATCAAATTTGCAGAATTCCTCTTGTTGAATAAACCCATTCAACTCATAATTATAATGCAAGTTGCAATCAAATGTTGCTTTTTGGGGCAATCTGCATGCACAAAACCAGGCCTCTCTCTCTCAAGTGAGCTTCCAGGAAACAGCTATAATTAAGCACGAATTAGCACACCTTACCTTAATTAATCTCTTAATGACACTAATTAAATATGCCTTTGAAAGTTTTCCCACCTGCAGAAGAAAAAAAGCGAGTCTAGACTAGACTACATAGAAGTCTGTTAAAACCACATTAGAAAACTGAAGTAAGATTTAAAGAAAGAGACAAAGAGAGGTTCTTGGAAAGTACTGAGGCTTGCAACTTGAGAAAAAAGCTGAATTAACAAAATCAGTGGTAAAACACACGTGCTTAAATTAAAAGCTAATATAATGTGATAGCTCGGATGAGTGACAACGAGACAATGAGACTGTGATACTGTGGGAGTATGCAATGCATTTAACCCAGTTGGGTTCCTTTTCAGGCCAAGACCCATGAAGTGTATGGTGCATAGAATATACTTAGGTGCAGGAAACAAGTATTAATATAAAGCCAAAACTTTTTGCGACGTTCTTACATAATTGTTTAGCCTTTTCCACTCTTGACTTTTTTTCAAGTGCTTCTTGAATTTTTGCGTAGACATTTGACTTTAATCAGATTCACTTCTCATCTGCAACTGCAACTGTACAAGTGTTCGTGTGTGAGAGCTTTCATGTTTTCTATCTTCTCACTTCTCTTGCTTGTTAAGCCAGAAAAAGAGTTATGTAGAGGATACGCAAATACCACAGGACAAAACAAAGAGTCTAAATCAATGGAGACACCAAGGCCTGCATACACATGTATAATCTTAGGTTTATGCTCTAGCAAGTTTTAGGATAAACGATGTAACCATAACATTGCTGTCATGTAGTATTATTAATTTACTCATATTATAATACGTGTATATTCCGCTGATCACTCATGTTATAACATGGTGTTATAATCACACACGAACATTTCTCTAATTTTACGTTGGTTGAATCTTTCTGATGACTATGTTACTTAATATCTGTTCTTAAGGGTTTGAGGATAAAGACTGAGCTAGCTACCATGATTAAAGCAATAATTAATTGGAGGATAAAGATGTGTACTAGTACATGCACTTGCTCGGTTATTATTAAACTCACACGACACGAGGGCTTATCATGATTCATTTCACAAATCCAAGTTAAAATGAAAGCATATGCTGTCCTTAATCCTTTCCTAATTAACCTAATATGCTATAAGGTAATTTATATAGCCTAACATTATTGATCGAAGATCTCTTTTTCAACGATAAAAAAAGAACATTCATAAAAGATAAGCCTATCACGTTTTTTACCCCAAAAAAAAGTTGTACATGTCTTTCGCATTTTGGATTGGATGATGTGAATTTGATCTTGGTTCATGCACCCAGCCCAGAACTTCTCATAACATTCCATGGCCGATGGCCCCCATCTGCCCCCCAAAAAAAAATTTGAAGTGCACTCACAACAAGTTGCAAAGTTGGCTCACCACCCAAGCCACGATTGGATTTGGACCACCAAATATTTGAAATTTGCAAAAGCTTTTTAATTTGTGTTTTATTACTTTTTTTTAATTATATAGATAATTAAGGGAAAATAATGTGTCGACTGTGAAAAAAATACGAATGGGGATGTGACACATAACATTTGATTCTGTATGTTTATGGTGAGCAAGTGGTATTATTCTATGAATAAGTTGGCTAGGCCCTAACATGTATAGGATTTAATAATTTGGCAAAAAAAAATTATTTGAGATAATGATAATATAAAGAAATATAGTCACCGTGGCCTCGTATAGTTTAACATCTAACCAATGTAATTTATAATTTAATTACGTGACAACTAGAAAGCTGGTCGGTTGAGGATGAAACAAAACATTGAAAATTGCAATCCCCAATGCGACAAAAGTAAATGGAAGTTTAACGTTGTCACCGATTTCATTCACAATAACATAGGCTTATTTTTATTTTAGGGTAATGATTTTTCCACTCCAATTTTATCCACTTACACTCCTTTTTTAGTTATAAAATGAAATGTAAGTGAATAAAATTAGAGTGGGGAAATCACCACTCTTATTTTAATGAGGAATAACATAGGTTTTCATAAATAAATATTACTTAGTGTCTCTAAATTACAAAGGAGAAGAGATAGTTTCTCATAGACACTATTTTAAGGTGTTATTTGAGTTCGAACTTGAAACCACTAATCTGCAAGTCAATTCTTTTTTCTATTGAGCCGGATTCTGTTGACAATTATAGGGGTCTTTGCATCAAAGGTCTATGTGTCAGTTTGCTGTTTTATTTTATCTTGCTCTAGCATTGGTCATGCGTGACTGTTTCAAACTCTCTTGTTAGTCAATGACATGTGTGGTACTATTTCCTACCATAATATTTGTCCCTTAAGAAAGTTTTAATGAGGCCACTGTTTCTTGTCGTTCTATGTACGCTACTTTGATTTTATGAATGAATTCCATTTCTATAAAAATAATAAAAAATAATAAAAAATAGATGTTTCATGGACATTCAAACTCTTTTTTTGGTATTAGATATCAAGGACCGGCACTACTCTCTAGCAAAGGGAAGCTAAAACAGAAGTTAGATTTAACCACCTTTTGTGGTGCAAGGGACTAAAAGGAGTGGTTATGCTTCAAATTATTAAACAAATAGAAATGCAATCTAAGAAAAATGTCACCATGCATATCCCAACAAATCATTGCTTAGGAAAATGGCAGACATATATTTATAAGCAACTATAGTCAAAATTCAATTGACCAAGTCCAGATATGTTGAGCCAACCTCCATGCATGACTAATGCAATAATCCTATGAACTTCTACATTTTTTACTCTTACCGCATTTGTATATCACATTTTCATATCACTTTATGTGGCAGATGAGGTATACATCCACATCAATTAAAAAGTGTCAATAAATCATAAAAGAATAGAAAATATTAAATTAATTTTAATTGATGTGGATGTCCACCTCATTTGCCACATAAGATGATATGAGAATGTGATAAGAGTAGCATTACTCAATTAATTATATATATATATGGGCATTGTGGAGAAGAACAATGTACATAGAACAAAAACATAGGTAAGGGCGGACCTACGAAGGGGCTGATCAACTAGGCTTTATTGTACAACAGTATCCACTACAATTAAATATTAACCCACTTATCTTTTAGAATTCAGCATATCCTAACCACACAAATAAGATTTTATTTTCTTCTACCCACATAAATCCTACCATATTATATATATATAATATATAATCCTACCATATAATATTAATTAGCCCAAAAATTCCTGGTTATAAAAGATCTCCCAAAAAAAAAATTAGCCAATCCCTAGAAAAATTCTTGACTCCGCCGTTGAACAGAGGCCAGTGAGAAATTAAAAAATTGAAGTTTAAACTTTTGGGTTAATCTTAGGTTAAGTATCGGTCTCAAATTTTAATTACATGCAGTGTTGAAAATGACATCTCATGTGTAAGAGGATTTACTTTTTCTTCCAGTTCAGATATTTCCTGTTTTTTTGTTTAATGATATAATTAATTAAGAACAAATGACCTTTTTAGATTAATCCAAGTCATGTTGGCAAGCCAAGGATTTTGGAGGGTTGCTAACTTCATTTTTCTTATGTGGCTAACTCCGAATTTAATTTCATAAAGCCAAAGTGATGGATTTGAAGCTATTTATTGGTAATTCATGGCTCGTTTAGTATCGAATTCGATTTTGATTTTTTTTTAATTTTGATTAAAAACGGAGGAGAAATATATAGAAGGATTGAGGGATAACAAATGGTGCACAGAAGAGTGATGGAAAGAATGTAGAATGTCACTTGTATAAAAATAAAAATAAAAATCACTGTGAATAATGAAGTTATTTAGAGAAAGATAAAGAGTTATAAAAACAAGTGTTAAGTAAAAACAAAACAGTTTTAGAAAAAATACAATAATATTTCTTCTTCAAGATTTTTCATATAGTAAACAGTGATGTCGACGATATTATAATATGCATAAATACATAAAATCTAATTAAACACAGTATTATAATATGTTTCTTCTTTAATGTTTTTTTTTATACAGTTAATAATGATGTCAAGGATCTTCTATATGATATTTTGATTCCCCACTTACACAAACTACAATCTAGTAGTTATTTACTTTATCTTTCAAATTATTCATTTTGTTTTAATACGTGATCGGGAAAGGAAAAAGGAGAGAACTCATACATACGGATACGACGAGCGCTTGAACTCAGGACTAATTAGAAGCAAGCTAAAAGCTTGGGCCAATCCAACTAACACCTCGTGACTAAGTTTGCTGATAGGCTGTCAGCCAACTACTACACAGGTGCACAGTGCACTAGCTCACAACAAAAGATTCCTACGAACTGTTTATTCAATTCGTTATGCCAACCGACCTCAAAATTGCAAATTAAAGTAGATTGCCATGATGCCACGGCAACACAATCTTATATTAAAATAATTATGTAAATGTAATTTTGGTCAAATCCCGCCGCCGTGCCTTATTTGACCCACGTGCGTAAATATATTGGTCCTTGCAATATAGAAAGAACAATTAATCTGCACTAGATTTTGGTACTGCAATCCTAAAAACATCCTCCCTCACCACAAATCGTAGCTTTCAGCTGTTTTTTTTTAATCCTTTTAATGTTATTCTAAGATATGCCCCTTGTAATTCTTTTGGCTTTTTGTTCGAAGTTCAAACGCCCTCCTTTTTTTCTTCAAGTATATAAAGGGCACGGCACTTTTTTGGTACCAAGAAAATACCAAACCCCAAAACCCAAAACCCAACCCACATGGAGATGGAATCTGCTAATTTCTTCCAATTTTCTAGTGCCTCAGATTTCTCACCAGAGTCTTCTTTTGGCTCACTGGACTCTCTCTCATGGGAAGATGAAGAAGCACTCTTGCTTCCTTTCAACAACCCCAATGAGATGATGAGTTTTTTACCATTTGACATGAATGACTCTGGGGAGATGCTGCTCTATGATGCTCTGGCCAAAGGGGCAAAAGAGACATTTTCGTCTCATGATGACCAGGCCAATTGCTTCAATATTGGAGTTGTTAAAGAAGAGGAGGTCACTTCCAATATTGCCCATCATCAAGCTTTTGAAGAGAAGCCCACAACGGAAAAGTCCTACAGAGGGGTGAGGAGGAGGCCTTGGGGAAAATATGCAGCAGAAATTAGAGACTCGACAAGGCATGGGATTAGGGTTTGGCTTGGCACATTTGATAGTGCTGAGGCAGCTGCTTTGGCTTATGACCAAGCTGCATTTGCCCTAAGGGGTTCTTTGGCTGTGCTTAATTTTCCAGCACAAGTTGTCCAAAAGTCTCTTCAAGACATCAAGTATAAGCATGATGAGGGGTGCTCCCCTGTGGTTGCCCTCAAGAGGAAGCACTCCATGAGAAGAAAGTCAATGTCTAAAAAGAGCAAAGCCATTACCAGCCAACAATGTACAGAGCAAAGAGTAAAGGAGGTTTCGCCACAAAATAATGTGATGGTTTTTGAGGATTTGGGTGTCGAGTATTTGGAGGAACTTTTGGAACAAAGCTATTAGTAATATTTCACCTTTCATTCGGACATCTTGTATTTTTTTTTAGTACAAGCGCTAGTCTCGTGCTTTTTATTTTATTTTTATTAGTTTAATTAATTACTGAGTTCTTTCTTTTTTTAGTTTGACCTTCTTCTTTTTTCCTCTTTACCTTGACCTTGGATCAAAGATTGTTGTTAATCTTTGAAGCTGTCTTGGTGCAGGGTTAGATCTAGGGCCTAGTAAATTCTATTAACTATAATTTCCTCCTCTTTGTAAATTTGAAAAAGATGGAATGTACACCTTTGGATCAAATATCTTCTTCTGCCTCCATTATTGAAGTCTAAAATATTACAGGAAACCTATATATTATAAAACATCCAGTGGCCTCTATATGTTAATGGATTAGGAAGCAAAGACATGAATGATCTGCATGTCTACTGGCCCCTAGAATCTGAAACTTTACTTTACCAATGTAATTAGAGTCAAAGGCTGGCAGCTTACTCTTGATTTTCATTTGTAATTATCACCAATTAAGCATAATTAATTTGTATGAATGTGACACAAGATTGACGTATTGTTTATCCACTATAGGTTGTACATGAATTTGTTTATGCCTCCATTGTCAAGAATTCGTTCGGTTTGTGACACCAGCAGAACAATAAGTCAAGAATATTAAATGAACCTAACTCAGTTGTTTGATTGTTATCCTCCAACATTGAACAACTTTTGTTTCCTAGTTTTGATGTTTTGCCCTGGGAAAGAGATGGGCATGTCAATGATGTCATGAACCACTCCCACTATTTTATTCTGTCTCTCTTTTTTTTCTTTAACTTATTGAGGGAGCTGAGAGAGCATATCCGTTTCCGCCCGAACTAGTTCCACTTTTGGTATCCGACTGAAGATATTTAGCCAAAAAAGGGCTTGCAAATAATGGGCCAAACCCTCACAACCAAACATAGGGCCACGACCCCACAACACTAGAAAACAAAGGGGAAAAACAGGTGCAAAGCCCACCTAACGGGCAACAAGCTCAATAGTGACGGACAGCCGAAGAACAACTAAGGAAACGCTACAACATACTCACAAAATTAGGCAGAGTGCAGATGTGTTTAGGCTAGTTGGCCAAAGTAATGTGCTTGTTCTTTTGCATTCGATTTCAAATCTCCTCCCCGTACATTACAGTATTTTAGATTATCATTGTTGTAAAAAGAAAAAAAAGAAAGAAAAAAGGAAAAGTAACCGAAAGCCATATATTATTAACCCTTGGAAAAAAAAACAACTCATCTTGGCCAAGCAAACAAAATAATTCAGTAAAAAAGGGCATCTGCTAAAATTGTCAATTAATTTGAAAATATGTCATATGTTAATTTAGACTATTTTACCACTGAACATCTTCACGTGACAAAAATAACGCCACACAAAGGTATTTTCTCCAATTGTAGAGGATAGAGGGATTAGGACTCTATGATAATCCAATGCTTTAGGTATTATGAGGGGCTATGTTGAGGGGTTATAATGAGGGGTACAATCCAATAATTCAATAATAACTCTGTATTTGATTGGACCGCTATAAGAAACCCTTACAACAACAACAACTAACAACAGAGCATAATCAATATATAATAGTGATTTAGCAATAAGAAATACAACCGAAAATCCATTCACAAACTATAACAAATAAGGCTTGTGGGAGCCCGGCTTGGCCCAATGAGAGGGCTCGGGCTTTAACATTCGAAACCTCATATCAACTCGGACGAAAAATAAAAAAGGCCAACAAGGCCCGACCCGAGCCCAACCCCAAAGCCCGACCTAAGCCCAACAAGGCCAATAAGAAATCCTTACAACAACAACTAACAACAGAGGATAATCAATAATAGTGATTTAGCAATAAGAAATACAACTGAAAATCCATTCACGAACTATAACAAATAAGGCTTGTGGGAGCCCGGCTTGGCCTAATGAGAGGGCATAGGCTTTAACATTCGAAACCTCATATCAGCTCGGACGAAAAATAAAAAAGGCCAACAAGGCCCGACCCGAGCCCAACCCCAAAGCCTGACTTGAGCCCAAAAAGGCCAATAAGAAATCCTTACAACAACAACTAACAACAGAGCATAATCAATAATAGTGATTTAGTAATAAGAAATACAACTAAAAATCCATTCACAAACTATAACAAATAAGGCTCGTGGGAGCCCGGCTTGGCCCAATGAGAGGGCTCAGGCTTTAACATTCGTAACCTCATATAAGCTCGGACGAAAAATAAGAAAGGCTAACAAGGCCCGACCTGAGCCCAACCCCAAAAATTTAGGGTCGGCTAGGCCTGATGCTAATCCTAATTTTACAATAACAGACAAGGGGTTATTGATGATTTTCTGTATTTCCTCATCCCTCCATCAAAATCTTGTGGATTTCCAGGGTCCTAGAGTCGATTGGGCTGTGGCTTAAGTAACCTACCATTCCTCGTACATTAGAGTATTTTAGATTATCGTTGTTGTAAAAAGAAAAAAAAAAGGCAAAAAGCCAAAACCAATAATCCAGTAAAAAGAGGGCATCTGCTAAAATTGTCAATTAATTTGAAAATATGTCAATATCATAGACATGATTGACACCAATACGAGACAAACACACATAAGCATTAATAGGATGAATATGAATATGCGATGCTTTGTAGGGAATCCACTACAAATTAGAAAATTAATAGTTTGACAAGTGCAAAAATATAATATGTTAAACATGCCAAAGTAGGAGTAGATATGGCTTGACCAGTGGGAATTGCCAAGCAATGCGATTCCAGCAAAACATGGTCTTCCTGTGGAGTAGTCTCCATCATCAACATTTGTTGTCGAAGACCTCTTGGTGGGTTAAGAAGGTTTTGAAAACAGAATATGGCTATCACAGAAGAGAGAAGCAGCAACGTGCCCTGACTTTCCTCCACCCAACCCTTGTGTTTAAAGAATTTTGTCAATTTGCTCACAAATTTGCTTGCAAAACTTGCATTTTCTTCTCTGTTTCCAACAACAGCGGATGCTGTTGGAGGTTGGTGATGACTTTTAATATTTCCTCTGACCTCCACGGACTTGATAGAGGCTTCCTCAGACAGATTCTCTACATCTACAGTAATAGGCACAGATTCTTCATTCATATCCAAAACTTCTTCAACAATCTCCATTGTCCAACAATCTGAAAACAAATACTGTAAAACAAGAGCTCTCAAATGCCTTAGAAAGATGCAAAGTAAAAAGAAAAAAATAAGAAGAAAAGGCAAAGAAACCGAAAGCCATATATTATTAACCCTTGGAAAAAAAACAACTCATCTTGGCCAAGCAAACAAAATAATCGAGTAAAAAGAGGGCATCTGCTAAAATTGTCAATTAATTTGAAAATATGTCATATGTTAATTTAGACTATTTTACCACTGAACATCTTCACGTGACAAAAATAACGCCACACAAAGGTATTTTCTCCAATTGTAGAGGATAGAGGGATTAGGACTCTATGATAATCCAATGCTTTATGTATTATGAGGGGCTATGTTGAGGGGTTATAATGAGGGGTACAATCCAATAATTCAATAATAACTCTGTATTTGATTGGACCGCTATAAGAAACCCTTACAACAACAACTAACAACAGAGCATAATCAATATATAATAGTGATTTAGCAATAAGAAATACAACCGAAAATCCATTCACAAACTATAACAAATAAGGCTCGTGGGAGCCCGGCTTGGCCCAATGAGAGGGCTCGGGCTTTAACATTCGAAACCTCATATCAACTCGGACGAAAAATAAAAAAGGCCAACAAGGCCCGACCCGAGCCCAACCCCAAAGCCCGACCTAAGCCCAACAAGGCCAATAAGAAATCCTTACAACAACAACTAACAACAGAGGATAATCAATAATAGTGATTTAGCAATAAGAAATACAACTGAAAATCCATTCACGAACTATAACAAATACGGCTTGTGGGAGCCCGGCTTGGCCTAATGAGAGGGCATAGGCTTTAACATTCGAAACCTCATATCAGCTCGGACGAAAAATAAAAAAGGCCAACAAGGCCCGACCCGAGCCCAACCCCAAAGCCCGACCTAAGCCCAACAAGGCCAATAAGAAATCCTTACAACAACAACTAACAACAGAGGATAATCAATAATAGTGATTTAGCAATAAGAAATACAACTGAAAATCCATTCACGAACTATAACAAATACGGCTTGTGGGAGCCCGGCTTGGCCTAATGAGAGGGCATAGGCTTTAACATTCGAAACCTCATATCAGCTCGGACGAAAAATAAAAAAGGCCAACAAGGCCTGACCCGAGCCCAACCCCAAAGCCTGACTTGAGCCCAAAAAGGCCAATAAGAAATCCTTACAACAACAACTAACAACAGAGCATAATCAATAATAGTGATTTGGTAATAAGAAATACAACTAAAAATCCATTCACAAACTATAACAAATAAGGCTCGTGGGAGCCCGGCTTGGCCCAATGAGAGGGCTCGGGCTTTAACATTCGTAACCTCATATAAGCTCGGACGAAAAATAAGAAAGGCTAACAAGGCCCGACCTGAGCCCAACCCCAAAAATTTAGGGTCGGCTAGGCCTGATGCTAATCCTAATTTTACAACAACAGACAAGGGGTTATTGATGATTTTCTGTATTTCCTCACCCGTCCATCAAAATCTTGTGGATTTCCAGGGTCCTAGAGTCGATTGGGCTGTGGCTTAAGTAACCTACCATTCTCAATACCTTGTCATTGGCATGAGTTGCTTCTCTCTTTATAACAGGTAGTGAAAGCGAGAATTTCAGAATATGTACACAAAGTTGTAACATCGAATATAAGACAAACTGCAAAGCCCACCTAACATACAACAAGCTCAATAATGATGGACAATCTAAGAACAACCAGTGAAACGCCACAACAAACACGCACAAAATTAGATAAAGTGTAAATGTGGGTTAGGCTAGTTGGCCAAGGTAATGTGCTTGTTCTCTTGCATTCGATTTTAAATCCCTTCCTCGTACATTATAATATTTTAGATTATCGTTGTTGTAAAAAGAAAAAAAAAAGAAGAAAAAAGGCAAAGTAACCGAAAAAAAAAAAACCATGCAAATAAAATAATCCAATAAAAAGAGGGCATTTGCTAAAATTGTCAATTAATTTGAAAATATGTCAATATCATAGACATGATTGACACCAATACGAGACAAACACACATAAGCATTAATAGGATGAATATGAATATGCGATGCTTTGTAGGGAATCCACTACAAATTAGAAAATTAATAGTTTGACAAGTGCAAAAATATAATATGTTAAACATGCCAAAGTAGGAGTAGATATGGCTTGACCAGTGGGAATTGCCAAGCAATGCGATTCCATCAAAACATGGTCTTTCTGTGGAGTAGTCTCCATCATCAACATTTGTTGTCGAAGACCTCTTGGTGGGTTAAGAAGGTTTTGAAAACAGAATATGGCTATCACAGAAGAGAGAAGCAGCAACGTGCCCTGACTTTCCTCCACCCAACCCTTGTGTTTGAAGAATTTTGTCAATTTGCTCACAAATTTGCTTGCAAAACTTGCATTTTCTTCTCTATTTCCAACAACAGCAGATGCTGTTGGAGGTTGGTGATGACTTTTAATATTTCCTCTGACCTCCACGGACTTGACAGAGGCTTCCTCAGACAGATTCTCTACATCTACAGTACTAGGCACAGATTCTTCACTCATATCCAAAACTTCTTCAACAATCTCCATTGTCCAACAATCTGAAAACAAATACTGTAAAACAAGAGCTCTCAAATGCCTCAGACAGATGCTTTAAAACAAGAGCTCTCAAATGCCTTAGAAAGATGCAAAGTAAAAAGAAAAAATAAGAAGCAAAGGCAAAGAAACCGAAAGCCATATATTATTAACCCTTGTAAAAAAACAACTCATCTTGGCCAAGCAAACAAAATAATCGAGTAAAAAGAGGGCATCTGCTAAAATTGTCAATTAATTTGAAAATATGTCATATGTTAACTTAGACTATTTTACCACTCAACATCTTCATGTGACAAAAATAACGCCACACAAAGGTTTTTTCTCCAATTAAAAAAAGATAGATGGATTAGGACTTTATAACAGTTCTATGTTGAGAGGTTATAATGAGGGGTACAATCCAACAATTTAATAATAACTTTGCAATAATAACTCCAATTTGTATGTATCAAATTGCTATAAGAATTCTTTACAACAACAACAGAGCATAACCAACATTATTGATTTAGCAATAAGAAATACAACTGAAAATCCGTTCCCAAATTAGTTATAACATATAAAGCTCGTGGGAGCCCGGCTTGGCCCAATGGGTGAGCTCGGGCATTAACATTTGAAACGTTATACCAACCTGAACAAAAAAATAAGAAAGGCCAACAAGGCCCGACCTGAGCCCGACCCCAAAAATTTAGGGCTTGCTAGGCCTGATGCTAACCCTAATTTTGCCAAGGGTTAATAATATTCCTAGAGTCGATTGGAATGTGCCTTAAGTAACCTACCATGCTCAATACCTTGTCATTGATATGAGTTGCTTCTCTCCTTATAATAGGTAATGAAAGCTGAAATTTTAGAATATATGTACACTAAGCAAATTGGTCATACATCAAATAGCGTTTTTGGTAACTTGTGGTAACGCATACAATTGCAAATTAGTAATGGACTCCCTCAAGAATAATTTAACGGAATCATAATTAATCTAATTAAAACAAGCGGCAAAAAAGTCAATTTTCCATAAAAGTTAATTTAAGTACAACAAATACAATAACACAAACTTCCCAACATGGTTCTAAAACATTTCTTCAACAAATACAAATACAATATACATACCTGGCTTCCGTGTAAAAATGTCGTCAAATGACAAAGTGAGCCTTGGAAATTAGATTGCGCATATATTTATTGAGGTTAATTTTGTTCATTGAGGTAATTTATTGGTCTAATTACCTATACACTAGGTGTAAGCTTAGGTACCTTAAGGTATGAATTTCTCATAAACTCTTACTACAAATTTTGATGTCGGTATATCTTGGGAAATTTTCAACATTCTATAAATAGATTTGCAATTAAATTCAAATCAAATACAAATATGATAATTAATGTCCTACAAATCAATAACTTACCTGTTTTATGAATTCATAATTTGGCTTATTTATGTTTTAGGTGCATAATTGGAACAAAAAATAAAAAATACATAAAAGTAAACATCAATAAATTAAAAAAGGCATGTAATCTTAAATGGTGCAAAACTCAAAGGACTTGGATCAACAACAACTTCTGAGTGGATTGCACCCTCCAGAAAAAATTGCTTAAGAAAACTCAAGAGAAAAACACTTACCTGTAAGGTAGGTACATATATATACAAGCAAAACACATTATATATATATAAGGAAATGCATACACATATACATATATACATGTATAAAGAATTTAGCATTTTTCCATTTAATACTCGTATTATACACGTATATACATATTTTCAATAATTCTTCTATTTTCCGTCTACGTCTTAAAGACTCAATATAATGAAAGCAAATGTATAATACACATATTATACACGTACGCACGTATTTTAATGATTATTTAATATCAAAGAACAAAACAAAAGGTCCACAAAATAATTAAAAATAATTAATTACTATTTACCATGTAATTTACGAAATCAGTAAAATATTTAAATATTCACTAAAGAAATTATAATTAAAACAAAATTACTAATTAAAGTAATTAAAAAAAAGTCTAAGGTATTACTTAATTACATGTATTAAATTAAAGAAGTTCACCAAAAAAAAAAGTAAAGTAACTAATTTTATATTTTTAAAATTTTAAAATTCTATTTTTTTTATTTAAAAAAAAAGCAAAACAATCTCTCCCAATGAAATTTCGTCGGCACAAGTCTATGCCGGCAATATTTGCAGGATTAGATCTCTCTCGAGAAAAACACCTGCCGACGACATTTCATCGAGAGAATTCTAATCTGGCAAGCAGTTGTCGGCATAGACCTGTGCCGACGAAATTTCATCAGGAGATGTTTTAAAATATATATATATATATATGTATAAACTTAGTATCTGTAGGTCAAAGATTTTTTTATAAAAAAAAATCTTTTTTGTAATTAATTATCATATTTGTATTTGATTTGAATTTAAAATAAAAAAAATTTGTATTTCAAATCAAATTTAATACAAGCGGCAAAAATGTCAATTTTCCATAGAAGTTAATTTAAGTACAACAAATACAATAACACAAACTTCCCAACATGGTTCTAAAACATTTCTTCAACAAATACAAATACAATATACATACCTGGCTTCCGTGTAAAAATGTCGTCAAATGACAAAGTGAGCTTTTGAGATTAATTTTGTTCATTGGGGTAATTTATTGGTCTAATTACCTGTACACTAGGTGTAAGCTTAGGTACCTTACCTATTGTTAAGGTATGAATTTCTCATAAACTCTTACTACAAATTTTGATGTCGGTATATCTTGGGAAATTTTCAACATTCAATAAATATATTTGCAATTAAATTCAAATCAAATACAAATATGATAATTAATGTCCTACAAATCAATATTTGTTTTAAATGCCACTATTTGTATTATCAAATCAATATTTGTATTTGAAATATAAATGTGATTTGATATGATTAAATATCAAATCAATATTAAAAAAAATCTTTTTAGTAATTAATTATCATATTTGATTTGATTTGATTTGATTATCATATTTGTATTTGATTTGATTTGCCAAAGAAATACAAATATTTGATTTGATAATACAAATATTTGTATTTGATTTGATTTAAAATAGACTAGCTTCACTATTTGTAGAGTATAGCCGCGTGGATAAACTCTTTAAAATAAATAAATTGGGCCGCCTAGGGGATATGCAGGTCCTTTTAAATAAAATAAATAAATAGTATGGTTGCGCACCTATACTCTTTGAATATCTAACGGGTGCCTTTTTAAAATAAAAAACAAATTCTCCCTCATTTTCCTTTGTTGATAAGACTAGTCTAGCGCATTATCCATTGTATTTAGGCCATTACCAAGGTGTAGCTAGTCTCCAACCAAAAAAAAAAGGTATAGATATTGTCCCCTTTTGAAGATGAAAAAGGGATTCGTAATTTTTCAGAACAGATGAATCATTATCTTCCCCATTGGCAAAATCAAGATTACCAGATTTTCTTGTATAATGATGCTTAACTTGGCATTAAACAAATGCAGTTTAAATCAAAATAATATACCTGTTCTACTACACTTATTCCAACAACATCCATGGCTCTCCCGTTCCCTCTTCTTTATTTTCATTGGGTTAGGCATCATAGCTACTTCAGTCAACAATAGTCATAGGTTAGGAGCTTGCTTTGCAATTGTGGTTTACCACTAAGGCGAAGCCAAGTAGGAGTTCCAGAAATTTCTGTTGTGAATCTTGTGTTTGTCAACATAAGAGTGATTGATACGAAGTAATGGTTCTTATTAACTGATAACCTTTAAGCCCCATCTTCTCCAGAATCTTTTCGCAGGCTTCGTTTTCAGGAAAGCTGATAATATAGGCATTAAGTTCAGAAATGGGAACATAACCAAAACATCCATGAATAAGCAGGCAAGCCAGCAACAGTATGGAAGATAACAATGTGACAACATTAAAAGTGAAAGCATAAGGTGGCACTTACTCCATTTTTAGAACCTCAGGAGCCAGGATACAAAATCGAGTTAAAAATTCAGAAAAACTCCTGTAAGTAGGGTATCCTGCACATTTTATTCGGACTGCCTCTAAAACACCCTGCAAAAATAACAAAGTATAAATGCCACCAATTGATAATAAGTAATAGTACTATACACACAGTTCCCGTTGTACTTACACCAGAATGTAGTTGTTGCACGACATTGATATTCTCAAATATTGCAGGCTTTAGGACATTATTTGGCTTTATACATCTAATGTAATGGGGTTCTGTAGCATTTAGTGTTTCCATCAAGTGTTGGAGTTGTAGCTGCATCAATAAGGTCAGAAATTAAGTTTCACCTTTCTGCTGTAAATCGTTTCGACACATGGATTAATTTGATAATAATTTCTTTGGCAAAATCCAAAACAATCGTAAGCAATTTTCTTTCTTTCTGAGACCAGAATTGTAGACAAGAAGATAGCCAGAATAGAAGATACCTTAAAACGAGAACTGATAGATGAGAACTTGGAAGATTTGGCCGCCTCCTCAGTAAGTGAAGGGAAAAGGCATGCTACGAAAGAGCATTTTGAAGCACTCAACAAACATCAATGCTCTGGAACAATATAGTCTTTATTTTTGTTTAGAAATTGATCAGACAGATATTGTACCTAAAAAAAAGCAAAAATAGGTGAAGATACTTCAGTGGAAACCACAGTACAGACGATGGATTTCAGAACAAAATACAAGAACAAAGCTCACTTCTCCTGCATAATGAACAATGGTGAAATCTGAGCGGTTCAGTTTTGGCTTGATGAAGCATTTGTTATCTTTGAATGTCTGATACAGCTTTTGTGAAAATGTGTCATGAGTTGATTTTGGAAACATGCTGTAAAGAGACAAAGTTATCCCCCAAAAAAAAAATATCTGATTAGACAATGGTTGGATATGTCCTTTTTCCATCTAATTGTGCAAAGAATGAAAGTTTTATAAAAACGTTTCATAAAGGATATTCAAAGGATTAGATGGCTATCAATAAACTATCTAATTGATTAACTTGGTGGGCATGAAAAGCAGGGCCAGAACATTTAATGCAATGGTGGAATCCATACTTGGATTACAAATTTACACTGAAAACAACAGTTAATGGATAAAATATAGAGCAGTTTCTGGGTTTCATACAAATCTGGAGATATACTATTCATTTAATATGAAGTACCTGAGCAGGAACCTCTGTGTGAATGTGTGTGTGTGTGTGTGTGTGTGTGTGTGTGTGTGTGTGTGTGTAATATCAGTCAAGAACAGGGGATGCAAATCAGCAAACATGAAGTCCCATATATATGATCATTCATAAGGACTAACATCATGAGTGATGCATGATGCATCAAAGGAAAAGGGACAAGTCACTGCTTTTAGAATAATTTAAAGTTTGGAAACTTAAAGGTTATAACATGTCCGCTTCGTGTCACCTCCAATGGGGACAGGGCTTATAAGAGTTTACGAGCTATGTAAGTGGCTTTCTGTTTACCAGTTCACATGAGAAAACATTAGAGCGAGAGCGAGAGAGAGAGAGAGAGAGAGAGAGAGAGAGAGAGAGAGAGAGAGGGTAAGAAGACCTGTTCAATGACATCCAGGACATCTTTATTATCAACAAATTCTATGTAGCTCCAATCAATTTCCTCTCTAGTGTACTCCTCTTGTTCCGACTTGAATACATGCTGAATCACATCATAACACTTAGATGGTACATTGAAAAGAATGACTAAAAACTCAAGTTTTCAAGTATGACTAACCTCATACCTTGTTGAAATGTTGTTGCAGCTTTTCATTAGTGTAATTAATACAGAACTGCTCAAAACTGCATTAATGGAACATAACAAGTTAGGACTAAGAATGACGTAGTGGGATTCAAGCTAAATTTAATCTGGGATCCTCCTTTCTAATTATTTGTAGCTGAGTAAATTCAGATTCAGCAATATCCCGAGGATTCCCCAAGTACCTTAGTGCAGGTCAGAAGTTCACGCCACCTGATGCTAGGTAGTATTAGGTCTTCTTACGCATACCAAATATAGATGAGAATGTATTTTTGTTTGTGCTAAATGCATAAAACACAGAACCCTGCCCAAACATATCTATGCATTCTACATTTTCGGCAATCAATCATTACCTGTTAGTTTTAAAGCTTTCAAAACCGTATATACCAAGGACCCCGATCAGACACTTTGAGCTAGGGTCTTGTCCAATTGAGACATTGATTTTATCCACCAACCTGGACATAAAAAACAAACAGAAAAACCAATATTGTTAAATGCTTCGTTTCCACAGTAAGCAGTTTAGTAAAAATAATTCAGAAGCTAGCATCTTACCAGTCAAACAAACGAGAGTATATAGTCTTTCGCCAAACCATCTCTGCTAACTGTTGCGCCATGGGGATCAAGACTTATTTAATAATTTCTTCTGGAGTAACCATTACACGCTTACATAGTGCATCTTTCAGTGCACGAGGATTACACGTGACACATGAATAAGACAGATGAAAACTGCACTGTGATTGACAGAAAAAAAAGAGAGTATGAATTATGTCTAGAGCAAAGCTTGCGTCGCACATTAGAATTTCTGCTGTCATTTGAAGATGAAAAAGGGATTCATCATTTTTCAGAACAGATGAATCATTATCTTCCCCATTGGCAAAGTCAATATTACCAAGATGAAGAACTGCAGCAACAACACTGAAAATAGCCTCCTGAGAAAGAGACAGACAGACAGACAGACAGACAGACAGACAGACAGTTATTCCCAGATTTTCTGTATAATGATGCTTAACTTAGCATTAAACAAATGCAGATTTAAATCAAAATAATATACCTGTTCTACTATACTTATTCCAACAACATTCTGATGGCTGCCCCCGATCTTCTACCACGTTTATCAAATTGAATCTCGACAAATTTCCCAAAGCGGCTGCACCAATATATTCAAGAGAACAACAGTAGGTACAGAAACTATTTAGGAAATTTCATTGTCTGGTATAAAGACACGCTGAGCGTATTTTATTCAAAATATATTAAACAAAACAGTACCAACAGCACCCCAAAAAAAAATCTCAAAGCATTTAACAATTTCTCACCTGGAATTGTTATTCTAACAGTTTTAACGCTACCAAAGGCTTCAAGAACTGGATTTGACTGCACCATGTCAGTTACAACAACAAAATTTTTAGAAGGGTACAAGTTAAAACAATATAAGAAATATTACACAATTCAGAAAAAATTAATTAATTAAAAGATTGGCACTTAACATCATTTTCTTTAGTGATGGGAAAGGATATTTATGCAAGGCTTCAGATCTCATTCTACCATAAAATAAAAACGTTAGCTACAGTAACATGGTTTAAGCTAATCAGCTTACTTCTAATATGGTTTATACCGTTCCATCATAACAGTATCATACAGATGTGAGAGACTTTGGAATGGATTGATGGCGATGAGAATGTTTCTGGTGTAAGCCTGCCATGATGTCAAAGTATTATAACAGAGATGTCCAAAGCTGAAGTGATTAATCATTTTCTTCACCAGGGTGTACATTAATTGATCGAAACTAATGATAAGAGAAATCTTACATTAATTTCATTGTTCTCATATCTAGTTGCCAAATTACAAAGAACTCCAGGTTCAAGCAAGTATGATAGCTGAGTCAAATCAACTCCACCAGCAGGCGTTTCCATATCCTTTGGATATATTTTTGACACCTTTGCAACAACCTGACCAATATGAAAGTAGGTCAGTTTAAGAAATAGACAAACTGGTATTTCAATAAAGCTGCATATGAAATGAAATTTGGCACTTAAGGGAGTCCTTTTTCTATACAAGCAAACTCCTATAAGAAGAAGAGATTTTCTGTCACTCCCAAAGGGGTAACAGAACTGCATAAATTGCTGCAGAAACTCACAAACGTAACAAGGATCATATGCTTATGTAATCTTTCAGGATCAGGAGAACATATCTGTCCGGGGAACCCTCTGTCAAGTCCATAGAGATCAGAGGAAATGTTGGAAGTCATCACCAACCTCCAACACCATCTGTTGTTGTTGGCACCAGAGAATGCGTTCTCTAAACTGAGATATCTCTAAACTGTAGATGTTTAAAATCTACAGTAATGGTCAACCTCCAACACCATCTGTTGTTGTTGGCACCAGAGAATGCGTTCTCAACATCTACAGTAATGCGTTCTCAAATGAGATATCTCTAAACTCTCTCAAATGAATGCGTTCTCAGATGTTGCGTTAATGCAGTATAATGAAGCTGGCTCGTGTTTTTAGCTAGAGCGTATAAAGGTGATGATGATACAACTGTCGAGAGGGATAAAAAAAAACAAAACTTTACACAACAGAAAGTACTATGGTGTGGGTAATTTGGATTTGTATTTGTATCCTTGTATACGAAAGGTGTCGGATATGGTTTAGAATATTTCATTTAATCATTTCAACGGTTAGATTTTAAACTTGTTAAAATCATCCAACTTGAAAAAATGAAAAGAAAAATCAGATTGGAATCTGGCCGTTGGATCTCAATGGTCAGCTTCATCGACCCTTGGATCTGCCGAGCTTACACGATGAAGGGGTGAGGTGCGCTGCAAGGATAGCCCACTTTGCTGAGCATATCTGTTCTTCTTTATTTTGTTTCCTTTTTTGGTGTAAAATTCATTTTCAAAAAGGAGTCGACGCTAGTAAGTTATATGAAAGAATGGAAAGTTACAATCTGGATGAGATATTTTTCACGTGAAAGCTTGAGGAATTGATTGAGGTTTAGGGTTAGGGCTCCCCCTCTGCAGAGTCCTAGCTCTCTGACTACACCCTAGATGAAAGCATTGAGGAAGGTAAAAGAATCCTATGCTGCTAGTCTTTATCCATTTTTGAACAATTCACTTGCACAAGCAATATACAAAAAAGGAAAAGGAAACTTGGCTGGCATTGACAACATAGGATTTAAATACAGGTGTAATTTTTTTAACCATAGGATTCAATGAAAAGACAAATCGGATTCGAATCTGTCCGTTGGATCTCAACGGTCAGCTTCATCAGCCCTTGGACTTGCCAAGTTCACCATGAAGGCGTAAGGCGCGCTGCACAGGATACCCCACCCCACTCCAGAGCTAAAGGACAAAAAAGGGGCGGATCTGCTGCATGTGGGTCACCTACTTGATTATATAAATCCCTGTTACGAATAGAGTAAACAAACCTAAACCCTTAATTCCACTTGCAGAATTAGGATTTTGAGTTTGGACCCTAAACCATGTAACTAAAGCCCATCTCTCTTCGTCAAAAAATTTAAAAATTATATAAATAAAAAACCATCCACTTAAAAATTAGGAGCATAAAAACTTTTTTGTATAGCTTTTCCCTTCTCTGGCAAGCAATAGAATTCACAATTCACAAATAATAATCCGAGTTCAACTCCTGGCTATCGAATTTTTTTTAAAAAGAAACATCTGAACTTCCAAGCTCAAGAGAGGGGGCAGCTTCAGATCCTCAAATAAAATCCCGTGCTCAATGGCACGCGACATGATTGAAGACCCTGCTACTGAGTCTACTTCTTTCCACTGACGTGCCAATGTACAAATTGCAACAAAAATCCACTACGTTTGTTAGTTTGGTGGTGCTTCCTATTAAATTGCCCCTTGTGCCATCCAACAACAGTTAATAGTAGTGGTGGGCTCGGTTTGGGTTGGCTTGATTTTGGGCTCAATTTGGACACTAAACCATAGGCCTCGTGGTTTGGCTATTTTGGAAATCATAACCAAACTATAATTGATGAAAACCGATCACTTCGGTTAACCGGACTTGGTGGGTTGGTTAAGTTAAGTTTGAATTTTTTGGCTTTCAGAGCGAGAGAGAGGAGAAGAAAAAAAAAGAAAAAAAAAGGGAGACGGTGAGAGAGAGTGAAGACAGACGTAAGAAGGAGGAAAAAAATCGAGAGAGATGGACTGATGGAGACAAAACAGACGGAGAGATGAAGAGAAGAAAAAGAAAAAAGCACCCAAAAAAAAAAGAGAAGAAAAAAATGCATGCGTGTGTATGGGGTTTTTGAAAAAAAAAATAAGTTAGGCATGTGTATATATATATTTCTTATAATAATATAATTTTTTTTTAATATCATCGGTTTGGTTTGGTTAAACCGTGATTTTGGATATTGCAAACCGTACACTGAATCATATATTTCGGTTTGGTTTGAGTTCAAACCGACAACAACAAAAAAATTTTAAAACCAAACGAACCCAAACCATCGATTTAATTGAGGCTGTTTGACCGGATTATCAATCTGAATGCCCAACCCTAGTTAATAGTTTAAAACTGTTTTATCATATACATCAACGATCAAACTTGGTATTATTATTATATGTCACATTGAGAAAAATAAGGCCTTTTCTCTAGAGACAAAAATATCTAACTGCACAGTATTAGGATGGTTCCATTAACTACAGAGACCACATGAAATTTCAACTACCCCCACTAAATCTGTGGAGTGAGATTCTTCAAACACAACATTATATTTATCTTTCTTATTTTACCAAAGTATGTCGTAACTCTTTTTTTTCCTCTCTTCCTATCAATTACAGTTATTTTCAATAAAAAATATGCTAACATCAGCCGTGCAGCTAAATCTTTGAACTTTAGTATCTCCTCAAATAGAGGTTATCAAATTGAATTGCACCTAATGATTTAGATAGTTGAATAGACAACAATTAGTGGGGTTTACATTACAGGTGACATTTTACAGCTTTTGGAGCATATATAATTGTGTTTTCTCAAAGTAGCAGAATATAATGCATTAGCTAGCCAACCCAGTTTGAATATACATAAACCAAGCACAATCCATTGTGCCATTACTCCGGTAGTTTCCAGGAACCACAAGAAATTTCAAGTGCCTGTAAAATCTCAATGGAGGATACAGGGATGGACGGATGCTATTTGCATTGCAATATTGGTCGTTTGGTGTGACAATATGTTGGGCTTACTATTTTCATTATGTTTCCCACTAAAACCTCTGGGATTAAACTTTCAAAAAAGAAATCCCACCTCCAATATCAACACATGGAATTTTTTAAGGTGAAAGTGGGAAACTTTTTCACTGTGTGTAGGGTTTTTGAATCAAGTTGAAGTTGAGAATGAATGATAAGAAAGATGTAGCTGAAGCTGGAAGGCTCTACTTTAAACCATAGCCCTCAAGAATGACTTCCATGGACATATACCAGAATTGTTTAACAAGCACAGCACTTGGATGCAAACATCTTAGTGGGGAAGGTAAAAGTCATAAGAAATCAAAGGGTAGCATTCACAACAATAATCACATGAAAGTCATAATTAATCTTCCATTTTATTTTATTTTTTATGTATTTTACCAATTTAACAATTTATACTCTTTTTAAAGTACTGACTAGAGTCTAAATTAATCTAATTTACGGAAAAATGATATTTGAACTTAATTGTAAGGGGGACTAATAAGGCTCGTTTGGGACTATTTCTTTAGGAAGTACTTCTATTCATAAGCGTTTTTATTATAAAAATCTTTGAATTTTCATATAAAATTCAAGTGCTTCTTCAAGAAGCGCTTTTAAACTTTTCTGTCAAACATTCTAAAAGCACTCCCAAACATGCCCTAACTGTCCTGGCCAACAACCCTAACACATACATCTACAATTTTATACTCCATTAATAGGTCACACCAAAAGTATACCAACCAACCAACTAAGGTTAGTTTCTCAAAGTTAAGAATATAATGATGGTCTCACAACTTACAAACGAGGTTTAAAATAGGTATAGATGCTGCTGATTGCAATGTGGAAAGGAACTTTGGCCTCTGATTATACCACTAGGCTGTCCTTTCGAGTTGTCTTTGAGACCATCTTGATGAACAATTTGCAATCGCTAATTTATCTTTTTAGATAGATTAATGTCCTGTTTAACAGCCAAAGAAATTAAGAAAAGATAAAGTTAACAATATTATTATATAGTCAAGTAACTTATACTTTTCAATTTTCATTTGGAGACGCTGCGACTCGATCATATAATTATTGGTTTCATCAAAAGAAAAAGTAGAAGCAAAGGAGTATTCTCATTCTCTAAATGCTGTCATCACCTTGCACCTTGTACACTTTGAATAATGAATAGATCCTTTCGGCCGGGATATATATAGTATTTTCCTTTTTCTGTTCTTATTTTGTTTTTCTAAATTAAGCCTAAAGAAGATGAGTTGAAAGACGTGCTTGGGCTAATCTTTAGATTTTTACATCTCATGAAAAGGAAAAAAAAAGATATTTAGTGATATACCCATTTTTAGCACTAATATTATAAATAAACCCTACACTATTGAAATTCTATAAACAAACCCAAAAAAAACCCAAAAAATGACAACTGGTCTTATTAAATTTAAAATTGATTATTAAATTACTTTAATGTCCTATTGAGTGTTTTGGGTATTTTTATAAGATTTTGGGGTTGGGCTTGTTTTAAGAAATTTATGGTAGTTTTGTAATTTATAAGAAGTTAAAGCCTATTTGTTATGTTGTAAATATGCTTTGGGTGTGTTTATAAAGTCCATTTCATATGGGGTATTTTTATAATTTGAGCCCCCATATTGGGTATAATAGTGAATCTCCCAAAAAAAAATTCGTTAACTCTCTCACGACTGATTCATCACATGTTGATTATGTGATCAATAGTTACGAGATCATCTGTGTTCTCAAAACAAAGGAGATTTTCTCCATCAAAATGCTTCATGGGGAGGCCTTGAGCACAAGCAGTCAAGGCGGCCATCTAGAGCCCCCAAATTAGAGGGCCCAATTTGTAAAAATTATATATATACCTATATTATTTATTTAAAAAAATTATGTTATATAAATATTATGTTAGGCCCAAACCAATTATTGTAAATATAAAAAAAAACTTACCTAATCATTCAATTCAAAATTAAAAAGAGGAAACTCAATAAAGGTCCACTCATTTAAAAAAAATAAAAATGCTCAATTACTCCATTCAAAAATAAAAAGAGGAAACTCAATAAAGACCCAATTATGTTTTAAACTTATAGCGTAAATCAATTAACCTAGTTAAATTAATTAGGAAATTGAAAAATACATGGTAGAAAAACTTGATTATATAAAGTTATTAATTGATACTTTTGAATTGAAAAATGCAAGACGAGTGATATTTAAGTGAATTTTCATGCATTTTATAAAGTTGTTGTGTAAATTACACATTGATTGTTTCTTTTATGTTACGATTATGAATTTGAGTTCATATAATATATTTTTAACTTACCAAAGGAAAAAAATCACATAAATATACATATAAAGTAGAAGGTTCCATTTAGGATGTTCGCTTAGAGCCTCCAAAACATAGAACCACCACTTCTTTGCTAGTTTGGATAGAATTTGATTTCAAGTTTCGTCCACAGATATATTATGAGCGTCTATACCATAAATCAAAGATTATTTTTGGATGACATTAAAGCAACATATAATATTAAGGAAAATTTTATATTTGCTTTGACTTTAGATCAGCCTCATCTTCTGATATATATTTTTTTATAAATAATAAAAATAAAAAATAAATAAATAACATGATTAGAGCCTCATCTCATCTTTGTTTATTAATTCTGTCACTAACGTCCTCTGTCTATCATTGCCCTCTAAGCTCTACGAGAATATAATATAATGTAATGCTCCACACATACATATGTAGTGCATGTGAAAGCATAATTAATTTTTGGCCGCGTGATTAGTGGAGTTTTAAGGATGACTGGTTTCTTCTGTGTATTTTTTAATTACTTTTATATTTTTCTGATTAGTGAATTAATTTTTGGTTGCGTAATTACTCGTTTTTTCATTCATGTTATTCTACAACACCAAGCATCACATAAACTCAAAACGCGTTTTATGAATTCATTATGTGTTTTTTTTTCCTTCCTAAACACACACTTTATAAGTCAAATCAGAAGCTTGCCATCTACGCATGCCACCAAATTTTAGCATACGAAAATGACTGAAAATACAGTCGTATATATATAATATACGTAATGATCGCTATCGAAGGGCCGAAAATACTCACGACAGCCGGCCAAACTTTTGCTATTTTATTTGGAACATCGACACTAGAAGAAACAACGAAAAGAAAACACACACATTACAACAAAAATATTGGGACAGGTATTGGAGTTTTTAAGGGTTCGAAAGGTCAAACCACATGACAAGAGTAGGAGAACATCATAGTCTTATCTTTTTATGTTCGAGCTCCGTGATCTAGAACAGGAACCTGAATAATTTCCAAACACTAATTATAGATTATAGATTAAAGGTGAAACTCACGTTACTTGAATGGATGAGATCTGTCTTTATGATCAAGATAAATATGATATAAACAAAATTATTCATATTTTCGTGAGTCTAAAATAGAAGGAGAGGAGAATAGGTTTATTTATAGAGTTCCTGCGTGGCCCTATTAAAAAAGAAGAAAATGGTCCCTTCATCCATGAGTGGCGCGACCACGACAGCATTATATGTGAGTTTGAAGTCAACTCAGGAAGGCCAGCTATACAGCTAAAGTGCCCGCATGGATTGGATTGAAGAATTGAAAGTCAATGGACAACATCAAATGAATCTCACAAAGATGGAAAACCTAATCAAAGCACTCAACGAATTACACAGTTCAAGGCCAGTTTTCAAAGCATATCTCATATACATATGTAGGGGCAGCCAGCAAAGTAGAATCTATTTCTCATGTGATACAAACAAGTAGAAACATATAGGGAGCTCACAGAATTTGACATTGAAAAAGATGGTGGACTAAAAATGCCAAAATAAAGAACAACTTAGTCAAATTATTGAGAAATACATGAGGTTTTTTTTGCAGACTAGAGAAAAATATCATTGATTTGCATACTAGAAGTCTCAGGTTCGAACCCTCATAACATCTTAGTTGTATGTATATGTGTGAGAAACCCCTTCCATGTAGTTCAAATTATCCATCGCACTAAAAAAAAGTCATCCAAAAGATCTTTTGAAGAAAAATAAAAAATAAAACGATATTTGAGGAGGGTTTTCCATGAACATAAATATCTTATCCCAATACTAGGAGGATGACTATGACTGAAACTGGCACACCCAAAAAAATAAAAAAATAAAAAATTCAACATTTCAAAAAGTTTAAGGGAAGATTTGCCGTTTTGTGTGAAATAAGAAGACGTTGAAATTTGGATTTTGACATAGGGAGGAGACAATTATAGTGGTTAATTTTGAAAGGAAAGTTAGAGGTCTTGTTTTCTCTAACCTATAGCCATTGAATTTCTTAAAAAAATACAAAGACTTCACAATTATGGGACCAATATTGACTCCTCACATCACATGTGATGTGGTGAGAAACTTCCCCTCTTTACTAATTCATTGGTGTTTTGGCTTTATTGACACCCAAACACTACCTCACAACCACATCCCTTCCTCTATAAAAGTCTATTTGACCTTTTTATCTTATTATTAATTTGTATTTTTACTTGTTTATATTGTTTTCAATCTAAATAAACCGCGTGCCGCATTAAATGAACACAAATTAAAAAAGAATACTATAATTTTCAAACTAGGAAAGAAAAGCATTATAAATAAACGATAATGATGTTAAGTCTCAACAACAGATTAATTGGTCCATATGGTATGGAGGAAAATTTCCATGAAACATTCCAATTGGGCCCATATGGTGTGGGGGACTCGTAAAATGACAACGGGGTTAAGTCTCAACAACCGATTCGTTTCACACCATCAAGTCATTGACAAATTTGTTACAATCCAAAGAGTACGGGTTCGTTCATGAAAGGTACACAGATGTCACCTTTTTTGGGTTCGAATACTACATACTTAGACATGATTATGAGTGTTTCTTCATCGTAAAGGCATACGAATTATATGCATCAACGATCAAAAATCAGTCACACCCTTTAACACGCCTTAATTCCCAACTAGACACAGAAAAAAGAATATAAAATGATAATAAAAACCTAATGGAAACCAATAATAACATAGATGTGGGACACGTGTGGACAACCTAGATGCAAAGCGGTGTCGTAAAGGGGAGGGTCGGACTCTAGAGAGTTATGGTTGACTAAAGAGCCAAGGGAATATGCCGGTACAAATTCTCCGTTCTGGACTCATTTTGCGTAAACAGAGTGCTGCCGTTGCCTATAAATACACATATCCATTATCTTCCTTATTTCACAGCCTCTTCTCACCATTTCATCTGCTGCCCCCCACACTCTGTTTTGCTCTCTCCAAAGGCAGCAAAACCCAAAAGGTTAGCTACTAAACATCTTTGTGTTATGCTTAATCTTGTCTTTCATTGTAAATTAATCTTGCTCTTGTAATTAAGCGCATCTCCATGCACAGAACACTCACAAAAGATGACAACTTTTCATGCATGCAAATTGCAAGAGCAAAGTGAAAAGCGTAATTTGTAAAGTGGGTTTCTTTTGTTTTGTGTTTTTTTTTGTCAGTGGGAATAAAAACAAGCATAGTTTTTTTTTACATGGGTTATTTCGTGTCTGACTTTAACTTCCTGATCTTCACTCTAAATTTCCTTCCTTTTCATTTCTTTCGGATCTGGGTTGCCATGTTTGGGACATGGCATTGGCTGCCCCCTTTGAATTTATAGTATTATTTCTGATTTTCATCGGTTCAAATTTTCTAATAAATCCCATTTATAATTTCCATCCTGTAATGATCCCCGAATTTAAGCCTAAGAAATCTGGTTCAACAACCCTGGAAATTTTATTGCAAGGGTAAAGGTTGAAAATTAAATCTGATAATTTTCTTTTTCTTTTTCTGGTGCGTATTTCAATTGATTTAAATTATAATTATGGGTTTGGTCTAAGTAATCCTCAGTTCATTCACGGGTATCTGTTTTGTCTGCTTGTGTGGGTAGTTTGCATGTGATCTTCCTTGTTCACACTTCACTTCAGACACAGAATGAGGCAGAGTTCATTGTATTTGTCTTTTGTTCTTCTACTTTTCCTGTAGTCGTGGAGGTTTTGCCTTTTCAGTTTCCAGAAGATTATTTCACTTTTTCATTGCCAAATTTTTTTAAAATCTTTTTAATTTTTTAAATTTCTTTGGCTGCCAAATGAAAATTCTTCAGCGTGCTTGATTTGGTTATAATAATCTGCAGTCTCAGTCTTCTTTTCAGACAATAAATCTTTTGAATACAACTAACTGAAGTCTAAAAGTCAGTCTGAAAACCAAAAGGTTTGATTAGTTGGACCTACTGTTGATTTGGGTTGACAAAAATACCCTCATGGGTTGAAAATCTGGTGGTCCTGGAATTACATGTGAGGCTATTAAATTTCAATAGATGACCAAATATGGTGGAAAATCAATGGCCTGGCAGTCTAATAGTCATACATGTCCTGTCAAGAGTTGGAGTCAAATTTTCTTGCCCCTAGATATTTATTTAGCAATTTGTTGACTTTTCCTCTGTTTGTTCTCTTTTAAAATTCTGTGGTTCAAAATTGACTGGTTTTTCATATTCTCACTGATATTCAAATTCTGCAAATAGATAAGAGATAGCAGAGAATTGAAAACTTGTAGAAGCTAGCAGCTAGCCATGGCCAGAGAGCAATTACAGGTGCTGAATGCACTTGATGTAGCCAAAACACAATGGTATCATTTCACTGCAATTATTATTGCTGGAATGGGCTTCTTCACAGATGCATATGATCTCTTCTGCATATCTCTGGTAACCAAATTGCTGGGCCGCATATACTACCATGTTGAAAATGCAGAGAAACCTGGCATTTTGCCTCCCAATGTATCAGCTGCTGTGAATGGTGTGGCATTTTGTGGAACACTAGCAGGCCAGCTCTTCTTTGGTTGGCTTGGTGACAAGATGGGAAGAAAGAAAGTCTATGGCATGACTCTTATGCTCATGGTCATCTGCTCCATTGCTTCAGGCCTCTCCTTCGGGCAGAACCCAAAATCCGTGATGACAACTCTTTGCTTCTTTCGATTCTGGCTCGGGTTTGGCATCGGTGGTGACTACCCTCTTTCTGCCACTATCATGTCTGAATATGCTAACAAGAAAACTCGAGGTGCCTTCATTGCTGCAGTCTTTGCCATGCAGGGCTTTGGAATTTTAGCTGGTGGTATATTTGCTATTATTTCTTCAGCTGCGTTTGAGGCCAAGTTTGATGCTCCAGCTTATGAGGTCGATCCAGTTAAATCCACTGTTCCACAAGCAGACTATCTTTGGAGAATTATTGTCATGGTTGGAGCAATCCCAGCTGCAATGACTTACTACTGGCGGATGAAGATGCCTGAAACCGCCCGTTACACCGCTCTTGTTGCCAAGAATGCGAAACAGGCTGCAACAGACATGTCAAGGGTTCTGCAGGTTGACATTGAAGCTGAACCACAGAAGATGGAGGAGTCGGTTAGTGCATTTAAGTTGTTCTCTAAGGAGTTTATGCGTCGCCACGGGCTTCATTTGCTTGGAACAACAAGCACTTGGTTCTTGCTTGACATTGCATTCTACAGCCAAAATCTGTTCCAAAAGGATATTTTTAGCGCGATTGGATGGATCCCTCCTGCTAAGACTATGAATGCTATTGAAGAGGTTTTCAGAATTGCAAGGGCACAGACTCTTATTGCTCTATGCAGCACTGTCCCAGGCTACTGGTTTACAGTTTTATTCATTGACAGGATTGGAAGATTTGCTATCCAATTGATGGGATTCTTCTTCATGACAGTGTTTATGTTTGCACTGGCCATTCCATATGACCATTGGACTCATAAGGACAACCGAATTGGGTTTGTGGTGATCTACTCTTTGACCTTCTTCTTTGCAAACTTCGGTCCTAATGCCACTACATTTGTTGTGCCAGCTGAGATTTTCCCAGCTAGGTTCCGGTCTACTTGTCATGGGATCTCAGCGGCGTCTGGGAAGCTTGGTGCCATAATTGGTGCATTTGGGTTCTTGTATTTGGCTCAGAACAAAGATAAGTCCAAGGCAGATGCAGGGTACCCTGCAGGAATTGGGGTGAAAAATTCACTCATTGTGTTGGGTGTAATTAACTTCTTAGGGATATTGTTCACCTTCTTAGTGCCCGAATCGAACGGGAAGTCATTGGAGGAGATGTCCGGTGAGAATGAAGAAGAAAATGAAACTGGGGCAGTGGAGTTGGAGCCATCAGGCTTAAACAAGAGGACAGTTCCACTTGGCTAGGTTATTATAAGCAGCTTGTAGAAATAATGTTGTAAGCTTTTGGTTAATTTTGGTGAGAGGGAAGCTCTAGTTTTCTATTTCCCTCTTCCCTCTATGTTGTTGTGACTTGAGTCTATATATTATATAAAGGAAGGAATTTGCAGAGGATGCCAAATATTAAGAAAGAAAATTTCCTGCTTCTTCATTTGTATTCTCATGTAGCCTTCAAGCCTACAGTCAAGTCAATGGCCATTGTTGTTGCTTTCAAATTCTATTGCTTAGCCCAATGTTGATAAAGAGATAGATGTATCTAATAAATGTGTCAAACTTTAGCCCCACTTCAAACTGGGACTAGAATCGTTGAAGAATCAGTATTCTATGGATTGACTTGCGTCTTTGAAATCTGCTTTAACCCATCCTCACAATGCAAGGAAGTCTCAGCAGAAGAGGGTGCACTCGTCGATCTAGCGGCTACAATCGTGTTCGCATTAAATAGAAATTTGTACCCCGGAAATATCCATGTAGGAAGGAATTCACTCCTCCTCAGGGGTCGTTGATATTAGTTTCCTCATGTTTCATAAAATCTAAGACAAATGCATGAAACAATTTAAAAACAACAAAAATAAACATGTAATAAATAAAAAAAATCAATTGCTTCCTTATCTAAAATTAAAGAAAAATGCCATTTGTATACATATTTAAATAAATAAAAATTATTTCGCACATAAATTGTATGCATTTCTATTTTTTTCTTTTTTGGTCTGTCATCATATGGCGATGAGATGAGCACAAAGATTAATTAGTTTTACCTTAAAAAATCCTCCAAATGAAATATGAAATCTTTTATTTAAAGAGTACCACCCTCCAGCTAGCTAGCCTGGCAGCAATTAGGCCATATTCCATGGCCTCAGATATCAACTTAAATGTTGGCATCAAATTTGAAACCATATATAGAAACATGGACAACCAGCCATTACTAGCCAACGTTCACATACATTGAAATACGCGTTGTGGCTACGGAAACTGTTTTGGTTTTGGTTACTGCTAGCTACTACTAGAAAATCTGGCATGGAATATACCAGTGGAAGATCTCAGTTTGTTGAAGAGAAGATTGCGTAAGAGAAGCAACAGCAAGCGAAAATGGAGGGAATATGCCAGTATAATATTCCGGTTGATCAGGGAAACAATCTTGCATATAAATTCTCTAGCCTATGCATTCCTTTAACCATAAACTACTGCTCTCTCTCTCTCTCTCTCTCTCTCTCTCTCTCTGTGTCTCACTCTCACTGTCTGTCTCTCTCAGTAAGGTTGAGAGAGCAAATCCAGGTAAGAAAAAAAAACTACTGCTCTTTGCATGTTGTTCTTGTTTCTTCTTTGTGAGCTCCATCTCTCTGATTATATTCCTATTTGCCATTGTTGAATTTTCAATTATTGTAGGCATTATATTGTTATTGACTCCTCCCACACTGTATATGGAATGCAATTTTTCAAATTTCAGATCCTCTTCTGGTTGAACTAACGTGTTTGTGTGTGTGTGTGTGTGTGTGTTTTTCTTCTGAAAAATTGAAATCCTTAATGATCATGGTCAGTTTTGTTATATGTATAAGCCTGAGATTTTTCAATTCCTGGTTGAGATGGTGCATTATACCATCTTTCTGTGAGTTTTCTGAAATATTTTAAATTCTTCAATTCACATTTTTGTGTGTAACTTTTGGTTTACAATGTCAATCTCATATTTTTAATGATTCTTTATTCATACATTAGTCTGTACATGTAATCTTACTAGCCGTTTTCTTGCATATTGATGAAGCAGAGGAAAAAGGAGTTTGCGAGGGAGAGATCTAACAAGGCAAGCTAGCCATGGCCAAGGAACAATTGCAGGTGCTTAATGCACTGGACAGTGCAAAAACACAATGGTATCATTTCACCGCAATTGTGATTGCTGGAATGGGCTTCTTCACTGATGCATATGACCTCTTCTGCATATCCCTTGTCACCAAATTGCTTGGCCGCATATACTATCACGTCGAAGGCTCAGCAAAGCCTGGCTCATTGCCTCCAAATGTATCAGCTGCTGTCAATGGTGTGGCACTTTGTGGCACATTGGCAGGGCAAGTCTTCTTTGGTTGGCTTGGTGACAAATTGGGAAGAAAGAAAGTCTATGGCATGACTCTTATGCTCATGGTCATCTGCTCCGTTGCTTCCGGGCTCTCCTTTGGGCACACCCCAAAATCTGTAGTTTCGACGCTTTGCTTCTTCCGTTTCTGGCTTGGGTTTGGCATTGGTGGTGACTACCCACTCTCTGCCACCATAATGTCTGAATATGCTAATAAGAAGACTCGTGGTGCCTTCGTTGCTGCAGTCTTTGCCATGCAGGGCTTTGGAATTTTAGCTGGAGGGTTGTTTGCAATGCTTATGTCTGCCATATTTGAGGCCAAGTTCAAGGCTCCAGCTTATGAAGTTGATCCAACTGGTTCAACTGTCCCACAAGCAGACTACCTTTGGAGAATCATTTTAATGGTTGGAGCACTTCCAGCAGCTCTAACCTATTATTCGCGGTCGAAGATGCCTGAAACTGCTCGTTACACAGCGCTTGTTGCCAATAACGTCAAACAGGCTACTTCAGATATGTCAAAAGTTTTGCAGGTTGACATTGAAGCTGAACCGGTCAAGCCCCAGGAACCTGTTAAATCCTTTGGTTTGTTCTCTAAGGACTTTATGCGCCGCCATGGACTTCACTTGCTTGGAACCACAAGTACATGGTTCTTGCTTGACATTGCATTTTATAGTCAAAATCTGTTTCAGAAGGACATCTTTAGTGCCATTGGGTGGATTCCTAGTGCAAAGACTATGAATGCCGTTTCAGAGGTTTATAGAATAGCAAGGGCACAGACTCTTATTGCTCTATGCAGCACTGTGCCTGGTTACTGGTTCACTGTGGCCTTGATTGATAAAATTGGAAGATTTGCAATCCAGTTGATGGGATTTTTCTTCATGACAGTGTTCATGTTTGCCTTGGCCTTTCCTTACAATTATTGGACACACAAGGATCACTTGATTGGGTTTGTGGTACTCTACTCACTGACTTTCTTCTTTGCAAATTTTGGACCAAATGCCACCACATTCGTGGTGCCGGCTGAGATTTTCCCGGCTAGACTACGTTCTACATGCCACGGCATATCTGCAGCAGCAGGAAAGTTAGGGGCAATGGTGGGTGCGTTTGGCTTTTTGTACTTGGCTCAACCGCAGGACAAGACTAAGGCAGAAGCGGGGTTCCCTGCTGGTATAGGGGTCAAGAATTCACTCATTGTGTTGGGTGTGGTCAACTTCTTGGGTTTGTTATTTACATTCTTTGTGCCTGAATCAAAAGGAAAATCTTTGGAGGAAATTTCAGGTGAGACCAATGAAGAGCGCAATTAAGGAAGTAGAAGATTAAAGCAGCCGCAGACAAGAAGGGAGTTTCTGTTCTTCTAAAATGCAGCAATTTTTTAGGATATCCTTGTCAATTTTTTCTGTTATAGTCTTTTATCATATGTCATTGTATTATAGTAAAGAAGAAATCAGATCTTCTGCTTCTTCCTTTTTTCCAGTTATTTAATCATTTTATTATAGTGAAGTACGGATGATCTTTTGTTATCTTTTCCTCTATATTGCCTTTTAAGCTGGTGCAAATTTTCTTTCTTTCACTGCTCATGTTGGCAGCATCCCTTTATTTGATTGACACTCTCCTAATAATTGTGCATCACTATTTTTGGTCCTCTCCTCTTAACAAAGCTTGCAATTATTCATAGGCAAATAATATGAAAGAGAAAAAAAGACAATGGGTGCCCTTTTCTTTTTCCCCAAAGATAAAAAACCATAAGAAGCCAACCAAATTTATATAACAACAATTTTCAGGGTTTACATCACCTAATGACAAGTTCATTTTCCTCTAGGAAGTAAGCTTACCTCAAGGTAACTGAATTCTGCAGCAAGCAGATAACATCAGACCATACTTTTCATACAAGCCAGCTGATATGCCAATTTATTCAAGGAACAGTAATACAGTGAGTCTTGTGCCAGTAATGGGTTCTGCACATAATGAAGCCAGCATAACAAACTTACAGAACCCCAGAGATTTTTGACCGACCAAGGAAGACATGTTTTAGTGCTGCAGAGACTTTTCAGTGTGCACGGTCTCTGAGCACCTCCAGATCCATCTCTGATGGGTCAGTAGCCTGAATCTCATAGTGAATACCATCCAGCTCACGCCGAAACCTGTCTTTAGATGTTGCATACAGCATCTTCGCACGGATTCGAGAGGTTGAAGGGGACCTGATCACCATGCAAATAATCATGAATGGGGCACATGATAGAACAAGTTTTTGAATTGCAAGTATAGATAATAGATGTTGTGGTGTTTATGACCTGCAGAGAATCCAAGATTCAATGAAAAGTTATGGATTTCAGGACCAAAACTTGCACCAAAGTATTCTGCACCTTTGATTTTGTACAAAAGCTTCGTACATATACAATTGGATATGAAGTCAAGGATGCAAATGCAAATTTATGGATGACTTCTAAAAACAAATTTGTGTGATACTTATCCTTTGCAACTATCTGCAGGGGCTTCAAACATTGGGACTTGGGAATTGGGGTCAGAATTTGTCTTACCACATAAGAAAAAGGCATTGGAATTATAGTTTAACAGAAATAATAGTCAGTCCATACATAATAGGGAAAAATCAGTGGTGAAGGGATTATAGGCAACAACTAACCATGCAATGAAGAAGATCTTGCTCTTTTGACAGTTCTCAGAAGTCACAAAATCAAAGTCATAAACTGCATATCTGCAATCATTTTCAGGCAAAGCTGCCACAAAATCATCATAGCTCTCAGCTGGGCCGCCAATCTTTTCAACCACAACCTCCCTCTTCTTCTCATCAACCTTGAATATCACATAGCGGTGAACCTTCTTCCTCTGCAGTTCCATGAAAGTTTTCTTGCTGTCATCAGAAACTCCCATGGCACACGAAGCATTTGGCTGGAAAGAAAATCCAATTGCGTTATATAACAGACACACAAACATCTACAGGTCTTGACTCAATACTAATAAGAATAACTATTTTGACTAGAAACTTATGCTCTGTTAGGCCGATCGAGAAATCTGATGACTTTCAGTAATTAGGACCAAGAAAACAAAAGCCTCGTAAAACGATTTGGAAGTCCAATAAAAGGATCAAGGAAGGTGAATTCCCAGTTTTTTTTTCAAGGTACCCAGGAAACAATACATCCTAAAGCTTCAAGCTTTAATTTCAGCTCAATAAAAGAAAAAGAAAAAGCTTTAAGCTTTAATTCCTCAGCAACCAATGAATACTAAAAACACTGAACTGGGTTCATCCAAAACTACATCAAACTAACATATCTGTAGAGAAACATGAGGTTTGATACAAAATCAAGAACTCTTAAATAAAATTAAAATCCCTTCCATTGTAGTTCACGATCAAATGACTAGTTACCCTACTAGGCAAGTTCCAACGCAACATGCAGTCGAAACTGAACCAAAACAAACCGAACAAAGCTTCAACAATGAACAGAGAGTGAAAGAGAGAGATACCCGGCTAAGCCCTCTGAAAGACATTGCAGCCACGAAAGTCTTGAGAACAAGAGAGAGTCGATCAACAATAAGGAGAACAGATTTAGAGAAGGCGAAGAGATATGGGCAAATGAGGCATGCAGAAGAAAGATAAACAAATGGGCAATTGGGAATGAAACCGATTAACAAAAAAAGAAAATCAAAGTTAATAATATTCTCTTCCTTTTTCTGAGGCCAGGAAAAGAAAGCAGAGGAAAATGAGAGAAGAAAAAAAAGGGGGAAGATTCGGATTGTAAAGGAAAGGTGAGAAGCACAGTGTGCCTACGCTTTCTTATTATATATGCCCTTTTGCTCTGATGAAAGATACGTACACATGGTGATGGTGCGTAAAACTAACGCTTGCAAATTGCAATGGCCCTGACGTTGACTCGGGGACAGAATTTCAGAGTCAGAGGGACCCACCTCCATAACCACCGCAACGTTGTCCACTCGCCACGTACCTACACAGCCTTTGTTGCTGGCAAGGCAAATTTAGGATTATGAAAGTTGTGATCTTTTGAACAATTAAACAAGGTGGTTTTTACTTGCTTTGGTTGATGCATTTTAGCTGGAGAGGAGCTGAAGAAGATGAACAAGACAGAAGAGGATAATCAGAAACTTAGAGTAACTAATATGTTCTCAACTGCAAAAGGATCCGTTCCATTTGCCAATAATTCCGACTAAGACAACTAGGCCTGGGTTTGGTTTAGTAACTGAACCGAATGCCCAAAACCGACCACCGACCGCCAAATGGCCACATAGATGTCGGTTTGGTTTGGTTGAATCGTGGTTTGGAGTAATTTAAATAGTAAATTAGACCGCACTAAGACAGTTCAGTTCGGTTATCAATTAAAATTCAGAAAATAAAAACAAATAACTAGATTTATCGGTTTAGTTTAGTCTGATTTGGTCGGTTGGCCGATTCTTTGGTTTAAATTCTCAGCCCTAAAGACAACAGAGCTTGGGGTCAGTTCATGAACAAGGCTAAATATGCAATGTGGTTCTTACCCTACTAGATTACTAAAACAGAAGGGTGATTTGGGCAATTCACATTTCATTTGTATGCTTGAAATCACTCCATTTTACATCATCTTGCAAGTTTTCCTATTTGAGAGCACAACTTCTTGAATTCAATAAACTCATTATTGTGTCACAAATAAACTTCTCTTTAAACTAGAATGATCCAGTGAACAATTTTACAATGTCAATGTACACCCACATAAATATGGACCAGTTGCTCTGCTTTTGCCTCTACATAGAGCAAAAAGACAGTAATTCAAATGAACAATGCTCAACCAGAAGTTCAAGAGCATTTCTCCTTTTTCACAGCATGATCATCAACTAAGCTTGGAGCTTGAATGGTTCAAGTACAATGTCGGTTTTACCCTGCTTCATAGCATAGTTGCTAAAGAACTCTTTGTACTGAAAGGCTTTATAGAGTTGGGGATTGCTTGCATTAATAAGAACTCCTGCAGGTTTTATGAGGCAATCAGGGGAAGGCGTAAAGAAAAATGCAGTAGATGTCCTAGCATTTCTGGAATTCGTAACGGCCCGATGTTCGGCACATTTCAGCTTCCCATTACTGATAATCTGCATCCATGTTTACAAAAATTTGTCATGGTCATGAACATAATATATATAATCATCTTCAGTATAAAGAATGGTGATATGTACCTGTAACTGATAGCCTATGTTGACCACAAGTGCATTGGGAAGAGGCTCCACACCAATCCATTCCCCATCCTTGAAAACTTGAAGCCCATTTACATCCCCTTGAAGTAAAATGGTTATGAGGTTTGGGTCACAGTGTTTAGGTACCCCTAATGTCAAACTTGGGTCTGGACAAGGTGGGTAATAATTGACTGAGAGTAAAGACACTTGGCTAAGTTCATCCCTGAAATACCCAGGTTCTAGCCCAAGTCCTTCACTGATTAGCTGCAAAATGTTCAAGGCCACTTCCCTCACTTGGGTGGAACATGCACCAACATGCTCTCTAAAAAACATCATTGGTAATTAATATCCATAGATATTTCGAACAATAATATTATTTGTACCACATTTATTGACGACGTTACTGACTACCTTTTTAGCAAAAAAGAGGTCAGTAAACGTAGTATTATTCATATGTTAAATATTGTATTCAGTGTCTAGCTATTTGGTACCATGAAATCATTTCAGGCACTTACCTATATGTAATTGGCTTTTGAGGCCAAAATTGGATGCATTGCTCCAAAGGATGACAAGAGTGTCTTAAGATATCACGCCAAAAATGAGCTTCTTCCCAGTCATAATTGCCACTGCTGGTGAAGAGTCTGCAGTTTTTGTTGGGGTCCTCAGAGTAGAGGCTTGCCTTATCCTCTACAGGCAACTCAAAAAACTCCTTGAACACCCTCATGGTGTCTTTCAGCAAATTTTCTGGTATGCCATGGTTGATTACCTGCTTCAATTATAACATTTAGATGACATGTAACATAGTTATAAGTGGAAGCTGAGATTCATAAATAACATATGAAAAAGCAGAGGTGAGTTGACCAAATTAGGAAGAAATTGAAGCCTAAGCAACCTGAAAAAATCCAAATTCTTCGCTCGCGTTCAGAATTTGCTGAATTATAGAGGTTCTGTCATGAGCTTCTGCTCCAGCTCCACCCATGTCAATCACTGGAATGTTGTTGCATAAAGGAACGTCTAGCTTCCCGGGTCTTGCATCTGGTGGGAATATGTAATTGTCCGGCAAGGGTTGAACGTTGTACCAGCTTGAAACGAGCTTCTCCATTGCTTTGCTCCAATGCCAATGAACATGCCCAGATAATCTGGTGTATAATCTCAGTGATTGGAGTAGCTTCCAAACTTACACCTGGTAAAGTCAGCCATCCATGTATATGCTCCAATATTTTTTTAAAAAATTATTATATCAATTGGAGTTAATATAATATTTGTTCCTTTCATGAGGGCTATACTAGTATATGAATTAGTCTTGCCGGCTATCTATAAATAAAATAACCGATATACATTAACAAAATAGAATTTGACGTAAGCGATAGTTAGTGAGCGGGGATTTGAACATATGATTTTAGATACAAAGGTAAATGCTCTTAACTACTACGAGCTACATGTTCCTTGCTACTGCCATCCAATTGAGGTGACAACAAAAACCCTTATAAATGTATGGGCTAATTAGCAATTTGTCAATACTTTGGAGTAATAAGACAACAGACCTTTGGGTCAATTAGTGAAAAGGTCGAAATAAAAATGCCAATTTTAACCCTACTACATTACAAAAACAGCGAGGGTATTATAGACTTTTCATGTTTAATTTGCGATTTCGATCCCTCAATTTTTACGAAATCTCTCAACTTTCATTTGTTTACGTTCTCAAGTGTGGTTACCAGTAACAAGCTGGAGCATCCGCACCCGACCCGACGGATCCAATTAATCGTAGGTGAATTGGGTCTGTGTGTTCTCGATTGAAAATTGTGTGCCCTAGGTTACGGTATTTTTCCCAGAATTTGGGGGTTTTGGGTTTTGCAAACTTTGGTTTCTAGGCAGCTGTCAAACGATTCCCTGCTGAGAATGGATTCAGAAGGTATGCGTTGGAATAATTTTTTTCGATGGAAAAAAAGAACAATATTCGAGCTTGATTTTTATTGTCTATGAAAATTTGATTTTCTTTTTCTTTTTCTGTAAAATATTTGGCAGGGCAGAAAACGGCTAACAACCCATCAGTAATGCTTGCTTCTCTTCTGAGTAGGAGAGCCAAGCTTCAAGACGAACTCCGGGGCATTGAAAAACAGGTTCATTCTTTACATATATTTTTTTAATATTTCACTTTTTTCTTTCTTCTTCTATAATTTGGGGGTGGGGCATGAGCCTTTTCGTTTCTGGGTTTATTGATTTCTTGGCTCATTTTCGTGGATATAGCTGAAATGGAAGACCTTTTATTTCATGGGATTTGCTTCTTTTTTTTACATAAATTATTTTACTTGTTCTTGTATGCTGCAGCATAAGCTATGGATGGAAAATTCATTTGTCTCTTTTTTTTCAGTTGCAGCTGAGCTGCATATGTGATACACTGGAACTAATGTTTTCTTTCAATGCAGGTTTATGATTTGGAGACGAGTTATCTGCAGGATCCAACTCAATGTGGCAATGTATTAAAAGGTTTTGAAGGGTTTCTATCCTCATCCAAGAACACTAACTTGTAAGCAGTAGCTAAGATATCCTTTGAAATGTATGAGGAACTACTGTTTGAGCACTCTGGGTATTTATGCCTGATATCGAGTCTTCCACCTGTTATGCTTCCATGTCATCTTTTGCTTAGCTAGCTGAATTCTTTTATTCTATCACGCTATAACAGGGTCACTTCTTTCACTGAACACTTTTCAAGCTAAAATAGTCAGTATTAGCTCATCTAGGTGGTCCCTATTAGCCATGAACAACTCAAAGCCATAGACATAAACTCACAGAATGACATGGTTTTACATGTCGAGTCCATATTATTTCCATATATGATATTAGGAGCTTTGAATAGATTGACTCAGGCAACACTACTTTATGTCAGAGACATGATTTCAGTCTGGGACAATTGGTTGTTACTCATTTCTCTAAAGGTATCTGAATTGAATGTTCTTACAACATATATCCCGCCAAATAGTCTATTTTTCCAGTTAGATTTTTTGATACACAAGGTTCCACATGCAAGTAATAGTAAACCAATGAGTAAAATTGATGTTTTCTGGATTATATACATATATCTGTGCAAATTTTGTATAATTGGATTTACTGTATCCGTATTTAATGGAATGGAAAATCTTCAAAACTTTTGGCTGCAGCTTGAAGCGATCAAGGAAATTTCAGCCTGAAGATAGGATGTTCTCATTATCTTCTGTCACATCACCAGCAGTAAGTATTCTAAACTTTAAAAGTTCCGTTATGGTGGCTTTACCAGTCTTACATCTTTCATTGTTGTAATTTATTGTCTTAATCAAATTATGGGTTCATTCAAGTGAATGTGTGTGAACTAAAAGTTCAAAGCCTCAAAGGCAGTGCTGGCTTTTAATCCACGTTGCTAAATGGATATTCATATAGTTTCTCTTTTTCTTTTTTCAGGCTGAAGAACTTGCAGCCGCACGAGATGGTAAAGCTTATATATTAGCAAATATATAGCAACCTGTGCAATCTTTTTTATTGTTTTCTCCCCTTGTGTTTACTGTAGATGGGAGATCAGACTTTGGTCCAGGTCGTTCTAAAGGTGGTATATATGCGAACGGGCAGTAAGTACTCCACTATTTCTGTACACTTTAAATGTTATGTTAGAATTGCTACTCAAGCTGTATCAAAGATAGAAAACAGATGTTACCAATCGTACCATATTTTTGAGTCCTGGAATCAGCGTTCTAACTATATAAATGATGTCACAGAGGAAAACCAAAGAAGGGAAGACCTGCGCCGAGGGATGCGAAGAGAATCAGGCCTTCAAGTGAGCAAGATTATGACTATGAAGATGATGCGGACATGACACTGTGAATGGGGAAATGCTGGTGGACCTTTCCATACGAGCTTTGCACGAGCTAGAGCCTGAACAGAGAGACATAGCTTTTGTTTATAGAATCTTGTAATTGTCAGAAGTCATGCCTCTCGGGCAATTTTCACTTGTGTAAATTAATCTTATCTCAGGCTGTAATTATTACTCTTGATAATATTTAAAATTGGTTTTTTCTGCATAAATTTTGTTACTTGACCAAGCTTTTGATTGTTAATCAATGGAGAGGGGGGAATCAAACTTGGGTCCTCTTTCAACATTCGGAAGAGAAGGAGAATGTTTCTTTTTCTATCAAACGAATTTTAGAATAAAAATGTGTACCTACCAATGAGAAGTAGGTTTTATTTCATTATTGGAATTCAAAGCAATGTGTGTGCCTTTTGTTGGCTACAACAAGTGCTAAAATACAATCCAAAGGAGTAGGAGAGCCCCTTCATCAAGTTGTAAACCGTTATAACGACGTCGCATCATCACATGTCCTTTGGACCTTGCTCATAATGAGCGAAGCTGTCAAGATACTGAAATCCAACAAAAACGACACCGTTAGCTGGCGACGCATTATCCTTCAATATTATTTCGCTTTTACCCAGGCGGGTTGGCCCTCCGATTCTGCCGCCGAAATTCTTATCGGCACCAGACCCATTTCAGTACTTCCTTCTCCCTCCATGAACTTGTTGGTATGTCTCTACGCCTACGTGTATACACATACATATACATATACACGTATACCGTATACGTATACGGCTTGTTCCTCGCACTCTGTTTCTCTCACTATTTTGCATTAACATACTTTTATTTTCTTAATCGTTCATGAATCAATAGGAGAAGATAAAGATGCAGAAGAAGGAACCAGACAAAGTTCCAACCCATGAGGTGCCGGTGTACTGGGTCGAAACCTCTGAATCAGTCTCGTACCGCTGCGAGTTTGACCCCAAGGGTCAACTCACTGTAAGTTCCATCTTCTTCACCTTGTATGATTTGTATATTCACTAGCGGGTTCTGGGTAAGTGTTAGTTTCAGCAGCCAATGCAACCCTTGCCTTAAACCCTAAACCCTAAATTCTAATGAGGTGCCCAGTTGGGGACTTTGTAGTCAAATAGCACTGTAAGTTAGTCACTCGTTGTTGGGTTTTTGGTTTTGATTTTAAAAAATGGGTAAAGAGAGAAGCTTCTTTAAATTGGATGTGGTTTGTTAATCAAAGAAGGGCCTTTGGCCAAAAACCATGGTATAATTTTTCAGTAGTCTGCTTTTGGGATGAAAATCAGGACGCTTTTGGTTCAACAATGTTTTAGAATTCCTAGTAAATACACTACATAGTCTATGGGAATTTGGGTCCAGTTCGGAATTCGGGTTTAGGGACTAGAAAGCGGATTACTTGAACTAGCTGCGGTCAAGTATGTGTTTTTGCCAGTTAGGTTGTTCTTGTTTTTTTTTCTATTAACTACTTTTTGACTGCATTGATTTTCCTGCAGGTGAAGCTTCTTGATGACTCAAGGCCAGTATTCAATAAGATGGCTGACTCGTTTGTCAGTAAATTTTTCCCCTCAGGATATCCATATAGGTAACGTATTGATTTATACTTCTTGGATAGCCCATAGACTTGTTCAATTACTGATTTAGCTTATGATTTTTCATTTATTCAGTGTGAATGAAGGATATCTCAGATACACACAATTCCGGGCACTGCAGCACTTCACCAGTGCTGCCCTGTCAGTTCTTTCAACTCAGGTCTTTTTCTGACACCTTCAAAGCATTTGATGAGTTAAATGACAACAGTTTTCTAAAGCATCATAAATTGGGTACTTCTAATCAAGTTTATTTTGCTTGCATGGTACTTTATCCATATGAAATTTTGTTATGAATAGCACCTTGGATTTCTGATTGTTGTATTATGATTCATCATATAAGTGCTACAAATGTGCTCGCTCACTGTCTTTCTCTCTCTCACTCAAAATATGCAATCTTAATGACAATTGTAATTTGGGTCATTGGCTGCATTCTTACTCCTTTACAGTCCCTCCTGTTTGCTGCAGGCTTGCGACCAACCCCTGCCCAAGCAACTGTTGTAAGCTGGGTAAGTTATTAATGTTGGAGGAGCAGCAGATCGCTTGTGACGAAATCATGACTCTGATCACTTTCATTTTTAAATTTATCAAATTCTCTATTGTTGCATGCAGGTTCTAAAGGATGGGATGCAGCACATGGGAAAGCTCATATGTACCAATCTGGGTGCAAGAATGGATTCAGAGCCTAAACGTTGGAGAATTTTGGGTCTGTATCTTGATTCTGGAGCTTTGATTCATATGCAACTGTATAAACATGGGAAGTCATATTTACTGCTTTTAGAACGTGTCTAATTCAATTAAGCCTTCCATCTTGCAGCTGATGTGCTCTATGACTTGGGAACTGGCTTGGAAGTTCTTTCTCCTTTATGTCCACAACTTTTTCTTCAAGTCGCAGGGCTAGGAAATTTTGCGAAGGTATTGTTTTTCATACAGATGCATACATCTGTATATTCACTTTGTCTTCTCAATCCTCCTCTCTCGTTTGATTTTTCTTCACTGCATGTAGATATAAAATTTCCTTTCTGATTAAATGTTTATTTCAATCAAGATAAAGTAATAGGTAAACTTGTTGTGGAAGTTATCTTACTCTCTTTATATTTAAACCATTTCCATGTGAAGTATTAAGCTCTCCAATCCTAAAATATCATTTCATAGACTCCTCAGTGTTGAAGTGTTTGACCTTTGAAGTTAACAGGGGATGGCAGTTGTTGCAGCAAGAGCAACAAGATTACCAATTTATTCTGCCTTTGCAAAAGAGGGCAATCTTAGTGACCTCTTTGCCAAAGGGGAGGCCATCTCAACTCTGTTCAATGTCATTGGACTAGGAGCAGGGATCCAGTTAGCATCTACTGTCTGTTCATCAATGCAAGGAAAGGTATAGGATATATGTCACTGTCTGATTCCAAAGTTTTACCATTCAACAAATTTTATTGTGTTCATAAAAATGGATTGCATCAAAAATATTTTTTCAAATTAAGGATATGATATACATACATGTATATATATGTGTGTGTGTGTGTGTGTGTGTATTCTAAAAGAAGAGTTTCACGTCATGTGTTTCTATGATAGTAGTGGAGAAAATAGGATTGCGTTATGTGTGTTTTCCTGAATTCATTTGTTATGGTAGTTGTGAATTTTTAATATCCCTTCCAAAGAAAAAAGCTTCTAATGATCTTTAACTCGTTGCAGATGGTTGTTGGACCTCTTCTTTCAATGGTACATGTGTACAGTGTCATTGAAGAAATGCGGGCAACTCCTGTCAACACATTGAATCCACAGAGGACTGCATTGATTGTGGCTGATTTTCTCAAGACAGGGAAGATATCAAGCCCAGCAGACCTAAGGTATCAAGAAGATCTCCTATTTCCTGGGCGACTCATAGAAGATGCTGGAAATGTAAAAGTGGGAAGGTCTTTCCACGAGGTCATCAAGCCTTCAAAACTTGATGAATTGAAACAAAGGTTCCCTGAAGAGAAGTTTATTTTAAGCCATGGAAACAAAGAGGTCGACATGATATTGGAGCACAGCGCCACTGGTGAAGATGCATTGAGGGGGTGGCTTGTTGCTGGATACGCTGCACATATCGAGAAGTCTTTTGGTGTGCCAAGTTCTAGTGCACTGCAAGAGGCGTACGAGAAGATGAATGATGTATATGGTCCATTTGTATCTGAACTGCAGGCCAAGGGGTGGCATACTGATCGCTTTCTGGATGGAACAGGAAGTCGTTTCGCGTGGTGGTCGGATGTAGCTTCAGATTCAGACAATTCTTCTTCAAGATTTTGAAATTCTATTATACGGGCAGGATTGAAACATAGGGAACCTTGTGACAAAATATTTAGAGAGACTAGGGAATCTCTGTAACGTCCTACTACAATATTATATGGAATGTAGGATATAAAGTAAAGATGAACTAGCAGTCCAGCACGTGCTCTCTGCGTGAGAAATTGCTATTTTATAATTTCATCTTAATTAATAGAGTAATTGTTGCCAACTAGCTCTAATCTAGTGGAAAAGGGTCTTCTATCAGTTTGATTCGTCTTCTTTTTTTTCTATTTTTTTTCCTTCCTCTTCCTCTCTCCGTCTATTTTCTTCCCTTCTCTCTCTCTCTCTCTCTCAGCCTAAACTCGAAACTAAATCAACCGAAACCACCAATTCTAGTTAACTGGACTGACCGGTTTCATTGGTTATGATTCGGTGTACTGTTCTAAAAATAGCCAACTCGAACCCTCCGATTCGGTCTCCGGGTTGGACTCAAAATCAAACTAACCCGAATTGAGCCCACGCCTGGTTTAAACACTACGTAGGTTTTATGTTCTCAATATAATGTTGTGGCAGATTTTTTCAGGCCAACAATGGAAAAGTTGCTCATCATAGTACGCCCATTGAGATGCTCTCTTTAATCAAAAGATACTCTGACAAAACGTGCGTATTCTTTCGGTGTCTGGTTTTTAGCACAAACACATCCACAACTAGCCAAGCCGACGTATATAAAATACAATAAATTTTATAGGGTAGCCAGGACCTTTTTTCGTTTGGTTACATTGGAAAGAAAGAAGCCTGTTTTGATCCTCCATGTTAAACATGGAAGAAGAGGACCACAATCACTGTGGTAATTTGGCAGCCAGTACTTTTTTCGGTTAAATATCATCCCATTTAAAATTAATAATAGTACTGGCTACTATTTTTGTTCATTTCGAAAATAAATAATAAAATAACAGAAAAGGAATTTTAGTCGGTCACAAATACAACATTCGTTTTCATGTCAAGCCAAAGCCGAAGGAACTTGACATGTTCAAAATTTTCGATTGTATCAACTTGACATCTTCTAAATTTTCAATTTGCGGAAAATAATCATGTTGGACTCATAGATTAACCCATAAATCATATCAGAGTACGTTATATTAAATTTTTATTTAATAATAATTATACTAATTTTGACTATTTAATATGTTGGTGAAGAATTAGGTTTAGATGACTTGTAGTTAAGTAGTCAAGAGTATTTATCTATGCACTCGGGGTTCAAGTATTTAATTGTGCGTCCTTTAATATGAAATGACAGTACTACAGTTGTAACTCGTGCCTCCTTCAATATGAGATAACAGTATTACAGTTGTGACTCGTGCCTAGTGACTCGTGAAATAGACTAAACGAAATCATGCCTCTAGAAAAGAAACAGAAATTAGACTAAACGAAATCATGCCTCTAGAAAAGAAACAGAAATTCAAATCTCTCTTTCATAAAGTGTGTAAAAGTTCTAAGTGCATGTTAAAATTGTCAAATTAATGCATCAAGTATCTCAACCCTAGCTTTTTCTACTTTTTAGATCGATCTTATACAGTGTGAGATTGTCTACACATTCTTGGACCACGTCTATCTTTTCAAATGCCTGCGTAATTAAATTTGCATGTCCAAGTTAATTGAAGCATGAGAAATTAACCAAAAAATATTTTGTGTACACATGATTCACATGGACTGATGTACCCTTTTTCCCTGATGTGAGGCTTGGCAAGTTGGCATGAATGTCAAGGGCTCGTTTGGTACAGCATTAGTTGTATAAAATACATCTTGAAGGCTTGTCTTACAATGAACTGCTTGTTTGGAGCTGTCCATGCATGACGAGGGTGTGTCACAATAAACATGCAACAACTCATATTTGTACTTGTTTGAAATTTCCTTAATCTTATCATATATGATTCTTCGAAATAGAAAATTTGCCAACAAAATTATTATAAAAAAATGTGAATTGACGTGTGTACCAATTTCTGTCAAAGAAGTAGGTTAGAAAATTTGGGATTTAGATTATAAGGGAAAGTTTATCAATTAACATTCACGAATAATGAAATTACAGCGAAACAAAAACACGATTATCGTGAAACACTCCTTTTGAAAAGAACGTCTTAAAAGCAATCAAGATACACCTCAAACCGCCCAATAACATTAATCATATGTCGTATTATATGTAACTATGTTGAAAAGCATGACCGCCTTCTTCTCCATCTTATGTCGATGGGTAATTAAAGTGATTGACTAACTTTATATACATATATTTAGGTCTTCATACATTTAATCAGGGAAAAGTTAACAAAATTGAACACATATATAATATTAATACTGAATAAACTGGCTTGCTACTTTTCCCTAGAGAGTCAAGTTGAAGTTAATTTGTCTGTAACATCCGTATATGCACGAGTTGATAGATTGTACGTCAATCATATCCTACCAACCTTGCCAAAATAAATATATTAAATATTCATCTTTTGCTTATCCAATTTTGTACCTCTTTAATCAGAAGAACTTGCTTTGCTTTTGGGGTATATGGATGGTGTATTGGCATAATTCACTGATATCCAGTTCAATCTGAGTTTCAAACATGATCTTCTAATTAAATGTGTTCCAAATTCATCATATTTATGGACATCAAAATTCGTATTACACGTTATCATATGATGAATTATGTTCGTTCGTTCATTCCTTGATTTTTTTAGGTTAATTCGCGTCAACAACAAAGACAAATATGAAGACTTTTTTCTTTGCAATTCAAATTGAATTTCATTCGTTGCCTTCCAATTTTGTTAAGCGTGCTTAATTAGGAGAAAAGAAAAACGTTGAAGTATAACTTTTTGACTGGATTAGTGACATCATTAGTGACTAATCGGGACAGTCATATGTCCACAACAGTTGCTTCATTGCATGTATTATTTTTAATTGTGTTTGATTAGGACTTACTAATCACCAAGCAGCACCTTGTCCATATGGTGACGGCCGAAGCCACTCAATTTCCCTACTTTTATTTAGTTCAAATTTGGTGAGATCATCATTGGAATTTCTGGTAATTGTCCCAAGTCGGTGTACTTAATTTAATCATCTTCTCTTTGAAAATTTTACACACCAGATAATGATAAAATAACAGAAAATTAGGATCATGATTTGATCATGAAGCAAGTGGCGAGCTCTCAGTGGCATCTCATGCCCTACTTACTAGTTTATTATTAATCTCACTGCTAATTGCGATGTAAGAGCTTTCTGAATTTAATTGGCTGCACAAATTGTTAGTGTCATTTTCTTAGCATTCTCTCTCATAAAACAGAATTGAATCTGAACTAAAACTTGATTCATCTATACTCAATAGACCTCACACCTTTGACGTTTCTCTCTGCTGGATTGAGACTTCCAATAATATTGAACATAGAGACGGTCATTTATAGGCACTAGATTTTGTCCCAAGCCCTATTTCTAATGTGAATGTAGAATGTGGCTCATTTTAAGGTTGGCTCAAATAGATGTCAACTGTTCCATTTACATTATGGAGGCGTCGTTTTGTTTTAGCTTGGTTTGGATGCATGGTATTCTTTTTTCTTGACCGAATTTTTCTCTTTTGAGAGTCTTTTAAGGTAAGATTTTAACCAGACCACTATTTATGTATCAAGTAGCCCTTGTAGTGAAATTGTAATCATATTTTAATTGGAATCAAAGTTTATTCTATTTTGATATATATAAAAAAGGGAAGAAAAAAAGAGTAAAGAATTAAGCTCTACATGGATTTTCTTTTCTCAAACAACTCTATCTATCAAATGGGACTTAAAAATGGATTTTATTAAAATTAGGCAAATTTAAAAGAATATATATGATGTTGAATTTTGCCTGTGCAATCTATTCAAGAAAACTAGCCCTCTTTCTTTGACCCTCCAAGGCACTGATGTTGAACTTGAAACAATGCCAGAAGGGAGTTTGGCCTTCCTTGTTTTAATCCCTCAACAAGCCCAATTCATGCATAAGCGTTTTGTCCTGTACAAAAGTGGCAAAAGGAAAAATAAAAACCTTTGCGGTTTGTTTGATAGAGAGGACTAGATTAGACTAGCAAAATGTCTACATTCAGGGCATATTATGAATATGTTACCTTAACTTGGAGGAATAATGAGGACTATTTATACGAGATTTGATAACTAAAACTTATCCCCCCTAATTGCTTTAAAAATTGTGGGATTATGAGGGATAAGTTTTAGTCATCAACCTCTTAAGAATAGTCCTCATTCATCCTCAGTTAGACAACAAAATTCATATTATGCACTGATTGCACATGAAATGTAGGAATTTTGCTAGTCTAGTCCGGTCTAGTTTATTCCTCCCTAACAAGCGAGGGCCAAGGGGTCTCAAAAAATTTCGAGCATATATTTAGACCAAAAACCAAATGTATAAACTCCTACTTGAAGAGTGAATGCAATACAATAATTATTCATAAAAATAAATGAAAATAAGTCAGAACTGTTGAAAATTCAAGAACCTCTGCTATATATCCTGACTGGCTGAAACTCAAATTGCATGAAAAAGTTTGGTCCACTTGGTTATAAATACAGCTAAAAAGGTTCACATCCATTTCAGATAGAAATAAAAATCCCATATAAATCCCCACGTTTTAGTTTGACTAAATATACAACCATGAACCGGGACATGGGAATAAAAAAAAAGAAAAAAAGATCTCCTTGAAATATACAGTGGGGGCCAAATTTGTCTTCACAAAATATTATTTTCAATTGAATCATTTCTGTACTTTGGACTATTTCGTACCAGGCCCGCACACTTTTGCTTTGTGTGTGTATATATTGACTTACGGCTCTCTCATTCTTTGGCCTTGCTATTTGCTTTGAGCTTTCAGAGAAAGTTGAAAAGCCAACAGCAGAGCAGCCTAGCAGCCTAGCAGAACAAAGAACACAGAGAGTTGGGTTTTATTTTTTCTGATAAATTTTTGGAAGAGGAAGATGGTGAGAGCTCCTTGCTGTGAGAAGATGGGATTGAAGAAAGGGCCTTGGACCCCTGAAGAAGATCACATACTTGTCGCTTACATTCAACAGTATGGGCATGGCAACTGGCGAGCTCTGCCAAAACTAGCTGGTAATAATTACACACTGATTAATTGCTGTCTGTTTCTTGGGTTCTTCAGAAATATGCGAAAGCATTTGGCTTTTTATGAAAGTTTCAGAAATTCGTTGTAGAAAGTGGATGAATTGGCCTGATTTGAATTACCCATGTTGGCATTTTCCAGTGAGATGCTAAGTTTTGGTTTGCCACTTGGGAGACTGTTTTCCCATGTTTTGATGAAAGTTTCTTGTTTCTTTTCTCTTTAGGCTTGTTGAGGTGTGGAAAGAGTTGTAGACTCAGATGGACAAACTACTTGAGGCCGGATATCAAAAGAGGGAATTTCAGCAGGGAAGAAGAAGACGCGATCATCAACTTACATGAAATGCTAGGAAATAGGTACTTATCATCACTACAAACCAATTTGTATCTGCATATAACACAGTTGTAGCTGTTAGATCGACAGACTCGTCACTTTCAATTTAGATCGTGTTGTTCGTATTCAATGTGAATCCACACAAATTGATGCTGCAAAAACAACCCTTCATTTTTCTTTAATTTCAAAGGGGTTCATACTACCAGCCAATCTAGCCTCCCAGTGAAGCATGTGGGCAAAAGATTCCTTTCACAACTTTCTCATGCACAAGCCTAAACAACAAAAAAAGCTCGTTTTTCAAGCAATTAAAATACCAGCAACAAAAAAACATGGCACTTTTGCATAGTGCACATAATCATTCATGTGACAGAAGAGAGCAGAACTGATTTGATTTCTGATTTTGCTCTTGTTTTTTACTTTTCCTATAATCTCAGATGGTCAGCAATTGCAGCGAGATTGCCGGGTCGTACAGACAATGAAATTAAAAACGTCTGGCACACCCACTTAAAAAAGAGGCTCAAACAAAACCAACCCACCACCTCAGAAACCAGAGCGCACTTCTTCTCCACAAAAACTGAACAAGAGCCAGAGCCCAGTGAAAAATCTGAGAGCTTGGATTGTGGGCCAGCATCTCCTCCTCAATGCACCTCAAGTGACACGTCATCAGCCACCACAAGCGACAACAACAGCAACAGCAGCAACAACGACAAGACATGCATGGAGTTTGATGGCTACGCAGCAAACTTACCAGAGGCTGATGAGAGCTTCTGGTCGGAGGTATTGTCGGCTGAGAATTCTGATCAGATGGTGGACCAGTTTCAGGCCATTGGTGGTGTCCCAAGAGTTGGTGTCGGCCCTGCTGATAATGGGTTTTGCTTAGATATGTATGACGATAACAGCATGGATTTTTGGCTCAATATTTTCCCAGGGGCGGATGAAATTCCAGAGTTATTATTAGGTATTTGATTTGGAGAGAACGAGAAGACTGTTTTGTAATTTTGTTCATTAAGCTTTCGGTTGGGAAATAGAATTTGGTTTGCTTGCTGCCGTCCAATTCTTTGACCCTTAGAAAAACGAAAATGAGACCATCGTATTCAACGCGGCAAAACATGAATATATATATATATATATATATATTGTTCAATTTTGTCGGAATGAAATTGTTTGTGGACAAAATAATCAAGCAAGAAAGCAATAATTTCTGAACTTAGAGCACAGGACAAGTTCGGTTGAGGTTTATGGAGAAAAACCTGTATATCACGAGGGATACAGTAAAATAGTAGTGTTATCCCGTGACATGCGAATTCTTCTCAAATTTATGAGATGGATGTCACCATGATCCAAGAACTAAGACAGACGTTAATCAATGATGGTTAAAGGCTAACTTATTAATCAATAACTAATATGAAGAAGAAACTACCAGTTAATCAGATTGGGATTGTATAGTCTTTTGAAAAATAGATCATACTATATGCGCTTAATGGTATATTTTCAAACAATGAAATTTAGGTGGAAATTGTTAGTTGAAACCCTGCTATATAATAATATTTTTTTATCAGACAATTTGATATATTAATTACTAACGACCTAATTTTCTTAGTTAATCATACGTTAAGTATACTTTTTTTATCACGTAACGAATAATATTTTCTTATTAGACAGTTTGATGTATTAATTAGTTAATCAAACTATCGACCTAATTTTCTTAGTTAATCATACGTTAAGTGCACTCTTCTATCGGGTAACGAGACAGAAAATAATTTATATAGTTATGATAGCCAACACGCAATAACTTGAGAGATTAAGAAAAAGGTTTTAGAAATCGGTAATAGCTAAGTTTTCTCCTCTCCTTCACTTAAAATGGGCTCCACTTAAAGAGCATGATTGCCCAACAGTAGATTTCACATGAAATTTGGAGTTATCACCTTGCCTATTTTATAATCCTCGACAACGATACTTTGCAGGCGTGCATATGACTCAAGTAAGAACAAAGAAAAACAAAAGAAAAAACAAATATGCGGCAAACACGTGCACTTTGCGTAGACCTGAAGAAAAAGATCATTTGCATGTAAGCAATATAGTTAACACTCTAAACATGAGTTTAGAAGTAAATATTTATAAGCCTGTAAAATCCTCACAAAGATATGCATGTCTCTCTCTGCTAACACCCACTCAACTAAAGCATGTCAACTTTAATTTGTATGTCTCTCATCATGAAATGCTTTGAACTTTGACATTTGTGTTCTATAATTCTACAACTTGAAAGTATAACTAATATATTAATATTTGTATTTTGAAAGGGAAGAAAAAAAGAAGTAATACATGTTTGATTACATATTTACATGTACGCTTTATTCCTGTCCCGTATTTTTACTATGATTCTAACTTAGTAATGTTTTTTTGTCAAACTGCCTATATGGTACGTTTTATGAAATAGCTTGTTATCGGTAGAGGTCGTAGACTCAAATCTATGCGTGTTAAGTTTTCAATGCCAATATGCTTCTACATGTTTAAGGATTAACGTAAAAACATTCCAATAACATTGTATCCATGAAATTAGGGTGCAATTCAGGTCGAGCTGGGTGGGTCGAGAGTTCAATACAAGCAATCGATTCGGAATTCAACTTGGTCCAGTTCAATAAACACAACCGTTTTGAATTTGGGTCTTAAATAAAGGCTCATCTTAAGCCTTTCTTTAAGCCCAATAGGTAGTCCTTTTCGGTTTGTGAAAAGACGAAACGCTATCGTTTCCATTTTCCATTGGAAGGAACATAACCGCCTCAGGAGTCGGCCCTTGTTTCAGAAAGATAGAGAAGGAGGCGGAGGAGGAGTTGTTCGTTCTAAAGCCAGTCTCTGGTTGGGTTTCCCAATCCCTCGTCTGTTGGATTCGTAGCCGACATAATTATTTTCGTCCAAACCGATCTCGGATTTTAGGGCCTATATAAATCGACAAACAACACCTCTAAAGCTGACGCTCAAAACGACCTCTCAATTCAATTTCTCCTGTCGTTTCAAGTTTCAGCTTCGAGACGACCAAACATGGCGACTGCTTCAGGTTCTTTCTTCTTTTCCATCGTTTATTCCCTATCTCTCATATCATAAATTTCACAATTTGTTACTCAGAATTGGTCTGAATCATTAAAAATACCCTTTTTTGGTAGAATTTTTCTTGAATTTAGTTCTTGAATCATATTCATTACTTATAGCAGATCGAAGATTTGATTGTTTTGAGCTCAGATGGGATCCATAGTGAGATTCGTTTAGTTTATGGATATTTAGGGTTTTTCCGCGACCTGGGTTGAAATTATGTTATAAAAATTTGAAATTGATTGGGGCTTACCAGTTATCACATTCAAGTTGGTTGACATTTGGATTTTATAGTTCAAATCACTGTTGTCAATTCTCCAACTCAAAGTGAAGATCATAAAAACAGTATGAATTGGTGAAACAAAGAGGAAACAATTATAATTTGAAAATGGGCCTTACAGTGTGGATGATTGCTGTGCTTACTAATTTATATATTCCTATGAAAGGTTGATTTTTTTAGCAGTGTTAGAAACTTACCTAGGCTTTACCTTAGAAACTACTATGTTGATTGTTTCTCTTTATGCAGACTAAGTTTATCTTAATCTAGAATGTAGATAACCTTTTTTTGCTTTTTGCTTTTCTGGGTTTTTGGCAAAACTTGTGGTTTTTGAGAGTCTTGTGTTTCTCCTCCCCTACTCCTATATTGATGTGTCTTATGTGGTTGGTCTTGTAGTGGCATTCAAATCTAGGGAAGACCATCGCAAACAAATCGAATTGGAAGAAGCGCGTAAAGCTGGGCTTGCACCAGCTGAACTGGATGAGGATGGAAAGGAGATTAATCCACATATACCCCAATATATGTCATCTGCACCTTGGTATCTCAACTCCGAGAGGCCTGTACGTTGTTCATTTTCTTTCTAATGAGTTCCGATTTGTGATAAACATACCCTGTGGCATAAGTTCTGAATATTGAGACATTTTTTTCTGTTTTGTTTTAATTTTCTCAGAGCTTAAAACATCAAAGGAAATGGAAATCAGATCCTAATTATACAACATCATGGTATGACAGAGGTGCAAAGATACACCAGGCTGATAAATATAGGAAGGGTGCATGTGAGAAGTAAGTCTCTCTCTCTCTCTCTCTCTCTCTCTCTCTCTCTCTCTCTCTCTCTCTCTCTCTCTCTCTCTCTCTCTCTCTCTCTCACAGGCTTTTGTTTCCACTTCAGTTTATCTCGTGAACTGGGGAATAATGTTTGAATGTCTATTCTTACAGTTGTGGTGCCATGACACACGACTCAAAGTCATGTATGGAAAGACCCAGGAGAGTGGGAGCAAAGTTTACAAACAAACACATCGCTCCTGATGAAAAGATAGAGACTTTTGAGCTTGACTATGATGGAAAACGGGACCGCTGGAATGGATATGATGCATCAACCTATGCGCGTGTCATTGAGAGATATGAATCAAGAGATGAAGCTCGAAGGAAATACGTAAAGACACAACAGCTCAAGAAATTAGAGGAGAAAAATAATAACCCAAATGGAGAGGACGGGGTTAGTGAGGAGGATGAGGATGATAATGAGGATGATTTGAGGGTGGATGAAGCCAAGGTTGATGAGAGTAAACAAATGGACTTTGCTAAGGTTGAGAAGCGTGTGCGTACAACGGGTGGTGGGAGCACAGGAACTGTCAGGTGAAAATTTCTTTATACTGGTTCTTTAATTGTCATCTTGTGTTGAAGGGGTGTTATTGTCTCATTTCTGCATTGGTGTCTATTTGAATTCTTACTCATGTATTTTTGTTTGCAGGAATTTGCGTATTCGTGAGGATACAGCGAAGTATCTTTTAAACCTCGATGTCGACTCTGCACACTATGACCCAAAAACCCGGTCCATGCGTGAGGACCCTCTTCCTGATGCGGATCCGAATGAGAAGTTCTACGGGGTAAGTGCCTACAATAGTTAACTGCTTTCTTTGTATTTTTTCCTAGGTTTTTTTTAAGGTGAGGTTTTCCTTATGTTTTATTGTTCTTATATTTGCTTTTGTGATACAGGGTGATAATCGACATAGAAATAGTGGTCAAGCTATGGAGTTCAAGCAGCTCAACATCCATGCTTGGGAATCATTTGAGAAGGGACAAGATATTCACATGCAAGCAGCGCCGTCCCAAGCTGAGTTGCTTTATAAGAATTTTAAGGTGATCAAGGAGAATTTGAAGTCACAAACAAAGGACACCATTCTGGAGAAGTATGGCAATGCAGCTAATGAAGAAGAATTTCCTAGGGAGCTTCTACTGGGACAGAGTGAACGAGAAGTTGAATATGATCGTGCTGGGAGGATCATCAAGGGGCAAGAAACAACACTTCCCAGAAGCAAGTATGAAGAAGATGTATATGCCAACAACCACACCAGTGTATGGGGTTCATGGTGGAAGGATCATCAATGGGGCTACAGGTGCTGTAAGCAGTTGACTCGCAATAGCTATTGCACTGGTGCTGCTGGAATTGAGGCTGCCGAGGCTGCAGGTGAACTTATGAAGGCTAACATAGCTCGTAAAGAGGCCATTGGAGATATGCCTCCACCAGTGGAGGAGAAAAGACTTGCTACTTGGGGAACTGATATACCAGATGATTTGGTTTTAGATGAGAAGTTACTTGCTGATGCTCTTAAAAAGGAGGACGCAAGAAAGAGAGAAGTGAGAGATGAAAGAAAGCGCAAATACAATGTAAAATGGAATGATGAGGTTACTGCTGAGGATATGGAGGCTTATAGGATGAAGAAAGTTCATCATGATGATCCAATGAAGGACTTTCTTAATTGATGGAGCCCATCTCTCAAAATGCTTTCAAGGTTGTCAATGCGACGTAATGGCAGTGCTCTTATACTGCAGTTCTGCAAGCTGGGCTTCTTGAACTCGTGGTTCAGTTGTGGCAGAACATGCTGAGCTGGAGCCTCCATCTTTGATTTGCAAACCTCCCAGTCGTGATTACTGTTAGCTTAAGTACTGAGGATACTGTAGTTATATTGCTATTACGTGAGCTACCCTGTGGTTGTTGGGCCATTTGAATTGTTGTTTACTTTGTTCTCAGTTGTCATGTAATGAGTTGTGTAATGACATTACTTTGAATTTACCTAATTGTGTTGCTGTTCTGGATTTCGTGAATCAATTGTTAAAAACCAAACTGCAATGACGAAACATTAATTTAAATTGTGAACTGTGAACATATTTCCAACTAAAAAGAAAGAAAAGAACCCAAAGGATCTTCACATATCGACATTGCATATTTGCTTTATTTATTTCAACATATACTCTTCAATCCTTCATGCCATACTAAAATATAAGCTACAAAGTACAGAATTCACTCCTTTTTTTTTCTTGAAACGAATAAATATCATAGATTCATGCGAAACAAATTCTTGAGCAGAACAATCACACTTAATTTACATATGTATAGATGATCTATTAATCTAATTTTTTTTCGAAAGCTTCTGCTACAAATGATCGCGTGCCAGCTTCTCCTGAACCTCCATTTCCTTTCTGAACCTGGCTATGAACTCCTCAGCTCTTTCATCAATTCCATGCATCAGAGGGGAAGCAAATCCCAATGACTCCCACATATCGTCTGCTGTAGCACAAGCTCTCTCGCCCCCACTTCCAGTAGCTGTTGTTGCAGCAGCAGCAGCAGCAGCTTGCTTGCACTTCTCTACCGGAGGCTGAGCCACAGCCGGCTCTTTAAAAAGCTTGTCAACATAGACATGTGCAGTGGTGCGATTCTGTAGGAGCTGAGGGCGGTTATAGCGAAAACGTAGGGCAAGACGCCGTCTGCGTTTGAAACGCAGTTGGAGAAATTTGTAAGGTCGAAGTTGGACAGAAGCACAAGCAGAAGAAGAAGAAGAAGAAGAAGCAGCAGCAGTGATTGCTTTGACACGGTTTCTGGGTTTTGTGATGCCTTTGGGTTTGTGGAGCTTGCTCTGTAGTTTGGAAGTGAAGCTCTTCCAAGCCCTTCTGGCCGGTGGAAGCCTCAGTCTCAAGCAAGACATGAGAAGAGAGAGTAAACGGATGGCTTGCAAAGAGTGCTGAGAGATTGTTGTTTTATAGTACGGTAAGCTAAGCCGCTAGATTCCTTCAGCTTTTGGATTGTGTATTCGTTTTGTGCTATTTTATAATATATGGCATGGATGGACCACAGTAGTAGCTTACTTCTTACTCTACGCGTTTAAGGCCAAAAAGCAGGTTTGACTCTAGAATCTAGGCTGCAACTTATCCATGTTCAACTACCTCTAGCCCAAAATCAGCCTAATCGGATTGGAATGAGCTTAACTTAACCCACAAGTAAAATTCACGAGCTGAATTAGAGTATGAATCTCGATTCTGACTCAAGGTTGAGGTATTGGGTTATGAACGTTGGTGGGTTTTGGTTCAGCTTGGAATGCTATTAATTTGAAGCCAAAACGCCCACTCCGCAATAACACGTGATGATGTTCTAGCACCGTACAATAATCTCTCGTGTATCGTCTTAGTTTTCTAATTGTGTCCTTATATGAGATATGATGGAGATGGATGCCTTCCATAATCCATTCCATGTTTCTCCTTTTCGTTGTTTTTGCTCTCAACTTGGGGTACAGTAGTAGTACACAGACGAGTGCAGTACAATGCATCTACAATTTCTTTTCTGCAACTTGTAAAATATTCGAAGGTTGCGTAGAATGAAAGAACGCGGCAAAAGAACAAAGATTATTCCATTTCCATATAGAAAAAGATTTATAAAGGAGACGAACAAGAGAGAATAGAGAAAACTTTCTTTAAAATTTATAAGTGTGCGTAGTACACAACTACACTTAATTGATACTAACAATAAAATGAGAAGTAATCTACTACAGAACTTCCTGGCAGTGAATAACAAAACCCAGAGAAGTTCTAACATGAGAAAAATGAAAAAAAAAGACATTTTGAGCAATAAAAATGCTACAACATCCATCGATCAGAATTTTATGAACTAAATAAGGGCTTGAACTCCAAATTGCTGCATCTCTCTTACCCTCCATATTGGGTAAATAGCACCTTCACCAAGTTCTTCAGGATCCACCTGTTGCATGGCCCAGGCATAATACACAGTGTGGATTGTGTCCTAATGAAACAATACGATTCGACAAAACATGAGTTCGTACATATAAAATATCCAATAAGCAGAGTAATGACACAACCGTGCATGCTTTTATAGAGAATTATGGTTCAAGGGGGGAATATAACCCATTTAATATAATGTGTGCGGATAGGGGTGTGTGTGTGAGAGTACAAATAATATTTACCTTGCCACCATCTGTTACTGCACCATTTTTATCACGTACACAATACACTTGCTGCGTTCGGAACTGTTAAATTCACCGAAAAGAGCCGTCGCTATCAGCTTTGTTATTAAATAAAACTTAGAACAAAAAAAGAAAAGAAAATGCCTACCATTACAATGATTATGGGAGAGTCTCCCATCATTTTAGTCTCTTTTACTTCTGCATCAGATATATGTAGAATCTGCACCCCCCAAAAAAATCAAAATTAGTTGCATGACAATACATACAGCATACGCCCTGAAAAAGCTTCCGTCACTCACTTCTACCATCTCAGTGTATAGAACTAAATTTAGGGTAGAAATGACTTGTCACCCAACTACAGGTAATGACACTAGCATACAAAAGTCGCTATTTAGTAACCTCAACTCTAAAAGTCATGATAAAAGAGCTAGCATTGTGAATAATCTTGCCACATTATTTGAGAAGATGTGGCTAAATAAGAGAACAGAGATATTAACTTTCGCTTCTGAAAAATTGATATATTAAAGTTTCAGTCCCATCCTCAATGTTTTTAAGTTATATACCTCCAATCTCAATTCTCATTTTTCACGAAGTCATTATATACCTCCAACCTCACTTCTCATCGTTAATGAAGTCTATTCTCCACCCAAAGATCAATACTATTTGACATGTGTTCCTAATTAACATCCCATCAGTATAGAATGCAACAACAATTGGCATGGAAACAGTAAAATGTAGGAGGAAGCAAGTTTTCTACCTTGTGATCAAAAAAGATGCCATGGCTTCGGAAACCATCATGCTCAGCTTTACACCGCTCAATCACCTCCTTGCTACAATACTTCTTCAATGTCTCAACATCTCCCTACATTTAAAATGCATGTTATTACATAAAGATGAGAAACTATAATGGCACTCACATGGGCCAACATTGAGATGATGATACGTTAAAACCATGAACACAAAAAAAAATAAAACAAAACCAAAAGATGAGAGGAGAGAAAAGAGGGGGGGTGGAACCTAAACAAGCTCAGCTCTCACAGCACTAACCTTGATGTAAGCATTAAGCACTGGTTTTACAGCATCCTGTACTTCTGCCACAAAGTCTGGTAAAGAGAAGGATCTAATCCATGCAAACATTACAATTAGAAATATATTAATCAAGTTATTCAAATAAGTATGACAAGAAGCAGCAAATGGCAATGCGATCATACGGATCTCGGCGGCGTATCTCCTTGATTGATGCAGCAGTATCTGTTTCTTGAAAAATAGTTTCATTTAAACTGTCAAAGGAAAATGGTCAATTCAGCACTCAAATATTTACAAATAACTCTTTAGCGAAAAAATCTATAATTTTCTGGGGGCAAAACAAAGAACATTTACAACCCTCCCTCAAAAGAAAAAAAAACTATTATTCGCAGATAGTGAGCAAACCAAGAAGTAAACAAAGTTTAGCAGCATACTCCTGAATTTTGTGAACGATTGGACTATCGCTTGTCTCCCAATGTTCCCGCATGTCCTCAGCAATCTGCCAATTTCAACAAAGACAAGCAATACAGCAATCTCAAGACAGGTGGTACATATAAACAAGTTGTCAAACATACGGCTAACTAATATTCTATACAACAGAGTTTTATGATAAAATCCATAAGTGCAGTAACATGAAAAAAAACAGATACAATACATAATACAGCATATGTCTTATCCACTCAAAAACATGAAGTACGAACTGGAGTTTTTTTTAAAGAACAGAAACAATAATTGAATTGGAATTTACCTCCTGGGTTTTTGACGTAACAGGTTTACGTAATTCATCAAAACGCTTGAATATAGGATGACCTTGCATCTAGGTAAGAGAGTACAAACAAAAGAAATCAAATAATTCATTTCAAATAAGAGGAAAGACAACTAGATATAACTTTTTTTGTAATATTTAATGGGCAGAAAGAAATTTCACCTTCATTCTGAAAGCCTCCCACTTTTTACTCCAGCGAGATTGGGGTACGGCAACAATGTCCGTTCTTGTACTTACTTCAACTTGAGGGGTGGTAGAAGGATCATACTCCAGGTGCTTTCTCTTAGTTGGATTACCGCTTAACTCATCCTTTACAATGTCATATCCCTTTTTAGCCATGTCGATAAACTTTGCTTCCTTAACTCTAGAGAAGGCAGAGGAAAAATACGAGGAAGAGGCACTTGACCTAAATTTGCCAAATAATGTTTCTTCAGTATTACTAGACCCTGACTCCTGGTGTTTCTGTTCCCCAGATGAGGCCTTTGTTCCATCTTCTGCATCAGTGAAATTCTCAGATTTAGCACCAGAAGGCCCTGAAGCCTGTTCGTTCCCAATTCCAAAGGTTCCTTTGACCTGCATAGAACAAAAAGAAGTAAACAACCAACAAACTCCAGCAGATCAAAGTATATAGCAGTACAGACGCAAGAGGTAAAAAAGCAGACCTCCTCTGTGGCAGCGGTGATCTTCTCTTTTACATTGGAAGAAACCTGCAGCCATAATTATCAATGTAAATTTTAGAACAGATGCAAGTTTCTTATGATAAAAAACGACGAACAAATCCAGACTGAACAAAAATGATATGCACCAGAAACAACATAATATTTGCACAGAAGTTGCCATCGAGAATTTTGACATATAGAAGCACTACAGATTTTTAAGGTATGTGAAATAAGACCTTCTTTGCTGCAGCTTCAGCCTCTGTCCAAACACCATCCACCTGCTTGTATAGCTGCTCTGTTGTCTGCTTCGTTCTGCATTCGCCATTTCACCATCTCAGAGCCTCCATTTGGAAGTACCCAGCCAGACTTGACATACAAGGGTATGTCTCAGCCTATATACTAGAATACTAAAATTTCTCATGGCATGAAGTGACAATATCAAATAATTACCTCACTTTCAGGTCTTCTTTAACGCCTTTCAGCTCTTCCGCTTTCTCTTTCAGCTCCTTAACTGACTGTTGAAATTCTGGATTCCTGCAACCAGGGCAATGGATGTGAGCATAATGACTCTCAATAATAATAACAATAGTAGAAGAAAATTTTATAATGATTAAAAAACTAAGAAGAGAAAAACAATTCTGCAGCTTTTAATAACCAACTGGCAAACCAGAAAGAAGCTATTACGTTTTACTTCCTAATGGAAATGGGAACTCAAGCTAGTACTACAAGTTTCTCACTGTAAATTGAGAGTCAGCTACACAAGGATTTATATCTCATAAAAACCAATGTCTAACGCAAAACAGCTCAACTAAGCCAAAAGATTGCATTTTAGTTCACGAAACAACGTTTTTTTATTTCTTATAGAGCAGACGCTTAACAATTTGTTCCGAGTAAAACAAATTTGACCCAACATTTAAACAAGAAAAACCAATTAAAATAGCAGATACATATTACATTAAAAGAACTCCTCAGCTTTTGGCAGCCCAATATGCTTTACCAATGTAAATGCCATAACATGTAATACAAATGTGCATACATATATACATATTAAACATGTAAAACAGAGTGAGTGAGTGAGTGAGAGATACTTGGTAGCTTCGCCTTTGACTTGCTTCGAAAATTCATTGAAGACACTGAATCGACGACTCCCCGAATACCCATTAGCTGAAATCAACCGAATTCTCGTGCTTGAAACCTATCTCATCAAATTCAAAACCCCCAACCCAATAAAAAAAAAAAGATATTAAATTAACCCAAAACATACTTAAAAAGTTCGAAACTTTGATTCGAAACTTCTGCCAAAGGAACGAACCTGTTGTTTGGGGGTCAGCTGATGAAAGAAGGGTTGTCTGTAAAGGTGCAAATCTCGCACTAGCTTTCTAGCAGCCATCAAATTGGGGGCAAGCTAAATTTTCTCAAACAGAGAAAAAAACGATAGCTTTTTTCCTTTTCCGTTTTGTTTTTGCCTTGGAAAAATTTGAAGGGTGGGTGTCTGAATTAGTAGCCAGTGTCCCAACTTGGGAAGGAAGAAAGGGACGAAGGAAGAAGGAGATGAACGTGAAAGTTACACATTCACAAACAAACCAAACCAGGCCTTGACTCTCTAGGGTTTGTGTTTCCTTTTCCCACCAGATTTTGGAAATGCCCCATTGGCCCAATACTGTTTTCTGAAAAAGTCCTGTTAATGGGAAAGCCCAACTCATAGTTTTACCCCGATTATTATTATATTTTTTTACCCAAAATGCAATAATTTCTTCAATTTTTTCTTAAATATTTATATTTGTGGGATTTAATTGGTCTATAAGCAAAACTACACAATTAAAATGACAAGGCCAAAGTTAAACATGAGTCAAATTACAGGGATAAAAATGTAACTTGACCTATTTCCTTTTCATGAATGAAATTCCCCTATTAATAACACTTTTAAAAATCAAACCAAATTAATAACTTGAGATTCACAAAGATTTTTAAGCTTAGGCAGAGTACACTAGTATAATGGGTTGGAACAATTGGTTCTCCAAACAAAGTCTTGAATTCGAGTCCTAATATTCATATAGTATGTGTGAATTTATTATATCTCCCCTCTCAATATGATTTTTAAGCTTAGTATCCTCCCATCCCATTACAACCCACCCTATCAATTGTAGGTTGATGTAGCATGTAAAATTCTTCTCTACTTGTACTTTTAATGCCACATAAATTTTGATGGTGAATTTTTACTTCATCAATCAACATCCAGAAACTATTCAAGAAAAGGAAAATAGTGGCAGTACATAAATATTTGATTTGATCATGACCATATAATATAAGTTCAATTCAAATTTTCAACCACTCATATGGTGACTCTCAAATGATCAATATGCAACTAGATTTGATTTGCCACCACATAAAGTGTCAAGCTTTCAACCCATCATCAAGAATGAAGTATTCTATTTAGTATTGGGCCCACACAAAAAATTGAAACTAGATGAAAATAAAGCAAAGGGAAAAAAAAACACAGATGGGTTGCTAATGGCAAGCCTCATTGGCAACGGAGAAGCGCTGGGCTTGAAGAGCTGCAGCCTTATCCGACACCAGAGCTTGAATGACCAAAGTCTTCACCTCCCAAGCACTGTACGGAAACCCCTTCCTGGCGTAAGAGTTCAGGAGGGCGGCGCTCGCCTGCTTCAGCAGCCTAGGGTAGACGTTCTCCTCGTCGTTCCTGACCGTCGCTTCCAGTAGCGTCAGATCAGATCTGTAACGTTCGTAGGCTCTTGATCCGAACACCTTCGACACCGTTGATGTCTGTGGGACCATCCTCGGCCACGCCTCCCTCCTGCTCCCCCAATAGCTGTGCAACACAAATAAACACATCATTATAGGACACGATGGGCATTTCAGTAACTTCACCACAAGAAAGAGAATAACAGAGAGAGAGAGAGAGAGAGCTTACTGTGGAGTGCATCTTCCTGTGGTTCTTGTGAAGAGAAAGCCTGGCCTTTGGGTTTTGGCTGTTGTTGAGGGTACAGAGCAAACAATAAGAAGAAGAAGAAGAAGAAGAACGAGTTGACCCAGTTGAGAAGGCCTCAACAGCCTCAACATATCTTCTTCTTGTTTGGTTTAGGATCTGAGTTTGTGCTGCTGAGAATATTTGGCATGACTCGGTTTCAAACTTGGTCTCTCTCTCTCTCTCTCTCTGTCTTTTTCTTTTCTCCTTGGACACTCTACCACCGCTCTCTCTGGTTATTTTAATGCACTTGGTCCAGTTCTCCATACTAATGGTTTTACCAATTTGCCCTTGTATGGGTGTACGTTTTTATAGCCATCTGATTTTAAATTAGTGGAGGGTGAAATTGTCTTTCACTTAGGTCCACGTGCAAAAGAGCTAGGTGTGTTGGAACATGCTTGTATGGCTTCATCAGATTGGACATGTTACATTAACTTCTCTAAAGAGAAGTGACAAAGTGTAACGAGGTGTGAGAGTAATCTTTGGTGTCCGTTACTAGCACGTGGTTTTACTAATTTATTGATGTTGTAATATTTGATATGAATTAGTAACAATATGTGATGCTAAAACATGAAACAGTCCAAAACTTCTCACTTGTGAAGGGTTCTTTCTTCTAAGCTTCATGTCTTTCGTGTCTCGCTACGCTTTTGTTGCGTATAAACAATCGGAGGAGGGGTTTTTACACACAAATAAGACCTTATTTTACTTTTCGTCTCTCAACTCAAAAAATTGTTATGGTCATCCCTTATTTAGATATCGCGTTGCACTACTTGTCTTTCCATCAATTCCGTTAAATTTTTTGTCAAAATTAAGGACAAATTGAGAAATTTTTATCAAATTTTAAGGGTAAATAAGACTTTTAGCTAGTCACCACCTCATTCTGCCCAAACCCAATGACAACTCTCTATCTCTCTCCCTCTCCAATGATCCTTTTGGGTTTTGTTTAGATTGTTCAATTAATTGAGAGGAAGACCAATCAATGAAAAAGGTTGGGAGGAGGAGATTGACGAACATAAGGAGGAAGAAAATGAGAGAAGGAGAAAGTGGGATTGTGGGTGTGGGTCGATCGGCAGAGAATCTGTGGGGTTAGATCTGTGAAGGATGCCTGGAGGAGAGAGAGAGAGAGAGGTGGTTGTTGGGGCTGGGCTGTGCTTATTAAGAACCCAACACATGAAAAGACAAATATAACCTTATTTTTTACGGAAAAGTTGACGGAGATGACGAGTTGTGAAAGTCAAGGCATATAGTTGAAGCACCATCATAACAATTTTGGGAGATAAGTCACTAAAAGTAAAGTCGAATCTTACTTGATGGACAATCGTTACATTTTTACATGAATAAAATGATAAACTGAGTTAATAAGAAAACTTGATATAGAAATTTTCATCTAACAGATGGGATAGTTTGTGAAGGCATGCATGTCTCATAGTTGTAATCTTCAATATGATGAATGAAGTAATTTTTATTTTTTCTATGAAGAAAAGTTCAGAGAGGGAGCGAAGGCGACCTCATTTTAAGACCAGGACATGTTAAGGCTTCTTTGAGGACTTAGAAATGAAAGCAATTCTTCAATGCCTTCAACATAGGAATATCCTTTTCTCATGCAATCCCTTAGGCCTGAAAAGATTAGTGAAGTACTTTCCCGTAAAAACCACATGGATGATATGTGACCCTTCATCTTTCAGAATGTAAGTGCAGGTTTATACAATATTCGCTGACAAAAATTCAAAAAGTTTCAAATACCCAAAAAAAGAAGATGTAAAATATTTTAAAGTGGTACCAACCAACTTCCAAGTAATAAAGTAAAGTAGTTAATGAGAGGGTAGGTTTGGCATAAAAGTTGAGAACAACAAAACTGAAGAATATCCGATGGTGTTGGTGTGAGAACAACGTAGAAGATAGAAGAATAACAACACAACAAAACTCATCACAGACAATCAGGTGGAGTTCACGATTCTCACCAAGCACGCAGTGTCAGATGGGCCCGGGTTCGGATCCCAAGTCCCATGAATTCTACTTCACCAAACGGCCAGGTGCAAATCGAGCTCAGAACCAGACAACAATATTGACGAGAAACCCCACCGCTGGTTGCCGCATATAAAGCCAGCTGCCACTGCTACGCAAAATGAGGTGTTAACAATTCTCAGTCTCAAAGCCATGCAGGCAGAAGAATGGCTAAAGATGCCTTACACACGGAACTCTACGTGTCCACGCCTCAACTCATTTTCCCTCCTATAAATACCAGCGCCTACCGCTCGCAGCTTTACCATATCAAACACAAAATACAAGTGAGCTCGAATTACAAGTCATCTATCTCCTTCTTATTAATTTCTTGTGTTATGGCTAAGGCTTTAGTTTTCTCGCTTTGCTTGCTTCTGGTTTTCAATGGCTGCTTAGCGGCACGCCAGTCCCAGTTGAGTCCGCAGAACCAGTGCCAGCTCAACCAGCTCCAAGCCCGCGAACCCGACAACCGCATCCAGGCGGAGGCGGGTCAGATCGAGACCTGGAACTTCAACCAGGAGGACTTCCAGTGTGCCGGGGTCGCCGCCTCTCGAATCACCATTCAGCGCAACGGCCTACACTTGCCCTCCTACTCCAACGCCCCTCAACTCATCTACATCGTCCAAGGTCACGTGTTATTACTACTATATCTAATTAATTAACTATTAAATTACGAGACTAATTAATTGAGTCGTTAGTTTACTAATAAAATATTGCATGCATGGGCGTGCAGGTAGGGGTGTTCTAGGGGCAGTGTTCTCTGGGTGCCCTGAGACTTTCGAAGAGTCTCAGCAGTCTTCTCAGCAGGGGCGCCAGCAGGAACAGGAACAGGAACGACAACAACAACAACAACAGGGCCAACAAGGACGACAACAGGGCCAACAAGAGCAGCAGCAGGAACAAGAAGAGCAGCAGCAAGGCCAACAACAACAATTCCGACAGCTCGACCGCCACCAGAAGACCCGCCGCATCCGTGAGGGTGATGTTGTCGCCATCCCTGCCGGAGTCGCCTACTGGTCCTACAACGACGGCGACCAGGAGCTTGTTGCAGTCAACCTTTTCCACGTCAGCAGCGATCACAACCAGCTCGACCAAAACCCAAGGGTACCTAAATAATTGTATAATTATTTAATTAACAAAATCAGCATTCAATTAAATTATTTACTTAACTAACTCTACCTTTATCTCATATGTAGAAATTCTATCTAGCTGGTAACCCAGAGAATGAGTTTAACCAACAAGGCCAAAGCCAACCCCGCCAGCAGCGTCAGCAACCATTCGGACGTCCCGGACAGCATCAGCAACCATTCGGACGTCCCGGACAGCATCAGCAACCATTCGGACGTCCCGGACAACAAGAACAACAAGGAAACGGCAACAACGTCTTCTCCGGCTTCAACACACAGCTCCTCGCCCAGGCCCTCAACGTCAACGATGAGACTGCCAGGAACCTCCAGGGAGAGAACGACAACAGGAACCAAATCATCAGGGTAAGGGGCAACCTCGACTTCGTCCAGCCCCCAAGGGGACGACAGGAGCGTGAATACGAGGAGCGACAACAGGAGCAGCTCCAGCAGGAGAGGCAACAACAAGGAGGACAACCGATGGTCAACGGTCTTGAGGAGACCTTCTGCAGCTTGAGGTTGAAGGAGAACATCGGCAACCCTGAGCGTGCCGACATCTTCTCTCCCCGGGCCGGCCGCATCAGCACCCTCAACAGCCACAACCTCCCCATCCTCAGGTCGCTTCGCCTCAGCGCCGAGAGAGGCTTCTTCTACCGCGTAAGCAATTACACAAACATATATATACTTGCTAATTAATATTTAATTAGGATGAACTAATGATCTTGATAATGCTTAATAATTAATGTTCTAATGATCTTGATAATGCTTAATATTATTCTTGTGCATGCATGCAGAACGGTATCTACAGCCCACACTGGAATGTGAACGCCCACTCAGTGGTGTACGTGATCAGAGGAAATGCTAGGGTTCAGGTGGTGAACGAGAACGGAGATGCAATTCTTGACCAGGAGGTGCAGCAGGGACAGCTGTTCATAGTCCCACAGAACCACGGCGTGATCCAGCAAGCCGGCAACCAAGGGTTCGAGTACTTTGCCTTCAAGACGGAGGACAATGCGTTCATTAACACCTTGGCTGGACGGACCTCCTTCCTCCGTGCACTGCCGGATGAGGTACTGGCCAACGCCTACCAAATTTCTAAAGAGCAGGCGAGGCAGCTCAAGTACAACCGGCAGGAGACCATTGCCTTGAGCTCCAGCCAGCAGAGGAGGGCAATTGAGTAAATGTAGTGAATGCGGCACGTAGTGTTTTTTGGAGTCGTTAAAAAGAAAGGAAGCGGAGCCTGAGAGTGTATAAATAAAAGAGCCTTATAAGGCTTGTTACTAATAATGTAAGATGAGAGAGTCTAGCTACCAAGTAATTAAATAAGTACTACGTGTAATCTATGCATATGTAATGAAAATTTCCCCCCTTTTTCCTAAACGCGTCTTGCTTTTTCTAAACATTTCTACCCTTCATCATGCTTAATTCCTACTAGTTTTCTAATAAAAATTATAAATAAAAGCTATATGAAGAAATTCTTTAAAATCATGATGGGAAGTTATTGTATTTGTTCTACTTAAATTAACTTTTATGGAAAATTGACATTTTAACAAGCAGATTAATTATGATTCCGTTACATTATTAATGATTTCGTTACATTATTAATTTGATGATTCCGTTACATTATTAATTTGCAAGTTACCAAAAACGCTACTTGATGTATGAGTATGACCAATTTGCTTAGTGTCATGATAAGACCAAGAAAGCAAAACCGTTCTTCCTTTTCCCTCTAATTTAATGAGACAATAAGGAAGGAACCTCATATATAATAGAACACGTATTACCCAAGTGTTCATCCACCCAAAAATTTGCATTCAATACAATCACTTCGTTAAACGCCACAAAATTACTTTTTTAATACGTTTTATTATTTTTTTAAGGTGTGCTTTATCATATACCATAAATATCAGTTATTAACGACACGACACGCACAAAAAGCATGCCGTAAATATCAGTTATTACCAACACGCACAAAAAACATGCCATAAATATCAAGTTGTAAAAGCTTCAATTTGGTGTAGTGTGTCATAATAAGACCAAAATAAATGTGTTGAGATCAAGAAACCAAAACCGTTCTTCCTTTTCCCTCTAATTTAATTAGACAATAAGGAACCTCATATATAATAGAACACGAATGATCCAAGTGTTGATCCACCAAGAAAGTCTTACCATACTCCCAAACAAACAATATCAATATGTCTTTGCTCATCAAAAATGTGTTGCTGCTTCTACTAGGGTCGGTGTTGGTGTTGTTCCAAACTACTTGTGATGCAGACCCTGTTTTTTTTTCCAGGTAAACAAAATGTTAGAATGACTAATGATTTGGGTGCAGAAATGACCGTTCATTGCAAATCCAAGGACGACGATCTTGGTTTTCATGTTGTCCCCATCAAAGGTAACTATGGGTTTAAATTTAAACCCAACTTTTGGGATACAACCCAATTCTTTTGCAGCTTCAAATGGGGAACCGAATTCCACTATTTCGACATTTACATATACGAGAGAGACAGCAGGCTTTGTGCCGACAATGAGTGCATGTGGAGCATAAGACCAAACGGTCCATGCAGGTGGGACAGTACCATCCGATCTTACCTTTGCCATAAGTGGAATGAGAATAATTAATTAATGTTCCTCCATTTTATTAGTTTTAGTTTCTTTGCTGTTATGTTATACATGTTCTTCTTCATCTGTAATAAAGAAGACCTTTGACTTTGAGTGTCATGTAATTTGATTTGATTTTAATAAGGTTTTTGAGGATTATTAAACATGCCATTAATGATTGTGTCGCACGAGTGCATGTGGAGCATTAGAGCACAGAATTACACAAAATTAAAGCCCTTTTATTAGCAAGATAGATAGATCGTTACATGCAGAAGCCTCCACGTAGTAGTTATTTACTTGCTTATTAGAAGCTCACTCTCCTCTTACATTAGTACATTACATATACAGCCATATATATACATATATAAGGCCTTTTTTTTATTCTCTTGTCTCTACCTACCTTTATTCCTAGAAACCACAAAAAGAAAAATTTTAAAAAAAAAGAAAAAGAAAAGAAACACTACGTGCCGCATTACATTTTAGCTTATCTCACGCACCCCATGCACATCTCTCAATCTAATAACCAAGGATGGACATAAGCCTCCCGCGAGGAGGAGAAGTGGCGCTCAAAAGTCTGCTCTCCTGCCTGTTGTACTTGAGGTTCCTTGCGTCCTGCCTCGAAATCCGGAAGGCGTTTTGCAGCACCTCATCTGGCAGGGCCCTCAGCACCGAGGTTCGCCCTGCTAGGGTGTTGGTAAAGGAATTGTCGTCCGTCTTGAACGAAATGTACTCGAACCCTTCGTTGCTTGCCTGCGCGATGACGGCGTGGTTCTGGGGGACCAAAAACATCTGTCCCTCTCTCACCTCGTCGTCCAAGATGGAATCACCGTTCTCGTTCACCACCTGAACCCTAGCGTTGCCTCTGATCGCGTACACCAGCGCGTTGGCGTTCAGGTGCCAGTGTGGAGTGTGGATAGCGTTCTGCATGCACATTATTGTATCATCATCAGCAAAAACAAATTTTGTATTTGTATTTATAATGTTAAAATTATGTATTCATATTTATATACACTTACGTTGTAGAGGACACCTTTCTCGGCGCTGAGGCGTAGGTAGCGGAGGATGGGGAGATGGTTTCTGTTCACGACGCTGATGCGGCCGGCCTGAGGGTTGTAGAAGTCGGCGCGTGAAGGGTCACCGATGTTCTGACTGAGCCTGGCGCTGCAGAAAGTCTCCTCAACGCCATTGTCCTGGCCGCCTCCTCCCTGCTGCTCTTGCTCCCTCTGTTTCTCTTCCGTTTCACGCTGACTCTGTTGCTCTTCCTGCTGGCGCTCTTGGTCGCCTCGGCCGCCGGCAGACCTGCTGAAGGGGCTGACGAAGTCGAGCTGGCCCTGCACTTTGACAATCTCGTTCCTGTTGTCGTTCTGGCTCTGGAGGTTCCTCGCGGTCTCTGGGTTGACGTTGAGGGCCTGTGCGAGGAGCTGAGTGTCGAAGCCGGAGAAGATGTTGTTGCCGTTGCCTTGCTGGCCTTGCTGTTGCTGCTGCTGCTGTCGTCCTTGTTGTTGCGGGTTGAACTCGTCTTGTGGGTTGCCAGCTAGGTAAAATCTCTGTATGTAACACATCATCCAATCCAATCAAGCCACGTCATTAATCAGTAAATAAACAAACAATTTGTTTTTAAATTGATTAAGAGTAATTAAGTAATTGCTTACCCTGGGCACTTGGTCGAGCTGGTTTTGGTCGTTGCTGAGGTCAAGGAAAGAAACAGCCACGAGAGGCTGTTCGCCGTTGTTGTAGCTCCAGTAAGCGACACCGGCTGGCAAAGCGATGATGTCACCCTCTCTGATGTGTCGGATCTTCTGGTGGCGGTCTTGCTGGTCCTCGCCCTGGAACTGCTGTTGTCCCTGTCCTCCTTCTTGGCGAGAGGGCTGGAACTGTTGCTGCTGCTGCTGCTGCTGGAATTGCTGCGGCTGAGAGTCCTCAAAAGTCTCGGCACACCCAGGAAACACAGCTCCTAACACACCCCTACCTGGACCCCACCAAATTAAAATATTAATTAATTCAATAACATGCATAACATATAGTTGATATTAATTGATTACATGGTGTTTCATGAATTTACCTCTGACGATGTAGATGAGTTGCGGAGCATTGACGTAAGAGGGAAGGTGAAGGCCGTTGGGCTCGATGGTGCGTCGAACGGCTGCGACACCGGCCCATTGGAACTGCGGGTCTCTGGGGTTCCATGACTCGGTCACACCGGCCTCAGACTGAATGTGGTTGTCGGGTTCGCGGGCCTCGAGCTGGTTGAGCCCCCACTCTTTGTTCTGGCCAAATATATTCTGGCGAGAAGCCAGGCAGCCATTGAAAAGAAGAAGCAAACAAAGAGAAGCGAGAGCTAAAGGCATAGACATATTTGGAGATTACAGAAAGGAGAGAGAAAGCTCTTTGGTTTTGAGATGGGTGAAGCGGCGAGCAGCAGGCGCTGGTATTTATAGTGAAGAAGAGGAGGTGAGGGAGAGACACGTAGGGAAATGAGTGTAAGGAATCCTTCGCCATTCTTCTGCTTGCATGGCTTTGAAGCTCTGAATTGTTTACACCTCATTTTGTGGTTCAGGGCAGGTGGCTTTCGGCTTCAGAGAAAAAACAAAGTTCGTTGAGTTATGTGGCAACCAGGTGGGTGTCTCGAGCCATTGCTTTTTTCTTACTGTCTTGGGATCGGTGCGTTTCTGAAACCCTTTTGGCATTGCCTGCTGAGAAACGTGAACTCCATCTGATTGTCTCTGATCAGTTTTGTTGGGTTCCATTGTTTTGTTGCCAATCCTCATTCATATTCTCTCTCCTTCTATGTAAAAGTAAATATTTGAGTTATTATAATTTGGGTACCACTCTGTAATATTCTCTCTCCTTTTTTTCTTTTAAAGAAAATCTTTTTATAGGATCAATTTGTAAAGTATGAACTGCTTTTGTTGTTCTAAGTAGCTGATCTCTTGTTGGTCCTTTTTGCTTGACAGTAAAAGACAAAAGAATTCATACTAGTGGTAGTTGAGGTCATTCATTTGTAATTTCATTAAAGTTGTGGGTTTTGGATTTGGATCTGTAGAGAGAGACCCTCTTGGATATTGTTCTTGAAGGTCCAATTCTCAATGGTTATCAAAATCTTCCCATTCTTCTGTTTGCATGGCTGTGAAGCTTTGAATTGTTTACACCTCATTTCGGGGTGGAGGGCAGGTGGCTCTTGGCTTCAGAGAAGATACAAATTTAGTTGAGTTATGTGGCAACCAGGTGGGTCCCGGGAGCCATTGTTTGTCTGCTTCTGAATAAATATGCCACAATGATCGATTTGTATGCAGTAGAAAAAAGGCCTATAATTAATTTCATTTTGGTCAAAGTACGACATTTTAATAATATTAGCACATCTAAGAGCACTTCCACCGGTTAGCCCCTTGCCATGGCAAGGAGAGTCCTAGGGCAGCTACTATTCATGTGAATAGTGGTTGCCCTAGCTCCCCCCCGCAAAGTGTGTTTTCAGCAGTTAGCCCCTTGCCATGGCAATCACAACTTTGTTTATTTAAACAATTAATTTGGATAATATTTTCGGATAAGATTTTTGGGTTCCTACGTATGAAAAATCATTTTCTCAAGATTTTTAGCGGAGGTGCAATATTGACTAAGTATGAAAAATGGTTTTTCGAAATAATCATTTTCTCAAGAAAATTTTTGGCGGCTTTTATTCCTTACACATCAAATAAGAAAACTTGATTTTATGGGATTTTAATATGAAGTATATATTGACTTAATGAGCCATCATTTTTAGCCTAAATCGTATTTGCACTAAAACCGATTTTTCATATTTTGATTCGGTGGGAATTTGATTTTCTAGTATTTTTATTTGAATCCAAATGGGGGGTACTTCCTTATTTACATTGTAAACTTAAGTAAATGGAGTAATATATAAATAAATAAAAGTAAAAGGACAAAGACATTTACTTGGGAAATAAGGTATAGAGAGAAGAAAAAAAAAGTAATTTTTTGGTTTTTTTCAATTTTTTATTACAAAAATATTGGTTGTTGATGTTAAAAGTGAAGAGTATTGGTTGGTATTTATAGAAAACAATTTAAGTATTTTTTTGGTATTTTTTTTCATTTTTTTATTGGGCAAAAAATTCCCTGCCGTTGGATGGCTGGAAAAAAAAATCCGAAAGCCCAGAAGCTTCCACGTGGCACAGAGCCGTTGGGGCTTGCTTTTTCCGATTTTTTTATTCGCGAAAAAATGGCTGCCGTTGGATATGTTTAAAAAACTGATCGGATGGCCCAGCAGACGACACGTGGAAGAGAGCCATTGGGCTGGCACTGTAGCGGCGTGTCAAATTTTTTTTAACGTTGGCGCGTGCAATGCACGAGCCAACGTTAAAAAAAATTAAACTCCAGCGCTGACGTCATCGTGACGTCAACCCAAAACGAGTTTTGCTACTCGGGCTGGATCTCCCCAAGGGCTAGCCCAGGCAAATTTTTTTTGCTGGGGCCCACACCTTGCCCTGGCAGATTTGTGTTGCTGGAAACACCATTTTCCCCCAGCCCTCCCCTAAGGCCCCTTGCTGGAAATGCTCTAAATAATCTTCATTTTCAATCCACATAGAAAGAGCAGAAACAAAGATTACAGAATGATCATATCATTTCATGTAAAAGTGCTCTGTTCTGTTCTGTTCTGTTCTGTTCTATAGAAAACAAGCTTCAGATAGAGTACATAAGTAGAGAGCTAATTAAGCTATATCTATTTGTTAAACAAGAATCTGTACACAGGAACAGTGAGTTTGGATTTGGATCTGTAGAGAACCCTCTTGCTCTTGAAGGTCCAATTGTCAATGGTGATCACAATCTTCCCTGGTTCATTAGTATAGAAGGAATTTCTCACACACTGACCTAATCTCTTCTTGTTTTGGAGCAGAATCTTGTATGAGCCTTCATCATCAGGAACAAACTCCTCCTTGTAGGACACATCCCATCCCACCACTGTCAGCTCCCACACCATTGTCAAACCACCCTAATTATAATTAAACCCAAAAACCCAATTCAATTAATCAAAACAACATCCAAGTGATCATCATGTTTCAGAAGGGTTGATTGATAATTAATTATCATGTTTAAGTACCTCAGCAACTGGGATTTCAATGCAGGCAGTTGTGTTTGCTTTGACTGAGCGCCTTGATGCTTTGTCTTCTGGTGTGAATTCAGGATCTTGCTCTCTTTTGAGGCCACCATATTGAACTGGGAGTTCTTCCGGGTCTACGAACCTTTTTCGTCAATTTTGAAACAAATTCAAGGATAAAAGTTATATATTAGAGCAACACAGAGGAGAAGAAATTACTAATCATTCAAATATTAGTATGTAGTTAGCATTAATCTCACTTGAGAAGGGTCTTTGTAACATTTGAAGGCCTGGCAAACACAAACTTCTTTTTAGTTCTCTGACTGAGGAGACTTGATCTGAGAACATGTGCCACATAGTACCAAAGTGGAGCATTTATAACAATCTGCGAATGTTAATCACGAACCACAGATCATACATTCATACAAATTACAGGAAGCTGGCAAAAAAGCAAATTGTTTGAGTTAAATTTAATTGAATCACTTACATTTTTTTGAATGAGCTCTGGATAATTTTCCTGAAGCAACACCAGAGTTTTGCTGCTAAGAGAACGAAGCTCCTTCATATCCGGCCCCGGCGAGTTCTTTAAATCTATAATGTGAACCATAGAGTCCACTCCTCCTTTCTTGAAGCTGAGCTTCTTGATGCCCTTTTCCATAAATTGAACCCGCCACCTTAAAAACTGCTGGCGTTTCTCTTTAGAACCAAATGTCTTCTTGTACAATTCCCTCTCTTTGAAAGGCCCATACACAGTGAAACACAAAGGGTGCCCCTCCTTGTCCACACTACTCCAAAACACCAAATTTTCAAGATCAGAGCCCAACTCTTCTTCAAGAATCTCATCAGTTCTGTATTCTTTTCGCCATTTGAGAGTCCTCCGGAGCATCTCGAATGCATCAAGGACCTTAAAATCTTTGGCTCTCAAGAATTTGAGCAGCACAATGTCAGTGCCTTGGTGGCCTTTGCTGGGCAACAAAGGTACACCCCAAAGACTAATCTCCCTAAGCTCTTCTCTCTGCCTGGCACTTTCAGCGGGGCTAATCATTTTGTTGGGTTTTCCCAGAAGATAATTCCCAACAATTGCATCTTCCACCCTGCACCTCAATTCCAATAAAGCTTTATTCTTTTTCTTGTTGTCGCTCTGCTTCAATTCAACAGAAGGTGTGGTTTCAGCCTCTTGATAAATTGCAGGGCCAAGAAATTCTACGTCACTTTCTTCATCTTCCTGGGTGCTTTCGTTTCCACTATTATTAGGCTTTTGCTCTCTTGGGCTCTTCTTGCTTTCTTCTTGATCATCTTCTTGGCTGCTTTGGCTCTCCTCTTTTTCTCTGACATGATCACCCTCCTCTTTTGGGTTCTGCTCATTCTTTTTCTCTGTCATGATTTTCAGAATTCCAGGCCGCCAGAGTTCCTTCCTGTACACACAGCTCTGGCAGCTGTTTCCGGAGAACTGAATATTAGCGGTGCTCAGATTCAATGGCTGAGAATTGGGATCGATACAGAGACACGAAAAATACAAGCTTTTTTTCTTGTTTCCTTTTTCTACAACCTCAAAGGTTTTGGGAAACCCTGCGCCCTGTGTGGTTACCCTGGCGCCAAATTTAGGCTATGTTAATGACGGCAGCAACTAATGGTTAGATTGGTCCAAAATTGTTTCGGTATTCTTGCCGAACAAATTACAAGTGTTTTAACAGTAATTGATGTGGCAGGCTGGCTGGCATGGAATTAGTGGCTCTTAATTGACGGACGATTAGGTGGCCAATACAGAAAGATCTAGATCTTTGTTTTGGTGTCAAACTTGAGTTTGGTATCTCCAAGGGAGGAAAGTATAATAGTTAACTGTTTTATTAATGAGTAAAATACAAGGGAAAAAAAGGTAAGAACTCGCACTTTTCTGATAAGCAAACCACAAAAAAGGGTTACTAGAAAACAATCCGAATGAGAAGCTACTTCACAGGCTTTTCCATTAAGAGAGAGAGAGCAAATTGCTTTGTGAAAGATATCGTTTAATAAAACATAACCCAACGCAGTGATTTTTACATGCCTAACACAGAAGAAACTAACTGCTGATTCCCATGCCTAATAAAACAATCCCAACAGCCACAAATCTTAGTCTTCTGTACAGTGATTACAAGAATGTGAGCAAAATGATCTGTATCTACATAACATTGAAGCCTGTAGTAGCCGTATCATGACTCCCGATATTTTGTCAGGTCAAATGTCAGAGTTTCCGAACAGCTGCATTAAGCAAGCACAGTTATTGCATTACTAAGCCATATGAAATGAATAGTGAAAATCTACAGATACTCCTATTATAACATGAAGCTCACCTCCTTTCACAGTCCCTGTAAACCCCAACTAAAGCATCAGCCTTGTCATAGAAGCTATCTTTTAGAGATATTACGATGCTCTGAAAACCACTGCCTCCATCATCATCCTGGTTCTCCCTGGCTCCTTCACGGGACTTTGAACGGATGAATCCAGCAACCTTAGCAACATTTAAGTTATCTAGTGCAGCATCGACTTCATCCAGTATGAAAAATGGTGAAGGCCTAAAACTGAAGCCATTCATAAGAGGAAAAAAAAAAACCATTAGTACATGTCATGCGTGATAGTGACTATTAAACTTAAAGGTAAAAAAAATTCTATCTACTTTTTAAGAATTAAAACACACCTGTGTATCGAAAAGAGTAATGCCAATGCTGCAACAGTTTTTTCTCCACCAGATAATTGTTCCATATCACGAAAGCGCTTTGTTGGGGGCATAGCGGTATACTTGATGCCATGTAAAAATGGATCATCTTCATTTTCTAAATTCAAATACGACGTTCCACCCAGTGGATGTGTGTTGCTCTTCGTGAGTTGTTTGTATATCTTATCAATATTACTAGATATATGGTTGAATGCATCCATAAACAATTCGTACCTGAATTGACCCCCAAAAAAAACACCCCAGCTGAATTAAAAGACAGTAGGTGTTGCAGGGAGGCAACATAAGAGAATATAATGTTTTTGCTTTCAATAATAGAAAATAAATCATTCTTTTTTCTGGTTTTTATCCCAAAGAAAACGCCTTTTACCAAAATAGGATACTGTGTCAATCATCTTTTATCAACTGAATTATAACTTGTTACAGGATCTGGTAGTAGTGGAGAAGCAATTAATACCTCTTCTGCTTAACTGAGTTAAACAGATCAGCTTTTTCTTTCTCTTCTTTTCTAGCCACTTCAAACTCTTCAGTCACACCCCTTTCCTTTTCTTTTAAAGCCTCGTATTGGTCCAGGGCCTTCATATTTGGAGCTGTTCTTTCGATTTCCGATGTTAGGGCATCCATTTTTTGCTTAAATTCCACCTCAAGTTTCTCCCGTTCAGAGGGCCTTCTATCCTGCAATTGAGACCTATTTAACTGACTAAAATCAAAAACTGGGCCCATTGTGGAGGATTCAGTCTCCATTGGATCTGAGATGATGGGTAGGCTTATTTGTTCTAGTTCACATTTTTCTACTATTTCCTGCTTCCGTGACATCAGCTGCTCAATCTGTGCCTCCTATAACATGAGAAAAACATATGTAAGCCTTTTAAGTTTAACTAGAACAAGGTAGGCACAATTGGTGAAAATAAAACTAAATTCCAACCTTGGAATTTATCTGTCGATTAAGCTTGGATACGCTTGTTGTAGCTGTAGAACCCCGCTTGTTCCATTCCTGGATTTCCTTCTCACACCCTTCTGACTTGGATTTCCATTCTGCAAGAATAGGAGGACAAAATAAATGTGAAGAAAAAATTTATAAAAAAAATGTGAAGAAAAAATTGACTTGTTGACCAGTTTGAATAACTTAAGAATTCAACCTCAAGCTGATTGCAAAAAAGTTCAAATTTAATGTCCCTATAAGTAATATGGCACCTGCCAAGCCATTTTCATACCTTGTACTTCTTCCTTCCATCGAAGAATTTCACCAGAAGCTTTTTCAGCCACTGACTTGGCTTCAGCCTCTTTCTTCTGAACCCGTTCTAAATCCTTTTGCAAATTACTAATAGAATGTTGAAGTTCTTTAATCCGCGATTCCATGTCCCGATTTTGCTCATACTCTAATCTGAAAGCAACCAAATAAAAAAGTATTGCATCATATAATCTGCACGAGTACCACAGCCACCATACAACTAGTACATCACAAACATCTCATAGTAGGGAGAAAGCAGATTGTTTTTAGTTTAAAATTTGAGGATGAATCTGTTTTGTTTCTGGAAAGATAAATGAAATGAGGAAAATGAAACTCGAACGAGTTTAAATTGACATTTTTGTTGATTTTTGCATGTATTGTCAGAGAGATAAACGGAAGGGGATGCAAGAACATACTGGTATTTCAACTTTGACAGCTGGCTACTCAAACTAAGCCTCTCGTCAGCCATATATTGGGAAGCCTTGAGTTGATTTTCCTCGTACTCACGGATGTTTGCCACCCCAACAGATTTACTAAAATCTTTGTAGATTCTGTCAACAATTTCATTTATCCTCTTCTCAAGCTTATTGATTTCTTTGCTCCGCTTATCTACAGCTTGCTTTAACTGCAAGCAAAATTTAAAACTGCTGGAACTACAGGTTTGAAATAAAATAATGCAATAAACTAGATTAAGCATCTCATCATCAGAATAAAAAAATATAAAAAGTATAAAAAGACCTTCAGAAGTTCAGGACTGCTACGATCGATCTCTTCTTTTATATTCTGCTTCTCCCGTGCCAAGTTTGCAAGTTTGTCCTTAATGCTTTTCTGCAAAAAGTGGTCTTATTTGTCAATCCGCCACAAAGCATAATTGTATAAGGCAAAATCAAGATATGCCAATGTCAATTTGTAGTGCAAATATATAGGCACGGCATTCCCACCCCAAAAACCACAAACAAAAAACCCTTACTATTTCAGATTTTTGAAACTGGCTACGCCATACTTCCACCACTCTACATCTAAGATCATATAATTTGTTAAACATAGACCACAGCACATGTTGAAACAGTTCTAACTTTTCAGCCTGCAGCCTCTGGACCACATTACTCCAGACCAACAAATCGAAAGTAAAGATTTCAACAGAATTTCTATGCCCTCAAGTTATGCCAGAATCTAAACCCATCTTCAGGATGTTATATGAAACAATTCTATGCTAACCCCAGAATTTCAGGCAAAGTGCAGCAGGAATCTAGCAGGGAGACCATAACAAGATATGAAAGTGGGTACGGATACACACATAAATACCTATTAACAGTTTACTTAGAGCTCCAAAGAATTATAAACTAACAATTTAAACCATTCAGGCAAACCTTCATCTGTAAAATGGAAGAGAACTCCCTGAAGTTACCTTCTCAATCTCTGCATACTGGATCTTCTTCTCAAGTCCACTAATTCTACCAGTTGTCTCAGACTCTTTTATCTGCATCTCTCTAATTGATCCAAGCTCTTCCAGCTCTGACTCAAACTGTTCTTTCTTCTTCTTCAATCCTATAGAATGCAAGCAGTTAAAGCCACATCCAGAATAACCCAAAAATTAAAATTAAAATTTAGAAAACAGAAAAGTCTAAACCAACCTTCAACTTTTTTGTCATCCCATTTATTTGACCTTGCTTCCATTCCACCACTGGTACCACCAGTCATTGTGCCGGATTTCGCAAGCAGAATTCCATCAACAGTTACAACTAATTTACATTGGAAAGATAAAAAGGTAACACTTAAATTAATATGAACATCACTTGTTAACACAGAATATGAGAACAATTACAAATACATAAACTAATTACCTTTGAACCTCTCGCCAGTCCAGCTGAGACGCTTAGCCTCATCAAGTTCGTCACAAACAAGAGTGTTGCCAACCGCAAATAGAATTGCCTTCTCCAAGGCAGGATCAAATGTGTGGTTGTTAAGTCCACAAATTAAAAGCAGCTTTTTCAGATTTTCATGCACAAACTCACAGTTTAATCTTACAAATGGAAACATATAAGAACAGAGGCAACATACATCAAAGAATATGAAATGGTATGATTATCATGACATAAACTGCGGCAGCTAATAATGATTCATGAACAGATCAACTTGATGCTTTACTCTTTAATATGGTCACCAGAATAAATGCATAAGTGAGGACAAGAGGAGTGGGAATCACATGAAGGAAACATCACTGAAGATGAAAGAAGAAAAACGAGCACATAAAAGCATGAGTAGGGAGAATTATGAGATGACCAGACAGCACCTGAAGTATTCCATACACTGATACAAGCAGCCAAGCACGCTGCACACTGACAGTATACAAAATGCCCAGACTACTGTACTGTAAGATCATAACCACAAGACTGGATTATAAAGTTTTGCAATCAGGAATTCTATGCAATCAAACATTGATAAAGGATATTGGACTACATCAAATATCAGCTTCGCAGTACCACTTAAGTTGCGCAATCTCTCCATTACTGGCTTTACACGGACAGACTGAAGAGGTATGAATGTCTGAGGAGGAAGCCTTTGTTCTTTCAAATACTGCAAGAACGCAAATGGATCAGTAACAGCATTGCATTCTTTACTGTGGATCTTAAAAGAACCCCAATAGAATTTATAGTGATGGGATGGTAATAGAATGTAAGGTCATTCACATTTATGTTTCAACTCTGCTCAGTCTCTGCTCAGTGAGTTTTAAGTACAAAAATTGTTAATTGTAAAAACAAAGGTACAAAACCAATGTTTTGATTCTTGACGTCAACAGTCTAATGTATACAAACACGACAATTAAAAAACCTATGAGATCATATGGCACCTTGATGCATTCCTTTCCCGTTTGTTCATCCTCAACTACAACTGCATCCATAAATTTACCCATAGCAACAGTAACAGCAAGGTTATACTTCTTTTGTGTTGGCCTACAGAGATCAGTCATGCGGCCATGGACACCATGAAACAGGCGTTTGAGAGTCTCGACTGCCTGAGACAACCTGGAATCCCTCTCATTTTCATATCTGTCAGCCTTCAATTCACGTAGTTGCTTTTCTATTTCGTCAATTTTTGACTTCAGGTTCTCATGTTTTTGTCTGTGTGTGCACCAAAAAGAAAAGATAAAAGTAAACACAAAATGCAATGTATATTTTATCTTAATGTCTGGTAAAAGAAGCATACAAGCGAGCTAAATAACCTGGCATGTAAATGCTTCTCTTGCATTGCATGCAGTTCATTATTCAGACTTTTAACTTCATCCCTATGTTTCGTAGAATTTTCTTTAATTTTTCTCTGCCTTGTTAGCATTTGTTCCTCTTGTGATTCCAGTTCACCCAACCGACTTCTCAACTGTTGAAGATTTTCTTCCAGATTCTTTTGAGCTTCAAGATCAGCATGTTGTTGCCTATCCAGAACTTCTTTCTCATCTCTTAGCTTTGCAGTTTTCATACCAGCATCCTCCTTGCTGTAACATCAACATTCCAAAGAAAATTTACAAAATCATATTAAGAAGTTAAACTTTATATGCAAAGCACAATGGTTAAGTGAATGTAATTTAACAAGTCCATGAAGAAAAGGAAAGCCGGGACCAAAAATTCAATCCTTGGCTCAAACTTGAAAAAGAACGCGGAATTTGGGTTCAACCACCAAGGAAACTGAGTTTGGATTCCATTTGGATCAAGGCATTTTAGCTGAATAAAAGTAAACCAAACACTACCATCACAATAAGATATACCAAGGAATTACCAAACACTTACATTCGAAAATATTCCCTTAATTCAGTATCATCTAACTTCAATTTATCCCCACTGTCTCGAGCTTTTTCATGTAAATCCTCTAGTTTTGCAGTCAGATCCTGTATGCCCTTCTGCAGCTCCTTTACATCCTCTTTATGTCTTCTCCTTTCTTGTTCTTTCCTAGCAAGCTCCTTCTCACTTTTCTTGATTTTTGCATTTATACGAGACATTTCCTCTTTCAGTTTCAGAAGCTCTGGTTGCTGCAAACAAAAACAAAAAACTATATCAAATAATCCATAAATTTGTCTTCTTGACCATGGAGAGGATACTTATGCAATAACAGAAATGTAAAAGTCAACATATTAAAATGGAAACAAAACTAGCGATATATCACAAATATCCCAGGATTACCTGCATTTCGCCAACATATAAATATAGCACATGCAGGCGATCTAACACTGACTGCACATCTATATGCCGCAGTGTGACAAATAGCCAATTACATTCATACTGGGTATTTAGGTTTCACTAAACTGGTTTTCTGCATGAGGTTAAGGTCCCCGGTTCAACCACTATGATTTATTTGGTCATTACTATTCTTAAGTCTCAGTTTTGTTTAAACATCCACGAGAGCCCTATTCGGCTCCATATGCTAAAGTCAAATTCATGTTAATGGACACAGATCTCATGTGAATTTTCTATCTCCCACTGAAGCCAAAGAAACTCACACTTTTGTCAAGTTTATTACTTCTCTCAGAAATCTTCTTTTCACATTGTGCAATCTCTTTCAGATATTTTGCTTGTTCTTTCTTCTTTTTGCTTGCTTCTTGCTGGAACTCAACTAGTTCTTGCATAACTTCTTCGCGGCTTCTCTTTTCAGCTTCAAGCTCCTCAGTCATTTTTGTAATATCTTTTTCTATGTTGAACAACTGCCATAAAGAATGTTCTCTCTTCAATGATTTCTGCAAGAAAGAATAGATGTGATCGCATAATTAGCATAAGACAAATCTTAGAAATTATGAGACGAGATTCAAAGAAAAACACATAAAGCTGTTGAGCTTGTACAAGAAACAAACTTCACTAAAATTCTGCATGGAGAAAAGTTTGAGATATTCAGGCACTTCTCACCTAGCCTATATTGGGTTTATTTTACATGTGTGGGTGTATGCACACTAACATGTGCACACAAGACAGATAAGTCAGTGTGTGCTAGTAAAAGAGAGAGAACATACTCTTTGCCATCTCTGAAACTAGGAGATATAAGATATTAATACAAAACATGCATATGCCTGGGTGAGCGCAGACATGTGTAACCCATGTACACATTCATGTATACACAAATAAGCAGCACACATGTGCATATGTATGAAACAAGCCAAAAAAACCTTGAGATGCGCACCAATTGATCTTGCAAGCGGAGGTTTTTCTCAGCTTCTTCCTTTTGCTCTTTCTTTTGCTTCCTCTCCAACACTATTGTTCTTTTTCTCTGATAAACAAGAGCTGATTTTTCTTCAGCTATGGCTTTTTCTTCTTCATATTTTTCATAGTCTCTCTTGAGGTCATCAGACCCAGAGATCTGCTCAAGAAGTGCAGTGAGTTCCTTCGGATTTTTAGAAGCAATGGACTCCACATCACCCTAAAAGAGAGAGATAATTGGTCGTTAGAAGTCACCCCTAACTTCCATGCTTTGCAAATATCAAAGCTGCCGTGCAAGCTGAAATATTCTTAGAATAATTGAAACCTTAATGAAAAATAGTGGAACACGCTTAAAAACTTCCTTTCACAGTTAGCTACCGGTTAGGCAATGTCCAATAACTTCTTTAATTTTAAAAATGAAGTCTACATGGAGTCTCATACATTTGAATAATTTTTTAATACATTAGTTTCCATTTCTCAACTAACGAAGGGCGTTGCAAATAAATGGTATTGATTTTTCCCGTCTCTCCTTATTTTCCTCCAAATTCTCAGCTTTCAAAACAACCCCCAAAAAAATAGCTAACAGAAAATAGAAGAAAGAAAAACCAAATTAGATTGAACAGACAAAATAAATACCCTAAGCTCACATTACATATCAGACACTGTGAAATTCAAATGTATCTGGTCTTTGAAATTGACCTGAAAGACGAGGAAATTGCGGGCCTTGACAAGAATTCCAAGGGACCTGAGCTTAGCATTGTATTCTTCCCACGACACAGACGCCCCATCAACTCGGTACTCGCTGCCGGCGGAGCCGGTAATGGCCCGCGTGAACTGAAGCTCCGACCCATTTGCCAGCTGGTAAACCAAGCGAACATAGGCCCTGCGGCCCTTCTGGTCCTTCTCCTTGTCGTCGAAGGCATAGATCAGGTCCTTCAACTGGGCCCCACGGAGGTGGCCCGTCCGTACGCCGAGCACGAAGCTTATAGCGTCCATGAGGTTGGATTTACCGGCTCCGTTGGGCCCAATGATCGCCGTGAAGTCATAGAAGGGGCCGATTGTTTGGAAGCCCTTGTAGGACTTGAAGTTCTCGAGCTCCAACCGGAGGATTTTGCCCTGGGAGACCAGGGACGGCATGGCTGGTCGAACTAAATTAGGGTTTACTTCAAAAATGTGGAAAATTAGGGCTTGATTATGAAAATTGAAGCTAGGGTTGAAGGGGAAACGAGTAGAGAGTAGAGATGCAGAAGCTGAGTGAGATTTCCACGGAAAATGTAAGGTCGATTTTCCGGGAAAGTGGAGGGAAATTGAAGGGGAAAAAAGGAGGTTTTGGGGATTTGAGGGAATTGGCGGGAGAGGGAGAATTTGCAGAATTAGTGTGTTACCAACCAATGACCATACCCGAAGAGCACCAAGTCCTACTGCACATTAACATTTTCACTTCGCTCATTAAACGCTTATGGACACTGCGTTGCGTATTTGCATCCATTTTCACTACTTTTTTGGTATTTATAATCCGAAGACTCTAGTATTTGCAGTTTCGCCCCTTCTGCTGACTTTCTTGCATCAAATTTCTCCATCTTTTTAATCAACGGTACAGGGAAATTAAAATTTGTGGAGGAAGAGAGTGACGCAGTCGGACCACATCACCCGAAGTCATCCTGGGGTCCCGTTCCACACCCGTCTTACTCCTAATTTATGGGTTCATACTATTTATAAGAGGAGTTGTAAGATTGATGTGGTCGGATCGCCTCACCTAAGATGTAGTCATCCCTGGGGTCCATTCCACGCCCATCTTACTCCTAATTTAAGGGTTCATACTATTTATGAAAGGATTGGAAGACTGATGTGGTCAGACCGCCTCACCCAAACGGTTCTTGCATTTTATACATTTTTAACATTGTGAAGAGAAAAATAACTAGATCCATTTCTTTCACTGATATAGGCGTCACAACAAGAACACATTGATATCAAGCCATTGAACGTGCTAGGAGAATTGACAAGAGTGGCAAATAAGCAGTTCATCAAACAAGAAAAATAGGAAAAGAAAAAGGCTTTGCATGGATGAGCACATAGAGATATAATGGACTGGTTTTGGGGCACCGAGTTTGGAGACAGCTTCCACAAACAACTATGTACCCACCGAAAGTCCGCAACCTATGCTTAACAAAGATACTAGCATGTTTACAGAAACGATTAATTACGTCAACCATAATGAAGGGAAAAGGAGTACACTCCTAATCAACTAGTATTAGTCTGCTAATAAAAAGTCATCAGCATGAACGCAGCACAGCCATGACAACACAGGCATCGACAAAGCTGGCATACTGCCAAACGTATCGAGCTCGATTGGAAACACCACTTTTCCTTCATTCACCGACTTTTTCACTGCTGGACTTGGGGTCTTCCTTTGGAGAATCCACTATTTTGGTTTCAGTATTGGTTCCTACAGGAGCAGATGAACTGCCTTCAGAAGCAATGGAATTTTCGGGCAGTTTTCCACCAGGTTTTTGGGTGTCTTCTAAATCCTCATGAGCAGTGGTGTTCAAGTTTCCGGGCAGTTCTCCAGGATTTTGAACAGCTTTCACCCCGTCATGGTTGGTGGTTTCAGGGTTTTCAAGCTGTTGGACTCCAGACTTTTGAGAACCTTCCAAGTCTTCATACCTGGAAATGACTTGTTGAAGTTCTTCGTGAAGAAATAGAGCCTCAAAGAGCATCCCTTCGTCATCAGTAGTGGTTTCTATAATCCTCTTAATAACAGGCTGAGACTCCTTGCACTTGTCCAGCATGTTCAGGGTTAGTTCTTCCTGCAATCAAACTCCATTAGCTTAAATGTCTTCTGCCTACAAGCTGACCTTGGGATTAGGTAAAAAATGAAAGAACAAAAGTTATAGTAAAAAGTCAAATGCTTCCTAGATGAACTATCATTGTGCATCTATATAATCATAAAGGAAAGGAAGATGCACAAACAGCCACGTACTTGTACGCTCGCGCACAAACACACCCACAGTCGTGAGTCATGGAACATGGAAAATTCTGTACCCTAGGTCCCAAAACATTTCTATATTCTTTATATATTAGAAAGAGGTTAGTTGTTCGTTTATAATACACATGCATGTTGTAGTTCATCAAATAATTGTATCAAAGTATTACAGAGTGAATACAAGGTGATGCGTGGATGCTTAAGAATAGAAATATGGCATCTGTTAAGGAAGTGATGCACTTAGTTGTACTTGAGGAAGAATTGATTCCAGAAAGATTAATAAATCAAAAGGAATATGCTCAACTTCAAGAGTTTTGGACAAAAATTATAAAATTCAGATGTAGTATTGCTCTCCGATAAGAAGTAAGAAACATACCTTCAAAGGTTTCGGATCAGTTTCAGTATTTAAAATACTAGACAGCAGTTCAAGACTATTGCGAGCTACAACAAGAACCTCCTTTTTTTCTTCAACTGCTAGGCTTTGATAATTAAAGGCGAAATCATTATGATTTGCTCCATGCAATCCTGTGTCAGGTACAGGGTATCTTTCAGGGGGAGACAGCGGCTCGTGAACATATGATTCCAAGGTAGACTGCATCGTGGGTGAAGTCCCTTCTTGTGCTAAAGGATTGGTGCTTCTTTCTCTCAAGCTCTGCATAACACCCAGAAAAGAAGCTGGATATCAGAGTCTCTTAAATGCATGAAAACCAGCATTGCTAAAAACACAAAACAAGGTACCCCAGTCAACACATCCGGGCAGGCCAAAATTAACAGCTGAATGGGCAAGGCAGTTGAACTTGAACATGACTGGAAAATTTGTAACTGGACTACACAACAGCTTCTGGTTTAAAACCTTAGAGGATTACTAAAGAATACTCAAGGGCCAAATAAAACTTAAGAAAAACTCTCTTATTTTTTTCAGTAGAAAACAGTTAGATAGATCAAATGCTCAAACTGATGCAAGTTCGAAACTCATGATTAAAACACATGATTAAATGCTTTATATAAGATATAAAGAGGGCTCACCATGTAAGTTTGACGAAATACAGGTAGATATGCAAGCTCCTCAGACTCTCCCCAAGCCCTAATCAATTGCATAGCCCTTTGTCTATTTTCGGCATCTGTTTGTGGATTCTCAATCATCCTAAGCATCTCATCCAACACCTTCTCCGACGCAACCTCGGAGAACACCTTCTCGCAATTCATAGCACAAGTCTCCAACAAGTCAAGACTCAACCTCTGGCTCACCACATTCTTGCCCGAAATCTTCTTCTTTATGGCCCTAACAACTTCGGACCCACTAAACTCTTCACTATTGATCATTGCACATATCCTCAAATTCATACCCCAATTTGGCTCCTCCAAGGTCTCCAATGTGGCCTCATCGATCATCTTCGATTCAGGGGTAGGGGTTTGCAGAATTTCCTTCACTTTACCACTAACCATTCGACCCATTTGAGCTCCACCTATCTTTAACCTCTCACCCAATTGAGCTAGATTCAACTTGTCCATTATGCTTATCAGTCTCTTCAAGTTTGGATAAATACAAATTTACACACCTAATTTCAACAAATAAATACATAAAACAGTACAGTATTTTCAGTCTCATTATAACTCATAATTGAAGCAATTGAACAGTAAACATGGAATAAATTGTAGCTGCATATAAAAATATATATCAAATTCCAAAACATATGTATTTGGCTGCTGATTGATCCATAATAAACGCGAAAACAAAACAGATCAATGAAATTGATGAGCAGCTGAAAAATCTGGCAAACCTATTGTGAAGTTGGGGCTGGCGGAGAATGAAACTGTGGAAGTTGCAGGGTCTGCGTAGAGCGTGAGGCTTCGAGAAAGAGAATCGGAGGCTTTTTGAGGTGAATTGGCCTTGAGCTTAAAGCTCTGACCTTTCAGGGAGAGAGAGAGAGAGAGAGATAGAGATGGTCAAAACTGAAAACAAAGATAATGCGTGGCGCAACTAGAATAATCAAAACAGGGATTTTTTCACTCCTTTTGGTTCGCGGCCTCGTGGATTTTGGTGGGTTATTTTGCCACGTGGCTTTTGTTTTTGGTGTCAAGGCAGTTAGAACTTGGATTGTGGATATAAGCTTTGACCCCCAAAAAGAACCAACAAAAAAAATATATATACATTTGGATGTATCTTCGCCTGAATCGCATTAGAGATGACTTGCTCCTCTCGACGAATTTTTGTTGCATGCAAATTGCAATTAGTTGTATGCAATTTTGTTTATATGTCTCTCTCATCACGTGAAATATATAAGTCGAATAATTAATCGAGTAATTTAATAGGTTAAGAGCATCTTCAATAGTAGTAACAAACTAAATTATTTAAATTAAAGTTTTTTAACCTATATGGTAATTTTAAAAAAATTATTTATTACTTTAATAATTTTTGTTTCAACAGATTTTTCAATTCTAATGGAATATCATGGAAAATTATGAAATATATGAAAACATATGAAAAATGTCTACGTATTTATTATATGAAAATAATAAAATGCATGTTTTTAACATTTTCAAGTAGGTTTTGTTTTTCCAAAGTAAAATTAAATGTTTTGAAGAGACAATGTCAACTTATCAGTCCTTAATAGAGAGGAATATGTTGCAACTTTGATGATTGAGTTTGACAAGGTTATTAAATAGACTTTTTATGATGTGGCTCACCTATTTTAGCATCTCGAAGTTATTGAATAAGCTAGATACTCTAAACGATGTGAACCGAGACTGTTATATATGTTCAATCAAATTTCAACTTATGAATACATGATCAACCAAAACAAACTTAATCCGCAAATGATTGTTCGAACCCATGATAAGGTTTGACCTTTCTTAGTTATGCAAAATAATTGGATTGAACTCAAAATGTAGGTTCAATTAGTGGTGCATGAACTCAACCCATTATCGACCAAAAAAAAGAACTCAACCCACAAGTTTAACCAAATTACATCATTAAAAGATCTGACATAGTGTAAAGATACAATTAAGGTGAAGGCTTTTAAGCCTAGCAAGCAACATATCATAGTGAGCTGGCAACCTTCTTTGGAGGGCAGATACAAATTAAACACTGATTGTTGTAGATCCGAGGATGGTGCCATTGTATCTGGGAGAGTTGTCAGAGATTACTCTGGTGCTTGGCTTGGTGGCTTATCTGCAAACATGGGCTTTAGGCAAGTTATGCAAACTGAATTATGGGCTCTTTACCATGAAATTGTTTTGGCATGCCACAGGGAATGGTTCCCACTTGATATTGAATATGATTCTCAAATTGCTATGCAAATGCTTTCTTCAGAGTTGGAGGAAGAGCTTCCATTCTATAGTTTGGTGACTAGCTACCATAAGATGCTTAGGTCCAAAGACTGCAATATTTCTCATAAATATAGTGAAGAAAATTGCCTTGCGGATAAATTGACACCTCTGAGCTCAAAACTATATTTGGGGTGTAGATTTTGGGAAGGTGTGCCTGAAAGGTTGGACATTATCTACTGGAAGATTTGAGTGAGGTTGGTAGACCCAAAAGTTTGTTTATGTAGTTTGTTATTGAGCTTCGGCTCCCTTAGACCAAAAAAAGTACATAACTTAAGTTTTTTTCCCTTCATAATTTGGCCAAGTTGGCTAAAACAGATGTGCTCTTCACTGAGTACCCAAGTTCGAATCCCCCTCCTCATATTTTAAATTAGATTAAAGTAGCATATCGTTTGTATATAAAATAAAATATTATTTTCCAAGACCTAACATATTTATATATATAATATTTACGTTAAGAGCAGTACACATTATTTTAATGTAACTATGGTTTAGTTTTTAATCTCAACGAGTAATTAAAATTCAAAGTGTCTAGGTTTGAGATTGGATGAAGATTTCTCAAGTGACAAGGACCATCAATTCGAGCTTAATTCAAATTTATTTTGGGTAGTAATTTTTCAAGCCATGCTTTATAAATCATTAACCCATCAAAATTGCACCTTGTGATAATGGTCTCTCCAGGATTTGTGGACTGCATGTCGTGCAATGTATCAGTGTGCAAACTACATGTCGTTTCCTATCGCTACAATATCATCAGAACATTGTGATCAAATATTCAACACCAATGTATCACTACATCATCGTTAAAAACTGCGATTTGCGAAAGCCCACGAGAGCAAAATAATAAAGGAGAAATTTTTAGGGGTTTAAGAAAAGCAAAGGGAAATGCCCAAAATTGCAGCTTGCACATATATTGTACCACAACCGACGACAAGAAGTTAAGCTGCAGACCGCAGGTGGTCTCTTTTGCGATGGTTTCCCTCCCAACCTGGTTCCGGTACTTAGCCCACAAGCTCGAATACTCGGCCACTATCAGCTGGAAGGTACTTCACTTTTCTCAGCTCCATTATCACTCTTACCCATTTGCCGATATTGTCATTTTTGCTTTGATTTTTCCGCTTATGGGTTTTGGTTTTTGGATTGCTGCGATGAAAAGGTTAAAGCTGTGAGCTTTGGTATTGGGGATTTTGTGTTTTGGGAAATAATGGGCCTCATGGGATTTTTGAGAATCATATTATGTGATTTGATGGTGTTTTCTTTGTGTTGAAATGTTGCCCTAGATAAGGGTTTGGTTGTTTCATTTTCTTAGTAATTTCATGGGTATTCCCAATGCCGTTGTTATATATTTGTTCTCAGTTTCAATGTTGTTTCCTTAGGAATTGGTGTTGTATAAATATTTCTCGTGTTATATTGCTATATGGGTCAGAGAGTGTGTGTTGGATTAGTGGTAGTTTCGAAAATGCATTTTTTGACATGCTTAGTTCAGCTTGAAAATTGCTACGTTTGGCATTTCTTAAGGCGTTCAAAAAGCTGGAGAAGGATCACCAAGGGATAATCAGTAATTTTCACTACTTTTGTTTACGGATTTATCAAAATAGGAGAAGCTAAAGTTAGTTTTGTAGCTATGCTAACAATTAGGAACACTATATGCTAACAATTAGTACTCAAAACATGAGATACGTGGTAGCTGCACTTTTGTTGTGTCTCTCTTGAAAGTTAAAGCTCAAGGTGAAACTGGGGATCCATTTGTCTCCCTCAAAGTTTTTCATGTGTAACTTGTTGCGAGCCAGATATGTAATATAAGCAATCCTTTCGTTAGTCGGTGTTACTATTTAGTAGCAGAATTGGCTAGCTCATCTGATGGCTTATATGGCCAAATAACGTTTAGTTTCCTTCCTGTTCTCCTGCAATCGTAATGGTACTTTTTGTGCTTTCCATTCACCCAGGTTATGGTTAAGTCAGTGAAAACTGTATAAATGAGTTTTCTTTTTTCTTGTTCCTTAAGTTTTTATGACAGAAATTTGCATGTGATGCAGAACTATCAAAGAGGTCAAATCACGGACAAAGAACTAGGTGATGCCGTTTGGAAAAATCTATTTCAGGGAAAGTTAACGTACTTGCATTGGAATAAAGGACAGGAGATGGCCCCTAGTATAGGTGCGCAAGGGGGTACTCTTCTTGTCCGGAAGATACCAGCTGCAGACCCAAGGTAGTTATCATTTTAGACGTCCTCTCTTCTTTTTGCGAGTTAGATTTCCTCTTTCTGTGAGTTTTTGTTCTTTAGTGTAAATATTATTCTTCCAAAAGTTACTCTCAGGACCAGTTTAGCATTTTCATATGATGATCTTAGATGTTTCATTGTGCATCTTAAATAACAAAAGTGTTGTTGAGTTGTTGACCCAAGCTTAGCTTCTTATGAGGGACTGCAAATGGTAGTGGGTTTAATATGTGGACATGATTTCAAAAATGCCTTCAGAAACTTGGGGATAGTATGGATTACTTGAGCAGTTAGGGCACTTTTGTTTAACATTTATAACCTTTTCAATTTAGGTGCAGTTTAGGAAATGACTGTCCACTTTGACTTCAGTTGGTCATAAACCGCTTTGTGAACCATTTTGGGTTGGCAGTGCCATCTTTTTCCAGGGATACACAAAAATTGAACTTGATGCATATGAATATGTATGATCATGGCTTGTTTGCTCTCATTGAGTCTCTCTATATATTGTTAAAAAGCAGACCCATGTGCCTGTATTATCTCAAAAGCTTTTATTCAACATGTGCTTTAAACTCTCAAATGGTTTTGGTGATAAGCTTTATGGTGCTTAATCATGTTGTGTACTCCCAAAGACACTGAGCAGAGCTCCTTCCAGTTTAATCGTTACCTTTGTTATTTATTTACAGATATTGATACCTCTATGAGAAACATTTTCATATTCCTTTTCATATTGATTTATGTGATGTTATGGTTCCCTAACAGCTCAATTGACATCCTCATATTTATCTGACAGGCGTGTTTTTGTTGGGGATGTAGTGGTCTTGAAGGACCCTGAGAAGGCAGATAATTATCTGGTGAGAAGATTGGCTGCAATTGAAGGGTATGAAATGTTGTCTACTGATGAAAAGGATGAGCCTTTTGTTCTTGAAAAGGATGAATGCTGGGTGTTGGCTGATAATGAAAGTTTGAAGCCCAAGGTACATGCAATATTTGGAAAATTTGATAATTATGCTCAGACAAATGTATCAAATATATTTGCTGGGTTACTACACAGTTACTTTATGAGTCTATCCACATTTTCTTTTTTATGTTTTATTATTTGGAATTAGCCATAGCACAGCGGCTGCGTGTACTGCCATCTTTACATTAATATGTAATGCTCCGTAGGTTGCGGGTAATTTTTTATCGCAGTCTAGTGGGTGGTAACATCTATCAAATCCTTAATAATACTCTGTCATGAGCTAAAGTTAAGCAATACAAATTAGAAAGCTTTAAGAAATATTATGGAAATGGCGAAATAGTATCAGGATATAGGAAACTACTAGAAATAAAAGACAGTATTTATGCATGGGTAAAAATAAATGTATCCAATGATTACTTGAATACGTTGTACTAATTAAAGATGGATATATCACGATTACCTAGAGTCATAAACATGTGAGACATACATCAAATAATCAGTTATAGTTCCATAATCTCTTGTTTATATGCCTTATAGTTCCATAATCTCTTGTTTAGAATTTGGAGTAACTTACCATTCATTGTTTGATATATTTTAACTTTGAGATATGCATGCAATGGCTACGATCAACAATGGCATTTTCCATTTTGCATAACTTGAATATTTGGGCACAAATGGATAAACCTTCATTCTTATTTCTGGCAGGAAGCCAATGACAGTCGGAAATTTGGGCCGGTTTCCATGACAGACATAGTTGGCAGAGTCATATATTGCCTACGAACAGCTGTGGATCATGGCCCTGTGCAGAACAGGCGAGTTACTCAAACTGAAACTGCTTAACTCATCTTTGTTATATATGAGGAGAAGTTCTGTAGTGATTAATATTTGTGTTTCTTATGTTCTTTGTCCAGTCATTCCAGCATGCGAAAGGATACACCAGTGCTGCAAGTTGAATTGGATGTCGATGAGATGGCAAAAAATCACAAAGCCTAACTGAAGTATGCCCTTATAAAGCAATGACTCATTTGGTTGTAACTATGTTCCTCCCAATTTCTCAATTTTTTTTCTTTCTTTTCTTCTCCCTGTTTCAAGTACAAGAAGAAAAATAAAGATGGAATTTCAAGTTCTTGAGTCATGGGATGGTTGTACGTTTATGGTGGCTGTTCAGGTACTCATACTTCAGTAATGGTGCCTTCTGTTTTTGCTGAAGAATATGAAGCGACCTGTAAGGAACTTGAGTTCAGAACGGTATTTTTGTTTTGATAAGTTTAGAAGAGCACTGTACTCCAAAAAACTACCCCAAGAAAAGAAGAAATCCAGATGTTGTCAAGTTTTTGGACTTATATTTGAATCCTTGGCATGGCTTTAGTTTCATGCATTGTATGAGGTTGCTTGACCCTAATGTTTCTGAAAGTGCCATTCATGCTCTATTTTTCGCTGCAACACACAGCGAATTGAAAGAAACTGTCATAGTACTCAGACCAAGTTTTTATGTCAGGTTTTTGAGGTTGGGAGATGTCATGCAATTGCAAACCTGCTCTGTTGCCTTGTATTTCAGCATGATGCTTCCAACTTCCAATTTACTTCTCATAAAAATGAGCTTCGTATACCTTAACCGTGCTAAACCGTCGTCTCTGATGCAACTTGTTCTTTGCATCAGTAGCTTGAAAAATCGTAATATGATAATTTACTAGAACTTTTTTGTGCTGTTGATGATCATTGATGGCCAATGCCTCTGTCTTCTTTGACCCCAAAAACAAAGAAGACGAAAAGAAGATAAACTACAGCTTTATTATTTATAATTTAATTACATTTCTCTTACAAGTTTAGTAATTAATTAAATTTTACTCCGTCAGCAAAAAAGAAAAAGAAAAAGAATCAAATTACATAACTGGGCCGGGTAACCCAACTGTCCTCAGCAATCACTTTTCCAATATGGGCCGAAGAGAGAAAGAATCGGGTCACATAACCCGAGTCCGATCCAAAAGACTAAACCACCCTCAAAACCTCAGAATCAAAATACCCAACGAGTCCCTTATCAATGGCTATAGCTTTATAGGGTTTAGCAAGCAAACTGACACTTAGCAAAGCAAGCACAAGAGAAAATGCAAAACCACCATTGACGACTGAGCTGAGCACACTCCTTCTCAGCCATTTACCTACGTACCAATGTTACAAGGCGTCCATATAATCGGTAAGTTTCTTATAAAACGAAAGGGTATGGAAAATTTTGTGCCTCAGTGTTCGAATATTCGTAGTTTTAGGTTCCCATTTTTTGAATTTTCTCACTCCTTCTATATAAAATTGCCTCGAATTTCCGTGAAAATTCGAGGCTCTTTTCATTTCTCCTCTGTTTTCTGAGATATGGGTCATTGGAATTGTGATTGATTTCGTCCGTATTTTGTGTAGAAATTTAAGTATTCAAGTTGTTTTTTGTTTTTCAAATTTAAGAGTTCCCCACCATGTGTTTGCAGAAATGATTTTATATACATAGAACCTGCATATGACGAGAGAGAGAGAGAGAGAGAGAGAGAGAGAGAGAGAGAGAGTAGCTGGCTTGACTTCTAAATTTAATTCTGGTACTTGGTTTGATCTGCGTTTGCTGCTTGTCTGTTGCCTTGCCACATTTTTTGTGATTTGTATGCTGTTCAGTTTTACTGATTACTTCTAGCTGAATTTGAGTGCTAAGGAAGAACTTAGTTGTAAGGTTTGGGTTTCCATTTCCTTTGTTAGGTTTCATTTAATTTAACTTTGCGACTATAGTTCTCTAAATAGTAAATCTTTATATCAGTTTGTTTTGAACGAGGAGCATAAGATCAGTATGGTGCGTGGGGGATGTTTGTCTATGTGGTATAAGATTGGTTTCCTATGAAAATGTTTCGAAGTATGACTCTGTGAATGGGGGTTGCACATATTGCTCAGAGCCTTCATTTTCATGATTATGCTTTTTGCATTGTGATTTTTGGATAATGATGGTTTTCTTCCAGGTTATGGACCATCAGATGGAAAATGCCTTCCGTGTTCAGGAATTTCTGGAAGAGTAGCCCCCGCATATCCTTGCTCTTCTCGTTTCAACCATAGATTCAAGTCACAGGTCAGGATTGGATCACCGAAAGGTGCTTACAAGGGGGTATCTTTTACATGCAGAGCAAGTTCTAGTGGACGTAATAGAAATCCAGACTTCCCAAGGCAAAACAGACATGGGTACTCCCGGGGCAGAAATAGGAAAAATGACGATAGAGATGGATTTGAAAACCTTGAAGAATCTGATCTGCTGTCTTCTAAAAATGGTCCATTGGTCTCCCTCTCTGGTGGCACAAAGTTTGGGGCTACTGCAGCCCCTGGACCTAGAGAAAAAGAGATTGTTGAGCTGTTCAGGAAGGTCCAGGCTCAACTTCGGGAGAGAAGTGCAGTTAAAGAAGAAAAGAAGGCTGAAGCCTTGCAAGGGCAAGGAAAAGAGAATGAAACTGTGGATTCTCTCCTTAAGCTATTAAGGAAACACTCGGTTGAGCAAGCTAAAAGAACCAACAACAGTGGCAGCAACAAGGACTTCACGTTGGACCAGCCAGAAAAGAATGCCCGATATAGTGAAAGGAAAAGCACAACTTCTTTTGATTCAAATAACAGTTTGAAGGATGAGGTTGAAGAACCTAATGCCTCTTTTAGCAGGCCTGCATCGAATTTTCAACGCAAGTCTCCCATCCCTCGGTTGACATACCAGCCCATTTATTCAGAGGATGACCACATAGGCAATTTGATGCCACATGTAAATTCAATTGGGAAGAGAAAGAAGAATCATGTTGAGAGAGTTCCTAAACCAGAGCCAGAGCCAGAATCAAAGCAAGAGCCTAAGCTTGAGTTGGAGTCAGAACTTGAGCATGAGCCTGTGGTCGATGCTGAGTTTGAATTCGAGCCTGAACCCGAGCCCGAGCCAGAGCTTGTTCAGTTGTTAGAGGAAGAGACTTTAGGTCCTGAAGAAACTCTTAATTTCGATGATGAAAACGGTGAGAAACAGCAACTTATCGAACATAAGGATTTGAGTGCATTGAAGCTACCAGAATTAAGAGCACTTGCGAAGTCTCAAGGTGTAAAAGGGTTTTCAAAGATGAAGAAGGGTGAGCTTGTGGAGTTGCTAAGTGGGAGCTCAGTTTAACTCATAATGCACGGGATGCAAACTTTGACATTTTAACATAGTTGCGAACTTGCGAGATTTTGGTTTAGTTTTGTATTTTGTAATTTTTTTTTCCAGTTTTTGGGGTCTTTTTGGATCAAAGGCGGGTCTCACTACAATGGGATTCATCATCTTTTTGTCGAAGAAAATTTTCGTTTAGATCAAACGTGGTTTAGATTCAGTTTGCTTGTAGCCTAGCGGATGCTCTAAAACTGGTGAACTAGTTCAAGTATCGAATTGGCATTGTATTCTACTCGAACTATAACTTGTTGGTCTCTTTTGGTCACCAAAAGAAAGTTTATACTGGAAAATTTTTGTCATATTTTTCCTTGTTTGTTATACTTTCAAGAATTTTGTTTCACTTTTCGCCCTTCAACAGCATGCCTGCATATTGAAATATATAGCAATCACCAGATATGAAAAGAAAGAAAATGACTCACAAAATAGTTTTTCATACCAATTGGCAATTGGTGTTCAAGTGAAATTATCTGAGCCTGAGGGGGCTTTCTGAAATTTCCCACTTATCCCACAATTTTCCCACCCTACCCCTTCTCAAAAATTACACACAGATAAGATAAGGTGAGCCCAAAAGACAGACGCTTCCTCCTCTCTCTTTCTCATTCTCTTCAGCAATGGAAGCCACTCTCTTCAGCTTCCCTTCCTCCAAACCCCCATCACCTTCCCTAACCCAAACCCAGTCCAAAACCCTTCTGACCCGACCCACCAACCCATTTCTCTCCCTCACCCCCCGACCCGCCCGCCACTACCACCGCCTGCCCACAATTCGATCCGCCATCTCCCGCACCAAGAAAGAACAGACCGTCGAAACCATCAAAGAGAATCTCGAGAACTGCCATCTCTTGGCCGGCATCAAATACAAAGGCCTCACCGTGAAGCAATTTCAAGACCTCCGCAAAGTCCTACCCGAGACCACAAAGCTCATTGTGGCCAAGAACACTCTGGTCTACAAAGCCATAGAGGGAACTCCATGGGAGGCTCTCAAGCCCTGCATGACCGGCATGAACGCTTGGCTCTTTGTCCACAGCGAAGAAATCCCACCTGCCATTAAGCCTTACAGGGACTTTCAGAAGGAGAAGAAGCTCGACAGCAATGACTTCACCGGTGCTGTGTTTGAAGGCAAGTTTTATGCGCCTGGGGATTTTAAGCAGCTTGAGACAATGCCAACGAGAGCTGAGATTTATGCTAAGTTGCTCGGGACGTTGAATAGTCCGGCGTCGAGCTTGGTCGGGACAATACAGGCGCCGGCGAGGGAGTTGGTCATGCTTTTGAAGGCTTATGTGCAGAAATTGGAGGAGGAGAGCGGTGGTGGGCAATAGTGATATGATAGTGGAGAAGTAGTAAGTGTATCTTGAAGACCCAACTGTTGTCTTTTTGGCGTTGTTGTGTTGTTGTAGTACAATGCGTTTTTATATTTGTTGACATTCAAGGAATGGTGAGTTGTAGATTTGTGTACAATTGGAGCTTTAGTAAGCGTTGATCCTGAATTTTATGGCTATCTGTGCACAATGTATGTGCATTGTTGCTGTTTACTTATATTAAGAACGCTCAATGCCTAAAGATCACTTTTTGCACCTGTGTTACTCAGATACAACAGCAAGGTTGATACTTGATATCATGGGCTCATGAAATTTACAGTTGAATTCTTTTAACTTCAATTGTAGTTTTAATAATAGATGAGATAGCAAAGTTTCCCCCACCAGTGTAGTCAACGTTAGAACTCCATTTGGTTGGATATAAGGATGTAGTTCGGAAGGAGAAATAGATGGAAGGGATGAAAACTACTTATCATCTTGAACTTATAGCTTTCCTCTAGTTACCTCCCCATCTTAGCTTGGGAGACCCTTCTTTTCCTCGAGTTTGTTATCTCCCCTTTTTCTTCCCTCCTGCCTACTGGCTAGCAAATTAGCGTTGAGGCCTGGTAGTGACGAATGGATTGGGTGATAAACTGCTTTGAGAATATGGAGAACTGTCTTCTTGTCATTTGTGTGATGACTGGAGTGGCTTGGAAAGAGAGCATACTGTGAAGTAAGCCTACTAGTCGTGACAATTTTTTAAGATAAGAGCTGTGATTTTGCATATTTCCTTAACTGCAGTTGCTCCTTATTAAAAGCTAAAAATTTAAGTCATAAAAAGTAAACCAAAAATGAGTACTATATTGGAAACTACCTGCTACCTTCTCAAGTGGTACCATCTGGATGAAAACCTTATCTTTTATATGTGGTGTATGGTAATGATCAATGAGAATACAATGAATGAGTCTGCAATGATTCATTCTGAAATATGTGAGCTTGGCTATTGGTAATGTGAATCTAATCTCGCCACCTTTGCTTGAGAACCTCAACCCAAGCTTCAAATATTTTTTGTTTTCTTGGGCTCTTCTGCTTTTTTCCTTTTGGCTTGAAATTTGCGAGGTCTCTTGAAATTGTAAGTTGATGGTCCAAAATCTCGATTCAATGAGCCCACAATGTTCCAACACTTGCTACTGTATGAGATTGTCAACACCAGCAATGTGGAAGCTATTAAAGCTCTTTGCAGAGAAGGTGCTAGCCTCAAGGTAATAAACTGGTAATACTAACACAGCTCCTTCTCATCCTCGTTGGTGTTATTCTTTATATATCTTTTTCTTATAATCTTGATGGGTTAGGAACGTGCTAGCTTGAAGCTTTTTATAATTTCGGGAGGTTTTGGTAAAGATCTCCCTCACATGTCAACCAATCTATGATACCATTAGTAGCTGAGTACAATCCTGCCATTGTTTAATCGTTTGATTCTTTCTATTGCTAAATTGAGTTCCTTTTCTCATAAAATATAATGTGGGGTGGATTTCATTGTTCTTGGTTGATAATTAGGTTGCTAAACTGTATGATTGCGTCATTCTGTTTGCTTATGTTGAGAAAGTTCTGCTCTGGGTTATATCTCCAACTGATTGATGTTTCCAAAACTTTATGTTTTATCAGTTCAGAACCCAAGCTTGCAGGGTAATGTGGGTGACGAACATAAACTTAATTAGTTATGCAATTGCATGCAGAGAAATCCCTTAGGTGCCCTGTTAAAGAGTGCATATAGATTTTAGTTATATTTTTTATCTGGATGCATTTTGATTGAGTTTTCATGTCATAAATTATTCACATGTAGATATTTGAAATTTTCTGGTCGGGGTAATTGCTGAAAGATACAACCTGTTCTTCAAGCTTTCAGGTTATGCCTTCCCTTATTACACCCAAACTTCTGTAGAAGCTGTTCCAGAATATGTGAAATTAGTAATGGCATTAAGTACTTCCATGGAGTCCACTGCAGTGGATATACAATTACTTCCTAATTCTGACCGGATCTATGAATCAATTACAAATGGTTGGGGAAGCTCTGCTGATAATAATACCAGCTATTATAATGGGTGGGGGCTAGTTGTTGGAACAACACATCCAGAAGCTACAAGCAGTGGATGTATGAATGAATCAGGGAAAGGGGACTACAGAGGATGAAGTCTGTGTGATTCTATGCCAGTTAACAATTCAGCTAGACATGCCCAAACAGTAGCAACATCACATATGTTTCATCAGCTCCTTCTGCTGCACCTATTTGGGAGGAGGTTTTGGCAAGGGCCAATCATTTATCCACACATCTCTTTCAGTCTGGTAGACTTTTGTGTTTCATCCATAAAATGTTGGAGCTTCTGTATCCAATTATATGAAAGATGGAGGTGATTCTTCCTCCTGTATAATAATATATTGGCAAACTCCAACAGAAAGCGACACCGTTTTCAGTTGTCCAAAGTAGGAAGGGCAGTGACTATTTATTGAGGATTAATTATACTTTCTTTTTCCTTAAAATGTTTTTGCAACTACAGATTATGTAAAATAACCATTGTAATAATAGCAATTTGTTGCCTTAAAGATTTTTGCACTGAAAGGTTTGGTTTTCAAACGAGGCACAGTTCCTCTTCCTCAGTCATAGAAACTGGAGTTGACACTTGAAGATGGGGATGTGTATGTATCGAATATGGAGGGCAAATGAAGTAATGGCAATGTCAAATGTTGTTTATTGTTTATGTTGAAAATAAAGGGTCAAATGTGTTTATTTTTGTATTGTGATGCGACTTTTATTGGCAGGACTTGAAGGTGCCTCCAAATCTCTGTTTGTGCATTCTAACGGCATGAGAACCAGCAGCTCCAACATCAATGACCCTACCCTACCTTCCATCTTTGTGAAAACAGATGCACATGGCTTGCCAAATACAACTCTTCGCAAAAGACAGATCTCCTTCAACTTGTTTTGACTGTACAGAGCTGTATCAAGCATGCATCTTTTTGAATTGAGCTAAAACACGATCGTTTATACCAACTAGCTCTTAATTTAGTGATATTTTTCTTCCCGAGAATCTAAGTTCAATTTCTCCATGCTTCATTGATAGTTTGATTATACTTGAAGTCTTATTTTGATTACAAAAATAGATTTAAAGTAATCTATTACATTGTTGGGAGAAAGAGGAGAGAGAAAACTTGGAATCTCAGACGACCCACGAGAAAAAAAAAGTCACAACCTAAACATAATTCCTGTTAAAGTCATTTTTAGCTTTTCCCTAAAGTTTCATCATGTCCATTGCCCATATGGCCATATGGGGAACCAATCTTTAATTATTTTGTCCCTTGAAAGTAGCAACATGCCAACATAGCGTGTACGGCAAATGCAGTTCTGCAATTTAAAAATCAGTTCGAGACTATGGAAAAGGCACTCTTTACTTAGAGGACAGGGCCTCACATGTTCAGCTTAATTAGCCTGTGATTTGTGAATTGTTAAGCAATGTTCTGTCTCAATCTTACTGAGAAATGCAGTACTGATCAAAGTGAATAAAATCATCTGTCAGGTTCTAATTGCTGGCTGGCAAGCATCTTCTTGCTCTAAGATATGTATGGTTCTCTGATAATGCAGTAAGCGGGAAAATATTGACAAAAAGAATGGTTTTGTTTGTTTTCCAATTTTACAAAGCTTTTTATGTGCATATATGTATATATATTTACCATCAATCTTTATGACCCCTACAGCTATAGCTATGTCTGTATCTGTATATAGATACACACAATGAGGATGGTAAGTAGAGAGAGGGTCCAATTAAGGTGTAAAAATGCCAACTGTTATGAGATGTGGATGTAAATCTTTGTCTTTATTAGTAAGGGTTATGTTTCCTATATAAAATTATAGAGAATGGTGATGAAAACATAATTGGAAATAGAAAATTACAGGAAAATTATTTACAGGCCAATGAAAATGGTGTTAAAAAACAATGTTCTTGTTCAAGCCAATTAATTGGGGTTTAAGTTAAACCAGCTCATCTAAACTTATGCAGAAAGGACAATAGTTTGTTTTGATATGTTCCCTAACTTGAAGAACAGCAAAGTTTTGGAAAGAAAAAGGGAAAAGACTCCTGAGTCCTAGCTTGAGATTCACAGCTTGTCATGACATAGACTCACCTCTGTCAAATCTTTAATGTAAATGTGACCGAAGTGTTGTACAATAATGCAATCGCGGCACTGAGCAGTGCATTTCATCATGCACATCATCAGGGGCTACAATCTGACACTGACCCAGTTAGCTTTTATTTAAAGGTGTCTATGGCGAGCTATTCATGCATGCGTGAGTAGTTATCAGTCGTTGATGGATTATGAGAGCCACTTTATAAGGCCATTGAAAGAGGGCGGCAGAGTCATACATTTTCCAATTTCCATGCCTCAATGCTTTAAGAAAACTCATGAGACTAAATGTTCTCAAAGGTTCAACTGATATGTGCCTCAATTTTTTCTTCATAGAAGGCCCCAAGGGACGGTTCATGAGCTTAGATTCAACAGTCCACACGCGCCTAAAGCAGCAAGATTTTCCGAAGGTGATATTTACCATTTATGAAGCAACAAAGTTAGACCAATGACCCAACACAAGTTGTTGTATGGCATTGTTTGACATGCATCTGATATACATAAAAAATCTCATGCTTTAATTAGCAAAATTGGTACTTGTAAAAAGTTGGGGCAAACGACTGGGCTATTTTTTTCCATGCCTTATCTTTTTCAAACAGCATATGCATTGTGAGGCTTTAAATCCATTTAGAAGCTGTTGGTTTTGTCTTCAAACTAATCAGCTTATGGCTAAACTTGAGGCAAAACAAAAAACAAAAAAATTTGGATTTATTTTGGCTCTGGTTAGGTATTAGTCTGACTTGTTCCTGTTTTCTAGCTAGGAGGTAAGTGGAGTAGGACAACAACACATAAAAGCTGAATTATAAATGATATTGCTCTAGATTAGTAGGTTGAGGTAGACATGGTTTAACCAAGTTGGCTAGATATACTCCTCATTCTACACCCAAGTTCGAATTCTCTTTTCTATAATTTAGATTATATTAAAGTAGAATATCACTTGTATAAAAAAATAAAATAAAAAGATATTGCTTTAATTATAATCATTAAATTAATAATCATAATAATAAATATATCATTAATAATCATTTTATCAGAGTTTGGGAGTAGGTAGCAGCTGTAAAATAAGGTGTCATTTCTTTCCATGATCCAGAATCTGCAGATAAACATCATGAATTTTTGTTGGAGTGGTGATGATTGTTAAATGTGATCATGTGGTTAAGTTCAGTAAGCCTGATGCCAAATTCTAGAACCTTGCTTGAATCCTTACTAATTTGAGGTCCTCTACTTTCCATGAGTGTGCTTTTTCTGTTCACCCCTTTTTTTAGCATTATGTGTTGCTCACAAAGTGAATTATATCTAGAAATTCTCTCCCTTTATATATATATATATATATATATTTTAAATGATGTTAGAAACCACTCACCAATTAGTTGAGGTTGCCAAAATTGATCAATTCTGTTACATGGGTTGGGAAATAAATTTTCTAATATTTCTCAGAACAAAAAAAAAGATTTGAAATTGGGAAATTAAATACCATGCATGCATGGTAAATTTGTGAAGATGTCAAGGACACATTAGTAACTTACAAGATAATTAGAGACAAACAATCATGGTACTTCTCTGTGGAATCTTTTGCTGGATATCATTGGTCCAATGCACCCCTTAATCCTTTAATTAAAAAAGGCTTGACCTCTCTTAGAATTCCTCCCTAATGATGATTAGATCCCAAACAAAGTCTCCCTTGTATTTTACCATCTCTCTCATCTTACCACTGTTCATTAAATTTTCCTCCCCCAACAAATCTGCAACCACATAGGCCCACCAATTTAGTTTCTTTTAATTTTCTTTTTTAATTTCCTCAATTTTATTCATTCCTAGCGCGCACTCTCTCTCTCTCTCTCTCTCTCTCTCTCTCTCTCATGCAGCTTTGTAATGAAAGCAGTGCATGAGGGTTAGATTGATTCTTGAAGATTGATCTTTATTATCATACCCATCAAAATTTCATGTAAATTTTTTAGCTTTGGGTTTATCAAGATCTGTTTATGACTCAACCCACCAGCATAAACAACATGAATAGAGGTACAGTTTAATTCAGAGGTATAGTTTTCTTTTATGCCATGTTGATTTTTTTTTCTCTCCATTCATATGCTGGTGCTTCTACTTGATTGTAAATGGGTGGGAGATGAAATGGGTTGGTGTTATTTGTTTAGTTTGGATTTCAGCTATGTAGCTCTTCTGGATTTTGTGCCAATTTTTCTGGGTTTGTGAAATTTGTGAGTTTCATAGTCTCTAACATATTTGTTCAGTTGGCTTTCAGGGGGAAAATGGTTTATTTATGGTATTGTAATTTTGATAGTTGGAGGGAATGAAACTGTTTTAGTTGAGTGAATTAACATGCCTCTGGTTGGTTGCTAAGAAGACTTAGGAGAGGGGAGGAAAAATAGTTTTCGAATCTCACTTTGTTTCGTTTTTCCGAAGTAATAAGCAATAAAAATTTGATGTTCAACCAAGTTGAGCTCAGTTTCTCGTGCACTCTGGTGTCAAATTGTGAAAAAGGAAACAGTTTAGATTTCAATTATGTTTTTTTTCTTCTTCCTTTTTTCCTGTTTTCTTGTTTGCTGAACGTAAAATGAGATTGATTTGGCAACTTAAATTTCAAACGCTTTTAGAAGGAAAGTTCTATCTTTTGGGACAATGGGTCTAAAGATTCTGGTCTTTGGAAATAGTTATTTCAATGTTTTATCAGATGCATTGTTACGAACATCAGTGTCAAATACAATAATTGATGGTTGCTTCAGAATGCGTGAACCGTTCTTCTAAGTTGTTATGAAGATAAATAGGAACAATTGGTATTTAGCTGCTAAATCCTTAGGCTCTGTGGAAGCTTTCAGAACCAGAAAATTATTGTTATACTAATAATCTGGTGACTGCTAAAGGCACTGTTCAAATCGCAAACTAAACTAGTTTGGTAGAATATTTTAGTAAAGATTTCATTTCATAAGATTTCTCTGTTTATAGTATTTATTTGTGATTTCTTTTCTCAAACAGGTGAGATGGACATGGCATCTATAAAATGTCTGATCAACAGCATATCTCGATTTGTTCATCTAGTTTCAAGCCAGAGATCAAAACCTATGCCTATTCAGAAGGACTACAAAACCATAGTTGATGTACTAAAGCTTTTGAAGCCATTGCTTGATGAAGTAGTTGACTACAAAATACCTTCAGATGAAATTCTATATAAAGAGTGTGAAGAATTGGATATGGCTGTCAATGGAGCTAGGGAATTCATGGAAAACTGGTCTCCAAAGTTGAGCAGGATTTTAAGTGTAAGTGCAACTTATTTTTAAACTAAATTCACATCATTTTCCTTATTGGGTAGGGTGTGTGTCTCTAGTCCATGCTTGAGGATTGTCATCAATGAATATCTGTTATGATCTCTTTCATTTGGAAAGACAAATGCAAGGAAAACGACCAGGTTGTCCAAGAAATATGAATCCTACAACAATAATCACAATGCCAGTATGTTAGGAGATTGCAAACTTCTGTATTGCCGTTTGTACCCTTGGAAATTGAACGAAGCATTGTACATAAGATACCTCGAATTTGAAAGACTATTTGGTGTGTGTGTTTGTTTACATGTTTGATAATGGTTCTATTTACATTGTCTCCTCAGGCTTGGCGGGGTGAGCCATTGTTGATAACAATCCAAAGCTCTTCACTTAAGATTTGCAGCATATTAAGTAGATTGCTGCAGTCATCTTCGTCTGGTTCAAGTTTAATTGGTCTTCAGGTATTTGCTAAGTTCAAACTGTTCTGCATGTATCCGTTTCTTATAAGAAAAAAGAAAAAGAAGAGGATGATTTCACAAACGTTCTACTACTCATTATCTTTTATATATTACCTTATTTCTTCGAAACTATCTATTCCTCATCCTATTTTGAAATGCACCTTATACTTTAAAATTGTTGTTTAGTCTACTTGGCTTTTATCTTTTTGTTGTTTGGTTCATCAAGAGACAAGTACAACTCTAATCCGTGGTAAATTGTTTCAGCATTGTGTGCAGGAAATTCGATGTTTGAAGCAGGAAAGAGTAACAGAATACTTAGAAGAGGCTCTGAAAAGTCAAAGAAAAGATACCATGCCTTCCACCAAACATCTTATGAAAATTATTGAATTGCTTAGTTTGTCTTCAAACCAAGAACTGCTGAAAGAAAGCATTGCTGTAGAAAAGGAAAGAATGAATGTCGAAGTCAGTGATGTTAGAGGGGAACTAGATCAAATCAACCAAATGGTGATACTTGTCTCCCACATTCGTGAATTCATGGTCAAAATTGAGCACCTTGAAACCGCATCCGGCATCCCAATCCCTTCATACTTCCGCTGCCCTTTGTCTTCAGAACTAATGTTGGACCCCGTAATTGTAGCTTCAGGTCAAACCTTTGAGAGATCTTCCATCCAAAAGTGGCTGGATCATGGGCTCACTATTTGCCCAAAGACCCGGCATAGGCTGTCTCATATAAATCTCATTACCAATTATACTGTCAAAGCTATGATAGAAAGTTGGTGTCAGGAAAATGATATAAAACTTCCAACAAACTCTGACGGCTTTAATGCTATCTCAGTCCCATCTCCATCAGATCGAGTATCTCCTGAAGGTTCAATTCACACAGATAGCAATTCGACATCAAGGTCATCCCTTGAAGTTGGAAGTGTATTTGAGAAGCAAATGAAAGATGTCTCTACTAGACTAAGTGGAGAAAAGTCCAATGGATGCCATAGCAGCGAGAAAGACCACTCATCACCAAAACAGTCATGTACTCATAGCAGGAGCGAATCAGCCACAAGTGCTGTCTCCAGTAATGATTATGCGCCTCCTGCATTCATTAAAGTGTCAGGGATATCTAATAAGCATGAAAATGTCAATGAGTTGTCGGGAGAAATCACATCCGAGCATCCAGTTGCTTCTACTCCAAATAAAGAATCAGCAATGCCGTCCAGATTATCAGGAAAACATTCTCTCATTTCCAAAATAAAAGCAGAAGGGACATGGACTGACAGCCCTATTTATCCCAACAGACACCAACTGCTTCCATTTTCTAGTTCAGGATCGGACGAGTTGACAACATCATCCCATGTCATGAAATTAATTGAAGACCTCAAGAGCCAGTCGAATGAAGTGCAAACATTGGCTGCAGAAGAGTTGCGGCTTCTTGCAAAGCACAATATGAATAATCGAACTATTATAGGCCAATGCGGTGCTATCACACCATTAGTTTCACTGCTATATTCAGGAGTGATGCTAACACAAGAGCATGCTGTGACAGCTCTTTTGAATTTATCAATTAATGAAGACAATAAGGCAATGATTGCACAAGCAGGGGCAATTGATCCCCTAATTCATGTTCTGAAAACGGGAAATGACGGAGCCAAAGAAAATTCTGCTGCAGCTTTATTCAGCCTCTCTGTATTGGATGAATACAAGGCAAAAATTGGTCGTTCTGGTGCAGTTAAGGCCTTGGTTGATCTTCTAAGCTCAGGGACTCTTAGAGGGAAGAAAGATGCTGCTACTGCATTGTTTAATCTATCAATTTATCACGAAAATAAGGCTCGCCTAGTTCAAGCTGGGGCTGTGAAATATCTTATTGAGTTGATGAACCCTGATACTGGGATGGTTGACAAGGCCGTTGCTCTTCTGGCAAACTTGTCCACCATTGGAGAGGGGCGCGTGGCAATTGCACGGGAAGGTGGCATTCCGTTACTAGTTGAGATTGTTGAAACAGGTTCCCAGAGGGGAAAGGAAAATGCCGCCTCCATACTGTTGCAATTGTGCCTTCATAGTCCAAAGTTTTGTACCCTGGTTCTTCAGGAAGGAGCTGTCCCTCCCCTGGTTGCCTTATCTCAGTCTGGCACACCAAGAGCAAAGGAAAAGGTATGCAGCTTAAGCGTTTTCTTGCCCATTTATTTAGCTCTCTGTTCATCTGCTTGCTAGTCATTATGCCAAATAGTGGTGAAGGCTTTCCAGGAAGGCCCATGCAATTTCTAAAAAACTAACAAAAATGGCAAAAATAAATTGATTGTTGAATGATATGATGATTTCCATCTCTTTTGGTGAAAACAGTGCTCTTCCTTCCCATCAGTTCATCAACTATTGTCATTACCTATTAGCAATCTACAAAGAAGCTTTACCTCTTTGCCCTTGTGTAGCTATAACCCAATAATTTACCCTTAACGGGCACATCCATCCATATTGTTGAAAGTTCGTGAGAAAGCATCTTACAGGCACAAAATAAGTCATGTGGTTTCTTCAGGCGAATCTGGAACCATGCCATGGCCGTTGCTATTAATGATATCCCTGTTCAGTCAGCATAAAACTGAAGTTATGCCAAGTATTGTATGGTTTTGTGAACAGAAGATAATATTATGTTTGTTTTACATTATATGATGCAGGCACAGCAGCTTCTCAGCCACTTCCGGAATCAGCGAGAAGGGGCAATGGGGAAGGGAAAATGAAGACAATTTTGTTGATCTGTTGCTGATTTTGCATTTGAGATTCTCCTCCGTGATATTTTCTCCCCTTCAAGATATTCCATTAGGTCTCTTTTTTTATTTATAATATTCTTTAATTTATTCTAGCTTCAGAGAAGTCTAAATATTTTTCTCTTTTTTTGATGGGTGATCATGGAAACATTGCGAAGTACACGAAATGGGACTGAATCAGAAGCCTAGGATGTCTAAACTTTTCTTTCCGTGGGTATTCTTTTAACTTTTTCCTCCCACCTGTAGAGCTTGGGAAAAGGGAGTTTATGTGCTAGGAAGGCTACTTTGCTCTTACTTTCCCTGAAAACATAGCTTGGTTGAGTTTTAGAAGCGTGCAGTGACTCAAGTTTTTTTTATGTTTTCGATTGATTTGGTTCTCAATCAATGTTGTACATATACTTGTACATAATGCTATAGACTCGTGCAATTTGCAATATGATCACAGTATTTCTATTTATGTGCTATTTGATGCCCATTTGTCCTTGTTTCTTAATCTCATTTTTGTTGGCAGAAATTTATGCTCCGTTTGAACCTTTCTCTACTGATGCCTTAAGTTGGGCTGACAATGGGCTGGCTATATTTGAGAAAAGCCCATTATATTGTATTTTATCTCTCGTTCCATTACACTTTCATTTAGAATGAAATACACCGGCATGGCAACTATTTTGGAGTGCTAATAACAGTTTGAAAAACACATACACAATGATACATTCTTTACTTTTAGCAGCATGAATTATGTCTCTGCTTTTCATTAAAGGGGACTTGATAACGAAATCAATCTGATGGCCTATATTTGCTTGCTGAAACCAAATTTAGATGAAGATTTTAGATTTTAGATTTTAAATTTCAGATTTCAGATTAGGCCTAAAAAAGCTACTGCCACAAATCAGGAAAAAATAAAAACCATGCTTTGCTATTTGGGGTGGGTGCCTTTCTTGATTCATAGAATGAATATTTAGCAAAGGCTTGCTAATTAAGCAAATCTCTCAGTTGAAAAGCTTGAGACAAAGATATCTCTAATATGCATTATGCTTTGCTTTTTCTCAAGGAAAAAGAGAAAAGAAAAAAATGCGGGCAGGTTTCCCACCTCTGCCCGCTCTACCCGGACCTTGATTATGGATGTCATTGATTCATTGAACAAGGATTAGCTTCTTTGTTAGGCAGCTTAAAATGACAATCTGGCCCATTCATGTTGCAATTAAACTAATAATAAATTTGGAAAATTGTAGGAGTTGTAAACAATAGACTATTCTGCAAAACATGAGTTAGGTCAGTTGGTCAAGGCAATGTGTCTGTTCTCTGTTAGGCAGTTTAAAATGACAATGTGGCCCATTCATGCTGCAATTAAACTAATAATTAATTTGAAAAATTGTAAGAGTTGTAAACATTAGTTTACTCTGCAAAACATGAGTTAAGTCAGTTGATCAAGGCAATGCATCCGTTCTCTTGCACTCGAGTTTAATCATCCTGCCCACATAGAATCAGACACTTAACCTAGCTTAATTCCAAAAATTATTTTCCAACTTCCATTCGTTGTTTAGGATTAACTATTATCGATCATAATTAACCAAACCATGTACACATGAATCGAATTTTGGCCCCACCAAATTGAAATAACAAGCCTCACTCAACAAACCTCCACCTAAACACAAAGCAGATCGAATGCCTTCTCCTTGAAAAGGGAGACAGTTGATAGATAGAGAATGATATTGATATCCATATTGCAAAAAATGCGATGAATATTAATAAATTATTTGAGGTATGTCAATTGTGTCATGGTTAGTCGCGATTGACACGATGTGCAATATTGAAATGATATACTGAGGTTATGTCACGCTCATTCTCAACCGTTCGTTTATAGGTGGACCCACCTTGCACGTGCCCTGTGTACCGCTGATTGGCCGATTACAATTTACCACAGCTGGTCTAATATTATTTTACTATGAATGCTGTGCAATTTTCACTTCGTGCTTGATATAATAAAATAAAATGAAAGATTCTTCTGGTATATTTTAGTCTTAGTAATCATAATAAAATAATTACTGTTCACGATTTCTAATATATTAATTTATTTTTAAAGCATGTATAGGGTTTCCCCACTCTAATTTTAGGATTTTTCCCAAAAAATTTCCCAAAAATCAAAATAAATAAATAAGAAGAGTTTGTTAAAGCTGTACCAGATAGATATGGACTCGGTTTTGGTATGTGTACGGATCCCCGATTACATGCGGGTTTCATGCTCAATTAGGTGTTACTTCTCGAGGTATTTTAATCTGAACAATAATGAAATACTTACTTATATATATGTATGCACGTAATGATTTTCTATTTGCGTGAATGGTCGATAGTTGTTGATTAATGTCGATTTCACGATCAATTTTATACCAATCAATAATTAACGTGTCTAATGAAACTAGTGTAATTTATAATTATATTCACTATCCCAACCTTGTAGCTATTAGTGAAATGGTGGTACACGTCACCTAAAAAGAGGTACGATGATGCTTGTTATATAATTGAGCATCTCGATTAAGAAAGTCAATAACAATAATGGATTAGTTTGTTGATTATTATAATTTTTTATTAATAAAAACACTAGTCATCTCTCCATATTTGCACTGTAAGTCTGTAAGAGGAAACAGGAGTGGAACTTCATATCCAAGCAGGGGGGACAAGGGCAGAGGTTATACAGTCAATGAATATGATTTTTCATAGGTTTGGAAATTAACTAATCTATGGCACCAGTTTTTTTCGAGGGTCGTGAGAAACCATTATAATTTGTTGTAATTATTATTATAATTATTATAATATATAAACATGCATGCAGACCTACTAGAAATTAGGCTTAGATCTCAAAGGGTGTATACAGAACCCTAACTCTATCAAATCAATGCTAGCTTATGATTTCAAGGGTCTGAACATTTTGATTGTAATCCCAAGTGTATGTTTGTTCGTTGACTGGCATTATGAATTTCTTGCAAATCCTACCCATAAGTCTGATTTAAGTCACACAAAAGAGGCATATGTGGGTTAAGTCAATTAATCAAAATAATATGTTCGCTCTTACAATCGAGTTCGATTCCTCTTGTTATACATTAAAGTAGTTTAGAATATTCATTTGTCAAATTGTCAAAAAGTAAAACAAAAGACACGGGAGTGCGTAAGGAGAGTAGTCTAGATTCAGGAAATGAATGGAGGTAAAATGTTTCACTATCACAAGTAAAGTGCCCAAAGACCTAAAAGATACATTTTGTTTATCATTAATTTCTTAAGTGACGAGGTAGAAGTATATGACTAGTGATTATTGACTCTCATTTGCTTGCAAAGTATACTTTAGTCGACAAATCTATTATGAAATATGTTGTCATTACATGGATTAATAATAATTTAATTATGTGTTTACAATAATAATTTTGATCAACATTCTACTGTAGCCGTCACAGGACTCGCACCCCTAGAATAAAAAGAATGATCGAAGAACACTACAAAAACTTTTTGACTTGGGACACGTAAACTAAGGTCATGTCAGAACTTATGACTAACCTAAAAGAAAAATATTTGAGATCATGGACCGGTCTCTTTTCTAGGGCGGTAAAGGAAATTTGATATAATTACCACATACTTGTGATTCTAATGGGTAAAATTCCATAATTTACAGCTGTAAAGACACTTGAAGCCCACACAATTACCTCTAATTTTTATTGTTGTTTTATTTATTTATGGTAATAAAATTATTTTTATTACTCTCCAAGCACAAATGTAATGAGAGCATTATTTACTTCTAATGAATCCAACATCGCTAATTAAAACTACTAGTGTATGTAGTGGTTTGGAGCAATTGGTCTTTTAGGAAATGTCCTGGATCCGAGTCATAACATTCGTGTAGTTTAATATGTTATTGCCCCTCTCGATAAGAAATGTCTTCAAGTCCTGATTATATTTTGACGTCCTTATTTCATGATCACATGAATGAGAAAGATAAAAGGAGATTTAATAATTTTCTAAATTTAGAAATAACAATGGGAAACAAGGGGATTTTTTTAAAAAATTATTGCACCAATAGCTAAAAAACTGAGATCCCTCCCTTTGGCATATTGACTCAAAGAAATTAATGTCTTAGTAATTCGTTCGATTATAGATATATATCTATAAACACACATGTATTTATTTATATATTTTAGGTCAAATTGTAGGAGAACCCTAGTAATTAATTAAAAAGAGAGCTGATTTTCCCACTTCCTTTTTCTTCACTTACACTCCTTTTTGTTGTTTTAATACTTTTTAATTATCTTTGTTCTTTTTTGTTCTTTCTCTTTCCTATTATACTCTTATTTTACACTAGCCTCTCCGCAAACGCTTGAGCGCCTGCGAGAGGCTTTATTTTTAAAAAAAAATATAAATTTATTTTAGAATTAAAAAAGATAATGGGTAGTTGTGTTCCATAAAAAATAGAATCCATTATCTAATTTTTCTTTTAATTTTTTTAATATGAACAACTGTGAATTTACCATATTATCCTCATTTAATTAATATTTTCAATTCTTAATGTTTGCATTAACTAAGGGCTTTTTTTTGGGTATTTTGAATGTTTTATCATTCTCTGTCTTTTGCTTTATATACACTAGCCTCTTTGCACGCGATTCCGCACCTGCGAGAGGCCTTTTTTTAAAAAATTAAAATTAATTTTAGAATTAAAAAAGATAATGGGTAGTTGTGTTATATAAAAATAGGATCTATTATCTGATTTTTCTTTTAATTTTAATTTTTTTTAATATGAAAAAGTGTGAATTTACTATATTATCCCCATTTAATTAATAATTTCAATTCTTTCTTCTTCTTTTTTATGAAATAATTTCAATTTTTAATGTTTGCATTAACCAATGACATTTTCTGGTATTTTGAATGTTTACTATTCTATGCCTTTTGCTTTATGTGTATAGATATATAGATTAATTTCTTTTTACTTCACTTTTTATATTATTTCTTTTTCTTTATACTTAATTTCTCAAGTTACACTCCATTTTCTTTTTCTTTATACTTTTATATTATTTCTTTTTATTTATGCTATTAAATGAACATAATATATACATTTTTTTTAGAAAACCTATATAATGCTTTATGAAGTTCAAAATGTTATTTATTGAATGATAAATAAAAAAAACATTAAAAAAAAAAAAAAGAAAAAAGAAAAAAAAAAAAAAAAAAAAAAGTCGGGGAGGGGAGGGGAGTTGCACAACGATTGTAGAATTGGAACAACCCAACAACCCTGTCAATCTCTACCTCCAGCCACTTTCTCCACCGACACCCAAAGGCTCCAACTCTCCAAGTCACACTTACCTCCCCAACTCCAATTCACCCACCTCTAATATATATAGCCCCTTACAGCCTTACCACTCCGCAATGGTCCTTCCCACTTCTCCACTAGCTGAGCAACTCTCCGCTTCTTGACTAGACTACGCCCTTCTTTTCTTTTTCTTTTCAAGTTTTTTTTTTCTAATTATATATTTTAGTTTAATTGAAATTTTAATGTATTTTTAAATTAATTCAACTTTTTATTAACTTCAAAAAGCTTTATAGGTTTTCAAAACAAAATGAAAAAATATTATCATGTTCATTTAGTAGCAACTTAACGAAACAGACCAAATTGACTAACAGTCTTAAAAACATGAATCAAATTGGCCAAATTGAAAACACATTGACTTTCACCCAAAAAAACATATGGACTGAATTGGCAAACGTTATAAAACACAAGGACCATTTTGACACTTAAGCCAAAGAAATAATATAAAAGTGAAAGTAAAAAGAAATTAACATATAGTAAGGGTAGAATAGGAAAGAGAAAGAACAAAAAAGAAAAATATTAATTAACAAATATTAAAAAAAACAAAAGGAAGTATAAGTGGAGAAAATGAAAATGGAAAAATCAGCTTCCATTGAAAATTGTATGTGTATGCTTTATTCCACATATATAAGAGAGGTGTAGATCTCACGCTAGTGTGTGAGATAATAACCATCACTTTCATTATTAATCATATTGACTATAACATCAATCAAATTTATCTCCTTAGTTAGAGTCAAGAATTTTGTTACGTGCTCAGATACCATAATAGTTACCTATTGATAGAGAAACCTAAGATCTAAAACAAAATTTTCATCATTAGATGCAGAATACTCTCTCTTGTAATAATTTATTAAGTATTGCCACATTTGATAGGACACCTTAAGTAAGAGAAATTTAAATCCTTCGATTGCACATTTTACATTTGGTAATGTACATGAGAGAGAGAGAGAGAGAGAGAGAGAGAGAGAGAGAGAGAGAGAGAGAGGGATAAATAAGATGATCTTACATTTGCTCAAACTTCATCTCTTATTTTGTGTTTAATCATCATATGTGAGTGTAAAAACTATTCAAATATGCGCGCAGTTCATGTCCTAGTTTCCAAAACTTTTTTAGTCACAGTAGGGTGTTGTGCAAAAAATCAGAACCCACGGGGATTCCATACATTGGTCACTATTTCAAGTGTTTTAAAGGCGAGATGGGGCCGAATTCATGTGTCAGAAATTAAAGTTTGAATTTAGGAGAAGAAAAGTGGGAGAGAAATTAAATTTTGACAAGGGCATTCTTGTCACTTTAGAAAAGGAACTGTCATTCAATTCATTATACAACAAGGGTCAAGAAACAAAATCATGTTATTCCCTTAATTTTACCCCCTTCAAACTTTTTCCTGTCTCCATTTCAACCTACTGTCCAAACTCCCTTTCCATTTTCACAAAAAAGCCCTAAAACACAAATTTTTTTTTTTCTCTCTCTCTCTCTCTCTCTCTCTCACACACACACACACACAAGAAGGAGAAGAAGAATAATTGTAATCATCCCTTATTAAGAATTGAGTTTGCTCCACCCTTTTTTAGGGAAAACCAGCCCCTTAACATTTTAAGAAACCAAAGCTGCACACAATTATCTATCAGAAAACCAGAGCCTCCCAAATCTCTGTATAGTAATATTGCTCAATCAAACCAAACAAAACACCCACAAGAAAGAGAGAGAGAGAGAGAGAGAGAGAGAGAGAGTAGTCAGGAGCAACAGTGCCCTCTATCAGCTTGTACTCTCCCATCAATCTCATCAACTCTCTTCATCAACATCAAAATCTTCTTTTGCTTCACCATTTCCAGTTCCTTTCCTTCTCTCTCTTCCTCCCTCCCTCTACCTCTTTTCAGAAAATGGAAATCCTGTAATATCAATCAATTAATCAGAACTTTTGTCTTCTTTCGATCTCTTTCTTCATCAGTGTGCTTGGCTTACTTGTTTTCATAATTATAAAACCATAGCCAACATAGACTCATCTCAGTACTGCTAGGTTCACAAATTATTAGAACTCTCTCTCTCTCTGGTGAAGAAACCCTAGAACAAGAAATCAAGAGTTCTTCAAACAAAAACAAAGCAAAACAACTTAATTCCATGGATTCAATCCAAGACATGGATGGAGGTTCCAACTCTCATCACCATGAGATGAACATGGCATCAAGCAATAACCTAATTATCAACACAAACTCAATGAACCCTGCTACTACTCTAGCCTCAGCAGCAGGAGTAGCTGGAACCTCATCTTCTTCTTCTTCTTCATCTCCAGCTTCCAGCAGCCGCTACGAGAACCAAAAGCGGCGTGACTGGAACACCTTCGGCCAATACCTCAAGAACCACCGCCCCCCGCTCTCTCTCTCCCGGTGCAGCGGGGCCCACGTCCTCGAATTCCTCCGCTACCTCGATCAGTTCGGCAAGACCAAGGTCCACACCCCCATCTGCCCCTTCTACGGCCACCCGAACCCTCCGGCTCCCTGCCCCTGCCCACTCCGCCAGGCATGGGGCAGCCTCGACGCCCTCATCGGGCGCCTTCGAGCCGCCTTCGAAGAAAACGGAGGCAAGCCCGAAGCCAACCCGTTTGGGGCTCGAGCCGTTCGACTTTACCTTCGCGAGGTTCGTGATTTGCAGTCGAAGGCAAGAGGTATCAGCTACGAGAAGAAGAAGCGGAAGAGGCCACCTTTGCCGCAGCAGCTGCCGCCTCCCCCACTGCCGCCGACAGTTCATCACCATCCAGGTCAATAAAAAGTCAAAGCAAGCTACTGTTACGACCAATGAAGATATGAGGGTACCGTCTTTATATATTTAAATTACGCTTTTTAAGACTTGTGTGGTGGTATTTGGATGTTATTGTTAATTAGGGTTTTAGTTAATTTCATGATATCAAGTGGTTGTTGGTAGCCACTGCTAAGCTTAGCTAGAGACAGACCTGCGTTTTTCATCAATTAATTCTGTGTTTCTATAAATCTCTTTGCTTTGCTTTGACTAAGAGCAAACCTTTACTTAATTCGATCCATCTTCTGTGGGGTATTATGAGTGAGCCTCTTCTCGATGTGCGCACAGTACACCACTGTTTGTTAGTATTAATACTTTGTACTTCTTGCTTCTGTTTCCATGCTTAATCCGTATCGAACTTAACATAATAATTTGGTTACGGCTTGCATCCTTTTCTGGAAATCACAGTTTGATACATCATAATTATTCGGTGTAAAAATAATTCATACAAAAAACACACCCATAAAAAAACATAATTCATTTGGGAAGTATTTTTCTAATCATTTTGTTTTGGTTTTTATGCATTTTTTTTCTTCTTTTGTTTCTTTTTTCATGCATCCCTATAAACCCACAGTTTTGCAGCCTTGGGTAAAACATACTAAAAATTTCTCGAAAGCTGGTGCTGGAAACTCCAAGTTAACTCAGTTTTTTTTCTCTTCATACTTGCTAAAGTATGAAAGGACTTTACACAAGGATCATATATATATATATGTTGTCAGATATGTCTTGCAACACTATATAATATATATACTTTTTTTTTAATGCTTTTGTGTATTGCAGATTGGTACATTTTGTCAGACAAGTCTCTCTTTATCTCTGACTTCCCTTAGCTTCCCTCTTGTCCATGTTCCCACCTTTTCCTACTTTACTGTCTTAGGAATAGGTTGATTCATACATGCCTTGCCTTCTTCTTCTTCTTGTGTGCAAAACTTAAAGAGAAACAAAACTTTTAGACATCACTAGCTCACATGTACAACGAGGTAATTTGATCCAAATTTGGTTTATGTCTGTCTAATCTGGTATTGTCAGATTATGAAGCTAATTGTAATTAGAGAGATTGATCATGAAGAGCTATATATTTCATCCAATTATTTGCTTTTGTGATATATTATGGGTGGAGCATGCGTGTCATGAACCCTTATTTGTCATATGCGACTTTCCTTATTTGTCATATCAGTCTCAGATAGTCAGATGTTACTGAACCAAACAGAAATAGTGGAATACTGCAAAGTCTGCAACAGAGAGAGAGAGAGAGGGAGAGAGAGAGAGAATTCCAATTTCGTGAAACAAGGTTAATAAAATAAGCATTAATCTACTAAAGAAGGCAAAGCTTTGCATCCAATACTTTGCCATATTTTGATGCTATTGCTAATTAGGCAAAAAATATACATGTCTGCTGCTGCTTGCTAGTTATAGTTGGTTCAAAAGTACAAGTCGAGCTATAGGAAATTGAGGGAAATAGTGTTTTAAATTATTCTTTCTGGCCGACAGCTTCTCTGTGATTGGACAAGGCTGTGTCAAAATTCCTAATAATTTAATTTCTATAATTAAAATGCTCATTATTTAGGTGAAGAAATTAGCTTAGAATTATTTAACAAATGGTACGTAGGATAGGTGGCGGTAGCTAGAGAAAAAAAAACTTATTTCCCCGTTTGAGTTGAAGTAGTGGGGCATCAAGGAGCACTTTAACTCTTAGAGGATCTATTCATACTTCTAATCATTTCGGTCCAACATAGGATTATTTTCTATAGTATGTTTTAGATTCCATCAACAGACCAGTTTATTAGTAAAATATGGATCAAAAGCTATCATCAACTTTACCACGTCATCGGATTTCTCTCTCTCTCATTTGACAAGATCAATTATCTTATTAAGGTTTGATAACGAATTTTCACTACTACTTATATGGTCCATTAATTACTTTTTCTGAAACACCTCCTCTCAGGAACTGCGAATTTTCTTCAAAAAGTATAGCTTGATATACATTACTAGATTGGTGATTCATTTTCTGACAGCTTAAGTTTTTAGGTTTGATTTAGTGATTATCTGACATAATACGTATTACAGGTCTCGATTATCTAACATAGTATGTATTACTTGACAAAGTTAAGCTTTTGGTGTATGTCTTTGTAATGCTTGATTTGGATTGTCTATTTCTTTTCATCTTATTTTTGCTTGTTTCAACCATAGCTATATACATTATATATCTACGTGACCGCACACTACTGAATTTCTAAAACGCGTTTAAGATTAAAGGTCAAGAAAAAACAAAGCAGAGGATCCGAATTTTTTGAATTTATGTACATATAAGATACGTATTCAATAATTCAATCATCTTCATGTGTGCTACAAATTAAAGGTGAAATGGAGTACTTCTACACATAGCAGCACCCACCCCCAATATGTCTTTGATATACTTCATCTTCATGAGTGTATGATGTGCTAATTAGCAAGCGTTTCTTCTTTTTGTTCTTTTTTTCCTCATGTACATAATCACTTCAGTCAAAACAGAAGAGCTCTGCGGGATATTATATCCTTCTTAATTCATAGAGATAATATACTCCTACATATATCCTCACTGTCTCTCATATCATCTTCTGTTTCTCTCATTCAGATCCGAACTTTGTTTTATTGATGGTTTTGCATTTCCTGATATCGTTTTTCTCTCGTGTTCTTCATTGGAAAACATTTTCATGTGTAAGAGGCTTTCATGATTTTGTTAACTTGAGCATGCATGCTAGGTCTCTGGTATGTTTGCGAAGCAGAAATATGCAAACGTGTGCCTTCATCTTATTATGACCACATTAGCTCGAAACTTACAACCATTTTACCCGTGTGTTTAACTTTTTTCATTTCTCTGGTTTCTGGGTTGTTGGGGGCAGGGTGAAAACATATAATTATTTTGTTTCTTATTAACTTTGTTAGGATTTGCATACATACGCGTGATGTTATTAATGGGTGACTGACAAAGTTAATTATTTTTCAACTATGATATATATACTATTAATTACTAGATACAAGTGTTATAATATTAGTGAATTGATAAACTAAGCGACAACGTGATTGTCACACCAAAAAATTTCTTCACTTCTACACAATCATATAAAAACTACAAATCGAGTTTGTCTACGCGATTCGTCATGCACGAGTTAGTATATTTCAAGTGATTCCACTTGAGCAATTGAGTAGTCTTCCTATGTGTCGTTCGATCTCGTGTTAAGGTAGATGATTAACACTTGATATGGTGCTAATTAATTCCTCAATCGCATTAAATGAAGCATGCATGCTATATCAGGATCTCCTCATTCGAGTTCTTTTCTTGTGAATTTTTTGTTTTTGGGGTCGAAAAAATAAACTTGTGATTTATTTCTCAAAAATGTTACTCTTAATTATTATTATTACTCTTACCATTACCGTATTATCGTGCATGTAATTTATGCAAGGTCAACCGACAAGAACTTCTAGATGGACCTAGTTTTTTCAATGGTAGTGAAGGCAGTATCCTAAAGAATCTCTCTGAGTGACTGGAGATTATTGATTTTCTAGTCAAAATGACCAAATATGCCACTCCGTCATGGATGAAATAATTGTCCTAAATTAGTGAAGCAGACTGCGTGTCCACCAATAACTTGGGGGACTATCACTATCAGAACCTGCTGTGTGCTGCTTCAAATAAATCAGGGGTCAAAAGTGTAGAACACCACAAATAATATTAGTCACAAGTAATTTTTAGTGGAATGTATTTAAGCGATTAAGTGCAGTTACCTATGCAGTCGAGGTCTCGTGTTCGAATCGCTATTTTTTTTGCCATGACTAAATTATGTGCCTGCAGTTAAATTATTTTGCCATGATTGAATAATGTGTCAGCCGCATCAGGACTTCTAACCAGTAGTAATCCAACTACCTTGAGGCAAAATAAAAGTAACTATTTGTTCATTAATTACTTCTCCCTCTGCAACCAATTGAAATCTACCACCCTAATTTTCCATTATGTATCAATCTATCAATGAATTGTGCTATTTATTGGTACACATTATCAAATAATTCTTTTATATCAGAGAAATAGATTTCTGCGTGATCAAATTATGTGTAAAATTGAATAAAATAAAATAAAATAAAATAAATTCGGGTTTTAATTGATTTACTGTGCAGCAGCAGTACTGTAACTGTACAATTGGGCAGGAGCATGCAGCAGAACAAATCGGGCAATAGAGGCCAAATTAAACTGGCAGTAACTAAGGCTGCCATAAAATTTACCTTCCCCATAACTTGATGTGCTATATTGCGTGCATGATTTAAGCCATTGAGTCTGTGACGGATTGGTCCATTTCAATCTCTCTCTCTCTCAACGAAACGAGAAAAAAGTTGTGTGAAACGAGAATAACACTCTTTTGCAATTTCCAATTAACTGCATAATATATTACATATGATAAATTTTTTACCGTTTCACACAAATTTTTCTGCTCGAGAAACCTCCAAAGGAGAAAGGACGTCTCGCCCTTTTCTGCTCTTGGATGTAGCTTAGGTGAGCCATGCCCCAAATGAATTAATAACACAAACACACCCAGCCTCCGGCCACATGACTTAAGCTTGCGCGGCACTCCAACTAACTACTAACCCTACCCCACACGTGTTGTCTACAAAAGCTAGCCCAACAATCAATTCATGTAATAATTCTTTCTTGCAGCTACCACAAATTAAATTCTCACCTGCAACTATCTGCTTGGCCACCACCTGCCTTTATATCTAGCTACAATTATTACTGAATTTGTTACATTTTGTTCACTTTTGGGTACCAATACTATGAATTTTGTGATCACCGTCGTGACTCAGATATAGATTCGTTTAGGGAACAAAATGGTATGCAGTTAGTAATTAAGGATTAATTACATTATCATTAGTTTTGGTAATTAGAAAGTACCCTTCAATCTCATCATAGTCATCTGCTCGTGTGAAGTTTTAGGCTAACATTTTTCCGAGTCTATTAACGAGACAATCTTTAGAACAGTAAATGCATGTCACGTGTCATTCATATATAATCTAATTGACCAAAAAGATAAAATATTTGTAACTATTACTTCTTGTTATATTAATGTTGAAAGATGTTTTACATTCGAATCACACTGGTGCATCGAGATATTGAGACTGTGAAAAAGCTACAAGCAACTATTCAAGTGGCATGTGAGCTTCGTCTTGCTCTCTCGATAATATTTTTTGAGTAATGCTATTTAGACACACAAGATTGACCACATTAGCCGACCACTTAATGTGGTGGTCATGCCATGTCAATTAATGAATATTGCCATGTAGACTCAAATTATTCTTTATTTATTATTTCTCATATCAATAATCTGGAAAAACCAAAACAATAAAATTAAAATTAACCCTAGTGGCCTGGGCCTGTACGTAGCGTCGTTGGTTTTGAACTCTTCCTCACGTCTCCAACCCTTCCGTCATCAAATCTACTCATCCCTCTACTCTTCCATTAAAAAAAAAAATTAAAAAAATTAACTATTAAAAAAGGAACTCATTTGATATAGGTATACAGACAATTAATTCTAGAGGTACAAACCCATTTGATAGAATCATTCGCACCCAATTTCAAGGCCACCCCTCCTCCTCCAAGGGGAACAGACAAACCCCATTTGAATGAGTCAGTCTTGGTGGAGGAATGGAGGGCTCACAAAGGCATCGTAGGAGGAATCACAAAGACAACTAGCAATCTGGGTGGCCTCACAAAGACCTTCTATTTTCCCATTATAAATACAAAGACAATTGGAAATGGCAACTCCTTTTGATGGAGGAATTGAGGGCTGGAGACGTGAGGAAGTACTGAAAGAACGAGAGGCTACAGTCTAAGGGACGCTAGGGTTAATTTTAATTTTATTTAATTTTGTTGTTTTAGTTTTTCAAGATTATTGATTTGTAAAATAAATAAAAATATAATCTATAAGGGAGAGTTCATGAATTAACATGACATGATCACATCAGCTGTCATATAAGGAGGTCGGCTAACGTGGTCAATCTTGTATGTCCAAATAACATTACTCTTTTTTTTTAACCATGAACAATGTGTGATATGGATTTTATCATCAACTAGGTGAAAATGTGAAGTAAATAAAATTCTCAGAGTTCCTCTCTCTCCAGTACGAGAATCCCGCATTCTACGGTCAATCCGACTGGACCTTCAACACGACGGACAAAGTAGGACCCAATCAGGACCTTCCAACCGTGCAAACTCACGTTTACACCTGTGTCCAATGTCGGTTATAGTAACATTTATGCTCCTTTGCTTTTCGCCTCGTTCCAACACCAGATCCCCACCGCTAACCCCAACCCCGATACCATGACGTGGCACCATATCGGCGCTTCTTTGCTTTGGCTTCGGTTACCGTGAACCGTACGAGATTGTTGTCGCGTCCCCATCACTTGTTTAATTTTTATCTCGTCTCCATTCAAATGGGCCCCAATGAGTAAAAATGTTAAGGGCGATGTGAGGGTCCTACAGCCTCCCTCTTTTTAGCGGTTGTATTGGACTTTCTCACCGTACGGTCCTCAAATGGGCTTTGATCCGAGAGGGGAAATTTCTCTCTCTCTTGTTTTTTCCTTTTTTTGTAATTTTTATTTATTTATTTAGGTCAAAAACCATGAGGACATGTCATGTCGTATTGAAGTAAGTAATGAAAACAGGATATTCTGCCATGTAATTTTATTTGATTATACTTTGGATCAAAAAACATGAAACATGTACCCAAATGACAAAAACCTAATACCATTTCAAAACAACCAATAATAAACACGCACTATTTGAACAGAAAAAAAAAAGCTTTGATTATTTTTTGTGGAACCGAGTCCTTCATATGTAGTATAGACTTGAGTTACGTTACACGTAAGGGGATTTATTGAGAATATTTATCAGTATTGTTTCACATCGGAAAGTGAAAGAACATTGCATGATAATTCATTTCGCCATCGAGTCGTACAACATGAACGCAACTCGAAAGCCTAAGTATCTGCCATAAATTACGACAGGTTGACATGGCTTTTATGAAGATTGATATTGACTTGGTCAAGTAATATTGGTTCTTCTCTAACTAAGGAGTGAGAGGAAGGAAGAAGTATTAGGAGGGGCCATTTTCATGCTTGATAGTTTCGTATGTTGACATTGCCGCGTCACTGTGAAACTGTCAGGTTGAGGAAGCCTGTGAAGCATCACATATAGCGCGGGGCCGGCTAAAGCATCAGAGTGGCCACATCACATACATTCTGTGAGTTGGCATAAATTCTTTACGTCCTCTTAGCTTTTGGCTATTAAAACTACGTACTATATTATTTTGGCTAACGAATTATCCAACGAAAACGAACAGGTTTTCCTGGACCACCATATATGCATGATCGATCTCTTCTCCTACCTAACTATTTATTTAGTCTTTAGATCATATATTGTACGTATATACAGTGGCAGTTGTACGTTTTGGAGGCCTTAAGCGAACAACTTAAATGAGGGCTTCAAATTTATATGTGTATTTATGTGATTTTCTTTTACTAAATTTTAAAAAAAAACAGTATATGAACTTAAATTCACAATTGTAACATCTAAGAAACAAACAATATGTAATTTACACAACAACTTTATAAAAGACATTAAAATATCACTCATCTTGCATTTTTCGATGCAAAAGTATCAATTAACTTTACATAATATATATTTTTAAATAACATAAGTAATTATATATTGGGGTTTATACAAATTGGGGGCCCTTCCAATTTGGCAAGGGCGGAGCCACACACAAGCCAGAAGTGGCTGTGGCCCCCTTATTTCTCATGAATTCCATTGAAGTTTTTATATAAAACTTGAAAATCAATATTTAATTTCATATCTTTTTCAGCTATTGTCCATTCTAATATTTAGATTCTAGCACCGCCACTGCAATTTAGGGCCCTAGGCGGTCGTCTAGCATGCTTGTGCCTAGTGCCTCCCCAGCTTATATATTTATATGCACAGTCCCGCATGCAGAGATTTTGACGAAAGGACACCATGCATGGTAGATGATATATTATAGCTAGCTTTTTTTAGAGAGAGAGAGAGAGAGAGAGGGAGAGAGAGAGAGTACACGTACGTACGTAAGGAAGCCAGAAACAATAGACTGATGAGAAAGAAATGAATAAATATCACTTTGGAAGATGAGGCTCTTTCTTCTTGCCTTTCGGGCTTGCGATCTACAGTAGGGTTTTATCTCAAAGTAAAGAAGAGAACAGAAGCTAAAAACAAAAGGAGGTTTCATTTGATTTCTATATCGAGCGCTTTATAGGTTATGCAATAAATGGGTGTCTGTCTGTGTAGTGTACAACTCTCTTGCTGCATGTGAGTTCAGATTGTATAAAGTTGCCCTAGAAATTACGACCCCATAGCCACAATCTTCTTGGTTCTGCATTTCAGGATTTGTAAATATAGTAATGCATGGTCATGTCCTTTTCAAACATCTGTGGCTGGCGGGAGGAAGGCATATATGTCTATCTCTATACTGTTTTAGGGCTTTGAAATAGATTTATTGTTGGTAAGTACTTTTAACTGTTTGTATCGATTGATTTGATAAAGCTGAGCATGATTTCAATCCGCTGTCTGTGTAGGGGGGCTTGACCTGCTCGGCTAGGGTTGGACCTAACCAACCAGGAATTCACTCAATGGAAATCTTCCATTCGGTTGTTGGGGTTTGGGGATTCTAATCTAAATGCACCTTTCAAATTTTCAAATTTTCATTTGATCTGTGTGTTTTACAGGGAGACTGTAGTGAGGGGTTATAATAAGGTCCTTAATAGCCATCCAAACAATTATATAATTATTATTGGACGACTAGATTGAACCTCTTAACACACCCTCTCGTTATAGTTGAAATTCTATAGTAAGGGTGCATATATGGACCACTCATGTGGACTTTCATATTAGTCATAATATCATTTCATTAAACTTAAGTGAAGTTACTATTCAGATGAATCATGTGGCTAATATGAAGGTCTACATATATGGTCCATATATAACATTCTCACCATAGAACGACTCCTCGTTATAGAAGCTCCGTTGTTGTTTTGAAGATCATGCATGCAAATGCAATGGGCCTTGCATGCAAGAAGATCTAAAGAGAGGATGACCCTCGGACTTGGATATAATGGGCCGAGGAATCTAAATGGGGTCATCCAATATTGGACCCTCCATGCAATTTAGCCAATTTTTTTTGAAATAAAAGGCCTGGTTGAAACTTTTAATTGGGTCTATAATGGACCGACCCAGAATATAATATATAAAAAAGTTCAACACGAAAATATTGCCCAAAATTTGACATCCAATGAAATGAAGTAGATATTTCCACACAAAATCATCCCCACAAAAGGAAAAGATTACACTAGGAAAGGACGAAATGAACTGAAAATGATTGATTGATTCAGATTTCAGCGCCACCGACATAGGCGCCCTTCTCCCTCCCTCAGTATCTGCAGATCTCCTTCTCTCTCTTCTCTCTCTGTGTTTGTGGAAGCAGAGCAGAAATCATGGGTTCTCTCCCACCTTTTTCCTCAGACTTCATCAACCCACATTCTCTATCCAATCCCAAAACAACAACAGCAACCCAATCTTCTTCTTCCTCATGCATTGACGAAACTACCCTCCTCAACCTCTTCAAATCCCAACAGAGCCACCTCAACTTCTTCTTCCAGCACCTGGACCTATCCCAAACCCTATCTTTCACCCGCACCCTCCTCCTCCAGTCCTCCGCTGGCGCCACCGTCTTCTTCTCCGGTGTCGGCAAGTCCGGCTTCGTTGCCCACAAGATCTCACAGACCCTCGTCTCCCTCGGCATCCGCTCCGGCTTCCTCTCCCCACTCGACGCCCTCCACGGCGACATTGGCGCCCTCTCTAAAAGCGACGTCTTGGTCCTCTTCAGCAAGTCCGGTACCACCGAGGAGCTCCTCCGCCTCGTCCCCTGCGCCAAGGCCAAGGGCGCCTTCCTCATCTCCGTCACCTCCGTCGACGGCAATGCCCTCGCCGCCGTCTGCGACATGAACGTGTATTTACCCTTGGAGAGAGAGCTCTGCCCCTTCGATTTGGCTCCGGTCACCTCCACCGCCATTCAGATGGTCTTCGGCGACACCGTTGCGATCGCGCTCATGGGCGCCAAAAATCTCACCAAGGAACAGTACGCCGCCAATCACCCCGCCGGTCGGATCGGCAAGCATCTCATCTTCAAGGTCCGATCTTGCTCTTGCCCCAATTTCAACTCTCCTCCAATTCTAGGTTTTCTTTTTCTTTTCTCCTAATTCTCTGGAGTTGCAGGTGAAAGATGTGATGAAGAAAGAAGATGAGCTTCCGGTTTGCAAGGAAGGAGATATGATAATGGAGCAGCTGGTGGAGCTGACGAGTAAAGGCTGCGGGTGCCTGCTTGTGATCGACGACGACCATCACCTGATCGGCACATTCACTGACGGCGATCTGCGTCGAACTCTGAAGGCGAGCGGGGAAGCCATCTTCAAGCTCACGGTTGGGGAAATGTGCAACAGAAACCCTAGAACCATCGGTCCAGACGCCATGGCCGTGGACGCCATGCAGAAGATGGAAGCTCCTCCGTCCCCGGTCCAGTTCTTGCCCGTCATCAATGGCCAGAATCAAGTGATTGGGATTGTCACTCTGCATGGACTGGTCTCAGCTGGTCTCTGATAGATAGATTATGTAGATGTTCTTGTCTATGTGCTTTCTTATTTTTCATTTTTTATTTTTTCAATTTTTGTTTAAATGTGTTTAGCATTTTATTCATTAATATGCATGATTAGATAATTCTTTGTAACTAAAAATATTGAAGCAAACCCCTTTTGGGTAATTTGTACTACTATTGTTTACCGTTATATCATGGAGAATTTGAATATTTCTAAATCTCATGTTTCACCATCAACATTATATTGGGTTCACATAACAACTAACCATCACTGTCATCACTAAGAAGAACAATTCCACTCTGAGAGCCTGCTTTTCTTGAAGTTTGATTCTCTGAAACCAAAGGGTTCGAAGATGCCCCATTGTCGGCTGGATGACCACCTTTCAATAGCTTCCCAGGAACACTGCCTTTCTCGAGAGGACAGGCAGCTTGTTCTTTTCCACGGAAAAGAAAGTCAAGATCTGGGATTAAATCCTCAGAGTCTGAGGAACTTGTTTCACTTGTACTTACGGATGAAACATCGGATGTCTCCTCTATTGCCTCTGTCGGTGGAAGCGGAGTATTGTTCGTCCCCTTCATTGCCTCTGTCGGTAGAGAAGGAGCATTATTTCCTGTTGTGTTTGGGATAATAGTAGGTCCTACTGTGTTCTCCTTTGCTTTCTGTTCATTCAAGATTGTTGATTGGAGCACATGTGCCTTCACCTTTGCCTGGATGCTAGACACAGAATTTGTATCATTCACATTCGCTGTTGCAGCATCAAGAGTTCCAGATGGATGATCGTTTGCTTTCAACTTACTTGAGATTATAGATTGCAGCATACGTGCCTTCAATTCTGCCCTGAATGCATCTTGAGACATGGACTCTTTCTGTTTAGTTTTCTGAGCATTAGTGGTTGGACCATCTACATGCCCAATATTCTTCGGACGATGCACATGCAGAGCCAATCCAAGATCATCTTTGCCCCATTTGAAGACTGCATCTAACTTTCCTTCCAAAGCTTCAAGAAGTAGATATAAATGATCGATCTGGTGACGGTAGAGGAAAATCTTGTCACTCCAAGCACAAGAACATAGTTGCTTTGCGTGTAAGAGACATGAATATCTGTCTGCAGAACAAGGACAAGCTGCCGCAGAAAAATGCAGATCACGGAGACAAATGCTGCACTCCTTTTTGCTTGTAACATCAAAATTTGATTTCATCCTCCGTGACTGTTTAGACTTGCAAAGATATTTCCGGCAAATGGCTTCAGAACTGAGACGTGACTGCATAAAAAAGAAAGGTGGAAAAGAGTTTAAAAAAGAAAAACAATCAGGCCATCGACTTTAACTAAGTTTGAAGATGGTTAAATTATCTCACTAAGTGCAAAACATAAACCAGAGAAAGCAGGGGAAAAAGCAAACTTAAAAGTACAATCCCTTTAATTAAAAAAATACAACTGCTATATGAATCAATAATGTCAGTTCACCATTGTTCAAAACCATGTAGGATACAAGCAGGATCTGCAGTTGACAGTAATATGGTGGGACAATATCTGAGGAATTACCTTGAATACATGTGTTAAGATCCCATCCTTTCCATAGGCATCTTTCCAGAGGAAATGATCTGAGGTGTTCTTCCTAAACAGTGAATCCCACTGTGCCCTCACAGCTTCCCTAGCTGCTCCAAGCAGCAGCTTATCATGGGATATAGATGTTTTCCTCCCCTGTTCGCGGTAAAGTTCAACAGCCTCCTGTCCATGAGGCAACCAGTCTAGGGGAGCAACACATGCCGTCTCAGAAAAATTAAAGCCACAATCAAATCCCGAATGATAAGCCCCTGGGAGGACAAGAACAAACTCCCCAGGAGACTGAATGCAACGAAAGACTGGTATGCCCTGTGATTTCAGTGTGGAGGGCGGTAATTGTTTAACCTGTACCAAAAAAAACAAATGATATAAAAGGTCTCTACTAACAAAAGACAACAGAGAAGTTAACATCTCTTGAAAAATATTTTACTAAAAATAAAGTTTTAACTTTAACACAAAGGGAAAGGGGGGAATCATAAGTTTGTCAGCTCACCAGCCCATTTTGCAATTCAGGCTGTTCTGATGATGATTCTGAAAAGAAGCTCCTCATGGCTGCCTCAAAATTAACACTATATTTCCCAGGGACACCATACCATATTTTAGGAGCACCCAGATGTGTGTAAGCCAATGAGTATAAATGGTGCTCTTCAACTTTCTGTTTAAAAGGACTAAAAAATCAAAGCATGATCAACAAACTAAAAATAAGACAAGCCAACCACAGACATTATCCATAGAAAAGTTAAGATACTTAAAAATGCGTCTCAAAAGAATACAAGTTTGAGAGCCATTGATTACCACATTTAAAAGTTTCAAAATATTATCCAACTTTCTAAAACATATATAACGTTTTCAGCAAAAGATGCAACATGTGAGCCATATCAAATCTTACCCAATGAAAAGATGAAAAGCACATTCCCACACGAGCCTGAGGTACCAAAATATGACAAGTGTCATGGCTTTCAAAAGAAAGAAGAGAACCAGGCAGTCTGGGCAGATTATTTAAGTTCCAGCCTGATGCTAAATATTCAGTGTGATCTGACGTTGCCAAAGGATTGGAATCTTTAGATACTGTTGGAAATCCACTGCCAAGAGCTTTGGTCTCCAAATTATCACCACAAAGCACCTTCACAGTACACCAAGACGACAATTAACAGCACAAACTGCCTCAATAGAAAAGAAGAAAATAAAGAAAAAATTAAAAAATGATCATCCCAATTTCTGAGTGTACCTCAATCTCTTCAGTTGGGTTCTCAGTAATACGTTTATATTCAGCTTCAATATTCTCCAGTGATGGAACCCACTTCTCTTGTCTGCCTGTGACTTCACTTTTGCGGAAATATTGACTCTTGAAATCAGCTGCATATCTCTTAAAATTCTCAAGAGTGAATTCTCGACCAGGTTCTGGTTCAAAGCCTTTGACATATGAATGTCCCGTTTCACCTGGACTTGAGGTAGATCCACTGTCCAAACCCACTCTCAAGATTCTTCTCCTCTTCTTTTTTGTGCTTTCATAAAAGCCATCCATTTTACTCGGTGAACTCTGATTTCGTAGCCCATCAATCCGCTGAATATGGGTAGAAAATGTAGATCTTTTCCATATGGGGTATTCCTTAATAAGACATGGAGGTTTCCAGGAAGGAGGAGGAACAATACGACAAATACCATATTGCTCTGCTCTTACACGTATAGTTGCAATATATTTAAGCATGTCTTTAAATTCCTGCAGGAATAACTCAGACTCCTTCAGACTGATATTTTATAAGCAAAAAAGTGAGCATTCAAACAAAAGATCCAGACAACATCTATGACTCATGAAATAATGCAGTGTCACAGAAATCAGAAAAAGGTTAACCTCTTCTGTTGGGTGGAAAACAGGTGCTTCTTCAAGGACATCTATTCTTGCATCTTCAGGACGCCACCTTCCTGTTACCTATTCCAAGAATTCAATCAATAATCAAAAACATTAAATGAAATAGAGAACCTGACATGGTAATGATTTTAGAAAATCAAGGACAAATGGAAAGGTTGAAACTAGTACCTAATAACTATACAATTCAAAGGGAAGATAATCAACTTAGTGAATGAAAATCAACCTTCAGACAATCACTGCAATCTGGACATCCATGAGTAACACCTTTAGGGAGACAAGTTTTTGCTGGGGGGTCCTGGAAAAAAAAAGGGGATATAATTATAACAATTTCTAACCAGATTCAGCTGGTGATGAATCATGAAACATGAAATTATTCCTCTTTAAACATATAAACAAGCTCCTCATCAGCAGCTTATTTGCAGCATGCATAACGCAAGTTCAGATTTAAGTGCAAGCTAGTTTTATGTTTGACAGCAGCAAAAATACATTCACACACAGACAAACAAAAAGGGAAGAAGAGAAGAATAGACCATATCAAACTGTTCAGATTCAGGTTCCTCTGAGTTGTAATCACTTTGGTCGAAAAGTATCCATGGCCTATGCTGAAGAGATCTTTTCAGTTTATCCATGTCAGTCAGGTCAGATGTGGAGTCCATCTGGATTGGCTCTTGTTTAGAAGCATTGACACCATTAGTTTCTTCAACTTTTTCCATCCTCTTCAGCACGAAGGATGTACGAGACGCAAAACCAGGTGGAACTGAATTAAAAGCCATATTCTCACAATGGAGATAAGCCCTTGATGGGTTCTGCAACCAACGGTACTGCAAAACGGAAAAGTGAAAACTGAAGCATTAGAACAAAAGAAAAAAGCACACCCATAAAAATGATTAGTGGATACATTTATGAACAATCTAAAATTAGCATAACGAGAAAACATCGAAGCAATAAACAAATTGTTCAACAGTCCATACAAGCTGCACTGCACCTGTTTCTAATGGATAACAAGAATAAATTATCTTTAACAAGCCAACAAGGAAAGCGAACATGTAAGCTAGAAAGATTGAGATAGAAGAAACACAATGAGGTAAACTGAAATCCCACAATGATTCCAAACATACCAATGGTGAAATTGAGGTTCACAGTCGCAACCTGTGATTATATTTGTGCAAAAAAATATGTTGCCTTCTTCAGAGAGCACAACCAACTGTACTTAAGTGAAAATCAAACAAATTCAAAATCATCATTTCCATCCATCCCATGCAAACAAAACTTTCGCTGCCCATGTTCCCATTTGATTAAAATAGAAACCCAGAGGTTTAACAAATCACTTACCCAGGTAACAGTTCTGCATCACAACCAGTCCAAAAATATATTAAAAAAAAAAAAAAAAAAAAAAAAAAAAAAAAACAACAACACCTATATTTTCAGGGAATCAAATTCATGCTTACCCAGAGGCTGAAAATGCTGGGATTGGTCTGCGCTTCACTTGAAAGCCAAAATTTCCAGTGTCGGGCAAACGAACACAAAAGGAAGACGAATATGGAAAATGAAGAAAAATGTTCAGGGCTCAGCAATTACAAATTTAGAAGGGCATACATACCCGAATGGGTTCGCAGATATTTCATTGGGTCACGAAATGCGGTTTCAATAGACCCCACAAGATTGGTTTGGGTTTGGGCGATGGTGGGCTTCTCGTTTGTTTACTAACATGGATCGGCCTGTGCAGCTTTGTTCAGTATTTTCTCTCTCTCTCTCTCTCTCTCTCTCTCTCTCTCTCTTTGTGGAAACTTTTGCTTATCAAATGTTCATTTTATTCACAAGCAATAGTATAAATTAATCTAATTTATGGGAGAGGTACTTAAATTTGGGTGTAAGAGGGCGGACTCATTACTTTGGTCAATTGGCCTAACCCACATATGCTAAAAAGCATAGGTTTTGATATAAGAATTTTTGACATCAACAAAATGCATGACTTATTTCTGACCGTTAGAGCATGTTGGTTTTTTGTGGGATCTATATGCACTTATGATCATGAATTACCCAAGCTCGATTTGACAACTAATCGTGGCAGGACCTCTTGACATAAATAATTTGAGTTCTTTTTTCAATGGTTATAATTAATTTGAGTTCTTCAAGGAAAATTGTGTTGCTATGTAAAATATGGAGGATGAGAACAAAAGAGGAAATGAAAGGAGGAGCATCCAAAACTCACTCATACTCATATGCAACAATGGTAGTTGAGTTGATAATTAAGGGGATAAACAAGATGCTCTATCATTAATTATTTGTTGGACGTGCGTTGAATATGTACATATGTTAGTTTGAACTCTCTTGTGGGATTAGCAAATTCATAATTATACTTTTGAAAGATAAGTATATACGTTAATCTCCCTTTGTCATATCACTTAGAAAAACTTGGATCTGTCATGAACAATCTTCGGTATTAATTGCTATCAAACCTAAGAAGAAGATGAAACAAGAAGATTTTTTTGAATCAAATTTATTATTCCTTCCAATTATCCTGTTTGTATAGTTTTCGTATAATGCTTCGAGTTGTCAAAATCAACAGAAACGAAGATGGCTATTGTTTTTAAGTTTTGAAGCAATAATTATAAACAGACAAGAGAGCCATGGTCCATTTGTGCCAGACATTCAGAATAATACTCCTGCAAACAGCAAGTCCTGAACTGTCGACTGATGAAGATGGCACGCGTGAATAATATCACAGAACTTGTTACTTGGAGAAAAAGCACTGGCTAATATTAAAGAATTTATATTATTCATAATATTTATACAAATTCCAATACTGTATATATACAAGAGAGAAATATAAATAAAATAAAATAAAAAACCTAACCAGACTAGTTGCATGCACAAACTTCTAATTGCATTCCCAATCAAGCCAAATATATACCGCAAGTATAAATATAAATATATGTTACAAATCAACAAATCGGGTATGTGTCTAATATGGAGTGTAGAATATATGTGTTCCTTCATTTAGAGCAAAACCATGCTGTTGTGATCCATCTCAAATCTCATTTCGTCCATATCTGGAGCCACCCCATTTTCGAAGCTAGTTTCTTCCAAGCTCATGTCCCATAAAAACCCATATTCGTCGTCGTTTTTAGCGCCTAATTCGGGGACGGAGTTGTTGCTGTATTTTTCCTGAGGAAAGTGGAGCAGATTCAGCAAAGAGTTGCTTTGGTTGTGGCTGTGGCGGGGTGGTGGTGTGGAAAATGAGGGGATCGGGTTGTACCCACGAGGCATGGTTTGGTCTTGAGTTGGAGGAGATGAGTATTTTTCCATGCTCAAAGGAACAGTGCAGGATGTGGTCTCCAACATAAAATCATGGGGGCTGAGTTTGGTGTTCTCTTCTCCCTTGCCTTTGTGGAAAACTCTGCACAAAACCCAGTCTTCCTGTGAAAACAAAAGCCAAAATATTTAGCTTAGTTAGCAAAATAAAGGTGAAAACATGATTAAAATCATAATCTGAGTGCTTTCGATACACCACATCAGTATGACACGTACGTAATATATTACATTTACACGATAAAATGATGTTACTATGAGTTCTAGATGCATAATACACCAATTCATACTTTCCTTCCAAATTTTGGACTATATCTACATTTTCCATGCATGATGCATGAAGCCCATACTTCCTTCCCTTCCAGTCGCAACTGGCAACATGGTGGAACAAAATGATAGGGGTGGCAGCACGTGCATGTACTTGGACATCACGTGACCGAATATGAAATTTTATATAGAGTATTTGTGGCGTGTGCATGTAGGAATAATTCAATAGTATTATAAGGAAATTAGATGTGTAAATAATAAGATAGGAATGTTAATGAAATTACCTTAGGAGGCATGTGTGGGGTCTCCAGCCGAAACTCATGCATAATCCAACCAGTTTTGATTCCATTAGGAGCTCTGTTCCGATAGAACACCAAAGTCTTTCTCATCCCTACAATCTCCCCTGTTCCTGGCTCCATCACCATCCGATCTTTCCCCGTTGCCTTCCAGTACCCAGATGTCGTAGCCCGATTGGTTCGAAACCCCGTGGCATACTTGCGGTCACGGAAGCTGAAGAAGTACCACTCATTGGCATTCAGCTTTGCCACCTCTTCAATAAAATAAATTTCGAGATTAGGGTATATTAGCATACTAAGCCAACGCAATTATACATGCATGCATGTTGCTAATTCGCAATTAGGTATATAGCATTATCATTCTTGTCATTAATACCAACTTACGGCGAAAAAAAGAAGAAAAAAAGTGATGAGCAAGGTCCTATCCTATCAAATGAATAACGATCGGTTGCCTGAAAATTTGTCAAAAGCAAGTGAAGTGACATTTGCTATGTAATATATATTGCTTTCAACGAATCTTAGGTTTCACATTATAAATATAAAAAAATTTATTTATATTTTTTTTTATGGTCGGCTTTTCCTTCTTGTGAATTACCAAATGTGTTGGCAAGTCAAGATCATCACTCGAGCTATGAGTTGTGTCTACGGAAAGTAGCCAAAGAAAGTGGTAGGCACCACAACAATTAAGGAAACAGGATGCTCTAATTAAAGACAATTAGGGTTGAAAAGCAAAAATAATTCTGATTCTCTGAACTTGGAAATTTCCATGAATTTGCTAAACATCCCTGCCTAGGTGGTAGCTAGTGTGTGTGTGAAGTGATATGCATGCCTTGAAAAAGAATGGTCATATTTTTACTACAACGGAAAATTACGTGTAACAATTTACTTCATTTACCCAAAAGAAAAAAAACGAAAAAATTAACCATTTACCCAATTTTGTATACTGATTAATTCTTCCTTGTCCGAAACTTGCCCCATAATAATCAAGGTATGAACACAATTAAGGTATAATTTATTTAAAGATCCTGTCAGATCAGGGCAAAGCAACTATATATAAAATTAACGTACGGATGGATGGTAGGTGGATGATTAATCCTAATTATTGAAATAACAAGGATAAGGATAATTAGCCAGAAATTATGAACAGAAGATCGATCACATCTACATCTAGCTAAGCTAGCTAAGCTATATAGTCATGAACTGGAAGTCGTGGTGCACATCTGGGCCGTTCATAACTCAAGCAAGGTCCCACTTCAAATGGACGGTTGGAATGTGTGTGTGGGAACTAAAGACGAATTTTGCACATGACAGCTGGCAGGAAATGATCAAATCATAGCCACACGATTTGCATGAGAGAGAGAGAGAGAGAGAGAGAGAGAGAGAGAGAGAGAGAGAAGAGAGAAGGGGGCTGTTTTGAAATTAAGGATATGAAGAACACTTACGTATATGAAAACTATCTCTCCTATATTTGCAATAAAAACTTGTATTGTGGTAACTAAACAACCTTCATAAGCATGCCTAGTGCTTGCCGTTTGTGGCAAACCCAAGAGATGAAATAAACGCAATTGCTTTTGGGTCCCTTGGATGACAAAGTACTAGAAATTCTTCTAATAGAAGTTACATCGACGATTGAACGAGGAAAGCTCATATGCATCACGGTGTATATCTCCGATCCTACGCTCCTTATTACGATATATGTTCTAATTAATTAAATTGCTATTACCAGACCACCTACCCATTGTGTGTGTAAATGTAAATGAGAACTATAATTCTTAATATAGACGTTGAGATTGAACATTATGTGTGAACTTTGGACTTCAAAGTGCTTGAATTCTCCTAATATTTCTTGCCATTTCTATAACGAATTTAAAGGCAAGTGATTGAAGAACTAAGTCAGTAAAAAGAATTGGGGAAAATAAAACAAAAATATAGCAAGAAATTGCCATTCTCTCCTCTCTCTCTCTCTCTCTCTCTCTCTCTCTGTGTTCTGCCTAGCTAGTCCTGAAAACTCAAACACCTTGTGCTTATACGACATCCACCACGACAAAAGCACCAACAACATAAACAAATATTTGTCTTTCCGACCACCCCCCCAGCCCCCAAAAATATTTGTCTTTGGAGATGATTTGTTTCAGAGAATGATCTTTAAAACGGAGCAGTTTACTTTATTGAAAAGTACTAAAAACCATGGCCATCTCGACCAACTTGATGATATGCAAAAGATGAGAGAGGTGGTGGGGGAGGAGCAAAAAGATTCAAGAAAAAGAAGAAGAAGAATAAGGACGAAAGCGCGTGGAAATTAATTCATAAGAGGTGATTATGGAAATAATAATAAATTAATTAACCTTAACCTACATACGTACCAGGAAGCTGCCATGGCTCGCAGATATGCAAGTCAATTTCAACCAAAGTCCCCTTCAAAGCTTCCTCATTCGTGATCTTCTTCAACAGATAGTGGCAGACCAGCTCCTCGTCGCTGGGATAGAACCGAAACCCAGGAGGCAGTGTAGCTCCAATGTCTCTAAGCCCCATAATTACACTTAATCAACTTGATTTTGTTTTAATTGAGGAAACTAATCTCAGAAAGCTAGAAAGATGGAGCTTGGAAACTAGTTCTTCAGAATGATCTTGGAAACTAGTAGTTTTGGGAAGTTGGGAAGCAAATTTAGGTTGTGTATGGTGGGAGAGAGATGGAATGTAGTAACTGATTTAAAAAGAGGGTTTTGATTTCTAGAGGGCCAAAGGAGGGTTGGGGATTATATTTATATGGGCAAAGGGATGATATATATAATGTCCTTTCCCTATGATGGCCAGTTAAGAATTTCTTACAATATCTTTATTCTTTCTAAACAGCAGGTCATGCTTGTGTAACTAGTTAGTTATAGTAGGAAGTTTCAAGAAAAACCAAAGTTACAAGAAATCTAGTTATGGTGGGGGTCATCATGCCTCAAGGCTACTACACCAATGTATGGACAAGGAGCCAAATAATTTTATTGGAAACCCTCCAAAATACCCCTTTTTATTTACATTATAAAAATTGGGTACTTTCTGAATTTTTCATGAAAATGAACATTGTTATTACACTTTAGTGATATGCAAATTTTCGTTAAAACTATTTCTATCATATTTACCGACGTACCGTATTAGTGAATCTAATCCTTTTCATTATGTATTACTTTATATATACGGAGATGCTATTGAAGTTGAAGAGCGTTTAGTGGCTGCATGCCTTGTTAAGACTCCCATAAAGAAGCTTTTCTGCATTGTCTTATGCTAATGACGTTCGTCAACAACATGATTTGTTAAAAATGGTAATAATTATGAATAATTAATTGGTCCGGCTGTGGCTTTAAGGAAAAAATAATATAAAATATATTATATATATGTAGTCTCCTTCTATCGAATGATCCCTCAAATAATTGAGTGGATTTTTTGTAGAAATGATCTTTGAATGAATGTCTACAAAATAGACAGTTTGAATTAGTGAAATACAATACAGACTGAGTCCTACAAGAGTGTCCCTCATCCTTCAACGCAAGCTCTATATATATATATATTATATAATTAGCTAAAGCCCAATCAAATTACCAAAGGCACGTGAAGAATTTCATTCATTTTGGATCGAAAACGGACAGCTCAAAGAGAGAAAAAATAATAATTTAATTCACCAATTGCCGGAAGAAAATGAAAACTGGTACTACATGAATGATGAACTTGGAAGAGTCCCATCCCATCTGTTCAAATTTCGATCACATAAGAATATTTTGGATGGATGTGAATGTGATTGTGGGGCTCACGGGCTTTTGTCTTTGAAAACTGGGTCCCACTAATGATCTACGAACGACATCAGGCCCATCATACACACTGTATGCTTATCTAAATTAATTAATTTGATTTGTTATTTTTGTTTTTAGGTTTGTATTTTTATAAAAGGCCAATAATAATTATGAAAAATGTGGACAAAAGTGCATTTGTCACAACATGTATCATTCTAATTATAATTGGTATGCTAATAATATTGTAGATGATGACTGGACTGGGGTCCAGCTCAGCATGGTTTTGCCAGAACGAACATCCAGAGAGGAAAAAAATAATAATAGAGCTTAAAATTTTAGTACGTGTGTGAGTGTGACTTCAAAACCCTAGGATAAATATGTTAATAAAAGGACAATTATGCCCTTTAAATTCCCATTGTAGGATTACTTGTGAAATCGGGACCTCTTCGGATGATATGTCATATTCTACCTATACATGTGGCATGAAAAAAACAAGAGAACGATGCTGACAGTCACCAAAATGGTGGTTTAATTTATGATCCTGTCGGGGAAAACAGTGATTAATTAACCCAAATTCAATAAAGTTCAAAAATAACAATGGTGTGTACGTAGTTAGATTGGTTCAAGTTTTTGGTGTGCTTCCGAATGGTTCTGAGTTCAAGTCTCATGATATCTATCTTGACTTTGGGCCAAAAAATAAAAGTTAAAACATAATCCCTGAAGATTTTCTTGTTTTAGTGTATTTATATTTAATTAGCCACCAAAGAAGGGTTATTAATGGAAAACCACCATAGATTATGTATGAAAATTGAATCAATAATCTAAAAACCAAAAAAAGACAGTGATGGGTCAAGGTGGGTCCCTGACATTTCTTGCTCAAAACGTAGACTAAATTAATTAATCAAAATCCTAAAATTGAGTGCAAAAAAGATCATAGGCTAACTAGGGTTCAAAGTAGGCCAATTAGCTTATAATAATGGACACCATAAACCTAAATTAACGGGAGTAACCGGGAGACATGTGAAATCACATACTAAAGGGACACGTCACGAGGAGGGTGACGTGTAAGATTATTAATTTCAAAATCATATGATGAATATATGTATATCCATCCAAAAAAAAACCAAGGAAAGATAATGCAAATGATTGTGAATGCTAGAGTTAGGGTTTATTTCCAAGAAGGGAATTTTGTTAGGTGAGGATGATGTTGGAGAATGAGTGACGGCTTGATCTTCCTCCAATGCTTTCTTTCTTGGCCCCCTCCTCCCTCCTTTCATGTATAGTGTCTTTTTACTCAATTCACTTCCATAAGTTATGGGCTCTTTATGGGATAGCTATGCATTTACGCATATTTTACAATATTGTTTTTTGTTCTTTATAAGAGGATGCATGAAAAGATAATAATGTTTGAATATACCACTTTTCGTTCGCCATGTTGGTTTCTTATCGAAAAAGAAAAGGTCGCATATTAGCAGATGACATTATGTGACGTTGATGTATCAATATAATCAAGAATATAATCAAGATAATGGTATAAAATTAGAGAAAAATATCAATATAATCAAGTTATTTAAATATTTTTCTCAACCTTTGCGTATAGAGTGGATTCCACGCGGGTTCAACAATACCAATTAGGGGAAAAAAATTATGAAAAGGAGTCGAATTTTCATGGCATATTCCTTATGTAAACTAACAACAAAATAATTGACGTAAGAAATACACATCAACCATGGTATAATAAACTAACTAATGTGATTAAAAAAAAATACGTATATACCTTAATTTCTCGTAAATTCATAACTAAGTAGGGCCTAGCCCTAGTTTTTGTGCAAGGCTTAGATCCGGTCTACATCTTCCAATCACATCCTCTCTGAATCAGTGTCAAGTGTGTATTGAGTTGATGCATACATATGGCAGTCTCTTGTTTTCTTCGACAACTTTTCTTCTTTGTGTGTGATGTACAATTGGATATATATTATTAATCAGTGATCGACATCATTTCATTGCCCTACAAATTCAATACTTGAATATTCAAAATATATCATTTCAATGATTATCCTAAGAATTGCGTAGTTTTCGTTGAAAATAAGTTTTTACCAGTTTAAGCATATTATTATACAACCACTCATTCGGTTTAACAATATTGAGAGTATCCGACATCGAATGATAAAAGGATATTGTGCATCCCCGTTACGTATTACATAAGAGAATTTTAAATCTATAGTGAGGGAGAGATATGCATCGCGTGGCTGCTTCCGTAGTTGTAGCAGAGAAGTCGTTGTCTATGGCCAGATCGCCAATCCAAAGTCGTGCTCAAACTAGAAAATTGGGTTCTTCGACAACTTTTACCTTTAATAAAATTGGCCAAACTTTTGTTCTTCGATTCCAGAACCACCTTTTAGAAAGATAAGTTTTCCTCCTAGCCTTCACTTTATTTATACACTTTAGAAAAACTTGCAGTCTAGGATGAGACCTGATTGTGCTACAGCTAAACTTTATCACGTAAAATTGTGCTTTTGGAAGAAAATCTCTGTACTGTGTATGCATTGATTTGCATCTCAAGGAAGTGACAACTCGAACGAGTCATTTTGAAACCAACGGCTGCAGTTATTTCGGTTGTAGTTTTGTAAATTATGAAGGGTTTTTATATAAATACTTGTGGGTAATTAAGAATCTCAGAAGGTTGGCTTCTCTAATTAATAATGAAAAGGCCCTAGGGTCATGCAGATTGTCCTCACGTACATGATTGGAATTGTGGATGTTACAATCATAATTTGAGTGGTGTAATTTCTATATACATATATGATCAAAAGTATACTATATAAATTATGAATAATTTCAAGATGGCTTTACCCTTTATATATATCCAGAGCTTTCGTATAGAATTGCATGTTAATCTGTATATATCATTAAGTAACATGATTTAACACAAGCTTCAGCTACAAGATTAATCCTAATTAGGCAGTGTGATGGTAATTAACCCGATTTGATTCCTCTTTGTCAAAAAATATACGGCCGAGCGCTTCTGTGCATAGATGCTCGTCTATTCCTCTTGATTATGGTATAAAACTTTAGTTGTACCTTTTGCTTTCTTTCATAATAATATATTATCTCTCTTCTGTCAAAAGGAGAAAAATATATGACCATCATAGGAAATTGCATACAGTGTATTTGATTCTGTTCTGAAATAAAATGGGATTTTCAAAGGTTCATGTGATTAGAGTGTAACATGCACAATTATAAAACTTTATGTCTTTATCATACAAACTTTAGAAAATTTGTATTTAAAAAAATGTAACCAAATCAGAAAGATTCTGCTGATAGCTTGAAAACGCGGGAAATTGTTTTCTACAAGTATAAGCATCGTTGAACACGCATAGGTCGATGTGATTGGGAGTTAATCATAAATATTTAAAGATTAATTGTAGATCGATGGAGCACAGTTAATTTATGACTATTGTAAATGTAAAGATTGATATATTATATCATCCTCCATCCTCCATCCTCCATCCTCATGGTGTTTGTGATGTTAGGTTAAAGTTTCAAGTTTATGTTCGTATGATGAAAAATGTTCTCTTATCAGATATACGTGCTAGTTTGAATCTGAATTATACGTCAAAATATATTCATACTGTCTCTTAAAGCTTACTCACCATCCCAGGGTTTGCAACCGGAGCTAGCTAGCGATCAAGGAAGTGGGCTCTAGCCTAGTGCAAAGTTTGGGAAAAAGGAAATTTGATGCTAATTTTTAGGCAC